TTTCAAACTTGGGTTGGAATCAAACAAGTTTTTTTGAAAGAATCTGATCTGAACAGAGGTATCTAAATAGTCAAGGGTAAAGCTGAAAGCCGGTTATGGGCGAAAAAAATTACATGGAACCGATCAAAAATGAGAGAAGAAAGGTGCTTTCTGAAAAAAATGAATCGAAGTACGGCTCGAAAAAGCATAAAAAGGTTAGGTCGGAAAGTTATATAACGATTCGGAAAAAGGATGGAGCGCTAGACTTCATATTCTCGGTCTCTTAGGATGCGAGAAACGAAAACCGATTACCATGAACATCTACATAAAATACAGACATTTGGTTCGGCGAATCATAAAAACTTTTGGTTCTGGTAAGCATGAGGTGGTTCGTCTAATCATTGGTTCGCCTAAGCATTGGTTCGGATTTTGGTTCGGAAAATCATGGTTCGGAAAATAATCGGCCGATTTTCCTTCGAGTATGACCCACAGTCTCCGGTAGTTCCTTTTGATTACATTCTGGGAAAAATTTTAGTGGCCACTATAGAGTTTTGACGTTTTAGTGGCCACTATAGTAGTCAAATTAGTGGCCACTATAGAGGTCTAAGTTCCACTATAGACCACTAAAAATTTTAGTGGCCACTTTAGGGGTCAATGGATCAACATAACTGGTCCAATATGTTTTTTTTTAATTATCAGAGTTACTTGAAGGAATACTGGATGAAAAAATTACTGAAGTGGCCGCTAAAACGGAAAATAGTGGCCACTATAGAGGTGGGTTTAGTGGTCCCTTCAGTGTCCTCTCCAAGTAGTCCCTGACTAGCCTCTATAGTGGCCACTAAAAATTTTTCCAGTTTTTGCTCTTGACATTTTTTCATTTTCTGATTAGAGAAGCTCATAAAAAATGTTTGACTCGTTGATTTGCGGATTTTAAAAGTTTTGAAGACTTTTTCTGAAATTATTCCCATTTCTAAAGTCGAAAATCATACTTTTTCCGTAAGGCGTACCATTGAAAAAAAAAAATTTTTCAACCAAAAAATTGTAATATTATGCTTATTTTGGATATTAAAAACCCAAAAAGGCTACAATAACTCGAAAAAGTATGAAACTCTTCACTATTTTAGGAATTTTTCTGGTTTTAAAAAAAATTTTGATTTTTGTTTTTACAATAGGTCTGGTCACAGAAAATTTTTCTAAGGAGTAAATTTTGTTCTTTTTAAAAAAATCTATTTTTCCTCGTTCTCTTGCCGCAAGAAGCAACTATGCGTTATTAGTTGCTTCATGATATTCAAAAATAAAAAAAGTTGCCCAGAAACTTTCAAGAAAAAAACAGGGATTTTTTTATCCGTTTTCGGCCACAAATGCGTTTTAAAAACTGTCGTCATACATTCTTATTTCTCATTTCTCATTATTTTTCTTTTTATGTAGGATTGCTAAGCATAGTCGATTGTATGTTTCCCCCAATTTTTTCCCAAATCGGTGGAAGAAAACTGTTTTAAAATATAAAAAAGAACCAAAATGCAACGAAAATGACGAAGGTTTTTGAACAGCGAAGTGGGCGTGGCTCTGCGGTCCCTACTCTTGCGGTACTGTTTCTATTTTTGACTAACTTCTCTGAAAAAGTTCCTTTTCCGACGCTGACTGTCTGAAGATGGTTACCAAACGTTTTATGTACAATTAATTTTGAGCCAAAGAAACGCCGCTTTTTGCCTACATAATTGAGAGTATTGGGGTTACGGCACGGGTTTTGGGCAGAGCTGTTCTCGGGACTTGCGGCGTATTCGAGGGCGGCCGCGGTCGGCCTTTGGTAAGGGTCAACTCGGTCGACCCGTAGATACAAATTTTGTTTTGACTCCCGGTTTTTTGCGAATTATGGAAAGCGCAAGTTTTACTGAAATGAAAGTGAAACAAAAAACATTTTATTATCGAGCACATAAAGAGAAAAAAACCGATGAAATGAGATATTAATCCAAAAATTCAATAGTTTCCTGAGTGGCCAACAATTTACAGAACTAGAGAAAACAAATTAATAAATAAAAAAATAATTTGAAATTTTCACATCACCAGGAATTTCATTTTTTGCAAAAAAATTCATTCAAACCACTATTTGAAATATTATTTTATTTATTTACAAAGAGAAAAAAACGAAAAAGATGCGAAAAAGTGAAATCAAAAAGCACGATTTCTGTCAAAAACAATAAAATTAAAATTTTCATGGATGATAAATAACTTAAAAGTTCATTTTCAATATAAAAAAACTAAAAATAAAAAAACAAAAAAATACGGAAAAAAAAGTCCTCGCGCTCGCTTCGGGGGCCTGAATGAAAACCGCTTCGCGGGCCGGGGCGCTCAAGGGCGCGTCGCGGTCGGGTCGGGGCGGCCTCGGCCGGGGTCGCCCCGACTTGAGAACAGCTCTGGTTTTGGGTCCTGGTGGCCAAGAAGGGCGGTTAGAGGACACGCCCCCGCTAGAATATACCATTCGGGTCACGCGATACCTCGTCACATCTCTTCGGTACCAACATGTGTTTCTTCTACCCTTAATTGCTCTTTTTTCGAAGGCTTCTTTGGGACTTAAAATGTCTTTTTTTTGAAGAAAACTGTCGTAAAGATTTTTTTCACTTCACCTTGGTATTCTTTTTCTCTTGTTCTACATGTTCTTTTAAGTAGCATGCTCTTTTTTTTGGCTCTAAAAAAACAACTTTTTTTTTCTATGTCTTCTCAAAAATTCTGGTCTGGGATTTTTCTATACACCTGCCTTTATGCCGTTTTTCGAAGCGAATGCTCGAAAAAAAAACTTTTTACGGTACCTTTTCCCAAAAAATAATCCTCGTCCATCTATGCCACTTTTTCCACATTCACTTTCTTTTTTAAAAAGCTCTTATGCTACTCAGAATAACACAAAAAGCGGCGTTTCTTGTTTTTTTTTGGTTTTTTTAATGCTACTTACTTACTTACTTAGATACTTAGATGGTCCATCTTCGCTTTCGACCTTTTATTGCCTTTTAGTGCCTTTCATTGATCGAAGCGTGGACCACACGTTTTCCAGGAGGTCTTATGCAATCGGTCATCCAGTGTTGTCGGCCTGGTTGACTTGCGAAAAACTTCCATCCGTGGTGTTGAACGTGGTATAGCATAATTAGGGGGCGCAAAGCCCCGCCCCTTCACGCCACCAAAATGACGATTTTTTTGTTGCAAAAACGGTTTTGAGGCGTTTATACTAGCTAAAGTCCCACTTTAAAAATGAACTGTTTCTGTTAATCTATGTAATCGACAACGCTCTACAAGACTGAATATTTTTTTAAAACTATGTATTTTTTTCAAAAAAATAAGCGAAAAAAAGTAAGATTTAACACGAAAAAAACTGACAAGTTTCACAAAATCGTCGCGTTTCTGAAAAACCAAGTGAGGAACGCTTCTAAATTTTTAAGTATGTTATACATTAACACTTTCTTCATTTTTTGAGTAAAAATGAAAAAAAATCTACCGACGCGAAAAAAATATTAAAGCTTGTAAAGTGACACCAAACTTTGAAGCTGAAATGCGAAAAAATTTCAGCGACATGGTATACTTTTTATTTGATTTAAAAACTAACAGTGTGTCCAAAAATAAAAATTCAAAATGAAAATAATTATTGGGACAGCGAATCAAATTATATTTGAGTTTTACCAAAACCTCCTTTTTTCGCCTGCCTCGTTGACGCATGAGAGAATAGGATCGCGTTTATACTTTTGATCAGGTTATTAAGCGTTCAAAAACTCTATCGATGAAAAATTATGAAAAAAATCGATCGACGCGAAAAAAATAACGGCTTTGAAAACCTCGAAATAATGGCAATTTTTTTTGAAATTTTGGAAGATTTCGTGCAAGTGTCCGTAGCAATGTTTGCGTCAAACACACCGATGCGTCCTTTTTAAATGTTGCAGGAGCCGTTTTTTTCGAGTCAAATTGCCCTTTTTTTCCTGTTTTATTTCGAAATAACATTATTTTTTTCATTTTTTTCTTTTTTTCCAAATCGAATGATAATAATTTTTTTCTGAGTAGAAAAAAAGAAAAAAATAAGCTAAAAAAATCTCTTTGACCTTTTTTTCTAGGTAGTTTTTTTGATATTTTATCAAAAAAATTCTTATGAGGATTGTACAAAAGATTCATACCAAAACTTGAGGCTCAGTTCGGACAACCTCTCAGAACAGAAAACCGATTTAAAAACGGTCCAGAAACACGCAAAAACATTTAAAAAGAAAGCGTGCGGCAGCGGGTAAACCGTGAGATTTTGCCTCCAGTTGTACGCCGCGCGCGCTCGTTTTTTGGCCATAAATTTTTTCTTAGTGGAGCTTTTTTCAAAAACTAAACGGATTATTAAAATGGACAGTCTCCTCTATCGAACAATGTAAAAAAACATATTTTTTTGAATCGTTCTGAAGAAATGGCTTGCGGTCCCTATCTAAAGCATAAGTGGCCCATGAAGAGGTCTTCTAAATTTTTGTTCAGCTTTGAGAATTTCGAAGACAAAAGTTGTGATATTTTTTAAGTCAAAAATGTTAATTCTTTGGGTTTTTACATGGAAATGTTTCTTCTCATAGAGCTCATAATAATTTCCGACCAACATGTCCCCCTATAGGGGTCCCTTTTACAAGTTTTAGTGGCCCCTATAGAGATTTTAGAGCGGTTCCCTTCAAAAAGAGGAAAATTTTGATGCTTTTTTCATAATGTGCTTCACCTGGTTATATAAGTTTCAATGAGAAATGCATAGTCTATAGAAATAACCGGGCCGGGATCTCAGCGGGTGGACCCGTCTTAAACCCGTCTAAGTACCGCTGAGGCCGGCCCATTTTTGAAACGAACCCAGTTGGTTTACCTATTTCATCTCGCCTGTGTTGGCACAATTGATACTGGAAAACACGGGTACACCCGCTAGGACGCCTGGCCACCCTGATAGAGGCGAACAGACACCCCCCTCTGCCAGATGTAAATCACAACATAGGGACGATCCGCGATCCCGCGACGATTTTTCTTTGACGCAACCCTTTTCTGCCGGAACTTATATAAACTTTCAGGATACTGTATTCCGTCTTACTCTTTAACTTTTCCGCCATTATCCTTAGAAATTCGTTTTGATTTTTGCTTCGTTCTTTACATTTTTCTGTAAATTTAGCACTTTTCTACGAAAAACAAAGCAATTTTATCGATTGATTCGAGTTCTTTAGTAATTTGCTAGTTCAGATTGAGCTTTTTAAAGACTTTAATCATAATAATTAATTTTTACAGGCTTGAAAGACCGAATTTCGACAATATTATATTCATAGAAAAGTCCCTAATGGACCTCCTTGTAAGGACATGAAGCTGATCAAATATTTTTTTGAAATAAATGCGAAAAGCACCTTTTTTAACCTCAAAATTTTGTCTTTTTCGGTCACATTTTCCTCGAAAATCCGGCCGGTTTTCCCTCAACCCCTTTCCATTTTTCAAAAAATCAAATGAAAAAGACAAAAAAACCAAGAATAAAAATCAATATTTCTGAAAAAAATACTTTGAAACAAGACTATACTGTATTGGAGCAGGCAAAAAGACCATTTCGCGCATCGAAACACGCTCCGTTTCTTTCTTGGACACCCCGTTTGTACACAATCCATCAGAAAAAAAAAATATGAATTGCGCTCCATGGCGAACGCCCTTCCCGTCTGGATGTATACTAACAAATTTTCCATTCCATGGGTTTCTATTGTTTTCAGAGACCATTTTTTTTCAATTGCATAAATCTCCTACGTCATTGCAAGTTGCAATGCCCCCCAAAAAATCGATAATGCTAAATAATTGCCGTGGCTGTCTATTCCAATTGAACAGTTGCCCGATTTCATCGATTTGCCTCGTCTTTGGCCCGAAAATTTGCCATTATACTATTTTTCTTACCTTTCAATATAATAAAATAAAATCTTGAAAGCTTTCAATTCACATTTTATAACGAGAAAAAAAGTTTTGCCGAGAAAACAGAAAAAAACCCTTTTCTGACCAATTTCTACACTTGAAAAACATTTTTCCATGTTTTTAAAAATAATTTAAAGTAATGCATTTTTTTGTTTTGTTTTGGCAATAGTTTATTATCTTATGGATTACGGGCTTTTTATGCAATAATTTGTTTTGAACACTATTTTCAATGACCTCAAGCAACTCAAAATAACAAACATTATTTTTAAAAATTTCATATATTTTTTTCCATTGTAATAAAATTAATTTTTAGAACGGATGAGGCACATGAAAGTGGGCGTGGCCTACACCGTCTAAGTCGAGCCACCGTGCTTGCTTTTTTTCCTCACAGTTCCAATTTCGAAAAACTTTTTGAATTAAATTAGAAGTAAAGAAGTTTATTTAGAAGTAAAGAAGTTTATCTTGATTACTCCATCTATCCATCTATCCAATTATTCAATAAAAAAATCTCCGAAATGAGACTCCGTATCCACTATGGTTTAGAAGTCGATGCGCTATCAATACCGTGTAGCTCCATGCGCAAAAGACGCTTTGTCAAAGACAGCTTTCTCTGTGTATATTTTGAAATTGGTTTTTCTTGGACTTCGTCTTTTTCTTTCTCTCAATTTTATATACTGCGAAAAAAATTGACATTGTCTTAGTTCTATAAGTTGGATAAAAAAAATACATAATCGATGAACAGTATTTCCGAAAGGTGTTACCAATAGGTTTTTTTAAAAATTATTTCTCTGTTTATAAAAAAATAATTTTTTTATTATTTCTTACTGTAAATTACGCGTGTTTACACAAACATCTGTTCGCGCGCGCGATAAATTTTGCGCCAAAGTCGCGGGAGGTCCCGCAAGTTTTTTCGGAAGTTATGTTTTGATAAACGTTTTTTTAAATTTATTAGTACTCGGTTAGCTAAGTAAAACTTAGATTCTTCGTGGGTAGAAGGTTGAAATTTCTGATAAAGCATTCCCGCGAACGTTACAAACCCATCCGCGAGTCGTCCGCGGGAAATTCAACGTTTCGAAGTAAAGATCTAACTAATATTGGATTTTTCGTCAGTTCTAAAAAGAAACAACCATCTTGAGTTTTCAGAACAAAAAGAAAATCATAATTGGAGCTGATCGGACTTACTTTTTTCAAATCTTCATTTTGACCTCCCATTTTTTGGTTACGTTTTCAGCGGTTTTCACTGAACATGTAATACTCGTCTAATTTTTCACTTCAATACCGTTTTTAGTTCACTTTTCCGTCATTTGAGTTTGAACTACACTTTGTTTGCCTAAATAAATTCAGCACGTGTATTTCACGTGATCATGTTGATTAGAGGTTGCTCATACTAGCTTTTCCCTGTTATTCGACGGAAATCCATATCATTCTTCTGCAGTTTCTCGTATCATACTCGTACGTTTTCATTTTTTGTTCGTTACGCGTTTCTTTGCTCATAATTTTATTGCTTCTGTCGTTTTTGAATGCGCAGTTATTGAATGAAAAACGGCCCTTTTATTTGACGCATATAGTCTGCTCAGATTTTGAATTTCAAGCCGTCGGTCAAACGCCGCCCCTTACTCGTAGACCAAACTAATCAGAGAGCGAGCCATCTACAGGGCGCTGTTGGGGGCGGATTTCTTTCTTTAAGATTCAAAAACAGACTGGGTGTTTTGCGCAACCAAGTTTTGTGCAGAAATGTTTCGCTTGATTTCTATTTTTTTTAAGTTTTTAAACGCACTCTCTCTTTTTTATCGTGACAGGACCCTTTTTTTCAAGCCAGCCAAGAATCAGCTATGGTTTTTGGTCTCCATAATTTAATTGATGTGGGGTTATGTATCCTTTAAAGCTTTTTCACCCTTGTGGGCGGCAAAAAACTCGCAAAAGACAATGGAAATCAATCGATTCATTTCTGCGCGAAACATCTATATTCTTTTTTTTTCTGTGCTTCTTTCGAAACATTTAGCAAAAAACTTTTAAACAGACGGTTTTACAGATTATATGTTGATGTGCAACTTTTCATTTGTTTTCAAAATCACTTTCTCGTTTCTACTTTATTGAACTAGCTTAGTTCTTTACAGCTCTAAAAGTAAAAAAAAAGCTTTTTTTGTCTTTGCTTTCTTTAACTTTGTTGGAGATTCGTTTCGTTTCACTTTTACAATCTTCTTCGGTTTTTTTCCAAACTTTTACTTCTCTTTGTATTGTTTGATAGTGATGAAAATTTGTCAAGCCAAACAAAACATGTTTTCTGTAGCGATTTCGATCTTGCGCCTTGAAAAATTCCACTTCTCTTTTTTTTTCTCGTAAACTTTGCCCGTTCATGAAACGATTTATCATCTAAATCAATATTTTTCAGAAAGTTTGTTTTCATTAGAAGATACTCGACAAAAAATGGCTCTTGAAAAGAAGATGGAGAAATTGACTGTAAGTTTTGGTATTGGGAAAATAGAAGGGAATTTCGGATTTGAAGGTCGGAGGTCCGCTCATCGAGTTCGCCCCGAAAAAACAGCCTGGAAATGCTGGAACTCAGACGAACTTGGTCAGCAACCTCGCCAAAACGAGTTAGAAAATCGTTGAAGTTGATAGAAGATCATCTTTTCGAATTTCAGCCATACCGAAGAACACACAATTTTCAAAATATGACGTTAACATCGAATTGGGATTCGAAAATACGGACAGGGTGAAGTCGCTGACGCGTGGAGGTTCCAAAGACGAGTAAGGGAGAAAATATTCGAAATGAAGAGAAATCTTCAAAAGATTATAAGGGCTTTTTTTCAAAGTTCGGTTTCTGTATGCTTATTTGATGGTATTAATTTGAAGAATTGTCATTTTGTTCTCGTTAATATTTTTGTAGAAGGCGCTCGAGAAAGATTCTGTGAAAAAGTCGTAATTTTTTTTTATAGCTGTTGAAAATCGAAAGATAAGCTGCTTTAACGGAAAGTCTTCTATTTCGGGTTAGGAATATACTGAAAATCGGCAAAAATCGTCTTTCGTAAACCAGAAGGAAAACCTCCAAGTCAACGAAATTCATCAGAATTTGTGAAAATAGGCTATTTTTAACTTTGAGGCGCCTGTTTTTGAAAAAAAAAGTTATGAAATTTGAGAATTTTGAGCCTTGTTCTAACTAGGGAACTACTCGGACTCGGGTACGCATTTCGAGTTCAAACTTTAGTGGTTTATAGACCTAAGTCAGAATACTTGAAAACAAGAGAGAATATCTGCTAAACCCAATAGAGAACGGAGAAAAAATTAGTAGAAAATGTGAAAATTAGGCCTGAAAATTTTCAGAATACCGCTTTTTACCTTGTTTTATATTTTAATACAATCGCCTTGGATGATCCGGCTATGATAAACTCTAAAAAACTTTTTTCCAGCCGAAAGAAGAAGGAAAACTGAATTTTAATAATTTTCAAGCCTAAACTGTTCATTTTCAAAAAGCTTTGTCTCAGAAGCCTATGGGGTTTAGCAGATAATCTCTCTTGTTTCCAAGTACTCTTACCCGGGTCTATAAGCCACCAAAGTTTCAACTCGAAACGGGAACCCGAGTCCGAGTAGCTCCCTAGTAAGGGATTCTGTGAAATCTAAATTAGCAGTCAGAGAGGGAAAAAGATAAGCGGCAATTACTTTGATAACAATTTTATCTCTCTAAAAATCAACATTTTTTCAGTACGACCCAACAGGAGCGTCGGATGCAGGCGACCGCGATTTACAAGAAGGCCGTCTCGCAAAACGCCAGTTTTTTCAAAAACGCGACATGCTTTTATGATCGCCAAGCGAACTTGTATTCACTCGAAAAACTCGAATGTGGACCCGAAGTTCGTCCTCGGTATCAAAACCAATGACCATGTCATGTTCAGGGCACTACTTTTGAATTTTCTCCCAGGGATTTCGAATTTTTGTCCCAAGACGTGGTCAAAGTGACTATCACTTTCTCGGCGGTCGCTGACAGTTTCCAAGTAAATTTTGCCATTTTTCGTGGAGTTTTTTATTATTTCCATGTGTTTTTTTCAAACTTCCTCGTGGGATCTTTTCTCATGCGCCTTTAAAAAGGCTGTGAATTTCCTGCGCCTTTAATAATCGCTTTTTTTAAAAAGTTTATTGTTATATTTTTTTAGAAATGATTTTTTTGTAGTTTGGAAAGAAACCTCGTTTTTTTCATGTATTCAGAGTTGATTGAAAATTTCAATTTTTAAAAAAATGTTGAAAATCAATTATTTTTTTAGGCAAAAATTTAAAAAAAGCGAAAATTTCGCTTCTAGTGTTCTCAAAATCATTATGAATCCTTGGAAAAAAATTGAGAATATTATTATTTTTTTGATTTTTAAACACGATTTCCTTTTAAGAAATTTGACCATTTTTTTGAGAATTTTTGTCGTTTTTGACTGGATTTTTGTCCAAGAATTTTTGTTTTTTTGCATGAACTTTGCTGATTTTTCAAAGTTACCTATCGATTTTCCAGGCCAACACCAACAATTTGGCTTCGTCGTGCCGACCCCGTGCTAGCGAATCCGACAAGACCCTTCTGGAAGCCGTGAACTTGATCGTTTCTGGAAAAGCTCTTGTGGAGTGAGCCCAAACATTCCCGAAAAAAAAGCGTGTACCTCGATTTTTCAGCGAAAACGTCATCACCTATGGAAACTGTGTTCATTATTTGTACAATACGGAGTCGGTCGGGTACGTTGAAAAGTCAAATTTCGGATCCGTTTGAAACGGAATTTTACAAATTTCTAGTGAAAAATTCGATAAGAAGAAAGGAAAAGGAGCTGTGAAAAGAAAGCTCCAAAAATTATGGAAAAAAAATAAGTCTTTTGAGCTCTTTTTTTCATAGCCTCAGACCCTTTTTAGTTGCTTTCAAGCGTTTTTGAATTGTTTTAAAAAAATATGTAAAAGTGACATTGAAAAAGATTTTTTTCAGGGACCCTTTACAGATTTTTTATTTTGGAAGAACCTTTTGAAGAGCTTTTCTGTTTCACCCAAGCTGTTTATATTAAAAATCAATATGCAGAGCGGTCGAGTTGCGGTTTTTTTTTGGCGCCAATATGAATTTTTCTGTTTCCGTTATGCATTTTGTGAATGTCGTGGTGGAAATAATTCTGAATTTTTGTCAAAAATGACCAAAATGAGTTAAAAATTTGAAGTTCGGCGCGTAAAAAGTCACATATTGCGATGGATCGTTGTAGGACCCAATTTTTTTCTAAAGGCTCCTGGGATTCTGCCTATTTTAAGAAATAATTTTGAACGAATAACGCTTCGATTTTTGAAACATCAGAATGATTTTGAACACGGAAAAATTGATCAATTTGCAAGAAAAAAATTCAAAAAAAAAAATCCAATTTTCGGCTTTCTTTTTGAATGACTTGAGATTTTCCACGAAATAGTCCCACGATAGCAATAACTTTTGAATTGGCCGTAAAAAAGGGCATCGCCTTTCACACACTTTATAGCTTCTAAGCGCTGTTTGAAGACTTAAGAAATAGATTCCAAAAAAAGCTATGAAAAGTTGAGGGTCAGCGATTTTTCCAATGGAAGCATTTCCAAGTTTTACAATGTTGCTGGGGAAAATTTAAAAATTCTCATTTTTTTAAATGAATTTTTCTGTTATACCAATTGGCTTATGAATAGGAGAATGATGAGAATAACAGGAAAATGAAGGGAAAAGAAAGAAAATGTGAGGAAAAGGGTCAAAAAAGGTTTCATTTTTGCTGCCTTTTTGCGCCATTCCATCGGCCTTTTTCCACCATTTCTTGCCTTGAAAGTTCTAGCAAAAATCGGAGGCTCGATAAAGGGACCCTTTTTGCTGCCTTTCTGGGGCCTTTTTGCGGCCTTTTTTGAGCGTCTCCCTTTCAGCGGTCATTATCCGAAATTCCGACTTTGCCCGAGTTTTGGGAAAGCTTGTGAATATCTGACTAGCCCGACCAAAAGTTGTGAGAAGACTCGATATTTCCCAACTTTTTCCAGACTTCCCCTCCCTCCGAATTTCACGACTGGCGACAAGTACATCGGGACGGGACTGACCAAGGCGGTGAAGGTCCTGGAAGGGAATCCGACGGCGGCGGCCCCGGTGACCGCCTACACGGTCTGCGAGATCAAGAGCTCCGCCTTCCATCTCGACAACGAGCCCCTCATGGACAAGTTCAACGACCTGATGCCCCCCAAGAAGTCGCTGCCCATCAACGCCGAGCCCAACTCTCCAGAAGCGCGTCAACTTTTGCGTCTCGTCAAAGGTTTCGACTAAAATTCTTGTCTTTTAGTACCTCTGATTGATTTTTTTTGTCAGTTATCAAATGGAAAGTTGAAAAAACGCCTATTTTATACGATAGATTGGAAAGGCTTTTCGTTTAGGAAATGTAAATTTGTATACTTCTTCAAACGTGCCTTGTCGTGTTACCTCGAGATTTTTAACAGAAAAAAATTTTTTTTAAGCAAAGAGCGGTTTGATACATACTAGAGGTGTCACAAAAAAAATCCCATAAGTTTCTGGGAAAATTTTTAGGGGCCACTATAGAGGCTCGCCAAAGACTACTTGGATAGGACACTGAAGTGGCCACTAAACCCAACTCTGATAATTTTAAAACAAACAGATTAGACCAATTATGTTAATCCATTGACCCCTAAAGTGGCCACTAGAAATTTTAGTGGTCTAAAATTAGCACTTAGACCTCTATAGCGACCACTTATTTTTTACTCCTTGAGGGGCCACTAATTTGACTACTATAGTGGCCACTGAAGCATCGAAACCCTATAGTGGCCACTAAAAATTTTCCCAGTTAAAATTTGATCAGAAATTGATTTTTCTGTGTTTTTTCTTGTCGTTTTTGGGAATGAAGGTTCAGGTGTCAGAGAGATCCGTTTAATATCTGAAAAATTTGAATTTTAAACTTTTTTCAAAAACGACATGTTAAAAATGAAATGTTATTATCAGGAAGTGTATTATAGTTGATTCATTTGCAGGAATCGCGGTCCGCGTGAAATACGGCGACAGGAAAAGCTTCATTTTGGGCGGATTCGGGCCGGTCGCCAACTCGAGTGCCTCTGCGTCAGTTTCCGCATTTGAAAAGCATATGGACTTTCCTGTTTCAGGTTCGAACACAACGGCCAGCGGTACACCGTTGCCGAGTACTACGAAAAAGTGCTCAAGAAGAAACTGAAGTATGTATCAGAAAAAAAATTGTTGATTTATGTTCATTCTGTTATTAATAATAATTGGAAGTTAAAAGGAAAAAGAGTTTCTTTCAAAATTTGAAATTCGAGGATTCCGATCAATTTTATGCCGTGTTTAAAGTAATTTTCGCGATTTGCAAAATTATCTCTGACCCTCCAAAATTTAGTTATCTTTTTCTTTCTCTGACGGCAATTTTTTAATTTTCGCGGAATCACTTTAAACACGGCATTAGGCCCTCTGAAAAAAAATTTTAGGCTTGATTTTTTTTTTCGCGTATTTGGCTCAGTTCATTTTTCAACCTGATTTTGGAAAAACGAGCGTTTTTTTTTTTAAACTAATTTTGTCGTTTTTCCTAATTTTCCACAATTTATTTCACTTTTTTTTTTCGGTGTTTTTTGTAATTTCACGTTGATTTTTCAATGGCAGGGCTCTCCTGGCACCAAAAATTTCCTTATCAAAATTTCTGATGGTTACCATATTTTTAATTTTTTTGCGGAATCACTTTGAACACGACATGAGGACTTTTGAAAAAAAATTTTAGACTTGATTTTTTTTCGATTTTTTGGCTCAGTTCATTTTCATCACTTTTCAACCTGATTTTTTTTTGAGCATTTTTTTAACGCTAATTTTGTCATTTTTCCTAATTTTCCACACTTTATTTCACTTTTTTTTTCGGTATTTTTTGTAATTTCACGTTTTTCAGTGAGGGAGAAGCTCTCCTGGACTATACTAGCAAAAAAAATTTTATCAAAATTTCTGATGGTTTCCAGGAACCCGAGCCTTTTTACCGTCTACGACAGCAAAAAAAGGAACATCCGGTACCCGGTCGAAATGCTCTACGTGGCCGAAAATCAACGGGCGACGACCGGCCAACTGGCGCATAAGCAGCAAGCCGAACTCGTCAAAGTAATCCTTGGGGAATGATGGAAATCTGGCGGAAAAACTATAGGAATTCCAGAGTGGTCACTAGAGGGGCTAGGGGGAAAAAACAGCCCCTTAAAGAGCTCTAAAGGTTGTCCCTTGAGGGGTCCCTCCAAGAGCCCTTAAGGTTGCCCTACTCTTAAGTATACAGTCTGTTCAGAATTTGAATAACCTTAAGAATCCTAGAATGGTCCCCATAGGGGGCTCACCATGATTCCCTTCTAGGGACATATTTCCTCCCCCTATAGTGACTACTAACGCTTGAAAAAGTGGCCCCTGTAGGGGTTTTAGTTAGGGAGCCCTATTGAGACAGGCTGGTCGATTAAAAAAGAATCTTAAAATCTTAAAAAAGAAATTTTAAAAACCCTATAAGGACCACTTGAGCGAGCTTAAGGGACAGGTCCTAAATCCCCGTAGGGATCACTTAAATTTCCCCTCTGTAGGAGGCTTTTCTCCCTCTATAGGGACCAATCTGGCGTTACTAAGTACAAATTATTCACCGTTTTTAATTTTGTCTAAATTTTTCTGTATGGAAGTGAAGTTATTGGGCGTCAAAATGATTTTTAGGAATTTAAAATAGCCGTCAGAGAGTGAGAAAGATAACTGACTTATGGAGAGTCAGAGATAATTTTGCTTTTGGCGGAAATTACACGCCATTTTCACTATTTCAGGTTGCCGCGGCTCTTCCGGCTGACCGCCTTGAAAGGACCAGAAAGTTGAAAAATGCGTTGGGTCTAAACTCGCGCGAACCGATGCTCAAAGACGTCGGAATCGTTATTTCCGATCAATTCGAAGAGGTTTTCAATCAAGGTCGACAGATTTTTAATCCATACGGATTTCAGGTCCCTGGTCGTATTCTCGAAGCCCCGGCTCTCGAATACGCCCAGAAAAAGATCGTCCGTGTCGAAGACAACAACGTAAGAAATCGTAGAACATGGAATTCTCCTAATATTCATCTTTCCTCCGAAAATTTTTTTTTTTAAGAACTTTATTCTGAATCAAACGAGACTTATGCGCCTTTAAAGGCACAGGGACGGCAAAAACAAAAGTTCTCTTTTGGTAAAACTTGGTACCTTTCCAGAGCACATGGCGAACGAATGGAACGAGATTCGTTCAGCCTGCGAATCTTCAGAAATGGACGCTCTATGCGATTGAGACCAACTTCAACGTCAAGTCAGTAGTAATTCTATAGGAAAATTGGGGAATTTTAACTCTTAGCGATATCGCTTTTCGGCATCGCGAATGAACCGCTTTTTGCCACGCTAGACTTGCATTTCTCAAGCGCACTCGAAAAAAAAAATGGAAAAGGAAAAAAACGCGATATCGCGCGAGGATTGGTTGCGATTCATTGACGACATCGCGGATGAACAGCTTTTAAGCCGCGCCGGACATTTCTCTCGCGCACTCGAAAAATGAATTTTGAATACTATCAAACGCGATATCGCGCGAGGATTGGTTGCGGTACATTGACGACATCGCGAATGAACCGCGCCATTTCTCTCGCGCCCTTGAAAAACATTCGAAAGTTCTCGAACGCGATATCGCGTGAGAATTGCTTGCGGTACATTGACGACATCGCGAATGAACTGCTTTTAACAGCGCCGTACTCGCATTTCTCGCTCAAAGAAAGTTACCAAAGCGCGATGTCGCGCCGAGAAAATTTCAAGACCGACGCAGAAAAAGAGCTTCAGTTTTTTTTGTCACTGTATCGCCAGCGATATCGCCTTCAGCAACTTTTTTGTTTTTAGTGTAACTTAAAAATCTCCCGATTTTTCTAAAAAGTTTTTCGAAATTTTTTTGAATTCAAAATTTTTCTGATCCTCTATATTAATAGGACAGTTTAAAGATCGTGAAAAAAACATCTCCCGATTTTTCTAAAAAGTTTTCGAAATTTTTTTGAATTCAAAATTTTCTGATCCTCTATATTAATAGGACAGTTTAAAGATCGTGAAAAACAAAAAAAAAATAGCACCATTTTAAAAAAAAATTAGGCGAAATACCTATACATTTTTTTTCCAGCGAATACGTGAAAAGGCTGATTTTCAAAGCGAAGGACAAGGGAATGAACGTGGCCCAGCCGAACATCAAGATGATCTCGCCCTACCGCGGAGGTCTTGCGGGTCTTTTCGATCAGGCGATCAAGGCCGGCAGCACGTTCATCATGTTCATCTCCAACGACAACCTCAACCTCCACAGTAATCCTTTCCCCTCTTTTTGTGACATTTTAGAAGAATGGAATGCTCTGATATTTAGTTTTCAGAAGAAAATGTGGTAAGATGGAAAAAAAAAGTCCTTTGATCCTCTTTAGTTCAACTTTCTTATTAATTTCTGAGGAAAGAGCTAGGAAATTTCGAAAAATTTCAATTTTTTATTTTTCCCATGTTTATTCCCCCCACGTTTTCGTGACTTTTTTGTGACATTTTAGAAATTCGGAATGCTCTGACATTAGGCCTTGTTCAAAGGGATTCCCGTGAAATTCAGGATTTTCTCTGACTCACCAAAATTTTAGTTATCTTTTTCACTCCCTGACAGCTATTCTGAATTTCGCGGAATCACTTTGAACACGACATTAAAGTACAAGAATTGAGGTGATTTTTGGCAAAAAAATATTCGCATAAGTTTTAGGACAGCTATATAATATAACTCGAAAAAATCCCCCCTAAGTGATTGCTCAATGGTTCAAAACCTTGAAAAAAAAAAATCACAAAATTCGCAAAAGATTGAGCTTCTTTTTGCAGATGAAATCAAGCTCTTGGAACAAAAATTCCAAGTCGTGACCCAGGACATCCGCAACTCCAAGGCCAGCCTCACCATCGAAAAGAACCAGGGACAAACCCTCGAGAACGTCCTGAACAAGGTAATCCCGACAAAAATGGACATGAAATGCAAAAGTTTGGTTTAGACCAACAAGAAGCTCGGCGGCCTGAACTACACTCTGGCGCAAGGAAACCCGAAATCAGTGATCGCCTCCCCGGAACGCGTCATTTTGGGCTTCGAAATGAGTCATGCCGCTCCGCACAGCGATGTGGGATCATTTGATAGGCTTTTTGGAAAAAAAACGAGAATTTTGAATAGCGGGTGGAACTTTGAAGTTGTCCTTTTAGATTAAAAAAAAACGTCCGCAAAGCGATAAGAGGTCATTTTTTGGCTTTTTTGTTGAGAAAATCGACTATTTCGTTAGGCTGACCCAAAAACTTTCCGATTAAACTTTAAAAAACAAAAATTGGCGAAAATCCGGATATTTGTGATTATATATTGGCTTTTTCGAGAGAAAATCAATGATTTCGGTAAGCGCGGCTGAAACTGAAGTTGTTTCAATAGAACACAATAATTATAACCTTTATAAGCTGGATCAAAATTTTTAAATTGTCTTTTTAGTGGGAAGCGATAAAATAAGAAAATATCGATGATTTTGATCAGCATTTTTAAATTTCCTTTCACAAAATTGACGGTTTTTTCGGATTTTTTTTTTACATGGACTAGCTCACCATAGTCGCGCGCACAGTGCTATTTTTTTTTTTCACTGTTTTTGGAAAATGGCCGCTGAGTATCCTTGATTTTTCTGTCATATCATTCCGAAACGAAAAACAACCAAGGAAGCAATGTCAGAACTGTCAAATTTTGAAAAATTCAAGCTGAAATATTTTTCAAAAGCGTCCATGAGAAGGTTGAGAAAATCTTTCATTGACTAGGATGATTCTTGAAATTCATTTGGGAAAAGCCGTGGTTTTTCTTCGAAAAAGATCATTGGAAGGGAGAAGAATTGAAGCTAATAGCGAGATTTTTTCACGAAAATACATATTCTTTCCCTTTTTAAGCTCAATTACGACCTTGAATTCACGCTCTTCAACTCATCTGATCAATATTATTCTAACTTTTTTTCTCGACTTTTTCATAAAATAACATTTTCAGCAGCCTTCCGTCTTGGGATGGTCGGCCAATATCGGCGCGGGCTCAACGGAAAAAAATTCGTCGGCGGCTATTACTATATTGACAGGAAGAATGAGGTTTTAACAATAAAAAAAGGAGAAAATTCTGATCTAAATGATATTCCAGACGTTCTGCGCAATGGTTCAGAAGGTGATCCTGGCGGTGGCCAAGAGTCGTTCCGTGAAACCGAAACATTTGATGATCTACATCAACGGCATCGAGCAGGGCTCCTATGCGGCGGTTCCTTTTTCTTCTTCTTTCTAAAAAATTTCCAGCTTTTTGGGAAAAATAATTGAAAAAGATAAAATTTTCAGCTTTTTTGGAGCTATATACTGAAGAAAAACTAAATTGTTTTTTTGTCTTTTTGGGGCAAATTACTTGAAAAAAATCTACGTTTTCCAAGCTTTTTTTGAGTAAACTTAATATTTTTTTCGATTTTTATATTAGATTATTTATTGAAAAAAATTACCGTTGTTGGGATAAACTTTTTAAAAAAATCAACAATTTTTTTGCCTTTTTTTCTTGGAGAAATCATCAAAAAAATCAGGTTTTTTTCGCCGCTTTTTTTCTGGTATAAATTATAGAAAAAAATCATATTTTTTTCGTATTTTTCTGGACATATTATTTAGCAAAGTCATCATTTCGCCCTTTTTTTGGTATCATTTATTAGATAAAACATCCTTTTTTTCGCTTATTTTGTGTGCAAATTTAATGAAAAAAATCGGGTTTTTGCTTTGTTTCTGTTAGAAACTTGTGAAAAAAAGAGACTTTTTTTCGACTTTTTGTGGGAAAAATTATTGAAAAAAATTCATGTTTTTTTCGCTTTTTTTGTACCCTTTTTATCAAAAAAAGCAAAATTCTACATTTTTTTCTCGGGGCCAAATTTATCGTCTTTTTTTGAAATCCTTGTCTCTGGGGATTCAAATCTCTAGTTGATCTCATTTTTTTAAATGTTTTTCATGATTTTTTTGGGATTTTTTTCATACACCAGAAATACAATGGAATCTAAAAAAATTCTCATAAAAAAACAATTAAAACCCAGCGAAACTTCTCCGTTCGAAAATAATGATTTTTTTTTCGCAGATTCTGGACGAAGTGATTCCGGCCCTTCGGAAAGCCTGCGTCGAGGCTCAGTTCCGGCCTCTCATGACGGTCATGGCCGTCAACAAGACCCACAGTGAGAGACTCTTCAAGGAGGTCGGTTTTCGTCTTTTTCCAGGAGGATATACTGAAAAATATGATTTATTTATTAAAAAATGAAAAATTCAGCTTTTAGGCTCGTTTTTCATATTGATACGAGCTCAAACAGACATTTATAAGGGCTGGGAAGGGTCCTGATGTTTTTTGAGAGCGAAAAATGAAGTGATCTCCTATGGAACTGAATTTGCATTTAAAATGAGGAATAAGGTCGAAATTTGAGAATTTACGTGAGATTTTATGCACCTTCTCTTAGAGGCGCTACCGTGAAAAGCAATAAAAATCTCTTTTTAATCATCATTTTTTTCATAAATTCTCACGTTGGCCTTTTTAAGGAGCATAGAAGAGTTTGGAAAAAAAGTATCGAGACGAAGAGTCGTTTTTCAGGGTTATTTTTTTAGGTATTGCAAGGTTTTTTTCGCCTTTTGAAAAAAATCTTAAAAATCTTTTTGAAAGAAATTTTTTTCACATGAATCAAGTGTTCATAGCCAATTAGAAAAATTTTTCTCCTGAAAAAAAGATTTTTGAAGAAAATGAGAATTTGGTCTTTTTCGATTGCTGAGGTACCTCTTGAAAAAGACTGAATTTTTTTCCAAAAATTAACCTTTCCGGTGTTATCTTTGATCATGAGCCTAGGTCTTAATTTTTTAAATTGCTATCGCTGAAAATTTCAGATTTTTCTAGTAAAAATGTTTCCAGTGTTATCTTCGATCATGCGAAATTTTGTTCGCCTTGAAAAACCCTCAGAATTTTTTTGTATGGAAAAAGTTTGAAGAGATTCTTATTTTTTTATCGATATCATTAGAAATTCACGATTTTTCAGAAAATCACCGGCGGTCGAGGCGCTGAACAGAACATCACTCCGGGCACGATCGTCGATAAGAAGATTGTCAACCCCCAGTTGACGGAGTTCTACCTGAGCTCTCAGCTCGCCATCCAGGTGACTTTCCGTCCCTTTTTCCCGAATTTAACCGTTTTTTCAGGGAACCGCCCGTGCGGCCAAGTACACGGTTGTCTACGACGACCACAACATGTCGACTGATGCCATCGAAGTAATTTTTTCTCCTAGCTTCTGAGACTTTTGAAGGAGTTTATGGGTTGTAGAATGAGAAAAGCCTCAAAGTTTTGGAAAAAGCGACTTTTCTTTTTTTTTTTTCCAGATTCCTAGTTCGTTCCCAAGAAGTTGAGTTGTTGATTGGTGAAAAAATGACTTATGAAGTCGGAAAAGTTAGGCCTGATTTTCAGAGTTTTGAAGAAGTTAGTGAGCTGTGGATTGGAAGAAAAATGTCACGAAATTTCGAAACAAAAAAAGGCATTTTTTTCCTTTGATTTTTCAAAAGATAGGAAAATTGATTGAAATAAAAATTCCATCGAGTTTCAATGATTTTTTTCTGATTTTTAAGGGTTTCCAATACTTTTTATGAGTCTTGTATTGAAGAAAATGACCAGAAAGTTAGAAAAAAAGTCATTTTTTTCATGAATTTTCAAAAAGTTTATGGATTGTAGGTTGGAAGAAAAAAACCGTAAACTTCTAAAAAAATAATTTTTTTACAGATTTTTTTGAGAGTTTAAAAAAAGGTTTTTCTGAAATTTTTTTGCTCATTAATAATATTCTAACTTGATTTTAGATGAATCCTCTTTTTTCCCTGCGGAAATTTTTCATAGAAAGATAAGTGCTCTATAGTGGACACTTTAGGAGTTAATTTTGATGCTCTGGAACCATTTTGTAATCATAAACGGGTGACGCGTGCGGAGCATTTGGGTGGACGTTCGAAAAAGTCCTAAAACCCCTTGAGTGGCCACTAAACTACATTTATGATTTTTATGTTTTTTTCAAGTGTTGAGGTAGAATTCACTCTAAGTACCGGTTGGTATAACCCTTATAGAAATTGAAATTTCATGAGATGAAAAACGAAAAAAAGTAAGATTTTGATTTGAAGGGAGTGACGCACGCGTTGGCTTTCTTATACGGGGTGGTGAGTTCTGCGATATCGCTTCCGGCGCCGCTCTACATGGCCGGAAACTACTCGAAACGAGGCCATAACAACTATATCGCCGCCAAGTCAGTTCTTCTCTTCATTTGTTAGAAAAATTTGTGAATAATTTAGCTAGTTTCAAATCTAGAATCAGGCACCAAAACCTCGGATTTTTTTACTGTGTTAAATTTGATACTGTTTCTTTAAAAATTCTGATTCTTTCGATTAATTAAGGAAATTGAGTCCGAATTTTTTTCTACGTTATTACTTACAATTTTCTGTAGAAAACTGCCTTTGCTACTGTATCTTTACCGTAATTTTCACCTACAGTAACCGGAAAAATGATTGATTCAACAAATTTATTATTTCTGCGAACTTTTCACCTACAGTAATCCAGTGATTTACTACTTCCGCTCGTTTTTTTCTTATTTTTCGGTCAAAAAAATTATTATTTCTGCGGACTTTTTAACTTACAGTAACCCATAAATGTTAAAAACTTCACATTCGATCGTTTTATTTGTATTTTTCTCGATCAAAATCATTTTTAATGTCGTCAAAATATTATTACTGCAGAAGTAATGACGGACTTTCCACCTACAGTAAACCAAAAATGTTAAAAAATTAACTTTCGCTCGTTTATTGTTTTTTTTCCGGTCAAAGACAATTGTTCTCGTCGAAATATTATTCCTGCGGATTTTTCACCTAAAGTAACCCAAAAATGTTATAAATTGAACATCCGCTCATTTTTCGGTTAAAATATTATTTCTGCGGACTGAATGACGGACTTTCCTCCTACAGTAACCCAAAAAAATATTGAAAATTCAGCTTCCGCTCGTTTATTGTTTTTTTTTCAGAAAAACAATATTTCTTGTCAAAAATATTATATCTGCGAACTTAATTACGGACTTATCTCCTACAGTAATCCAAAAATTTTATAAATATAGCTTTCGCTTGTTTTTTTCTTTTTTTTTTCTCATCGAAATATTATTTTTTCAGACTGAACGACAACCGCACGGTTTCTTCGGACGGAGACCATCCTTTCGTTCTCGAGGACTTGAACAACACGCTCACCTACACTGGAAAGACCCTCGAATACGTTCGCTACAACGCCTAATTCCATCGTTTTCTTTTTCTACTGCCCGTGGCCTTTCTACTCGCCTTTTTGTTCATGTTTCTTTTGTAAAAAAAAGAGTTTATTTTGTGTTTTTGTTACTTTTCTCACGCTGGTTCGTTTTTTGTCCATTTTGCCATGCATTTGCCAAATTTTGCAGGAAACTTCATCCCAATGTTTCCAAAAAAAACTCCTCGGCCGAGCTTGTACAATACTGTATATTTCTTCTTGGAAAGAATAAATCTCATGCCGAATTCTATTGTTATCTCATTGTTTCTTCAAAAAACATGTATATGCCTAACTTTTGAGAAAATCTTTAGAGGCTTCTATAGGGTTTTTTTTAGTGGCCACTTTAGAGTGCTCTCCAGGAAGTCCTTGGGGAACCTCTTAAGTGGCCACTAGGTTTTCTCCAGTATGCCGAACTTCTGTGATAACCTTTAGTGGCCACTAAAGGGCTTTGACCTCTTAGAAGTCTAATTGACATAACGAAACCGCAGAAACTACTATAGATTCCAGTAAGAGGCCTCTTTAGTAGTCCTTGAGCAACCACTTAACAGTTTTTCACAGTGCTTTGGTGTGCCTGAGTGGCCCCTAGAGGGGTTAAAATACTTTATGGGGTGAAATTTAGATGGTTCCCATAGGGCTTCACCCTTCAAGTGGTCCGCAAAGGGTTCTTGATGGTCTTGAAGCCTGTCCCATCCAAATGGCCTTTACAGGGGTCTTTTCAGATTTTGAAATAATCAAAGTTTTTCGCATGAAAATGCTTCTTCGCATAGAGATCTTAACAAAAACGACATGCAGGCTTCCCTATAGGGGCCACTTAGAAAGCTTCAGTGGCGCCTATAGGGGGAGCTAAAGTGGGCCCTCCAGGGACCACTCTGGCATTTCTTAGTGCGCTTGGAACCTTGATTATTCTCAAGAGGGAAATCATTACCTTTCAGCAAAAATCGTTATTTTCCAAACTTTATTGTTTAAAAAATCACATTCTGTAAAGCTTGTGATGACTTGCCTAGGTGCGCTTAATTTAAGCGAAACATTACTTGTAAAAAATGAAATTTGCAAGTTGAAAGACGAACGGAAGTTTCCTTTCAACAACAAACAAAGAAAAGGTGCTATCAAAAAGAAAAAAAAAAACAACAAAAAGAAATTGGAGGAGGTAGCAGGTTGTATAGGTGAAAAAAGGATTGATTTCTGACTGAGCCATGAAAAATCGGAAGGATTCGAACTCGCGACCTTTTGCTTGGCAATCTGAAACTCTACCGAGTGAGCCAAGAGATCCGTGGCTCCACCGGTAAGAGCTCGGCGTGACAATCTCACGTCGCAGGTTCGATTCCCCCGGGAGGAAAACAATTTTTGCCATTTCGAGGTAGGGCTAATGAACTACTAGCGAATAACTTTTTCTCTTAATTATGATCAATTAAGAGGAGGTAGGGACAGAGAGATCTACGTTACAGTTTTCATATTTTCCGAGGTGATTGCGGTCAATTTGAATTAAATATCAACAAAAAATTCACATAAAAAACAAATGAATGGTTACATATGGGTCTTGAAGTGAATAGTTTTGGAAAAGCGAATGAAAGAGCCAAGAAGGGACGTTTCTAAAGTCCGGCCGGTTGTTTTCTCGCAGAATTTTATGTAGAAACGATTTTTGGAGTCAAAATTTCAAGATCCAGACCGATAAAGATGAAAATTTCGGCTCAAATATTGATTGAAATCTCAAAAAAAAAAGCTAAAACAAACGGTCGTAAAATAGATTTGTCCGTGAGAAAAAGAACCAACAAACAAGAAAAATCAAGGCTTGTTTGAATTTAAAATGGCCAAAGCTAAACCATAACCGGTCGTGAAATAAAAGCGTACGGGCCAAAAAAGAGCGAAAAAACGAACATTCAAGGTTTTCTGGAATAAAAGGTGGTCAGGGCACAACTGTGAAAAGCCAATTTACAACCGGTCGTGAAATAAAATCGTCCGCTCAAAAAAACAAGGGATTTAAAGGCCTGTTCAAACCGAGGATTGTCAGAGCGAAACTTGAAAATAGCTAAACCACAACCGGTCGTGAAATAAAATCGTCCGCTCAAAAAAACAAGGGATTTAAAGGCCTGTTCAAACCGAGGATTGTCAGAGCGAAACTTGAAAATAGCTAAACCACAACCGGTCGTGAAATAAAAACGTCCGGCCTAAAAAAAGAGCAAAAAAGGAAAAATCAAGGTTTATTGGGTTCGACGGTGGTCAGGACGCTTATATTTCACGACCGGTACGAGAAAAGACGGAAAAAATGGAATCAAAGGTTTTTGGGAATCTACAGTGGTAAGGACACAACATGAAAAAGCTGATAATGAACCGATCGTGATTTAAAAGCGTCCGCTAAAAAACGGGTAGTTCAAGGCTTGTTCAAATCGACGGTGATCAGGACGCTTATATTTCACGACCGGTACGAGAAAAGACGGAAAAAATGGAATCAAAGGATTTTGAAAATCTACAGTAGTAAGGACGCAACATGAAAAAGCTGTTATAAAACCGAACGTGATTTAAAAGCGTCCGTCAAAAATTTCAAGGTTTGTTGGGATCGACGGCGCTCAAAGCGCAACATCTGAGGTCGCGGACGAGGTGGAAGTCGTGGGCGCCGCACGCCGAACACGTCAACGGCTCGTTGATCGACGCATAGTTGCCCTGCAGACGAGGTTACGGTAGCATACGGTAATCGAGCGGGTACTGTAGATTACCATAGTACCCACATTGGTGAGTTGCTGAGTGAGCTGGTCGCGGACCAACAGCGGCGATTTGCATTTCTTGCAGGAGGGTGGGCAGCAACGGCCGGCGGATACTGTAATCGTTACGGTAGTTTTTTTCGGTTCAGAGTTTGATTCGCAGAGGGAATGGCTTTGAAAATTTTTTTAGTAGATTTGAAAAAAATTTCTTGAATCAGCTGATTTTTGACGCACAGGGTCACGGCAAATTATAATCTCGAAACTTCCCTAGGAATTCTAGAGTGGTCCCTATAGGGGTTAGGGGAGCAAAGAGCTCCTAAAGGGGCCGAAAAGTGCTCCCTGTAGGGGTTCAGGGTATGACATCATAGCCCCAAAGCTCAAGTGGTCTTTATAGGGGTAAAACTAAGGTGATCCCTCTAGGGATGTACGGTCTGACCCCTTAGCCCCTAAAGCTCAAGTGGTCCCTAGAGGGGTCTTTCAACTTCATTCAAAAAAGCTTAATTTTTTTCGCATAGAGTTTATAACAATTTTCGACCAGCATGTCCACTTTAGGGGCCTCTTTGCAAGCGTTAGTGGTCCCTATAGGGGTTTAGCGTCTGACTTCCCCACCCCTGTAGGGGTTGGTAAAGTGGTCACTAGAGGGGACCCTCCAAGAGCCCCAAAGATTGCCCCTATAGGGACCACTCTGGAGTTCCTAAGTCGGTCACAACAGGAATGATAATTTTCTTGATTTTCGATATATGAACCTGAAATTCCGAACGTATGACTTTAGTAGTTAGAGGACTATAAATATCCTAAAAAATTCGTAAAATGTGGCTATTTTCGAAATTTAATCATAAAAACTGGAATTTTCAGTAGAAAATTGTTCCTAATTTCTATCCAAGAACCATTTATTCTGGAATTTCGTCAGCTTGGAAGTCACATTTTAATTTTTCAAGTGAAAACTTAAGGGAAATAGTTTACACAGGACTAGTTTGACAGTAAAAAAATAAATTATCACGCTAATATTTGAATTTTAGTTCCAAAAGCCTGTAAAATCCTGAAATAAGAAGGAAAAACCAACAAATATCGTAATAGTAGAGGGTACCGAGGATGATGGCGCGACCAGCAAACCAATTTCCTGAGAAAAATATCATGATAATCATGAAGAATAGTCCAAAGACCTTGTCCGCAGGTCCGACAGAACCAATCCGACCAGAGGCATTTCACGCATAATTGTTGCAGAAAGAACTTCCGGCCGTCCAGAAACACCTTCAAAACATTCCTATGATAACCAAGAAGTTTCAGTCTGATTTTTTGAAATCTAAAATCACAAAGTATCTCAAAAAAATTGTATTCTGAAAGTTAGAAGAAAAAAATATGAAATAGTGCCAAATTTTAATCGTCGCCGACATAATTTCGAGAAAATCTTGAATTATTTACATTACTGAGGTAAATTCAGATATAAGGAATTTATTTTTTTCTAAAAGATCTTCCGAAAAAAATTCTCGAGTTACTGTAAATGAACTTTCCTTTCAAAACGTTTATGAAATTATCCCATTCTCCTTTAAAATTTACAGCGAGGAACTTTGAGCAGACATTTTTTTTATTTTTACCCCTAGAAATGACAAAGTGGTCCCTATAGTGCTAGGGGAAAAACAGCCCCTGCAAGGGGCAAAAAATGCTCCCCAGAGGGCTACAATTTAGGTGGTCCCTTAAGGGATTAGGGGTCTGACCTAGGTATATATAGTCTGTTCAGATTTTGAATTTCAAGTCGTCGCTCAAGCTCCGCCCCTAATGGTGCGATAAACCAATCAGAGAGCGAGCCATCCACAGAGCATTTTCGAATGACGTCATTCTACTTGATATTCAAAATCTGAACGGACTATACATAATCGTGTTTTTTTTTTAAAACAAACTTCAAACTTCATTGATTTTTTTTTCTAGAAAGTTTGAAAAAATCAGAAATTTTCAAGCACTTGTGGAGCCGTAAAAATGAGCAATTCTTTAAAAACAAACCTCCGTCTTGGCGCCATATTGAGAAACGGAGGAAAGGTAGAAAACGCCGTCGAGCAGTGGATATTTGTCGTAAACCTTAAAATGGATTATATTATTCGAATATATATCAAAATTAAATCCTGAGAAAAAAATTCGTAAAAACATTAAGTTGGTCCTGAAGTGATCAACTGTATAGTATAAGTCGGACTTGAAAAAAAAAAATAATAATTTCGAAAAATTCCAGAAAACCGAAAACCTTTAATTATTTTCAAAAATATATACCTAAATTTGAAAATTTTCATAATCTTTAGCTTTCAGGCCAATTGAGAATGGCTCAAAGCGTCGCGGATGCGCAGCGGTTCAACTTGAAATCGCAAAGAAACCTCAGATTTCTAGATTTTTTTCCACGGGCTCAGAAATAGCCGCTTCGCAACCGCTACGCATCGAGCCATTCTCCTTGCGACCGAAATATTCAATTATTTAACAAACGAACCTTCATATCTGCGTAGCAGCAAACGCAAGGCACCGATCTCAAATTATTGGCACCCAAAGTTTTCAACAAACAAAGCCGAATGTCATCTCCGCCCTGTGGACAATCGTCTTCCATCTGGAAAAAATATTCAATTTCATATCCAAGGAGAAAATTAAGTCCTCCATTCAAATTAAAATTAAGAATAAAAAAAGATCAAATTACGAAAGAAATTTTGAAAAAAATGTGAAAAACGGGAGTATTCGAATGAAACCAAAAATTAGTCTCTTTTTGAAAATTATTTTATAGGTAACCTTTATATGAATCCCATTAAATTTGGACTTTGGCACAACCGATAGCAAATTATCGTAGTTGGTTCTCCGTGTGAACACACTTCCATTGATTCGAACCTTCAAAAAGAAAAAAACTTATTATTATTATTTTTAATTTTTGATTACCTGCTCGTCTTCGAAAAAAACAGTGGCGGTCAACATTGTTCCGTAAAACCTGAAAAAGAAGATACCATAGAGAAAATAAAGAAAAAAACATTAGAGAAGCATAAGTGCTGAAAAATCAAAATTCCCCTGAAGTGTCCTTCAAAATAGATAAACCGCGCCGCATTTGCAAAATGAGGCGTGCACACCCTGCTTTTTCAAATTTTAACGAGAAAATTCCGCGAATGGGCATTAATAGGCGGAAGAAATGCATTGTTCGAATTTGAAGTCCTTCAATCAATACCTCTTGATCGATGCAGCACCTGAGCTCTAGACTTGGCCCGACGTCGCGCTTGGGCCAACGCTTTTCGGATCCTTTGCCCGAGCCCACCGTTCCTGACCGCTTCCGGAACTCGTCCGAATCTGCAAATTGGAGTTTATTTCCCACTTTAAGAGATTATTTTTATCATACATTGATCGCGGACGTCACAATGAGTCACTAGATAAGGTACAAAATATTTTTGAGCAATCGAAAATATATAGTTTTTCTTTGTAAAGTGGAAAAAAAAGACTGACTGAATCAAAATTTTGAAACAAAAATTGAAGATTATGTAGACCAAGTCGGGGAAAAAAAGACCAAAGAATTTTCAAGAAAATTGGAAAGTTTTTCTATTCAACCATCCAAGAAAAAAAGTCTGATTTTTTTAAAAAAATCTTTGAAAAAAATTTATTTCATGTTTTTTTGGAGATTTATGAGCTTTTAATGATTTTAATCGTTTTCGGAAGTTTCACTGCAAGTTCAGAGAACAGGAGCCTTCTCAAGGAAGGTCAAGTTACTTTTTGGCTGGGAATTCCCTGAAAATTGGTCAGAACAGTCTTTGATGTACCAGATGAAGATCCTGAAAGTCTCAACCTGCACAACTTCCTATTTTTTGAGAAATAAGGGCCTAAAGTGGCCTATTTTAATGGATTTTGAGGCGTCTTTTCTCAAAAACGAGAAATTTGTGCAGGTTGAGACTTTCAGGATTTTTTTCTGGTACATCAAGGAGCGTTTTGGCCAATTTTCAGGTAAAATGCAAAGTAAAATGACCTCCCTTTTAAGTTCCTTTTTCGCAGCTTCAATCTTCTTCCGAAAGGTTTCAAAACCAAATCAATAAAATCATGAACGTTCCCAGTCCAAAAAGTAGTAGTCCCCTCTTTCAAAAAAAAGCCCTCAATTTAGCTTGGGCGTCGACAATTCCAGTCGGAACGAGTGGCGCGACGCCAAAACAACCGTCTCTGCGGTCGTCCGCATCGCCTCAGCTAACACTCTTTTTTTTTTTGCTTGCTTGGGTGTTCCCTTTGGAAAAACATTTCATATCGGAGTACGAGGCGGCTGATGTCAGAGGCTTGAAGCGAGTTTCGAAAAAAAAACTTCAAAAATTGAGGATTTTAAGAAAGGATTTGGTGTCATTCAAACGGAAAAATTGAGGTTTTTAGGGAAATTTTTTGTTCGTGAAGTTAACTTTCAGATAGGAAACGTACTGAAGACTTTTTCAAACCTTTAAAAACAGTAAAAAAAAATTTTCACAGTTCAAAAATGACCGAAAATTGTCGAATTTTTGGTTTCCGTTCTCCTTTTTCTAATGAATTTTTTTCAAAATTTAAGAATAGGTATATTTTTTTAAAAAAATTTTTTTGTATTATTTTTTTATATTTTGATATTATTTTTTTGTAATATTTTCGAATTTCCCAGGAGCTTCTGAGATTCTTCTACTCATTTGAAAAGAACAAAATTTGAAGTTTAGCCTTTTTTTAAATCACACCTCCTGGAAGTACTTCTCTACCAGTAATGCATATAAAGTTTTTTTAAGTTATAAAAGTTTTTCTCAACTTCCCTACCAAAAATTCCACCCTTCAAAACGTAACTTATCGTCCTCCAACTGGTACAATTCCCCTACCAAAAAACTTGGTCAGTATGTCAATCGAAAAAAAAAATCGGCTCTTGATTTCACTTGACCCAAACCACGGAGGAACAAGAAATAAGTGGGCGGAGCGTTCCCACGCTGCGCAGAAAAAAATCCGTTCCTTTAACATGAGCAATGTGAGCACAAATAATAAATCAAGCGGCTCGAAAGCTCGTAACAACGAAGATCGTTAAGGAAAGTCGTGGAGGTTGAAAAATTGCGGTTTCCTCGTAGAAAATTTATTTTTCAGAGAAAAATGACTGTCTAGAGAAACTATATAGTCTGTTCAGATTTTGAATGTCAACTCGTCGCTCAAGCTCCGCCCCCTAATGGCGGGATTAACCAATCAGAGAGCGAGCCATCCACAGAGCGTTTTTCAAATGACGTCATTCTACTTGAAATTCAAAATCTGAACAGACTATGGAAGTTGGGACGCCATTAAAAATTTTTGAACAAAAAATCTAGAAGCCAAAAAAATACCTTGCTCTTGAAATCCTTCAAAGCTTCTTCTACTTACAAACTTAAAAAAATTTTAAAAAAACTTGATTAAACGACCTTTGAAATAAACACAAATCAGAAAAAGCTTCCGTAAGGCTGATTTACGCTGAAAAAAAGAGATTTTTTTCAACAAAAAAAGTGAATAATTTGTTCTGGATTTATTCTCTCATTTTTTTGGATCATCAAGTTGAAATTACCATTTTTCATATGAAGAAAAAAAGCTCATCTTCAAGATAAATTTTTCAATGTTTTAAAAATATTAATAAAGTTTCTTCTGAAGGGATCTGGAAGACCGGTCGACTTATTTTCGAATTTTCTCATTTCCTGAGGTCATTTTACTGCTGAGGTGGGATTTTTCTGGAAATTTGCCAGAGTACTTCTTGATGTCCCAGAAGAAGATTCTGAAAATCTCAACCTGCCAAAATTTTTAGTTTCTGAGAAAAAACACCTCAAAGTCGAAAAAATTCTAAAAATCCGTTGAAGTTGGTTGTTTTTAAACCCTTATTTCTCAAAAACTAGGAAGTTATACGGTTTGAAAATTTCAGGATCCTTTTCTGGTACATCAAAAAGGGTTCTGGCAAAATTTCAAGAAGTTCCCGAGCCCAAAGTGAAATTACCTCCCTTGTAAAGTGAAAAAAAAATTTTTTTATTTTTCTAACTGTTTTCTAACTGTAGATGACTTTCTTGGCGCAAAATTTTCAGCTGAATCTGTACAGCCTGTAAACATTCATGCTTCATGACATTAATCCTGAGTCACTTCAGCCCCCTCCGCCGCTTTTTTTCAGTTCCGGACGCAAAAGAAAGGGGGGTTTCCCCCAGGCGTTCCGACGCTCTTTCAAAATCCCGTGCATGGCGGTGACGAAAAACAAGTTGCGAGGAGGGTCCCCGCCACACGAGGGCACGAGAGACAAAACAACGGCGCTCCATCGCACCGACGACACACCCGCAAAACAACCGCCGCGAGGGCGAGTCTAAAGAACGGTTTCGCTCCACATTTTCATACTATTTGTCTTTTAATAGGTACTTTGGACCGAATTTCGCAACTTTTGACAAAATATACCCTATGAAAATTTTTCTCAGGAATCTTAGAGTGGCCCCTATAGTTAAAGGCATAGGGGCAGTAAAAAACGGTGTTTCAGTTCAAAGCAGTATCTTATATAGTTTTTTTTTGCGAATCGAACGATGAACTTGGAAATGTACCTTTACCTAGGGACCGCAGACCAATTTTCGAAAATTTTTTTTCAGCATTGAGCTTTGCATGGTTTTGATAGCTGTTTCGATTCGAAACTCAGAACCGTTTAGTTTTTTTCGGAAAAGAATGAGGATGAAAAAGTTATGACGAAAAAAATGTGGCGCGCCGCGCACCATTTTTTTAGTACTGAAATTTTGGTGTTATCCATTTTAGACATTTTTTTCTCGATTTTTTTCTTTTTAGAACAAGTTTTTGATACTGGTCTATTATGATGTAAGAAATGTAAGAAATCATAATAGAGCTCTATAATGATGAAAAATTAGCTAGTTTGCCGAAAAAAAGTCGGTATTTTTCCAGAAAAACAAAAAAAACTGACGCTTGCGGGTATCGAACTCGCGACCTCAAAATGAAAAAAATCGCAGCGCACGCGCTGCGCCAGTTGTTAGGTCTGGCGAGGGGAACTTCCATCCGCCATAGCCTTGAGCCGTTTGAATAGCACAGATTGCCTATTTCAAAAAAATAAAAAAATTTGAAGTAATTCAGCTATTTTTTTATCAGAATATGTTCGCAAATCTTTACTCAAATTTTTCCGTGGAAATTCACTTCGAAAAAAACTGTTTTTTTCAGTGCTTTTTGCCTCGTTTAACGATCACTGCATTAAAACGGCCCCGTAAATTTTTTTGGCAAAGACGAATTTTTTTATTTTTATTCTTTTTAATTGAAAGATTTTTTTACTAATAAATGTATATAATCGTTTGAAAAAAACCTGCGTTCGACCGCTTTCTGTGTGATAAACGCCGCTAATTTTATTCTCTATTTTCAAGTGCATTTTTGCGTATTAAACAACTTTTTCCAGCACATATGCTGTGGAGAAAAAAATTTAAGTAAGCCTATGGTCTAACTTTTTTGAAAAAAACAAAAAAACTCGATTATATTCGCTTATTAACGATATTTTTGAATTATGACTTTCGGCACTCCCTAAAAATTTTTTTGGCAAAGACGAATTTTTTTATTTTATTGTTTTAAAATTACCGTTACTTGAATCAAAAATCATTATATAAAAAAAGAAAGAGTGCGTTCGACCTGAAAACACAAAAAAAAGCAAAAAAATGACAAAAATTTTTTTAGTTCCATTCACGTTTTTTTGTACGACATTCCGCGAGAACGCATTAAAAAAAGCGTGAAATATTTTTTAAACGAAAGAGGAAGCTTTTCTGTACATGTGTGTCAAATTTTATTCGCCAGTTCCACATATTTTACAACTACAACAAAATGAAACTTGAAAACCAAAAAAAAGCCACTTTTTCTATCGCGAAAAGGGGCGTGGCTTTGCGGTCCCTACCTTTACCAAGTAGTCCCAGAGGAACCTCTTGAGTGGCCTTTGGAGTTCTTCCCAGTAGGACTGTTTTGGACAGAAATATGGCTAGAAAACGTATCGAAATTGAAAAAAATGATCAAAATTTCATACCAAAACTTTCGGCTTTTAAAGAAATTTCAAAAGAAAACTGGAAAGTACTTTGAAAAACTGATAAGTCAAGAAAATTTGCTGTTTTTAAAAAAATACCCAAAAATATCAGCTAACATGAGCAATACCCCTGTCATTCTTTGCCCTCTTCGAAAACATGGATTAGCAGTAGAATCGACTAGAAAATCATCTGGTGGGATGGAAAACAGAAAGTGCAAAAAAGGAGAGACAGTGCGCGGAAACAAGAGGTCACAGAGAGGCGGAGAAACAACAAAAGGGCAGGGTTACGGTATCGTTCGGGGGGAAATATTTTCATGGAAAAGTGCAGTCGAGCACGCTTTCACGTGAAGTTTTTGTGGCTTTTCCGAAAAAGGTTGGGGATTCTCGGAACTACATATTACAGGATGAATTGAGGAGCGGGTTCGGGTAAAAAATCTACCGAAAATTCTTTTTGTGGGGTAAAAAAAATTCTTTATTTTCAGATATGTTTCGAAAGAGTTGAAGGAAGCTCATTTTCAAAAAATCGCGAAAGTCCTAGATTTTTAAAAGGAAAAATTGGATTTTCCGATGTTTAAGCTGGAAAAAAAGATTTAAGAGGCCTAGCAGAAAGTAAAATTTTAAAAGATATCCCATTTTTTTCGTCAGAAAAAAAATTATTAGAAGAATTTTTGGCAGTCAAAAAAATCGATAAATGTCCCATTTGCAGAAAGAAAAAAAGCGGTAAATTTTTTTCAAGGATGCCACATTTTCTAATTTTTTCTAGGTCTACTGGAAGTCTTCAAAAAAAAAATCTAGAATTCCAGCTAAAAGAAGAATAAATTGGAAATTCCAGAGTGGTCCCTATAGGGAAATTCCAGAGTGGTCCCTATATCTTCCAACTTCATTCAAAAATGCTTATTTATTCAGTTTTTCCCATGGAAATGCTTTTTCGCTTAGAGTTCGTAACAAGCATGTCCCCTATAGGGACCACTTTTGCAAGCTTTAGTGGCCCCTATAGGGGTTCATAAAGTGGTCACTAGAGGGGGGCCCTCCAAAATCTTCGAAGGTTGCCCTATAGGGACCCTTCTGGAATTCCTAAGAAGGTCATAAAACATAAAAGCGCAGAGGGTCGAATAAGTGGTTTCTATAGAGGTTTAGGGTCTGACTCCTTAGCCTCTAAAGCTCAGGTGGTCACTATAGGGGTTTTTCAGATTCATTCAAAAACACCAAATTTATTTAGTTTTTCGCATGGAAATGTTTCCTCGCACAGAGTTTATAACAATCATCAACCAGAATGACCCCTATAGGGATCACTTTTGCAGGCTTTAGTGGCCCCTATAGGGGTTGATAAAGTGGTCGCTAGAGGGAACCTAAGGTTGCCCCTATAGGGACCACTCTGGAGTTCCTAAGAAGGATAACTCTGTCAATCAGGAAAAAAACAGACCGCAAGACTTTTTGCGATCGTTCCGCTGGTCTCTCTGGAACATGAAGCCGGCGCTGAGTTGCGGCGGCGGACATTCGGTTAACATCATCTTGGAAGGTCCTCGTGGGGGGCCACCGTGGGCTGGCCGGCGGTACAGCTTATCTGAAAGTTTGTTATAGTCAATCCTCGGCGATTTGAAAGGAGGGGGGTGAATGAAAAAAACACAGAAGGGGGGTTACGCGTTGCGTACGCGACGCGGCTTTTTGGCGGGAAGTCGGAGGTCAGACAGGAGCCCCATTTTTGAAACTTTTTCTTTTTTTTTGACGGCTTTTTCCATGTTTTTTTATGGCTTTGAAAAAAATGAAAAAAATCTTATTTTTCAATAAAAATTATCAAAAAGAAGCGAATTTTTCAGCCATTAGAGCACGGAAAAAAACTGCCAAAAAAGGCTTTTTTTTTTCAAAATTCAATTTTTTTTGAATTTTCTTCCAGAATTTTGAAAAGAAAAAAACCAGAAAAAAAGCCGCCTAATTTTTCACAAAGAGAGAAGAAACATTCTGAAAAAAATTTTAGCAATTGTAAAAAAATAATTAAATGTAACATTTCTGTGACATACTGGGGATTTACCAACGAGCTTCGAAAAAGATTTTTTTTTTTTTTTTCATAAATTTCAAGCACAAACCAAAAGACGAAGTCATCAAGCAGGCAGAAAATGACGAAGAAAAATCCAAAAAAACCTTGGAAAACAGTTTTTCAAAGTTCAAAAATCCCGTGAACCATTTTCCCAAACAGATCAAATTATCCAGTTTTTTTCTGGAACGGAATCGCGATGCTAATGGAACATAGTACTCTCGAAAAAAACTGAAAGAAATTCCGACACGTTTTAAATTCGAGAAAAAGAATTTTTGGATCGGACAGCTTTATGAATAAGCTAACCATAAGCGTTGCCAGAAATCCTCGATTTTCAAAAAGATTAGTCAATTCAGCGAATTTTCTAGGATGGAATTGGGAAATTACATTTTACCAGAAGATTTGGATTTTTTTTTCCGAAAATACTTGCATTACGGGCCGAAAATATTTTTTTCCTAGTCTTTAGGGATTTTTTTCAAGTTGAAACGCCTTGAAATCCATATTTTCTTGAGGAAATATAGTTTTTTGAAGTTTTCAGGGTACCTTAAAAGGGCTTGGAAACGAAAAAGCGTATAAAAATTCATAGTTAGAATCAAAATTCTTGAAAAAATTCTTAAAAATTCGCTTCATGAGGTCTCGGCACGATTGAAAAAATAGCGTATGAAAATAGGAGGTTTAGACATTTTCCTCTCAATATAGCAATAAATGAAGCATTTGAAAACGTTTCACCAGGCTTTCAGCCTCATTTTTATGTTCCTCCTATATTGGTGGCTTGTGAAACTATCCCAGTTTTCCAAGTGGTCACTTAAGGGCCGCTAAAACCCCTTAAGTGACCACTTAAAATCTCAAAACCCTTTGAACCTTCATAAAAGCATTATTTAGTTAAAACACGAGCCACGAGAAAAATCAAGAAATCAAAAAAAATGACGAAAATCAAGCTATCGCCGTATGGGAACGCTGAAAACTGAACAAAGAATGAAAGGGGCGGAGCCTGGCGGCAGACAAGCCACGCCCCCTTCCACTTGCATCCATTCCAACGATTCCGTTCCTTGTTTTTCGACTTTCCGGTTCCTGGCACCTGTGAATAGCGTGAAATCGTGTTACTTGGAAGTTGAAAAACCAGGAAAATCTTATCAAAACACAATTTGAAGTTCCGGGAAAACGGCTTGAAAAAGGTTGGAAAAAGACCGATTTTCGACAATTTTACGGCTTCCATTTTTGGAAAATCACTGCTTAAAACTACAAGCTTTCCTTTTTCAAACTTTTGAATAAATAACGAAAATTCATTCCTTGAAAAAAGTTCATTTACAAAGTTTCGGCCGAGATACGTTTCAAGAAATAAATATTATAGGTGGAAGTTCAAAGTTTTCAATCTACCAAGTTGAAATTCACAACTGATAATTTGATGGAGTGGCTCCTAAGGGCTCACTAAAGGGGTTAAAAGAGAAAAATCCCTATAGTAGACGAAATAGTGTTTTTTATAGAAGTTTAGGGTCTGACCTTGAAGCTCAAGTGGTCCCTAAAGTAATTTTTGGCATTTTTTTTTTTGATTCAAAAGTAAGAAGTCTATTAGGAATCACTATTATGCTCCCCCTAGAGTGGCCACTTTTTAAAAAGGGAATGTGGTCCCTTGAGGGGAGCCTACAAAAGTCCCTAAGCTTGCTCCTCTAGTGACCACTCTGGCGTTTCGAATTTCGCGGTTTTCAAAAGATTCTGATCGCTTAAGTGATCACTTAAGGGGTCTCAGCGCCTCTCAAGGGGCTCCTAAAAAAACTATATGATCAACACAGCATTGAAGCTGAAAATCATATTTTTCTGAACGTATAAACCTCTTATTTTCACACACTATTTCTATAATCACTTCAAGACCTTTCTTAAATAACGTCTCGAACCAGCGATGCATGAAAATGTTTGAATTTTCCAAAATTTTTGTCTGCTGGAAAACTTTCACACAACCTCTTTTTCCACATTATCACGCTTGGATGAGCTAAAACTCTTTATTTCAATATTAATTATTCCTCAAATGTGCTCATAAAAGCACAAAAATATCACTGCTAACCAGATTCAAAGTTCAGTCCCAACGGCGTTTTTGCCCTTTTATTTTCCGAACAGCGTCAAGGTCTACAAATAGAAAAGAATATTGCTCTGATTCCAAAAATTCCGAGAGCTTTTAGGCTTTTCGCTGACGATATTGTCTCCTTCACTTCCTGGAATAAAATTCGGAATTGGAAGACAAAAATGCCTTTTTTTTGCCCCGAGAAAGGACTTGTAAGCGAGAGAAAATTTAAATTATTCAATAAAAGTTGAGAAAAAGTTCGCTCTATTGATAGTTTCATTCAGAAAGTTTATTTTTTACCGTCTAAAAAAGCAAAAATTTTCTGAAATCGCGAATTATGTGCTAAAAAATTTTGATTTTATCAGAACTGAGCTTAAAATGACTTTGCAAACTCAAAAAATAGAAAAAAAAGCCAGATTTGAATGAAGAAAAGAAACACAAGGTGGAAAAATAGCCGGATGTCGTGCGAAGCTCTTGTTATTTCGAAGCAACCGTTTGTTGGGAAATGTCACGAAACTCATAAAACACAACATTCAATGTGTCTATGAAAAATGGAAAAGCAGACAAGGTGTAAAAAAGTTTTTTCACGAGGTCTTGATTTCTGAAAAGTTTTCGTAAAATTAAATTCAAAAACATCAAACCTTTTTAAAGACTTTCTTTTTTTTCTTGAATATTGATTAAAATATTTTCTTCAATTTTAAATAGAGCAAGTAATAGAGGTAAAAACGTTTCTCACAAACTTTGAAAATCGTCTCTTTATGAACTTTGACAATAATTAAATTAATATTTAAAACGAAGAAAAAAGAATGTCTCGAATAATCCCGACTAACGAGTAAATTAAATCCAGCCAACCTTTTTAGTAATCCTCTCTAATCTTTTCCATAAACCAGAAAAAAAGAAAGAAAAAAAGCTTTTTAACTTACCACGCAGTTCATTTCGCGACTGTCCAGTACGATCTGCGGACCCGCGCCACCAGCTGCTTCCGTGGCGCAATAGGCAGCGCGTTCGGCTGTTAACCGAAAGGTTGGTGGTTCGAGCCCACCCGGGAGCGAGACCTTTTTGCCATTTTTTTTTTTGGAGCAGGAGAACGCCTGGAGTTTGTTGACAAACACTTACAGATTATAATGTGGATTAGAGAGAATCCGACGAAGGCGCGATTAATTTTTCATCAAATCATATAACGCCCGATTTCAGCGGAAAACGAAATCAAGCAAAAATTGTTAATCAAAATGACCTTTATTCCCACTGACGAAAAATGAATGGAGAAACTACGATTCTGTACATTATCTACACATAAAAGTGCTCACTGCTATTATTTTTCAGAAAAGATTTGAAATTTTACACGAAGTTAGAAAAGATCGATGCATGGAATTAATTTCGGCAAAAAAAAAATCACAACGAATAAATTCACCAGGTATTGGCTTCAGATGATCAAATGCACATGATAGTCGAAAAAAGGAATGAAATTATTCGGAAGAGAGGATTTTTTGGATTTCGGCTTCCCAAGCTTCTTCGTCTTTGGAGCTCTTCTCAGCGACGACCTCATATTCGTTCAAATCGGCCAGGATTTCCTTCTCCCACTCGTCATCTGAAACGGAAATCGGTTATTGGATCAAGCACCTTTTTTAGGCTTTTCTTTGGGAAAATTGAAAAAAAAGTTTTTCTGAAGATGCAAAAAATATTGGAAAAACGACAGAGTACCATTTTTGGGACATGTTGGAAGTTTATGAACTATTTTCTAATGGTTTTCAAAATCTCTGCTTAAAATATTGTTAAGTATGATTTTTTAAATTTCTCGTGCTTTTAATTTTAAAAAAAACTAGTGGTAAAATGAACTTTTCAGAGCTGAAAGCTAAAAAAAGTTCAAAAAAATCGGAAATCTTCAGAGAAAAACGCTAAAAAAAAAGGCTAAAAAGAGCTTAAATTTTGTGAGGAAGAAGCTAGAAAAGACTGTAAATCTCAAATCTCTAAGAAGCTGAAAAAAATATCTAAAAGGTGAAATCTTCAAAGTGAAAGGCCAGAAAACCTCTAAATCTTCAGAGAAAAACGCCTAAAAAATCTCTAACTAACCTGAAACCTCACGAACAAAAAGTGGGAAGGAAAATTGAAATTTTCAGGGTCAAAAGCTAGGAAAAATGTCAACAAAGCTGAAAAATTCAGTGCTAGAACCTAGAAAAAAAAACTCTAAAAAGCTGAAGTAGAAGCCCAAGAATCTCAAAAACTCACCCAGAAGGGTGGAGGTTTTAACGTCGCCGTAAGGCTCGGAGATGAAAATCTCATCCTCCTCGTCGCTTTTCTTGCCCGTAGATTCTTCTGAACTGTCTTCTGAAGCGCTTCCCGTGGCCGATGAAGCCGTCTCCTCGACCTTTTCTTCGGCTTTTTCAACGCTTTGAGGGGTCAGCTCGGTTTCCTGGGAAAACGGATGAATATTGAGTTTTCTAACAACCTAACAGGTTTTTTTTTAAATACAAGAACAGATGGAGACTTTTTTTTGAAGAATGGAAGATAAGGAATGATTTTTGGACTTTTTTAAATCAAAATGAGATCATTTACTGTTCTTTTTTCATTTCAAGTCGCTAAAAACACAAGTTTGAAGGCTTCAAAATGTTTTCCTTTACCCTCCGTGTTAAAATAAACTTCTAGACAACCTTCTCAGGGTTCGTTGATGGCTCGGCGGCAAGTGGCGGCGGCGAGGAAGCACGGGCCAGGGCCGACTGTCGGATCAGTCCCACTCGGTAGAAATAATTGCGCCAAAAGTTGTCTTCCTTCACTCTGAAGCGAAAAAATTACATTCAAGCCGGCGTAATTCAGAAAATTTTTTGCTTCTTTTTTCACAAGAAAAGTTTTTTTTTAATCCTTTCCATGCGAAAAACTGAAAAAAAAATCCTTTGTTTGAACCCTTCAGGGACCACTTAGGCTTTTGGAGCTGAGTGATCAAACCCTAAACCGCTATAGGGGCTATTTTTCCCCCTTTCCCCTATAGGGACCACTCTAAGAGAAAAAGGGATACTTTGAAGGCAAAAAGTTGCCTTTAACTCGAAGAAAATGAGAAACGAACTGTTTGGGGACGAGTTGGAATCGGACTTTGGCCAAATTCGGATCTTCTTTGATCAGAATCGCGGCCATGGCCTGTTGCTGATCAAACGAGAATTCTAGATTGCCGGGGGAGTCGCGCAAAAAGTTCCGGGTGTCCTGAGAAAAATACATGTTTTTCGAAAAGAGAATTGAAACTTACAGAAGAAAGGGACATGATCTGTTTCCGGGCGAGATTCTCGTCAGGCAGCCCTTGCCAAGGGAGTTCGACTGTGAAAAAGTGAAATATTATTATTTTATAACGTTAAAGAAAAGTAATAGCTGATTCAGGGCTAGCTTGAGCCATCGAAACAAGGGTCCTGACACGAAAATGCACGAAATAGTGGATGGCTCGTGTAAAGCGCAGACAGGCCACGCCCCCCTTAGCGTCCCAAACTAGCCGTGAATCAGCTGAGTTCAAAAACAGTTTCCCGTTTTCGAAAGAGTACAGAAACGTCTTCAGCGCCAGAGTGGTCCCTAGAGGGGTCCGTAATGAAACAGCCCCTGTAGGGGACGCAATAGAGCTCCCTCCTTAGGAACTCTAGAGTGGTCCCTATAGGGACAATCTTAGGGGCCTAATGGGGTTCACTTAAACAACCCCTCTAGGGGCTACTAAAGCTTCCAAAAGTGATCCCTATAAGAGGGACCCTAAACCCATATAGAGACCACTTTTTCGGTCCTTTTGGAGGGCTGTTTGTTCCCCTAACCCCTAAAGGGACCACTCTGGGTTTCCTAATTAGGTGGTCCCTATAGGGATTTAGGATCTAACCCTTAGACCCCTAAGCTTAAGTGGTCCCTATAGTGACCTTTCATTTTATTTTTACAAAAAGTGCTAATTTAATGAGTTTTTTGCATGGAAAAGCTTCTACTCATAGAGTTGCAAAATGTGTCCCTAGAGTGGCCACTTTTGCAGGCTTTAGTGCCCCCTAGAGCAGGAAAACCTTCAAGAGCCCCTTTAGGGACCACTGTGGCGTTCCTAATTATATACATTATTTCGAAACCTTGCTGTTTATTTTTCCCGTCGTTCAGTTGATTTTCAAAGTCGTTTTGCTCTTTGTTCAGCTCGCCGAGCATTGTCTGAAAAAAATACGATTTTTCTTTGAAATTACTTTTTTTAAAAAAATTTCGAAAATCCAAGAAAAAAACCGTCAAAAAAAGTGCATATAGGTAACTTTCGAGCCTTTTTTTCGATGTTGATAAAACTTTAAGAAAGATTTTTCTCAAGCCAAAAAAATAATAAATCAAATAAAAAAAGAAACCCAGCAGAATGGAAGTACATGTTCATTTTATACACCTTCAAAGAGCAAATAATATTTTTTTAAAGAAATTATGAAGAAGGAATATTTTTTTCTTGCTGTATCAAATGCTCCTAGGAAAGTGTGAATTTACTTCATCATTTTTCACTTTTTTTCAAAAACTATTTTTTTCTGTTTTTGAATCACAAATTTGAAACAAATTTACTTTTTTTAGGACATTTATTTTTAAAAAAATCCTGAGGTGACGCTAGAAGTATATTCAAAATTATGAACTCGCTTTCAAGGTCTTTGAACTATTCTTGAAATTGTCTTCGTAGACCTATTGGGGAGCGACTTCCAGGAAAAAAAATATCTTTCAATCGGTTACGAAACAGGAAATACCGCACTCACATATTGAGTTGTCTTTTTCTTTCTCTACTATTTTTAATTTCGAGGATTCTCTTTGGTCACGGCTTACACGATCAAAGGGCAAAAATACTTTCTTAAAAGTTTTAGAGAAAGTAATTGTGTACTCCTAGAAAAAAATAAGTGGATTCTTTTTTTCCTCTTATTCACTTTTTTTCATGAAAAACTACTTTCAATCATCTTTCAGAATGATTTCTATCCTTTTTTCCAAAAAGGCGCCAAAAAGTTGTTCAAAGTTTTAAATTTCCTTTTAAGGCTCTTTTTGAAATGAAATGTCCCTAGTAGGTTATTTTGTGCTATGAATTTCTTTTCATGGACTTTTTGAACAGCGCTAAGCATTAACACGGAAAAATTTCGAAAAAAGTTTTTCAACCCGTTACGAAAAAAATACCGCTAATATCCCCACTCACATTCTCGATGACGGCATTCTTGACCTCTTCCAGTTTTTTTGTCGCATCCTTTGCGTATTCGAACAGCTTCGAGGCGTTTGTACTCATGCTCATTCCTGGAAATAATTAAAAGTTTGAAAAATATTTTAAAAAACCTCCGAACAGGCTGGAGACCTTGCTCTTGACGTTGGCGTCTCCCGAATTTTTCTCATTTTCCGAGGGCTCAATGTTTTCTTCTTTTTCTTCTACAGATTTTTCCTCAACAACTTTTTTCTCTTCTTCATCGCCCATCTAAAATTGGAATTTTATGAATTAAAGCTCAAAATTCTATGAACAAACATTATTGGCAGCGGACTGAAAACTCTGTTCAATGGTGTTTTTGGCGTCGTTGACGCGTTTCTTCAGATCGCCCAAAAGCCAGGACATCTTCAAATTCATCAATTTTCGCTTTATGTTTCTCTGAGAAAGATTTAAGGGGTCCCTAAAGTGTTTTGTTGTTTTAGGGACCACTATAGGGAACAAAAAGTGATCCCTAGGGGGCTAGAGCTTGGGTGATTCGTATAGGAGTTTAGAGTCTAACGCCTGAGCTCTTAAATCTCAAGTGGTCCCTATAGCGGCCACTTTTGCCAGGTTTAGTGAGCCCCCATATAAGGAGGTAGAGTGACCCCTAAAGGGGAGCCTTCAAGAACCCCTCCGATTCCCCTCTAGGGACCAACATCTCTGATCTCACTCGTAAAAAAACGCTTTTCCTATAAAACTTAGGGCGCAGAATCTCCGGCCAACCAAGCATTACGAAAAAAAGAGATTTAAAAATCCGGAAATTAATTTTCCAGTGCAGGGTTAGACTAATAAGCATCAATGATATGGAAATATTTGTGAAGAAAAAATTTTTGGATCAAAGAAAAACCAATATATTTAGTACTCTATGATTACTTTCTTTTAAGCTTAATTTTTCCAAAAAGTGCAGATTTTTCAATAAACTTTCTTATCCAAAAAAAGGAAAAAAAGCAATTTTGAACAGCTCAAAAGCTCAATTTATTCTAATTTTCAACCAAATTTCAATTTTTCCTATAAAATGTTTCTCATTTTTAAACTGTGGATCAGTTTGTCAGTACTTGAAAACACAAGAACATCCATAAAAAGTATAAAATCGTCAAAAACGATTCGAAAAACAATAAATAATAAAATCACACGGAACCGGTTTATCGCACACCTAAAATATACATACAAATGATTAAAATTGAATTTGCACATTGAAATCATCAGAATCTATTGAGAAACGTAAAATATACTCAGGAAGACCAGAGTGGTCCCTAGAGGGGTCAGGGAAGAAAAAGGTGCTCTCTCTCTAGAGGGGTAAATTTAAAATGATCCCTAGAGGGGTTTAGAGGCTGACCCATGAGCCTCTAAAGCTCAAGTGGTCCCTACAGTGATTTTTAGTTTTTTTTTTTCGATTCAACGTATATGGTTCCCTTCTCCCCTAGAGCGGCCACTTTTGCAAGCTTTAGCTAGAAGGTAAAGTAGCCCGAGAGGTACCTTCAAAAACCCCAAGGCCGCCCCTCTAGGGACCACTCCGGCGTTCCTAAGTATATAAAAAAAACCAGCAAAATGATCAAAATCACACAAATTGGCACGGGATGCAATAAATAAATATATCGGCACTCGATGAAAATAGCACAGAATGAATCGGAATATAATCGTTATTACAAGGAGATCAGCCAACAAAGAATCGAGTATGGAAGTACAAAGACGTTCAAAAATGTCTAGAAAAACCGTAGGAAATGCAAAAATTGACGATTAGTATGGAAAATCAGGAAATCGCTATGAAAATCCAAAAAAAAAAATTTAAAAAAGTTTGTGAAAAGGGAATTTTTGAGTATAGTTCATTCACCGTTGACTTCGGAGATTAGTAAAATAGTATGGAAAAAGAAGAGGTTCAGACGCCACTGTAGTGTTGAAAAAGTCTCCGCAACACTAAAAAAAGAAAAAATTTGATCTTTGTGACTTGCGTTTTTGCCCTTTTTTTGAGCGTCTCGAAACGAAAGCGCAATAAAAAAGCTAGGTTACGGTAGCTTTTTTATCCTGTGTTTTAAAAGCTTGAACACGGAATACACTAAGTGGCTCAGTTTTTATTGCTTGTCCATTTGGGATGATTCCTCAACAGTAAATCAACATGTTATTTTTTGAGCGTCTCGAAGCGAAAGCGCAAAAATGAAGCGGATTATTGTAGCTTTTTTGGATGCTTTTTGTAGATCACGGAATACACTACACGGTTTTTTTTTCCAAGTCATTTTTGAATTATTATCCTATTATTAAAATATTACTTTACACCATGTTCAAAGTGACTCCGCGAGGTTCAAAATAGCGATCAGAGAGTGAAAAAGACAACTAAATTTTGGAGAGCCAGAGAAAATTTTGAGTTTCGCGGGAGTTTCTTTGAACATAAAGTCGTCAGTGAATCATCTACACACCGGGAAGGCAACTTTTCATAAATTAGAAGAAAAATAAAATGAATCAAATCGTATGACTTTCGAAGACCGGATAAGTATATAATTTTGTTGGATATTCGCTCGAAAATGGCTTCAGAAGAGGAAGACGGCGTCGCGTCGATACTCGCAGAGGGTCTGGAGGGCGACGACCCGCGGGTCGGGCGCCGAGAGCAGCGTCGCCGTCTGTGGCGGGTACCGGAACAGTCGCTCCGCCCACAGCGGCAGTTGTTCTACAAACAAACAACCTGTTGTTTTCTCAATAACTCAACATCGTCCTGCGGAGATTGATTTTGTTAGAATTTTTTTTAATTGGAACAAAATTCGCCCTCTTTTCACCCGTTTTTGTCCTGAGAATGAAATCAGAAAACCTTTTTCCACTTCTCAGAAACTCTCAAACAAGATATTTTCTGATCTCAACTGTTTGGAATGGTTTTGAGCAGAGCTGTCCAAAGGATGCCCCGAGTCGCCCGGGCCTACCCGACACGAAAATCGCGAAAAAATCAAGGAAACGTGAATATTTCGACAATGTGACCGCTCCGCGGGCTGTGTCGCCCGGGGCAGCCCGCCCCCACAGCAGCTCTGATTTTGAGCCCAAAAAAAACTTATTTAACTTTATTTTATTAAATCGGACAAAGTCGGAATGGTGGATAGTTGGGAGAGGCTCGAAAAAGGCTGCAGAAAAGCAGCAAAAAGGCAGCAAAAAGGGTCCCTTTTTCGAGTCTTCCATTTTTTCTGGGATTTTAAAGGGTCAAGGAATGTTGGTAAAAGGGAGAGGCAGCAAAAATGGTGCATAAAGGCCGATGAAATGGCGCAAAAAGACAGCAAAAAAGAAAAATTTCTATAGAGCCTATTTCCACCCTTTCCGCCTTTGCCTATGAGTGCAGTGAAAAATTCTGAATAATTTAGAAAAAGCTTAAAATTTGGTCGTAAATCTCTAAAACTGCCCGGATCAATACCAACTCAAGATTTTCCCATTCAAACCTCGAATCGCCGCATTCTGACTGATAAACTCGTGTAGCATCAGTGCAATGTACTCGACGATCGCGCGGTTCGCCGGCGGCAGGACAGAAACCGCCGTCCACAAACTGCAAAAGGATCGAACTTTCAGAGTAATACAGAGTCGCTCGAAGGTATGAAAGATTATAGTCCGTTCTTCGCGACTTGGCACTTTTCGAGTGTCTGCGTCTCTGTTCCCTCATCGGTGAGGTCAGAGAAACATGGAAATAGCACGTCAAAAGGAGACGGTCGGCGAGAGACAAGGAGGGCGCAGAGAAGACTTTTCAGGTCGCCAAAAACGGACATAAATTTTTACTAGAAACTTCTAACCAAGGTAATTATAAAGTACATTGCGAGAAAATGAGAAAACAATGAAAAATTTAAAAAATAAACTTACCGCCCTGCGTGAGACTTAAGAAGCGTAAGACGCGAAAGTTTTGTTTGAAGAAGAAAAAACTCTAGTGGTCACTTAAGAGGTTTCTTAAGGACCACTGGCAAGGCCACTAAGGCCATAAGGTATGCCATTTTTTTTTCTTTTTTAGTCATTTTAAATAAATGTACACGATTTTTTTAGTGACCATTTTAGCAGTTATATTTTTGGTGGCCTCGTCAAAACCCTAAAGTGGACACTAAACATTTTGTTAAAGGAAAAAAAAACTCTAGTGGCCATTTGATTTGTTCCTCAAGGTCTACCACTAAAACCACTATTTTCCTTTTAGTGACCACTTTAGCAGTTCTATTTTTGGTGACCTCTGGAACGTCAAAACCCTGAAGAGGAGGCCACTAAAAATTCTCATAGTAGGTTTTTAGAAAAATTTTGAAAGCTTGGATAAAAGAAAATTCTGACAAGGAAGACCCAGTAGGTACGGAATGGATGTTTCAATATTTTTGAGCCGCAATTTGATATTTTCAAACTAACGCTCTAGCGTCTCGATTGACGCCAATGAACTCGTAGTGGATGATTCCGTCCATTCCCGACGGAATAACCGGCTCTGAAACATTTTTCATAATCATTTCCTTGATTTAATTATTTCCAACCGGTCAAAGTATCGATAAGACGGATCAAAGCGCTGTACAAGGCGAAAGAAGACACTTGGAGGAGAGCTGAAAAGGATGAATTTTATTTTTTTAAAAGAAGAATTTCGGTTCCAAAAAAAAAAGATATAATTTGTGAAGGAATATATTTTAGTAGAACATGCCTTATTCCGAAAAAAAGGACTTTGTATAAAAATTCGAAACTAGCTTAAATGTGCGATCTTCATACACAGTGCTGCAGTCAAAACACCGTTTTCTACGCCAGAATGTCAAAGGTCGTCAGGTTAATTGTCAGATCTGCATACACATCTCTACGGTCAAAACAAAATATTTTACGACGGAATGTTGAAATCATTTTTAATTAAAATTCACTGTGAAAAAATATTATTTTATCGAATCTTAGGTCCTCAAAGTTAAAAAAATATTTTTCTAAATTCTCGAACAAAAACTAAAAAACATAGAAAATACAGGCTAAAATTGGATTTTCCGCTTTTTCTAGTGTTTTTTTTTTCTTAATAAATATTATTTTTCGTCGTTATCAAGAAGAAAAAAACCCACTCAAATCAGTAGGATGCCCAGATTCCAGAGCATTCCTTATTTGGATGAAATCCGTATTGTCCGTACTTTCGGCCAAATTCAACGAAGCCACGCCTCTTCGCCTCAAAGCGTCTACCAATCGGAAAATCTTCAAATATACTTTTTTGAAAGAAAATCCTTTTCCGAAAAAACCTCGCGAGGCAAATCTTTCGGGCAAGTGTCGTCTTCGGAAACTTCATCGCCCTGAAAAAAATCCGTAGTAGAATCACAAGATCGAATGTTTTTGAAAAACTGATAAAATATAAGTTGATTCTCTGAAACGGTGAACCCCTTTTTTTCTTCAAATTGTGTTATTTTTTTGAACATTTTTTTAGCGAATTTGATGAAGAAACAAAAAAATGTCTAAAAAAAGCTATTTTTCATTCTCAAATCGCCGAAATTTGTTCCGAAATAATAGTGGTTTAAATTTTTGAAACGCTATTTTTGTGTTTCGAAGCTAATTTCCGATGAAAAACGTCGAAAAAAATGTTCAAAAAAATTAAAAAAAGTCGTCAGATCAAATGCTCGATCTGCATACACAGGCTCTGCGGTCAAAACACCGTTTTTCACGCCACACTGGCAAAAGTCGTCAGGTGAATTGTTAGATCTGCATACAAACTCTGCGGTCAAAACAGGGAACTTTACGCCGATATGTTAAAAATAATTATTTTTAAGTTGAAAAAAATTATTTTTTTAACACTCTGTCTGAGAACTTTTAATGTTACTGTGACATTATGCTGTCTTACTGTCCATTTGTAATACTGTAAAATAATAGGCGTTTAGAATCTGAAAATTTCGAGAAAAAAACCTACAAAATCGATCAGATTTTTCTTCCTTCGACGGTCTTTTTGTTGGCCAGGAGTTGATCGATTGAAACTCCAAAACATCTGAAAAATTTATCTATTAAAAATGAAAGTTAATAAATTCACAAACTTCGGAGAATATTTAGCAGTAACCGGTATGAAATGATCCCTGCCATGTTCCAAGTGAAGGACCAAAATGTCCTGGAAATATTTTTTTTCTAATTTTCTTCTTTTGTTTCAGAAAAATCACCTGTAATTGCGAACTTTTCGCCTTTTCGTGAAGTTTTCTGGCTTCTTTCGAATCGATCGATACGGTCAGAGAAATCTGGAATTTTCGGGAGAAATATAAAAATGAATGCACATTTTTTGAACCACTTTTTGAATAGAAAAAAATTTGGCAAGTTTTATTCGAATGATACAATGAATAATGTCTTTTTACACTGCAAAATACAAAGATTATTTTTCTGAAATAATTGAAAAAAATCTCTCAAAACAGCTGTCCAAACAAATGAGCTCAAAAATCGCTTCAAAACTAGACAAAAAGGCGCGGAAAGAAGCTGGAAATGGGCATTTTTCGGCGAAAAACAATCGTAGGAAGAAGACCCGAAAACAATTGAATTACCTGGGTCGATTGGCCCTTCGGGATCACGTAATGCGGTGGGGTGACCTGCAAAAATGAGAATGATCCATGAATTATGCATTATTTGTTGTCTTTTATTGCAAAAATGGCAAGCTTGAAAAACGTTGGAAAGTGTGAAAGCTAAATAAAATGAAAAAGAGCCTCAAAATGTTTCGAAGCGTTTTCATTAATATTCGAAGAAAAAAATCCATGAATTATGAATAATTTTTTTCTGTTTCAAAAAAAGGCAAAATTATAGAAAAAAATGAAAAAAATGATGTTTTCGAGACTTTTTTTCACGAATAATTAATTTTTCAGAAAAAAATTTTTGGGCCAACTGCGGCCAAAACACAGAACCTTACGCCAAACTGGAAAAATTGCTTTCATATTTTTCTGGACATTTTTTTTTTTTGAAAAAACTGGATAAACGCTTGATTATTTGAATAGAAAGCAAAATCGGCGAAAAAAAAAAGTTATAATAAACTAATTTTTCTAGAAACGATGACAACGTACTGAAGATGCTGATTGAACTTAGGCTATTTTTGGAAGGCTAAAACTTTTTGAACTCAAAAATTAACGTGAAGAACAAAAAAAGGGCACGAAAATGTCGATTCGCTACATCCAAAGAGGGCAAAACGCGGCAGAGATTCCTATCTTTTCCTTTGTTCTTTTTTTTCTTCTTCCAAATTACTTTTCTTTGAAGTTACGTTACAGAGTTTACACATTGAAAACTTTGAATTTCTAGAAAGTTTCATACACTTTTTAGGAACAGTAATCATGGATAAAGACCAGAAAACAGAAAACCTGAAGCCATTCAGCCGAAATCGATTGATTTGCCTTGCCCAAGGGGGTGATTTCGAAGTTGAATCGGACCTGGAAAACTAATGAAATTACCCGGGGATAGTCGGAATGATGGATAATGGTCGCTAAAAGGGAGAAACTCAAAAAAGGCCGCAGAAAGGCAGCAAAAAGGCATCAAAAAGGGAGCACAATGGCAGCAAAAAGGTCCCTTTTTCGAGCCTTCCATTTTTTTTTTAGAATTTTAAAGGCTCAAGAAATGGTAGAAAACGGGAGAGGCAGCAAAAATGGTGCATAAGGGCTCAGAAAATGGCGCAAAAAGGCAGCAAAAAGGAGTCTTTATGAACCCTCGGAGGGTCTTTCCGACTTTGTCCATGTTAAGATGATACCTGAGATTTTCCAATATTGTTGACGGTAATCTGTCGGGTTGTTGGCTCCAAATATTTCACTTCTCCGAAATCGATCTGAAATTTTTCGTTTTTTTATTGATTTTATATGATTTTTATTGACATCTATGGACTTTTGTTTTGAAATATCACCATTTCTTAGGAATTTTCGACCACGTGATCCTTTTAACTTACAAAAACTTTAATCATCCAAAAAAGTTTGGAAAATCTTTAGTGGGCTCTTAAGGGGTTCCTCAAAAACTACTTGTGAAGGGGACCCTTAAGTGGCCACTACAAAAACCCCTATAAAAGTCACTATTTGAAGCCTTAGTGGCCACTATGGAAGTTTTAGTAGTCTAGTAGCACTTAGACTTCTAAAAAGGCCTCTAAATGTTCGCCACTTAAGTGGTCTCTAACTTGACTACTCCAGTGGCCCCTAACACGTCAAAACCCTAAAGTGGCCCCTAAAAATGTTTCCAATACAGTAAAAGATCTCCATTGTTTTCAATTTCAAGCTCTTTTCCGTCACAGTCTACAATTGAAATCACATTGGAAAATCAAAAATCGATCCAAAAAAAACCTCAGTCTGGCTCAGTTTGACCTGAGGCAATAGTTCATTGGCTTTCCGGTCGGCTTCTCGACAAGCTTCTTCATAAATCTGGTTAGCTTTGGCCTGGAAAAGTTCATATTTTGAAAAAACTTCAGAGATCCTGATACCACAAGGAAGGTAACTTTATTCTGAGGCTCAACAAAATCTTGAAAGTGGCCAGAATAATCCTGGATGAGGTACAGATCTTAAACATCTAAAAAAAAACTGCAAAATTTTCTACTATTCAATGAAAAAAAAAAACTCAATTTCTCAAAAAGACCAATTCTATTGGTTTACGATAGTTTTTTTCGACTTTGAGGTATCTTTTTTTCGAAAAATACGAATTTTTGAGTTTCAAAACCGTCAGGATCATCCTATAGGATCTCAAGAAACATTCTGAATAATTTTCAAGAAACACAAAGTAAATTCACCTTCCCTGGCAAAAGGAATGGCTCAACGCGTTGCGGCTGCGAAGCGGTCACTCTAAAAGTGCACCCGACCCAAAGCGACTTGGAACCTTTTTAAAATTTTTAGTTTTCAAAATTTTAAAAAACCGCAACGCGACGCGCTGAGCCATTTTTCAGACAAATTATAAAACCTCATCGATTTTCTTGACCCCGAGCCGGAAAAATCCCCGGACTGGCTTATGATCGGATATTGAGATCGACTGAACACTTTCCATTAGTCTGAAAAATAAGAAAATTTAGGAATTTTTTTCGGAATCTCAAGAATGCCTGTCTTCTGGTCGAAATAAAGCGAATTCGTCATTTTTTTATACAAATTAATGAAAATTTTTTTTGAAGTGTGAAGAGAAACGATTATTCCAAAAGTATTCCAAAAAAAATTGCCTCGAAATTTAGAAAAATCGAACTGACCAGGGAATGGCCTCATTTCACAGTGGGACTTCTGATTGAGACCATGTATTCCAGATGTAGTTTTTTATGCTGATTCCAAATCCGGTCTCAAAAGCTGCCCAATACGTCAGTGAAAAAAGTTATGAACCCTCAAAAGCAAGCTCTTTTCACGAGCCGAGATTTGAAAAGTCATATCTAAGCTCCAAAGTTTTTTTTTTGGAAAAATCAAATGGATTTTTGTGATCAGAGAGACAGGATCTACATACACTCCAAAAATGAGCTCGATCGAAGACTATGAGATTTTCGACTTTTGAGGGTCCATAACTTTTTTCACAGACCTCGGTGGCAGCTTTTGAAAACGGATTTGTTATCAGCGTGAAAAACTACACCTAGCAAAAATGGTCTCATTCAGAAGTCCCACTGTGAGCTGAGACCATTCCCAGGTGAAAGAAATGAAAAATTGTAAAGAAGGCTTTCAAATAGAAAATGAAAAGAACTTCGTAAAAGACCAGAATTCAAGACCACTTACTTGTTCTCGATTTTAATCGAATCCTCAGCTTTCCAGTACAAAATTCGATCTGTCCAAGCAGGAACTCGACCCTGAATAATTTTTTTTTAGAAACATTTTTTACTAGACCAGAATAATCGCGAAATTCAGCATACTCCATACTTGCTACTTTCTAACCTGTCTGCCCTCTCTTCTTCCTCATCAAATCATGGTAATATGAAAACATCGCGAAAAGATATATATAAGAGAGCGCAGATGAGAAAAAAACTATTCTACATTAAAAGGAAAATCCTGGAGACTATAAACTTTATAGCTCGTTCACCACGACTAGGAAGCTTTCGAGTGTCTGCGTCTCTCTGTTCCCTTGCCGGCAAGGTCAGAGAAAGATGAAAACAGCATTTCAACATGAGAGGGTCGCCAAGATACGAGGAGGCAGAAAAAACAGCGGTAAGAACAAAAGGAGTGTAGCGATACATTTGACCATCCAATTAAAAAAAACCATAAATGTATGACCTTTTCACTGGTATCCCAAATATTCGTCCCGACATCGTACTTGTAAGTCGGTCTGAAGGAGAAAGTCGCCGGTTCGACGAATCCATCGAAAACCAGCCGTCGCTGCATTTGCTCGCGGAGCTGAATTTAACTCATTTCCCTTCGGCGTGCTGAACAATCGGGTTTTATTTTTCATGTACCTGATTTCTAATGCCCTCTCTCATTCTGAGAACTGTTTATTGCGAATCAAATGAGTTACGGAAAGCCAATTTAGGGACCACTCTACGAACCTCTATAGGGGCCACTGAAGCTTGCAAAAGTAGTCGCTATAGAGGACTCTATGAGGGGGCTAAGGGGTCAGACCTTAAACCCCTATAGGGGCGAGCTTAATTTTACCCCAATAAAGACAGCTTTTTCAGTTTTGAACCCTGTTTTATTAAATTTAAACCTTACCTGATCATATTTGAGCAGACTGCTAAAGTCGTTACTTGACGCCATTATTCGGACCTAGAAAAAATAGAAATATGAAGTTTAAAATATATAAAAGAATGAAAAATTCCATTATTCAGATGCGTCAAATAGTAGTACTCTTAAATCACTTTTTTTCTTATTTTTTTAAAAAAATATGAATCTAAATATCTAAGGAAACTGATGGCCTTGAAAAATAGAAAAAATAGATGAGAAACTTTTAAAAAAATCCTCTTTTGAGCTCTTTATAGTTTTAACCCAACACAAAAAAAGGGGATGAAACCTGTTCATTGGAGATTCCCATGTACTCGGTGCTGAGCCGGTAATTCAGATCGCCGAACCAAAAGATCACGTCGTGATCATAAATCGTTCGCATTCCGTTCGCGAAACGGATGTGCGATATGTCACTGAAGAAAAAAATAATGGTTTTTTTCATAATTCTTCCAGTTTTTGTTATCTTCAAGCTCTTTCTTTATATTTTTTTCTCAAAAAAATATCTTTCGCAAAGCTCAAAAAAATATCCAAAGAAGTAAACTGTTGAAAAATATACCTTTCTTAAGCTCAAAAAAATCTTATCAAACTGTATTTTTTTAAGTTTTTCTGTCATTTACAGCTCCTTTTTCCACTGCTTGCCACACAAAAATAAATCCAAAGCTGCTTGGAAAATTGAATATTTGACATAGAATCAAAAATTTCAATTTTACAGCTCTTTTTTCCTTTCTCTTTCTCACAAAAAATCCTTACTAAGCTTGAGAAATCCCAAATATATCGTAGAAAAGAAATTTTTCATTTTCTGTTATTTTATAGTTCTTTTTTTCAACGCATTTTCTCACAAAATAATCATCCAGAAGCTCGAAAATTCCGGTTATATCAAAGATTCGAATTCTAAAAAATTCCCGGATTTCTTGTTATTTCATAGAACCCTTCCAATTTATTTCTCACAGCAAAAAAGTCATTACACAAGTTAAAATTAACCAAATCCTCAGTTTTTTTTTTCGCTCTTCTTGATTTTGTGTTAAAAAACCGTTTCAAAGATTCAAAAAGTCAAAATCGCGTCATGAATCGAACATTCCAATATTTTTTTCTCAACTTTCCACTCCTTTTCCTCATTTACTAAAAAGAATTCTCTTTTTTTAAATTTTTCAATAAATTAACTCCTTCAAACCCTACCGAAAATCCTGGTTCCTTCGCTCCAGTTCATTATTTCCGGCGGCAAAGTGCGAATTGATAAAGCAAACCCAAGTGTCGTTGATCTTCAAGGAAATCGCGACTCCTCCCTAGAAATGGGGTAATTTCAGATAACATCTTTTCCATAGAATCTTTCTAGACACCAACTTTGTTGCCCAATTTGTTCATGAGGACCGAAATGCCGGTCGCCATATAATTTGTCGAAACGTGGGAGATTTTCAAATGACTGCCACGCCATTGGAAAATCGCCACGAAGATCCCGACGAGCCGCATCGTCGCGATCTGGAAATGTCTTTTTTCTACAAAAGCATAGTTCAAGTGATCTTTGAAGTACCTAAAATGACAAAAAAAGTTTATTTTCAGTTCCTGAAAAGGTGCAAACTTTCTTCTATTTGCCTTTTCCTCGTATTTTCAGCCCCTTCTTATTCTCCTAAAACGATACAAAATGATGGAAAGGCGCCTAGGAACGTCTGAGCAAGATAAAAAAACATTCAAGTACAATTTTTGTTTCACAAATGAGTTCCGTTTCAAATTTGATTTTTGTGTAAAAAAAAACTTTTTTTTGAAAAAGGGAATGAAAATCTCAAAACTGTCTAAACGAAGCGAATTTCTAGAGTTTAAGCTCTGAATTTTTTTCTATCTTTTTCAAATTTTTTTCGACAAAAAAATTATGGATTTGAAAAAGAAGTATCTCCTTTATGGAAATGTCTTCATTTCACAGAACCTATTATTTTTTCTCAAGGAACTTTTAAGAGTTCTGGAAGTGATCGATTCAGAAAAAAAGAATCTCAATATATTTGAGGATAAACTGTCCTCCTATTCAAGCTTTCTTTTTGCGTTTTCGCTTCGGAACTTTAACAAATTGCAAAAAGGCTGCTAAAACACGGGTCTCAAAGCGAAATTCAAACCAAAGATATACAGTTTTTCGGCTAAAAGACAAGCTTGCATGATATCAAATCGAGTTTTAACTATCAATTAATTACTGGACGGAAAAACCTACGACTTCGAAGGCGATTTCGCCGCCTGGGAGCGATTTTCGCATGCAATCGATCCATTCTTCCATCTTTTTGGTGTTGTCGATGATGTAGGTGCCCACGGAAAGGTCCATTTCTTGTAATCTAGGTAAAAATTCTCTATTTTCTTGTGAAAACTTTGCTTTTCATAATAGTATGTTCAAATCAAGCTTTTTTTCAACTTGAGGGGCGGGGGGCAAAAATGGTTATATGTTTTCTTGATGTCCACATACATGGGATAGTCTCGGTGGGACCTGAAAAAAAGGGGAGGGACTTGGCAAAAAAGGGGAAGTAGCGAAAACCTTTAAAAAAAAAGGGGAAGGGGGTGCTTAGCATTGAGTGAGGGGGTCGCCAGTCATGCTCCGTTTATAAAAAGTAGATAAAAGATCTATCCATCGTCCAGATGTCCACCGAGGTTCATACTAACTTTCAAATTCAAATCCACACTTCTCAGAAACGTTTGAGTGGTCCCTAGAGGGGCTAGATTCGAAAGTTAAAAAAGCTTATTTAATAAAACTTGATTCTCTGTGGATACTTTTTCATTAGGAAAACGGTAATTCTTGAATTTTTGAGCAATTACCCAATGGCATAAATATCGGAGATATCGCCCGTTTCGCTGGGGAACCAGCCGGGAAGAATTGGAGGCGGACTTCTTCCGTTGACATTGAACGTCGAAATGCAGATCTTGGCTTCTTTGTATGTACAGTATCTGGAAATATAAATGAAATTGCTGTTGGATTTTTTTGAAAATGCCGCTTTTTCTCCTTTTTTGTTTTTTTTAAATTAAAAAACTTCTATTTTCTTTTATTCCCCCACAAAAATCCCTATCAACCCCTAATTTTTGACTTTAAAGCGACAGAGTGGTCCCTATAGGGGCCCTTGAAGGTTCCCCTCTAGAGACCACTTTACTTAATTTTCAGCGGCTAAGGAGTCAGACCTCAAATCCCTACAAGGACCACCTAAATTTCTCTTCTACGGACTATTTTTAACCCCTAAAAGTAAAAATTTCCAAGCCAATTGAAAAAAAACCTTATTCGAGCCATTTGAAAGACGAAAAGTCCAAAATTTTTGGTGAAAAAGTCGTCTTGCCAACAGAAAGGGAACACAACAAAAAAGAAAGTTATGCAAATTTTCGAGTTCCATCAATATTCGTATGGAAGAGCATAAAATCAATAGGGAAAACAGCTGATTTCTAAAAAGGGAAAAAAATATTCAACTCATAAATTTAAAAAGGTCAAGGGAACGGGTAAATTTTTTTCTTTTTTTCTTTTTTTGTTTCGATTCATTTTTTTAAAAAAATAAAAAAACAAGGTGAGATAGAGTTTTTTTAAAGACTTTTTAGAAAAAAAGTCGGTCAAAGGTTTTTTCAACGGTTTGATTTTTTTAAAAAAATTTTTTTCTTGACCGTTTGAAGATGTAAACTTTGTAAGAAATCATATTTTTTTAGAAGCGAATTTTACACTCCGGTCCTTAAAACTTCAAAAATCTATACTTTTTTGCTAAATAATTCTAATCGACAAAAATTTTTCAAATCTTATAACAAAAACACTATTCCTCATAAATCATCTTAAGGTAGAAGAATTGGCCTGAAACTCGGCCTAAAATTGCAGTTTCCCTATTTTTATTTAAGTGACAAAGTGTGAACCCTAAAGAGTTCATTTAAAACTGAAGAAAATTATTTTAAAAAAATCGGAATTTCTTATTATTTACTTAAAATTATATTTTTTTCAACGGTTCGGGGGTAAAAAAACAGATTATTGTCTTGCAAAAATCGGATTTTTTTTTTTTGAGAAAACGCAGATTCACTAAGAATAACTGACGAGATAAAAGCGAGGTCGGTGGCGGTACATTGACGAGCTCGCAAACATCTCGCTTTTTTCAAGGCGCGATCTCGCATTTCTCTCGGCGCGACCTCGAATTTTTCTTGGCGCGATCTCGCATATATCTCGCACTTCGGAAATTTTCAAATTGCGAGAGAAATGCGAGCTCGCGCCTAGAAAAATGCGAGCTGGCGCCCAGAAAAATGCGAGACCGGCGCGAGAAAAAAAGCGAGATGTTTGCGAGCTCGTCAATGTACCGCCAGTGTCTCGCGTTTATCTCGGCAGTTATTCTTAGTGTTACCACCCATATACGATAGATCAGATAGATCAGTAATTTATCCTTTTCTTCGCTTTTAAAATAATTTTTTTTCGACTACGAACTTGTGCTCCCAGCTGCGCATGACCTCGTCGACGTTGGAATCGCGGCCGGCGACGTAGACGTTCCGGTTGGCGGCCGACGACGCCGGCGCCATGTAGAACGTCATCTACGGGTTCGAGATGATATTCGAGATTCAAATGAGAAGCGAAAAAATACAGTTTATTTCAACAACAATGCAAGAAAAAAGACGAGAACTCCGGATGTGTGATGAAAAGGTTTAAAGGCGCATAGAGACACTTTAGAAACAATTCCAGTACGAAGAGCCGACTACCTTTTTTTGATATGCTTATAAAAATTACTCAGTCACGGCTCGCTGGAAACAAAAAGGTACTTTGAAAATTTTTTCTCCAAAAAAAAGTCGAGGAGGTTCTTGATGAAATTTTTAAAAGGCGCATAGAAAAAGATGAGAAAAGTTATCAAGACGAAAATCTGTCTACTGTATGACTTTTCCGATTAAAAGGAGCTTCATCAAGGATTTCCGAAAAGCTGATACAGTCCATTTACCTCATGCATGGGACATGACATAAAGAAATTTTCCGAAAAAAGCAAATATCAGCTTGTTTAATTAATTTGTTTAAAGGCGCATGGACAACTTTCCGTAAAAGACGAAAAGCCGTATGTGAGCTGAATTTCGGTATTGCGAATCCCATGCGTCTTTAAAAAAATCCAGCGGTTGATTTTGAAGGCTTTTTCAGGGAAAAAGTACTACGAAGAATGTCTGAACCTCTTCTTTTCACACACTGTTTCGCCAGAACGCTATGAATAAACTATACACCAAAGTATTTTTTTCATTTTTTTAAAGTCCTCTAATTGAAGTATGTCCATATAAAATATAAAAAACTAAGAAAATTCATTCTTGAGAGAAAAATTAACCATTTTCAAAAAAATAAAATAAGCGTTTTACGTGAAGAAAACAGTGAATGAAGTACTAAAAAGTGAAAAATAATGTTTTCTTTCTCAGAAAGGACAACAACTTTCAAAACAACGCAGTTTGGACAACATTTTTCCTGGTGGGAAAAAAGTTCCGAAGCATATTTCGCATCAAAAAAGGCGTAAAATCGATAAAATTTGGGAAAAACTTGTACTCCTTTCCGCTTATTATAGTTCATTCACCAATGGCTTGAGGACTAGCGAGGGAGTGTCTGAAAATGAGAGGTACAGACTTTTTTTTTCATAAGCTTTCCGTGGATGGACTATAACTCACAACCGGCAAAATTTGAAAAATGCAGTTTTTTCAGTTCCAACTCCCTTTCTACATGAAAATTTCGACAAAAAGCAAATTTTTCTCTGACTCTCCAAAATTCAGTTACATTTTTCTTTCTCTGATTGTCCTTTTTCAAATTTCGCGTAAACGTTTTTACCACATCATTAGTCCATTTAAGCTTTACTTTGAAAAAAAATACGTCTAAAACCTCTCCTTTCCACCTACTATTTCTCCGGTTCAAGCCATCGTTGAATGAACTTTACCCAAAAAAAAAATTCCGATACTCTTCCGTGCAGATTTCAACCGCTCAATAATCCCATTCAAAAAAAACCGTTTCCTTTAACAATTTATCGGACGGAGAGACGTAGTTTTGATCGAATATTAATGAGAAGAAATCGATGAAAAAGAGACATAAAGATCAGTTTGGAGCGAAAAAGAAAACAATGCTTTTTTGGGTGATTCAACCGTCCATTTTGACAGTTTCACGTGATGTCGAGAAAAAAATACAATAAATGAGAAAAAGAAACGAATAAATAAAACGGTTATTAAAAAAGATGATTTTTGTTTGCATCTGGAGATCAGTAGCGGTAGGGGTAGTCCGGGAAGAGCTCAATGTACCGAGAACCTGAAAAAATTGATAATTATTGAAGTGATAATGAGGATTTTTGAGGTGAAAAAAATGAAAGGAAATCTTTAGGAAATCGCGAAAAAAAGAGAAAAAAAATGTTCAAGATAAAAAAAGTCTTCAAGGATCCAAGTTGACCACAAATTTGAAAAAATGGACTGGACAAAGCTGAAACAGAAAAAAATCTATTCTTTTTGAAAAGTATCAAAAAAACGGTAAATAAAAATTTAGTTAGGAAGAATTTGAGAAAAATCTTAGAGCTCAATGTCAACTAAAAAAATCAAAATGTCAGTTAAAATGAAAAAAAAAAGTTTTAAAGGCTGAAAAAAAGGGAATTTTTTTGAAAATTTACGACATGCGGGCGTTTAAAAAAATACGACTCATGCGACCGCTTATAAAATACGACCGATTTTTTTGTGCTCCATTGCAAAATATTAAAATACGGGATTTTTTTAAATTTTCATTATTCTTTTAAAATCAAAAAATTTTTTGTATATCGCTGTCCAATCAGTATAGTGCTGCCCCTTCTTATTTTCGGCAATATCTTCTGTTAAACCATTTTTCAAGGTTTATTTTGTCCCAAATTAGGCGCAGACTTGTTCTGCGCCATTTGGGTTTAGGCTGGGTTGAATTCAATCTATTTTTTTCCCCTGATTTCAAGTTTATTACAGAATTATGAACTGTATGAAATCGTTTTTAGAATCTCTTCATGAGAAGCTTAAGTTTTTCAAGCAATAAAAAAACTCATCGTTATGAATTCATCAATTTCGTCGCAGTACTTTATTGAATTGTTCAAAAGGAAAAATAGGGGAAAAAAACAAAACTTAAAAAAATTAGCCAAAAAGAGTGAAAAAGATAAGATTAAGAAAAGCTTTTTTTATCAATTAACAATAGAAAACGGACGCATTTTTATAAGCGTTCGCACCGGTCGAATTTTGTAAAAGCGCGAACTTCAAATCATGCCAATGACGGACTATCAAAAAAACTGATGATCAACGCTAAAAGTTCACCGAGAAACCGAGAAATGAGGGAAAAATTCCCAGGCGCGCCAAATCGATCACAAACGCGCTTATACAAACATTCCCATTGGGGTTTCTAAACAGTCCCGACCATTTTGACTCCGTTTCAATTTTGAAAAAAAAATGGATAAAAGAGCGAAAAAATATGGCTATACGGACCGTTCTTCGGGAAGAAATAGAGTGAAAATATTTTTAAAAAATTTTTTGATGAAAAAGGAGCAAAATAGTGTAGATTAGGCGCCAAAATAGCTCCAAAACAGTACTAATTTCATTTTGAAGCAATTCCGATGGATTTTTGAGCAAGTTTTATTTTTTCTCCTAAGCTTAAATGAAGCAAAAAGTGAAATTTTTTTTTTCAAAAACAAACCCAAGTACTGCTTGTCCTTGAGCAACGCCGAATCGTAATCCTTGCGATCCGAAAACTCGACTCGAGCCTCAAAATCACAATTTCAATCAAGATATGCTAGATTTCGGATCAACCTCTCCGCTGGGACGTCCGTTCGTTTCGCGGAGGATTTCTATACGCGACGGGCGACACGGTGCAAAAACTGAATATAAATAATAACGACGAAGTATCAAATATTCTTAGCCGTTAAATTTTTCTAATTTTTCCTCCTAGCTCGGATTCGAATTCAGAAATTGAACTATGACGAGAAAAAGTTACCCGAAATGTGTTTTAAAAGCTTTGAAACTGAGGTCAAAAAAAGAAAAAAATTTATTAAAAAAATAAATCTAAAAGCTTAGAAATTCGCCAAGGTACCGCGTTTTCCGAATTGAAACAACTACACTAAAACGTCCACCAAAAAAGTAATTTATTCTACAAAAATTTTCTAGTTCCTTCTCCAAACTTTCACCAACAAATTCACAAGGTTTCCATTCTACCCAAAAAAAAATTACGCCTTTTTCAGATATTTTAAAAGCCCTCAAGGTTTGTCAATAATCATTTCCCTTTTAAAGAATACTGTAAATTCTGAAAAACATCCAAATTTTCTAGTGACAGTAAATCTAGTAGTTTCATGAACTTAACAAAAAATCTACATACTTCGAATTCGAAAAAATTGCCGAAAAGTTCGAACCCTATTTTTCAAAAACAGCCCCTTCTATCCTTTTTAGAAGTTAAAGATCTTCATTACGAAATTGTTCAATTCCAATTTTCCTTCAAATTCTGAAGCTCCGAGTAAAAATAATTAACTTAAAAGACGCATCAAAAATACCTCGATCCAAACTCATCAGCCCTTGAAATTTTATTGTAATAATTATCATAAACCTCAAAACTCTAGAGTCATGAAAAAACCATCAAATTTCCGATTATTCAACATGTCACAAAACACCTTTCCCTCATTCAAAGTAGTAAAAAATTCATCTCGGAAATGCTAAGAATTCCAAAAACCTATTTATCACCCAAGTCATGAAAAAAAGCTCATAAAACAGAACCACTAAATGAGGCCCATTTCACCAAATGTTATATCCCGCACCAACTACCTTGGTAACGTTACAAAGCTCATTCGTGTGTGACAGATTGAAGTAAATTCATTTAAAAATATAGTTTTATGATACCTCTCCAATGCCATCATATTCCCGCAAAATTACTATTTTTCAATAATTTTTCGAAAGGTTAAATTTATAAAGTCATTTAAGGGAAGTTTATTCAGGAAATCATGAAGAAAAAAATCCAAAAAAACAAACCTTTTTTTCTGTCCTGTCCCAAGAGTTCTTAAATGTTTTTTTGCCAGATTCAAGGTAAAAGTTGGAATTTTTTTCGAGGTAAACTACAGTTTTTCCGCGAAATATTTTTTTATAGTTCCTTTCTATGCATCAATATTCTATCAAAGATTTCTTAAATGTCTTGCTAAAACCTCTATTTCGCATAACCTAGCCTGGTCTAATTAAAAAAAATTTCCAACTGAAAAAGTCATAAAGTCAAAAATCCTATGATCTCATTTCCTTTTAAACTTTCATCACCAGTGAAGATTGGCCACCAAAATATCGAGATCAAACTATCCGAAATACCTTTCAAATCTTTTTCAACTTTATGCCGGTCACCTATCCTTCTTAGAAGGTTCAAAACACGCTACTCTCCCTCAAACACCAGCCAAAAATCTCCTTTTCCCTGACATTAACATAACCAACCTCGTAGAGCTCAGCCTCGTCGGCTCTGAACGGCACGCCACGCATTCTGAGCATGAGCTTAGGCCCGTTCCCGTTGTTGTCCCCACGATCGCGCTCATCTCTATCATAGCGCCAGTCCCTGGGCGGCGGCCGCTCGTAAGGGTCCGCCCCAGCCTTCATGCGAGGGTCCTCACCACGTCGCATCGGACCGCCCACGTCCTCTTGGGCGTAAGGCTGCCGCAGGCGATCGTAAGACGGTCCCCCACTGTACGGATCCGCTCCCCAGGGATCTTCCTTCGGCTGCGGCGGTGGTCCGTAATTGTCGCCAGCTCTCCAATTGTCGTACCCACTTTCATAGCTTCTTCTGGCCGGCTCTGGCGGACCAGGTCTTCTCTCAAAGGACCCATAGTAGACATCCGGGTCGCGTCTCGGAGGATCAGCGTAGTCGTCTTTCGGGGCAGGATACGCAGCCGGATAGGCTGGCGCTCCACGGTCGTAGGAGTCAGAAGGGTAGGCCGGTCTGGACGGAGGATAGCCGTCACGAGGGTCTCTTGACTGTTCGCGTGGGAGGTCTCTCGGGTCTCGTCCCATCGCCGGCGGATAGGCGTCTGGTCGAGGACGCGGAGGACGATCGTAAGCGTCCGGATAGGCCGGCGCATTGGCGGCGTAAGGATCGTCACGACGAGGAGCTGGAGGATAGGGCTCATAGTCGTAGGGCGGACGAGACTTGTAGCTGGCCTCGTAGCCGTCCGGACGACCTCCGTAGCCAGGCTCAGGGCCGCGGCCGTAAGGAGCTGGACCAGAGGAAGGAGGTCCGTTGGCGAAGGGAGGAATGCTGTTCTGAGGCGGATAGCCGCCGCCGCCGGATGGAGGTCGGAAGGGCGGTCTGACGTCGTTGTCTTCGCAGAACATCATCAGCTCGTCCATGGTCGCCGTGAACACCTCGATGTACCTGGAACTCTGCATTACCGAACACCACCAACACCATAATAATCCGAGACTCCGTCAATTTTTGAAAAAGTTTCTTCGTTTCACACCCAACTTCATTTTTCTCATCACGAAACTAAACACAAAAATTGTCGTACGAGCCTATAAAAAAAAATAAAGAAAAGAGAATTTAAAGCTGAAGTTTTGCTGAAATGCTTTACAAGCTTCCAAGACTTTACCAGTATTAAACTTTTGAACTTCAAATCCTACTACATGGTCTCCAACAAACTTCTCTGTCTAAATTTGACCAATTTTTCACAACTTTCAGCTGTTCAGTAAAATTAAAAAGCCCTGATTCCATTGAGGAGATCCGCTGCACACCAAACTCCAGTGAAGGAATTTTACAACGAAAATCCTGGCCAATTGTTTTCATCCCTATTCCAAAACTAGAATCGGATATTGCCGCAGACATCTTCAAAAAAGTCCCGTCCTTTCGGATTCAAAATAAACTTATCGTGTTTTTGTTGGATACAATTTGTTTATGAATAATCCATCATTGAAATTTTTTAAGAGATTGTGAGCAAAAAAATCCGTTAAGCTCCCGAAACTTGAACTTTTCCTCATAAAAGGTATAGCTACGACCCTTACCGTAGTCTTTCACCTTTCTTCTGATCCGCTTCACATCACACTCTAAGTCAGACTCTCCCATAAATAAAAAAAGCTTGATGATGGAAAAGTCTGAGCTCTTTCTAAGAACACTAGGTTATTAAAATGACACCTAAAACACGAAAATGTCTAATTTTCGCCATTCCCTTCTAAAATCTGACATCAAGAGCTCAACCTCCCACTTCTTCCCTTCAAAAAATCTCTTCGTTCTCCTCGCAAAATGCTGGAAGCCACCGAACGCCTCAAAACCCTTTTCAAGCCATTCCCAGCCCTGCGAATCTAAACCCGAAAAGTTGATTTACCGATGTTTGATGTTCTTCATGTGACGATTCTGAGCAAGATTGGCCGATTCGGCGTTGTCGAAAATGACGAAAGCCTCGCCGTTTCTTCTGGCCGCCAAGTCAGGGTTCGGTAGCAGAACGCCGTGCTGGAAATGTTTTTTTTTTCAGGTAATAAACTGGAAAATATATTTATCATTACATCAAAAGATCTCTATTATCGCCTAGTCGATTAAATTAGTGAACTGAACAAAAAAAGCAATTATCGATTGTATAATTCAATAAATATAAAAATAAAAAAATATAAAAAAAATAAAATACAGCTCTTCCCTTCAATGAAAAAAAGATCAACACTAATCAAAAAAATGTGGAATTTTTGAAAGGAATATTCAAATGTCAAATCTTCAATTCCGACCTTCCTCACGTAAAATCGCGATTATTTTTCAGAGAAACAACAAAAAAATTCAAAAAAATCTACGTTTTTCAGAAGATTTACAACAGATTATTGATCTCTCATCACAAATAAAAAAACTATAAAATCAGAAAAATTTCGAAATCTTGACAAAGCTTGCTTCAATAAAAAAACCAGACAAGATAAAAAAAATAAAAAAATAAAACACTGAAAAAAATGTATATCATTTTTTTATGGCGCTAGAAAAATTATTATATGGAACTGGAACATTATTCGAAATTATATAAATTTTAGATTTTTCATATTTTTTTCTCTCTTCAGCCAACGAACCCGAACAACATGAAGCGGTGAGAAGAAATCGATAATGTCCCGGAAATGCGTGGAAAACGGGATTCCACGCAGACGGACGATACCCTCGCCATTGTATGGCGGCAATGGGCGGCCGTCTGGAAAATATAAATAACTTTCTGATTTTTTTGATTTGTAGCAAAAACCATTTGGAGGACGGTAGTTGCGTGGAGGACGCTCGTATCTGAAAAATTCAAAAAAAATAGTGAATGTAGACAAATTTTTTTGACAGATTTTTGAATTTATTTTAAAGGTAAAATGGAATATTTCTGATGGAATACTCAAAAATTCGATTTTTCTGTTTCAAATTTTTCAGTAGTTTACGATAAAAAAACAGCCTTCTGAACATTTTTTTACAACAGAACATTTTTTTCTTTTTACGCAAAAAAACAAGAAGAAAAAAATGTCAAATAAAAATATTTTTCTCTAAAAAAATCAAAAAAATCGAGAGGAGCTGAAAATTTGTATTTTATAACAGTGTGAATTTCAAGAGGTCGAAAAATTGAATATCACAAAAATAAATACATAAAAACCTAAATTATTAATGAAAATTGCGTACCTATCGCTGTCGCGACGATCGCGTCGAGATTCGCGACGCTCTTCGCGATCCTCCCGCGGTCGCCGAGAAGATTCCATCGGCCCAACTTCGATGAATCTGAAAACATGAAGGATAAAAATCAATTCTCCGGACAGAATTTTCATTAAACTCGCCTTGTCCCAATGTAATCCTTGTCCTTCTTCAGAGCTTGTCTGTAATCGTCTTCGTTGTTAAAGCAAACAAGTCCCTCCCCAGTGGATTTCCCGTTCCTTTTAGGGATATCAACAAAATCGATCCCTTTGTCTAAAACCATCAAAATAAAAACGCAAGAATTCAGCGGAACCCACTTCCAAAGAACTTTTTCAACTCGTCGTCAGTGCAAGTCCACGGCAGCCCGCGGCATTGAACCATAAAGCTTTTCCCCATACTTTCTAAACTTCGAAATGTACAAGCTTCAAAATCCAATAAAAAAACAAATATTTCGATTTGACAAATTACAGACATGCTTGAAATGAAAAATGATACATATACTTGGAAGCTCAAACTTATTAAACATTTCACGATTCTACATTAACCAACTCATGTTTGTATCCACTACGAACTTAATCATTAAGAAAAAAATAAATAAATGAAAAGAAACGTTCACCAAAAGTCGAAAAAAAAAACGACGCACGCTTTTTTTCAGTGAGTGCGGAGTATGCGCTTTCGACGAGAAAATGCACAGCAGTTACTGTAGCTAGCAAATTTTTTTCAAAAATTCGTTTTTTCGTTATACCATTTAATTTGATTTAAACCTATATTAATGGCTTTTTTTAAATTGTTTCTCAAAAAAAGGGGAACTAGTATCTGAGTTCAAGGTAAGCTAATTGAATCCTCAAAAACGCTTGATCCAATAGTTTACTTTTGGAGCTTTTCTTATTCACAAACAATTTTTTTGAAGGTAAACTCATGGAAAGCTTGATGCCGTGTTCAAAGTGATTTCGCGAAATCCAAAATTGCCGCCAGAGAAAGAAAAATATAACTAAATTTTGGAGAGTCAGAGATCATTTTGCATTTCGCGGAAATTACTTTGAACACGGCATGAAATAGCATAGCATACATGTAATGATAACCCTGCAGGTAATATGATTTTTGAACTTGGATGGCTATCAATGCATTTTGAACAGATTCTGGACTCAATTTTTAAGATCCTCTCCATTTTATTCGTTTTTTTTTTCGTTTCACCATTTTTGAGATTGATCCAACGTTTCTTTTCAGAGCGACAGGAAGCAATTAATGTTCACATAGCAGTTTCGAGCGATCCAGGTAATTTTGAACTAACTTTTAAAGTGTTTAGACGCATTTTGAAACACAATATTGTGATTGATTTGGAGATTTTTCTTACAAGTTTGAGAGAGATCAAGTAATTTTAAACTAGACTTTCTCTTGTAGCTCTATTTCTTGACTCAAAACTACTAGCCGGCAAGAAAAACTTTGCCGTCTTCCCCTGGAATTCGTCATCTTTTTACAAATTCCATTCGCCCATTATGCTAGCAAGCGAAACGGGACGAGAAAACAAGGATCACGTCATTTCTTCTTCTTTTTCTTCTTTTTTTTTCCTCCTCTTCGCCTGCTGGGGGTGAAGCCCTTGGAATGGAAAATTTTCGTTACTAGTCGCGGCTTCTCTTCTCTCCTTTTCGCGTTACTTTTATTTTCCCTCGGAACTATCAATTTCATTTTGACGACGTTGTGTTGGCCCGGAAGGAATCTCGAATATTTTGTGGGTTTGAGGTTTTGAAAAGAGATTTTTTAGGCTTTTTCTCAGTTCAGTTTCTTGGAAAAGTCAGTTTTCAGTTTTTTAAAATTTAATTTAAAAATTTCTGCAAACAGATTAGACCAATGAAACATATGCCATGATTCATATCGTTCAAGTTTCAGTCCAAAAATTTTCAAAACGACGTTTCAACTGAATTTTTTTTCAGTTTTGCAAGGAACTTCTTTGTGCCATTTCTGATAAGAAAAAGCTTGAAAAATGTTTATTCAGGCTTTTTTCAAATTTTTTTTTAATTGAACCGTTTCAAAACTTCATTAAGTGCATTTCGATTTTTCAAAAATTAAATATTTGAAAAAAATTTTTCTCTACTTGTGTTTAATAGCGACCCAAAATCGCTCCGAAATATTAGTTTTTTTTTTATTTTCAAGCAATTTTCTCCGAGGACTGAGCTTTGATAGAGTGACCCCTATAGGGGTTAGGGAGGAAGGCAACCTCTACAGGGGCCGAAAAAGTGGTCCCTATAGGGGTTTAGGTTCTCACATTAAAGCTCGTAAAGTTTCTAGGGGATTTTTAAGTTTTTCGTTTTGCTTAGAAAGTTTAAAAAAATCCTAAATGCACCACCAGCATGCTCCCCTAGAGTGGCCACTAACTAACATCCCTAGAATGGTCACTTTTGAGAGCTTTAGTGTAGGGGAGGTAAGGTGGTTTCCAAAGGGCAACTTTCAGAGGCTGTTGTCCCTCTAGGGACCACTCTGGCGTTCCCAAGAACTAATATAGTTTTGAGAGCTTTTCGGGAGGGGTCGAGAAGACTTGAGTGCTTCGAAATGGGCCCTTAAGAGCCGTTCCTTTCGACACAATTCATCCAATACGACACCTGTGATTATCCCTAACAAGGGCTAGGGAAAAAGGAAAGTTGTTGTGGCTCAGGGGGGAATTCTCTTACGCTCGTTGGGCTCTCTCCTGCTCGAGAGTGACGTCACCAATCCCATTGATACCCATCGATTTTCAGTGGAAAACGGGGGGCGAGCAAAAGCTGCAGTGTGGGCGAGACGGAGAGCGCGGCCGGAGAGCCAGAGAAAAAGAGACGCCGTGGGACAGCTCTCCCGCTTTTTTTTTCGCCTGCCAGACAGGGCCTCGGTCTCTCTCTAACGCTATTGGAAATCATTAAAAAACTCGTCACTTTTGCAACTTTTTTCCGCGTGTTACAAGTTCTGTCATTTCCGACGACCTTTTTTGTCCGAAACTGTCTCGAAATGCTTCGAAATTGGTGAACTGGACTGATTCGGAGCAAGCTAGCAGGCTGGAAATTCATTTTTGAGACAATTATCGTTGAAAATAAATTTTTTTGAAGCTTGGAACGTTGATTTATTATTGTTTCATTGTGTTAAATCGTGATTTTCGGCTTTTTAACCTTTCTTTTCACTCAGGTACTTGTAAATTTTTTGCAAAGACTCTCAGAAAATCCAAAATAAATCGGAGAACGATTTTTTGCTTTTATATATTTTTTTAAGTTAGTCTATGCTTCTTTGAAAGCCTCAGTAAGGTCTTTCGAACAAATCTTTGTAAATTGATTATTTTTTTGAACAGTTTTTTTATTGTTCTCTTCAAAATTCCTGAATTAAAAAAATGAATTGATAACGTTATCAACCCATCAAAATGATAAATAATCTCCAATCTAATCCTTAAGTAAACTGTTCCTTGTTTTTTTATGGGGCTCTAAAAACGGATCAGATTTAAATTCTTTCCTTTTTTTAAACTTCCCAGGGTTTAAATTTAGAAAATGAAACTTTTTTTATAAATTTCTTTCCCACCAACTGAATCTCACGTCAATTAGTACTTATTAGAGCAATCAACTTTTTTTAAAGAGCAAAAAAATTAATTGTATTATTAATTAGAGTTTTTTTCAAGGCATCTTTTCCATTACGCTTCAATAAATTACTTAATTATCGTTTATTTTTGGACTTTTTAAAGGCGCAAGTGCAAAATCGCGTCAGGACCATTTTTTTTTGGAACATCATTCATTTCACCGATATGATTAATTATTGTAAAACTTTATATAACCTTTTTTTGAGACAGCTCATTAATATTCTATATTATTTTGAATCGTTTTCAAATCTTTCAATCAATTTTTGTTTGGTCTTTGAATTCTTTCTGCTTTCATTTCACAGTTTTCCGCCTTTTTCTGCGAAGAAAAGTAAAAGAAAAATGTAAAAATCTCTAATTTTCAGTCGAGGCGCCGTGATTGGTCGTGCTTGGGCGCGCCCAACTCGTCCAAACTTGATTGAAGGAGAGATTTCGTTTGGACGAGAATGAGCGCCCCTCCTCTGGCCAAGGTTCGTTTTTTTTTTCTTCAAAAAAAAAAGTTCGGACATTGATATTTATTTTATTTATTTCACTATAGATCCTACATTACTCCTAAAAAAATTTAAGCTATTTGAAAAAAATTGGATTTATTTAAAAAAATTATTAAAACGAATATGCTTGTTTGGATCCTAGAAAAGTATAAAATAACGGTTTTTTTGTTCAAAAAGGACATTTTTTTGCTCTAAAAAAATTGGAATTTTTCTCTATTTTTTCTTTAATTTTTTTCAAGTTTTTTTGAAAGTTTTTTTAATATTTTTAATTGTTAATTTTTAAGATTGAATCAACGAAAAAGTGGAAGAAAATAGTTTCAAAAAAATACTTTTTTTCTGAACAAATTATGAGCTGGAAACTGAAAAAAGTCGAATTTTTATATTTTTTCAAAGCTTCTATCACTTTTAAAACTTTCAATGATGTTCAACAGAAAAATTCATCCCGTTTACAAATTTTCAACTTTTTTGAACCTTGCTAGTCCCTTTTTTTACACAAATCAGCTCAAAAACCTTCAAAAAATCAGGAATTTTCGGATGGAAATAAAAAAAAATTATTTTTTTTTCCCCAACTTCTTAGAAGGAAAAAATAATAATTTTCAGTTGGATGTGCTGGCGAAGCGGCTGCTCGAGGGAGCCCAGCTCAAAACGCACAAATATTTCCGAATCGCCGTCCCCCATGCACTGACCGGCCAAAGTTTGGTGGCTCTCGTCGCCGAGAAGGTTGGATTTTCAGAAAATTCATTAAAAGTTTTGGAAATTCTTTCAAAACATTAATATTTGCTTTTTTTGATTTCAGCTGTTTTATGTATTTCATTCATGCGTTCATGTACTGTTATTTTGTTATTTCACTCCTTTTTTTCCTATTATTTCACGTTCTATGGTGTGTAATTGAAAGTCGCAATGGGTTCCCATAAACTTTGTATTTTACTATTTTATTTTTTTTCCTGATAAGGTGACTTTTTTAGGCTGCCGGTTGACTTTTCATGAAACTTGGCTCAAGTGCTCTTAAAAATTTTGAATTAGGATAAAGTTTTCGAATTTCGATGCCGTTTTTCTAATTTTCCTGCAGTTCTTCTAACTTTGGCTTTTGGCTCAAAACTGGCTTTTGTCTCTATTTTTGATGATTTTTTCAAGATTTTCTAACTTTCCTCCATTTTTAGCAAACCAATTTGCGCTATAAAGCTGATTTTTCGCGTTATTTTTTCAGGAATCTCTATGTTTTTTTCTAAATTTTCGCCTTTTTTCCCATCAGAAGCTCATTTTTCACTTCAATTTTCAATGACTCTCTCTAAATTTTAGGAGTTTTCACGATTTTTAACAGTAAAGCTGGTTTTCCACGTCATTTTCTGACGACTCTCTATATTTTCTGATTTTTTACGATTCGAAGCTCAAAAGCTGATTTTTGACCTTCAATTTGTGATGACGCTCTACAGATTTTCTAACTTTCCGCGATTTTTAGCACTAAAGAAAATTTTTCCGTTTCTTTTTCACGATTTCTCGTTAAAAAGCTAGTTTTTCGCTTCAATATCCGATTTTGTTCCTAGATTTTTTAAGTTTTTCAATTTTCAGCTCCTATTTTCCCTCGGAAAACAAGACTCTCTTTAGATTCTGATTTTTATGATTTTTTGCAAGTTTCCACCTCAAGAGTTGATACTTTTTAATTTTCCATCTTTTTTCATTAGACATTCTGAGATTCTTGGCTTCTCCAGGGGTACGCAGAAGACGAGGCGGAAGCCGTGCACATGGCGTCGCTCCTCCTGCAGCACGGCTACCTGTTCCCCGTGATCGAACACGCGTCGACGGTCCGCGACGACGGAACCCTCTACCGTCTCCAGAGACCCTACTTCTGGCCCTCCCACGCCACCCACACCGACAACGTCGAGTATGGTACGCGATTTAGGGCTTTTTTGAAATTCTAGTTTAAAAGGGTTGAAAAAAAGGTACAAGAAACTTGTGGCTCTCAATTTGCTTAATAAATTCCGGATTTCGGTCATTTTTGCCGGATTTTTTTTTTAAAATATTAACTTCAGTTGAGAATCTTTAATTGAAGGCAATACAAAGTTGTTGAAAGTCTTTTAAAGGCTATTATCGTGAAAATTCTAAAATTCAGGAGCTTCTGAATTTAGCGGCTTTTTTTCAATATTCAAGCAAGTTTTAGTGGAAAAAAACCGATTAAAAAGGGTCTTTATTATGAAAAAAGTTACTTCTGAAAGGATTTTTTGTCAATAACTACAGTTTCAAAAAAATTTCTATTTTTTTCATTTTTCATATATTTTTCGATTCACCTCCTTCTAATTTTTAAAAAAATACATTTAAATTTTTTTAAAATCCTCTATTTTTTTCTTGCTTTCTTGAGAAGAGGCAGTGGAAAATCGCTAAAAAAATTCGTTTTTTTCGTCCCTAGGCTTCATAGTGTTTTTCCTAATTGTTCTAAAAACCGTAAAATAATTGATTTCTCGTCATTTTTTTTTGCATTTCCAGCCATCTACCTAAACAAGAGACTACTACGGAATGAACAAAAAAACACGGTCTTGAAGAGGAAGAAGTCGAGGCTTACAATCGGTATTTTTTTATTCATTTTTGTGTTATTTCTATGTTTTTAGCAATGTTCATATCAAATATCTTGTCTTATCTATCTGAATATCGAATTTAAGATACAAATAATCAGTTTATACATTTAAAAAGTGATATATTTCTTTAGATTGGCTGAACTTTTGGCCCACATGTGGGGCTTCATCACGCAACAGGCCGAGATGCAATTGAAGCACCAGAAAGAGAAGAAAAAGGCGGATAAGGTTGGTCTCGAAGCTGGTTTAAAGGCGCATGGGCGTATTTAATAAAAGTCTCGCGGCGAAAAGCCTTTTTTTTTTGTTCTAATTGAGCTTTCTGAAGACTTTCGGACCCTCAAGCAAGGATTTTTGACGAAAAATATAAAGTTTTGTTCGAAATCCTCAACTTGAGAACGCCAGAGGGGCCCCTATAGGGGTTAGGGAAAAAAAAATCAATTTAAAAGACAAAAAAGTGGTTCCTATAGGGGTAAAGTTTGGTGGTTCTTGTAGGGATTCAGGGTATGATACCGAAGCCCCTTAAGGGGTCTTTTGAGTTTTTTTCTGTTTTTCAAATTGAAAAGACGTATAGGGATCACTAGAGTGGCCACTTCTGCAAGCTTTGCTCTTTCATTGGGAAATTTAAAAAGCCCCTACAGAGGAAACTCCAAGGGACCCCTGTAGAGGTCACTTTGCCGTTTCTAAGAAGAGCTAAAACGAAAATTATTTTTCAAGTTTTAGTCGCCGAACTGAAAATTATGAAATTTGAAAAAAGAAGTGGTCAAATTGGCATTTTCCTGTTAGGAATTTCGGTTTAAATATTTAATTCTGGCTATTTTCATTTGAGCCTAATTTTCTAACATATTCATTTTCTTTTATCCGTTAATACAACTTTAAAAGATAGAGATAAATAAGAAATAATGGGGGCCACTAGAGTGACCACTTCTGCAAGTTTACCCTTCTATTTGGGGAGTTTAAGTAATTCCTAGAGAGGAAACTCCAAGGGACTTTTGGAGAGATCACTTTGCCGTTTCTAAGAAGAGGTAAAACGAAAAATATTTTTCAATTTTCATTGCGTTTCGTTTGTGTCCATGAAACTTGAAAATAATAAACTATCAAAATTTTCCTTTTTTTTCTTCATTTCATGAGTAGAATTTTATTATCAGATGTTTACTCTAATACTCAAAATCAATCAAAAATTATTTTCAGGTAGTCTATGATTCGGAAGAACGGGCTTTCTGGAGGATGCGCAAACCGGGAGCCTCGAATTCCCTCGAAGAACACGTTGGAAAGGTTTCTTTTTTGATATTTTCTCAAGAAATATATTTTTAGAACATTCGCGAATAGTTTTAGTTTGATATTTAGCTTGAATTATTCTTCTCGGAACCTGTTAGAACTGAAAAATAACTCATTATTACTGCAGGTTTCGTAGAAAAAAAATGAGAATTTTTTTTATTTTTTGAAAAATTATCTGCAGTTTATATTTTAGTGGCCTAATCTCTACTACTTCATCATAACAACATTCAGAAAAATTACATTTTTAACAGGATTTTTTAGTTTTTCAAAAGGTCATCCAGTATAATTAATAATTTTCTTTTTCTCAAAGTTCATATTCTCCAGACGGAACGAAAGATCAGAAAACCGACGACGCAAGCCTACCGAAATTTGGTCGACCGGCTCAAATTTTCCCTGAAAACCAAGCCCTGGCTCAAGGCCCTCAAAGCCTCCGATACGTGAGTTTTTATAATATTTTCAAATTTTAAAAATCATCCTGTAGCTTTTTATTTTTTTTTTCGGATTATACAAGTTTCCTGGATTTTTTTGAAGTTTGAAAGCTTTGAAAAAAACGAAAAATTTTTCGTACCGATATTTTCAAAAAAACTCAGCAACTATGAATGAGGTATCTAGGAAAAATAATCCATTTAAGTTTGTAGTCTATAAAAATTGGCTTGAATTTTTCTGTTTCCACAGCCCTCTTCTCATAAAAAAAAAACTAGGGTTTACATATTTTCACGTAAAAATTTCGGTTTTCAAAGATTATTCCAAGTTACATAGGCAAAGTCGGAAGGACCCTTCACGGGCCCTTTGAGCGTCCGTTACGGATCCGTCTGTTTCCATTAATTTTTCCTGAACGGGTGGCAAAGGTTTCCTTTTTACTGCCTTTTTGCGTCCTTTTATCGGCCTTCATCCACCCTTTTTGGACCCTTTTGAGGAATACGATTTTTTTGTAAATTAAGAATAATCTTTACAAGTTGCTGTGTATGAACCACAACATGCTAAAGTAATAAAATCGGAAATCATCAATAGCAGAGAATTTCAGAACCCTTTTTGCGGCCTCTCCCTTTTTTCGCCCTTTTATGACTCTTTTTAGCCCACCAAAAATGAAAGGCTCAATAAAGGCCGTAAAAAGGGACCCTTTTAGCGGCCATTTTGCAGTCACTCCCTATTTGCACCCGTTTTCCGCACTTCCGACTTTGGCATTGTATCAGTTTTGAAAAAAATGAAATAAGCTAGAAAATCATATTTCTAATTGTTTAAAATTTTAATATAAGTTTTATTTCTTTTCACTTTTCAGAATGGTGACTTGGGTCGACCAAAGAGTGGACTACGATCCGTTCCTGACGGCTCCGCAACCTTCGAATCCCTGGCTGACGGATGACACCGGATTCTGGACCCTGAATACCGATACGTACGTTTTTCTTTTTATTTTTTGCCAAGGATTGAAGAAAAAATCTTGTTTTTCTATTCATTTGCTTTTTAAATATTGTATTTCATCGTTATTTTTTTCCTCAAATTTCGAGAAGCTTTTTATAAATACCGATGAATTTTTACTCAATTTTTTTCATAGTTCGGTGATTTTTTTAAGAAATATTATTTTTTTGTTTTTTTGGAACTTTACCCGTTTAAAAAGTATGAACATAATTTTTTTAACGAATCTCTCAATTTTGAATTTTTCCCTCTATGTTAAGTTTTTCTGCACTTCTGAAGCCTTTTTTTCATCACGAATTTCAGAAAAGTCACGTTTTTTTCTCTTATTTTTTTCTCATTTTCATGAAATAATTTTTCCGGAAACGTCTCTAAAAAAATCTCTTACCCAGAGAATTTAACTAATTTTTATGCTAAAAAGAAAAAAATAATTTTTCACTTTGATAAAATTTGATTTTTTTGAAATTTTAAAGTTTCCCCACGCCGGAGCTGTATTAAAATATCATTGAATGCTTCAAATCTTTAAATAACTCATGAGGATCCATTTTTTTTGTCTTTTCGCGCCATTTCATCGGCTGTTATGCACCATTTTTGCTGTCTTTTCCTTTTTCCACCATTTCTTGAGCCTTTAAAATCCTAGAAAAATGGAAGGTTCGATAAAGGGACTTTCTTGCGGCTTTCTGGGGCCTTTTTGCTGCCATTCTGCGGCCTTTTTTGGGCCTCTCCCTCTTAGAGGCCATTATCCACCATTTCGACTATGTATCAAGAGAATCAAGAATGAAAAAATGTCTTGCAGCGTTGAAATTCCGACGGAAAGAAGAGTGAAACGATGGGGACTTTCAGTACAGGAACTCGTCAAAGATCCCATCGGGCGACAGGTTTTCATCTTCATTATCCTTTTTTAATGTTTCAAAACAATTTCAAAAAATAATTTCATCAGCTGATTCTCATTAGACGAATCACAGATAAAAGAATGATGCCGTGTTCAAAGTAATTTCCGCGAAATGCAAAATGATCTCTGACTCTCCAAAATTTAGTGATCTTTTCCTTTCTCTAACGGGTATTTTGCATTTCGCGGAAATTACTTTGAACACGGCATGAGCTTTCATAGTTTTATTAAAACGTATATTTCATAAGCTTATTTGTTCTTTTTTTCATAAAAAGGGCAAGAATTTTGCGAATTTAATGTATAGTTTTTTTAAGATTTTTTTCTAAATTTTTTTCATGAAAAAAATATTTTATGTAAAATAAGTATATTTTTTTATTCAATTTTTCTTTTGCTTTTTAGCTAGTTTTTTTAAATTAATATTCGAGCAAAAAGCCAAAAAAATTCATTTTTGAGGCTTTAAATTCCCGATTAAGATGAAAATTTGCGTTCAAGAAGCCTTTGTAAAACCGAAAATTCTAAGAAATTGGTATAAAAATTGTGAATTTGAACTTCAGCCGATTTTTTCATGAAAATCAGGGAATTAAAAATGAAACTGGTTAAAATTTTTGAATAAAAAAAGTATATTAACAGTTTTTTTATAAAGCAATTGTGTGATATCGAAGTTCTGGAATTTCAGAAACTTATCAAAAAAATCACATTTGAATGAATTTGAATGAAAAGAAATTTTTTTGTCGGAGTAAATCATCCGGGAGCTGAATACAGAGAATATTAGACGCAATTTTTTTCCTTTCCTTTCCAATCAATAATTCAATTTTTTTCAGGTTCTGGAAACGTTCCTGGAGTCGGAGTTCTCCTCGGAGAATATTCGATTTTTGGATCGCGATCCAGGATTTGAAGTTCTCCCCAATGAGCAGATCAATGGGAAAGTCGAACGGATCCGGGAAGAGTTCCTGGCTCAGGGGCTCCCGCTCAGGTTTCTATTTGAATAATGTATTTTTTTGAAAAAAAGTAATTTATATGTATAATTGTCTAAAAATTACAAGATTATTTGGGAATATTTGAACGACAGGAATTTTTCCTTCTCTCGAAAAAAAGTTCGAAAAAAAATTTTTTTTCTCTTGTTTTTTTCAAAGGTTAGGAAAAAAATCGGAAACAGCTTCAAAAAAATTTTTCTTTTTGAGAAAAAAATTCGGAACATAATTTTTCAGTCAAACCGCGTTTTTGAAGAACTTTTTCCCAGTTTTTTTGGTTTTTATAATATAAAAAAATTTGATTACACAGATCAGTTTGGAAATCATTTTTATCCGAAAAATTATGATATTTTTGAGGTTTGAAAAAAACATTTTTTTGGATATTTCAAAACTTCTAAAAATACTTGAAAAAAATTTTTTTGAGACGAAATATAATCGATTATGCTCCCATTTTCATAGTCTCAATCCCTTATTGAGTCCAAAAAAATTCAAAAATGAGTGCAGAAAAAAACCTTCAAGCCAGATTTAACCGGGAATTTTTTTATCATGCTTTTTTTGAATTTCTTGAAAATTTTTTTTTTAATTTTTCAAATTTCTTCAAAAAAATGTTATAAATTCGTTTGATTCATCAAGTAGTTTTTTACCTCCCTTGGAAGTCTTGAAAAATTTCATGTCATACGATATCTTTCCATTTGATAATATTCTAGGTGAACGTGGATTCCCGGACGCTGGACCAGACGCTGGACTGCCTTCGGAAGGCGACGACGCCTTCCCAACGACGGCACGCCTTCTACCACTCGGAGGAGCACGTCTTCACCCTCATGGCCAAGGACTCCTATCCCCGATTCGTTAGGTCCCAGATTTACAAGGTGATTCAGAGTTCTAATACCTTTTTAGAGCCGTTTTTTCAGTAAATCAAGGATTTTTGTCATATTTTGGCTTTCTAGGAGAGAACTTAGTAAAGGATACACAAATTGCGGAACCTGTAGAAATACCTAGTCTCAATTAAAGAAAATCATCTAAAATTCGAAAAAAAAAAGCCATTTTTCGACTTTTCTGTTCGAAATATGGTAATTTCGAGGGTTTCACGTTTATTTCTTGCCAAAAAAACCGTATACCATTGTTGTGAATTTCGCTTCGAGACCTGTATTTGAATTTTTCGAAGGGTCTCGAAGCGAAAACACAAAAAAAAAATTGAGTTTACAGAAGTTTTTCGAAAAAATGACCGGAAATACTGCCTGTTAAAATTTTGAATGTTAATAACACTGACGTCATTAGAAAACGCTCTCTGATTGGTTTATCTCGACATTAGGGGCGGAGCTTAAGAGACGAGTTGAAGTTCAAAATCTAACCACAGTTTAACGCTGATTCTGACGAACCCTCTGATTTTCAGGGAGTCCTATCAGCGGCTCAACAACAAGGAACTCGCCGACTCGGTTGGCGCAACTTCGTCTTCAACATGGGCGTGACGAAGAAGCCGTTGGGCAGCAAACAGCAGAAGGCCGTCCGGGAAGAGGCCGCCGCCGCGTTGCCCAAGCAGCTCAGCAGCGACTCCTTGCCCGTCCGACAGGCCCACGCCGTCAAGTTCGTTATAGCCTATTCCGCGCCAGCTTGTCACGTTTTTCTTCCCGCCAAAAAAGACTGTATACCAAATTAGATCAAATTTCTGCTTTCATAACGGCAAGAAACAAAGGTCTTGAAGCGAAAGTTGGTTAAATTTGACTTGGCTTTTTGGCGGGAAGAAAAACGTGACAAGCTGGCGCAGAATGGCCTATACTTAGTCTGCTTCAAGCAGCTGACTCCGCCCCCTTGGCTACAGTATCTTTCGCGTCGATGGTCCTTTAATAGCGCTGAATTTTTTTGACTTCTTTTTTTCTATTTTTTTAGATCAAAAGCGCTGTAAAACGATCAGTCCAAAAAATCTGATCAGAAAAAATTCTTCTTTATATTCACTCAAACAAATATAAAATTACAAGGCTCAGAATCTTTTAAGAAGATTAGTTCCATTAAAAAAAAAATGGTTTTTTCAAATTTTTTGAAAATTTTCACCTCCAATCCTAAAGTAGTCAGTGTTTCAAGAAAAAAAAATTATTGAACTTTTTTTTTCCAGTTTTGATTTTTGCTTCAAACCGGTTCGAAAAATGTTAAATTCCAACGAAATATATAGGTTCTTTCTTCCTAAAATGACTTCAGGGATCGAAAAATTAGAGAAATTATCATTCTCAAAAAAAGATCGTTTTGCTCTCCTTTCTTAGAAAAGAGACCTTTTTGTCTGTATCTTTAGAAAGGTACCTTATAGCCTTTTGACCTCAAAAAACAAAAATGATTCCTTAAAAAGGCATTCAAACATGTTAAAAAAAAGTTTTAAAAGACTTATCCTTACAAAAAAAATTCATTGATATATATCTCCGGCCCTCCTTTTTTAACTCCGAGATAAATATTCGTTATCAGGGAGCTTCAATGCTTCTCAAACTCGCCGCCGTGTAAGCTCATTTTCATTTTCAATTCCATCTTTTTCTTTCTTTCTCACCATTTTTTGTAGATTCCAATTAACTCACGCATGTCATAAAACCACCAATTTTGTAGATTTTCATAGTTGATTCATTTTTTTCCAACATGAAATTTAAAATCTCCATTTTCAGGATCGATCCGGAATGAGAACCTCTTCTGCTGCCTTTTTTTTTTATAAAAATAGCTTTATAGACTTTTTTTTTCCTCGTGAAGTTGAATTGAGATTTTCTAGTCGTCATTCTGATATCATAGTTCGTAACTTGTCATTTTCTTATCAATTTTTGTAAAAAGCATACTTATCAGCATAATATATCACTCATTACCAAGAAATGTTAAATTTATATATTTTTTTGCAATTTGCTGGTCTTTTTCTTGTTATGTTAAAAGCCTCATGCTCACGATTCTATTTTTTTCTTTTTTTTTTCGCTTCCTAAGCATGATTCGGCATTTAGTTTTCGACTACTTCGACACGAAAAGCTTCAATTTTTAAGCGGTTAAATCAAAAAACGTCCCCCTTGTTATCCTCTACATTTCAATACGATTAAACACAATATCAAAATAGTTTTCAATTATGTACATTATTTATTTCGAATGTGTAATTGGTTAGGCTGTTTTTTTATGGATTCTTGCGAAAATTATGAAAAGGAAGATTTTCTAAAATTTAGCTGTTAATGATGTTTATGAATTCGGAGAAAAAGCGTTTTAAAATTATGAAAAAAAAATTGTTGTCGGATTAAACGCCAATTCCGAATGCACACTTCTACGGCCTAAACATTTAAAATGACGCCAAAACTCAAAAATATTTCCTTTTCATAATTTTTTTCTCAAGAATTTTGTTGATTTAGTAAATCTTGCGAATGTATCTGTTAGGTACGACCTCTGACGCTGTTTTTTTTTTTGAACAAAAAACGTTTTCAGTTCTTTTTCCCTTACTCAATACATGTTAGGTGTTGATTCGAAGCTGCCTACTACCAAGATTCTTCTCCCAATGCGTTCGATTCTTTTTTTTTTTTGTTTAGCGATTTTCAATGTGTTTTTCTTTGTTTTATAAGAGAAATGAAAGAAAACTATCGGTATTAGAGGCGTTAAAAAAACAAATATTCATTGACAAAAATGTACAACATTTCGTTGGGCCACGGGGAAAATTGAAGGCGAAACTACTCGGAAATGGAGAAAAGAGATCGAAGAGCAGGAAAAGGGAAACTGAAGTTCGAGAAAAAAAACAGGAGGATACAGAATAATTGAAGGGATTTGGCATGGGAAGTGGAAAAGGTATCAGAATTCGATAATACTCTATGGATTTTTTTTTTCAAATTTTAAATTTTAAGGTACTTTTTTTTAACTCGCCTAGAGTCGCAAATTTTAATTTCTTCTCAATCAGCAAACTCGGAAATACCTAATTTTTATCGAATTCTGACATCATCACCCTTCAAATTGGAATAAAAGGTAGATAATTATACGGAGTGAATAGAGAACCGGTGCAGAAATTTCGCCCTCAATAAGGACCTTTGGGAATTCCGAGAGGCGAGGGATGGCTGGAAGAGGGCTGGGAGGCCTGCGGGACGAGCATTTTGGCAAACGGGCTGATAATGGGAAGCTTGGGCTGGAGCTGGACCCGCGGCTGGAGTCGCTGCTGGGGCTGGAGCTGGATTCGGGGCTGCGCGTGCGTCTGGAGGAGCGACTGGACTCGCGGCTGCAGCTGCTGGTTCATCTGCGGCTGCACGCGCTGCACGTAGGCGGGTCCTTGGGGAGGCAGGCCGACGGCTTTCAGGCCGGTGACCTGAGGGCCTACGGGCACTTTAGGGCCGACGACGGGCTGTGGCGGGGCGGGGACTGCGGGCCGCGTCGCCGGACAGTGGATCGCGACTTTGAAGACGAGCCGGATGTTGGCGATTTCGATCACGTAGTTGTCCTTTACTTGCGTCTTGAAAGTTTGAGAGTTATTTTATTTTGCGGTTGGGAATTTATTTGAAAATTGGCCTTCTTCTTAATGTACTAGATGGAGTTCTTGAAAGGGTCAATCACAAAGTTAGGCCAAAATTTTTCGTAGGAATCAGGAAATGATACTTTGTTTAGGAAAGCTAAAAATGAACTAATTTTTAGGAAATTTTAATTAAAAGTATTGAGATCATCGAAATCACCTTCATATTGGTCGCGACAGCTTTTCCCTCGACGAAAATTGGCCTTCCGCCAATATTTTCGATGATAAACTCGTTGGTTTCACGGTTATAGTCCAGGATGGCTTGTCGGCGGGAAATCTGCCAGAGAAAATAGATTGAAACTGATCAGAGTTATGAGTAATGGGAATCGAGAGAAAAAATAAGAAGGAAACGATCTGCAAATTAAAAATCGAGTTTTACCATCTTTACGCCGAAAACCAGAAACCAATGGTCGTCGCGTAATGCGCATTTTTCAAAACGCGCCCGACTCAAAACGGCTTTCGCGTGGCGAAGCTGTTAAATTTCTCATCGGCTTCATAATCCATAAAAGCTTGGGACGAAAGTGCTACACAAACTTCGAAGCCATTTTTTCCGCATTTATACGAAATTCCCTTCAAACCAGCGTTGAAATATGACGATATTTTTCAACCGCACTGCGACCGCGACGCGCCGAGCCATTCCAAATGCGACCGATGCTTTCTTATCTCACCTTGGTAGCCGGTCCTTCCAATGAAAGGTCCACATCTACACGGCATCTTGGCGTCGAGCGGCCAATCGTAATTTTGTCGGTTCGGACGACAAATCTCAAACGAAAACTATAAAAGACTAGAAAAAAAGAAAGTTGCGATAATAAGCTCCATTGAGACAATTTTCAAGCGAAAATTGGAAGGTGATCCTGAAATTTTTGGGTAGGTTGTTCGGAAAAATGCAAAGGCTGTTGTCAAGCGATTTATTCATAGCTTAGACGAGTTTTTCTTTTCTAGGGTTAATAATACTAAGCTCAAAAATTCTGAACGTTTCCTTTTTTCATAATTTTGCGGGCGAAAAAAGCTCACAATTGAAAAAATTCTCAAAAAAAAATCTGCTGATTTATTCAATTTTAATGCAAATGCGCTCCATGGATAATATTTTCTTAAGGATCCATTTTGGTGTATTTTGAATGATTTTTTTCTCTCATTTCTCACTGCTTGCCCTTTTTTTAGTAGTTTAATCGGTAAGACAATTTTCGCGTGTCTGCGTCTCTCTGTTCTCTCACGAGGTCAGAGAAAAATGAAAACATCACGGCAACATGAGAGGGTCCCCGAGAGACAGGGAGGGCGCAGAGAGTAGGTAGTAAATATTGACGCATTTTAAGAAGATTCTTTTCCATTGGTCTACGACCAAATCTCCAAAAGCTAGAGAGCACTGGTAAACAAGAGAGGGTTCAGAGAAAAAAACGGCCGCTCTCTCATTTTTCAACGCTCTCTAACTGTCGAAGACTGTTTTTTTTTTCTACTAACCTCACAACTCTTCCTTTCATGACGGCGATGACCGTCTCGGAGAACTTTTCGGTGGCGATTCCGGTGACTGGCGCCACGGCCACTTTTTGATAAGGCGCCGCGATTCGAGTACGGGCGATGGCTGTTCTAAAATCTTTTTTCAGTGGAAAACTCCTTTTTTTCAACAATCAGAGACTTTTTTTTTCTTTTTTTTATACCTCAAGGGCCTCTGATAATCGAAACAGAGATCATTGTTGAGCTCTGTAGACCGTTCCACACGTTCCCAGTCGATCGGCGGCTGGTATTCGAGAAGAACGAATTGAGTCAGAAGATTGTTTCTGAATAAAATCGAAATTTTTCATGGAACATCAACTAATGGCTCATTTTTTTATTCAACAGGGCTTTTTTTCTCGTTTATCATGCATATTTATTAATAGGAGCCGATCAAAAAAAGCAAAAAAATGAATGAAAAAAATTGATTGGGAAGATATAAACTTTAATTTTTTTTTTTCCATATTTTAGAAAGGGACAAAAAAAACAACAAAAAAGCACCGTATCTCAAAATATTTCTACAGTAACCCACGGCGTGGTATACTGTAGAAGTCTCAAAATTGAACTATCTATCGATTGATAATTCCTAGATAAGCAGGTGATACCCTGCCTACAGTAACCTGATTATAGTGAGGTACATTACTACAGTAACTCGGCTACAGTAAGAGAAAATGGCTCAAAAAATTGGGTCCACATTTCTGATGATCAAAGTGGGTAAATTCCATCAAAAACGAAAAATGAATTTTTCTGTTCCCGTTTTTTTTGTGGGAACTTCTCGAAAATTACAGGGAGTCTGATACCAAAAAGAAGATTTTCCAACCCTTTTCATCTTTTTTTTGAGAAAAAGAAAAAAAAACGAAACTGTTTCATGCGATGCCAATGATCGTGAAGGATTTGCGGCGTCCGTGCCGAATGGAACTTTTCCCTGCAAACAAAATAATTATTTTCAGGTTAATTGGAATCTTCTCACCTGTGCTCTTTGAGCAGGGCTTCCAGAATCTGGAGAGTTGGAAGCGGATTCGCCGGAATTCCGGCCAGAACCATTTCTTCTTCTTTTGTGAACGCGGTTCTTGACTGGAAAAAAACATCCATTTCTGACTATTTTTTTTTTTGAAGTTTGAGCTTTTTCCCTATAAAAGAAGTTTGAACCACAAAAATTTGAGCTCGAAATGAAAAAAGCCCGCAAAAAACAGTTTAATTAGGGATTCCAGAGTGGTTCCTATAGGGGTTAGGAAAATAAACAGTTCCTATAGGGGCCGAAAAAGTGGTCCCTATAGGGGTAAAGTTAAGGTGTTCCTATAAGGGTTCAGGGTCTGACCCCATAGCCGCTAAAGCTCAAGTGGCCCCTATAGGGATCTTTTAACTTCAATCAAAACACGCTTAACTAACTAAAACCCTATAGGAACCACTTTTACGAGCTTTAGTGGCCCCTATAGGAGTTGGTAAAGTGGTCCTAGAGAAGACCTTTTAAGGGCCCCTAATGTTGTCCCTATAGGGATCACTCTGGAGTTCCTATGTAAAACTTCAGAAATTTCAACTAAACAGGCTTTGAAGTAGCCTCAACAAGAATATTTCCAATTTTCGCTTTTTTTTCCACAGATTTCCATAGTTTTTTTCTTTTTTCCTTTTCCGAGGTTCATAAAAACTAAAAAAAAGCCAAAAAGTGTCATTTTTGCCGCCTTTTTTTCAATAATAACAAGAAATTAATGCGCAGATGAATTTCTGGCACCTGTCAAAAATAAAATAATATTATGTTTTTTCTGAAATTTGCCTAAATAATCCTGAAACCTCCCTACATCTATTCCGTGAATTTTAGTACTTGTGAGAAATAAAAAAATTTTTTTGATTTTTTTGATTTGATGATTGATTAATAAATCGTTATAATTTTTAAAGCTCAAAATCAATTCACCATGTTTAACTGCCGCTGGAAGACTAACGTTTCAACTTTTTTTCGAGAAAAAAACTTTAATTATTTTTTTCTGAAACGTATATCACTGAGGTATAGAAATGCTTCCTCGAGGGGTTATGTTCCAAGTGAAAATGTACAGGAAATCGTATATTTTTTTGCTTTTTTTCTTTATTTTTCTTGAAAACTATCGAAATTCTAGCAATTTTTTTGACAAAAAAATCTAAAAAAATTGGGTCTTTTTTTCGGACTTTGAAGGCTTTAATTCAATCTTAAACACTTGAAAATGTGAAAGTTTGCCTGATAATCTGTTTTATGATATCAAAATTAGAAAAAAATAAATGGAGGATGGATTCTGAAGAAAATAAATGATAAAAACCTTCAAGAAAAATGGAGTCTTGTAGTTTAAAAATCAAGCTCAAAACCTTGAAAAACACCTGAAAAAAATCCTTAGAAAAATCTTAATTAAGATCAAAATGAGACAAATTAAATCCACGACAGTTTTTGTAGGAAAATAATTGATAAAACTCTCTAAAAAATATAGATTATTAATAAAAACAGGTAGAATTATCAAGCAAATTCGTAACGAAAAAATCTTTTTTTTTTGATATTTTTTCCAACCTGAATCCTCAGAAGGTCTTCCGGCGTCAATTCGCTGATCCTTTTACGGGCTAGTTTCGAGAACGGCTCGTTGTACAGCAGCTTGTACCATCTGAAATTGCAAAAACTTCTTGTTTTATGAAAAAATAACTGAAAAACTCTTTATCTGATGAATTTAGTGACAAAACATTGTAGAATTAACAAGAAAAGTCAGAATGAAAGGAATTTGAAGGCTTTTTAGTTGATTTTGTGATAGTAAAAACAAAAAAAGGATGAACAATATGAAAAATAGTAGGACTTTCAAGATTTTTAACTTTTTTTACTGTGAGATGAAGGCCGATAAATGATTGATCTTACCTTAATGGGTCCTTAATAAAACGGTGAATATTTAACAACACCTTAATAAGCCCTTAACAAAACCTAATAAATATTTTACCTTACCATAATAACATTAAATGAAACTTGATACCTTTACCTTACCTTGATCAATCCCTAATGAAACTGTAACATTACCTTAATAAATCCTTAACAAAACCTAATAAATATTCAACCTTACCTTACTGAATCCTTAATAAAAACTTCATAAATGTTTAACTTTATCTTGATCAATCCTTAACAAAACTTTAAGATAACCTCGATAAATCTCTGAGCCAAACCTAATAAATCTTTAACCTCACCTTAATAAATCCTTAATAAATCTACTACATCTCCCTCTTTAACCTTACCTTAAAAACCCCTTTAAAGAACCCTTAACCTCACCTTTCTTCAACATCGGTCAAAGAGAACGGCTGACTGAAGCGGACGTTCTGATAGACGGCCGTGAGGTCGCCGACCTGTCAATCAATTAAAAGTTGATTCAATCAATAATCACAAATATAAACATGAGTAGCTGCCGTGATCAAGGAGACGTCGTCCGTGACGGTCCACGCACGCAAATCATCATTCGCCATGGATTCGGCGGCTTCCGTTGCCGCGGCTACCTCCTGAAATCATTTTTGCTGGAAAAGTCGGTCACATTTTTATAAAGTTTTCAAAACTCGAAACGTTTTTTTAGCCTTATTAAGGTGTTAACGGTTTTGAAGTACCTATTTCTTCACTATATGACGAGTTTCGAAATCAGTTTTTCGAAAATTCTGGCCAATATATTTATACGACTTGAAATTTCACGGAACGACATTCCGCTGTGCCGTTGCGCGCCTTTGCGAACCGCGGTCGCGCTTTTTAATTTTTATTTAAGTGCTCTACTTTCATGTGCTCCCACAGCAATAACAATCAATTGAAAGCGTGACCTAGATTCGAAAGACGCTTCGCGAACGCACGCAGCGGAACAGCGGAATGTCGTTCCGTGAAATTTCAAGTCGTGCCACACAGACTATATAAAAACTCGCTTTTTTTTCTGAGTTTTCCCATTTTTGTCGAAAAGTGCTCTTTAATCTTATTCAACACTTTTTTGCCCTTGACAAAATTCAATTTCACGTCAAACCAAGAAGGGTGACAAAACAGAAAAAGAAAATTTATTGAAAAAAACACGAAAGTCTCTTTAAAGCCTCTAGTATCCAGAAAATTTCTACTGAAAATTTGTATCGTTTGCGATTTTTTTGAAGCACTCTAACTCGGAAGAAAGATCTATTATTAAATTTTTTTCATTTTTTTGAAATCTGTTGCCGTTGAAGTGCACTTACTTATCAAATGGCACCAAAAAAATTCTTTTTTTAGAAAAAAACAAATTTAAGAGTTAAAATTAATAAAGAACGACAAAAAAATGGTGGAAAAAAACTACTCAGGCAAAGTTGGAATGGTGGATAATGGCCGCTAAAAGGGAGAGGCTCAAAAAAGGTCGCAGAAAGGTTGCAAAAAGGGTCTCTCTATCGATTTTTCTGGGATTTCAAAGGCTCAAGAAATGGTGGAAAAAGGGAGAGGCAACAAAAATGGTGCATAAGGGCTGAGAAAATGGCGCAAAACGGCAGGAACATTTCTATGGAGCCTTTTTCGACCCTTTTTCGAATCTGCATATGTATAAAAATTATTTGAGAAAAAAGAAAGTTAGAAAAAACTGAACTACTAATTTACTGTGGAATCTCAATATTTTCTTCCTGTTTCAGTCAAAATCAGAAACGTTTCCACAAATCGAGAATCCCTACCTTGCTCCGAATGTCTTTGTTCGCGATTTTTCTCCTCACTTCCGGTTTTGCGACTGTTTCTTCGCCTCCGGTCGCCTCCGACGTCTGGAAATTCGCGAAAATCATGAATTTTCACTAAAAAGTCCTGAAACTTGTTTCTCATCGGTGCTAGTCGCGATCCTTTTCTTCAGAGAAATCTTGGAATCTGCTTTGGAATGAGAGGGAACTGAAGCGTCTTCCTGAGTTGAAAATCAATAAAAATTGAAGATTTTCAATAAAAAGAACCTGATTTTTCTCGCCTTTCGAGGGTTCTTTTTTCGAGGCTCTGGATTTGGAAATGGAAGGAATTCTTTCGCGAATCGTCGGCGTTGGAGTTGATGATTCGGGGGTCTCGCCTTTTTCCGAGTTTGTTCCTTGAATCCTCAGTTTATTCAGTTTGCGATAAATAAATACTTAAAGACCATAGGAACACTCACAAAAAATCAAAAAAGGTATTCAAAAGTTAGGCGGAATTATAATTTCCCATTTTTTCCAAATTCGTGATTTGAAATCTAAATATTCATAACACCTTGATTAAAAAAGCGATAGGTTTACGGTCAATACTTAGGAACCCTAGAGTGGTCCCTTGGAGAGTCCACTCTATGGGACACTTTAACAACCCCTAAAGGGATCACTAAATCTTGCAAAAGTGAGCCCTATAGGGGAAATGCTTAATGATAATTGTTATGAACTCCAAACGAAGAAGCATTTCCATTAGAAAAACTGAATCAATAAGCGTTTTTGAACGAAATTGAAAGACCCCTATAGGGATCACCTTAATTTTAACCCTATAAGGACCACTTTTTCGAGCCCTGTATGGATTTTTTTCCCCTATAGGGAGTACTCTGGAGTACTTCTAAAATTGGACAAAATTAAAAACAAGGAGTAAATAGGAAATCTATGCAAAAAAGATTGGATTAAATTCATTGAAATTTCATTTTCCTGTTTCAATCTTAGATAAACTCGAATAGTACTTCAAATTTCCCGTTCATCAAAGGCTAGGTCCACTGAATAACCATTGTTTTTTTACTTTCATTCCAAACTTTAATTTAAGGTTTTTGAATTCAATTTTTTTAAAATTTCCTATCGACTCATCTTCATCGACTTTTTCTGACAAATTTTAGACAATTTTTCCAGATTTTTGAGAGTTAAAAAAATCAGTTTCCTTGGAAAAAAAATTGTTTTTTTAACTGGAAACCGGTCTTCTCATTTTTTTACTGAAATATTTCATTTTATGGTAGAAAAAAACACCCAATTTATTTCACAACTAGAGAACTCACAGTTTAAAAATTTTAATTTTTAATACAGAAAAAAATTCCTTATATTATAAACTTTCTATAAACTGTGTATTTCAAGAATTTGAAGAAAATTACCATTGCTGGAAGAAGAATTCGAACGTTGCTGTACCTCGACAGACTCCGAATTCGAGTGGGAACGAGCTCCAACTACAGCCGGAACACCGGTCAAACTCCTTTTCGCCTTTAAAACAAATCAAATTCTGCACAAAAAACAAAAATCCAACCTTAACAGGAGAATACTTGATCCCACTGTCGACCAATTCATCGTCAAACTTGGGTCTTTTGATTTCCCGAGTTGTTCGTCTGATCCTTGGCTCTTCTTCGGCTCTAAATATCCTGATTTTTGAAATAAATGGGGCCAAATCAACCCTGGAAGAGATGCGATCACGGCCTTCGCATCAGAATGAGCTCTTTTCCGCATCGGAGGGCCGGTTTTTTCGAAAGTTTCTGGTTCCGGCGAGTGCGATGAAGCTTTTTCTGGCTTCTCCTCAACTTTAACAGAAAGTTCCGCCTTTTCTTCTTCCACTACAGCTTCTTTTGTTGATGAGTCATCCTTTTCTGGATTTTCTTCATGCGGAACTGCCGATTCTTGAGTTTCGCTTTCCTGTTTCTCCACTACCGGATCTACTTCCAAAGGGACTTCCAAATCTACTTTCTTTTCTTCTTTCGGTTCTTCGTTCATGGAAACGTCCATTGAAGTATCCAAATTATCGCTTTCACTTGTCGAAGCGTATGAAACTAATTTCAGTTGCGGTTGATCGACTGATGGTTCCGTCTCGGTTTTTGGAATATCTGCGACTGGAGAAGATTCACGGGTCGTATGTTCCGACGGAGGTTTTACAGATTCGTCCATAACTTTTTTGATCTGGAAAATCGTCAAAACTTCAAATTGCGAAAAAAAAACACGAATCTCGGATGTAAACTTTGAAAAATGTCTCTAATTGACAGCAAAGACTGCAAGTATCGCATTCGGCCTACACTAATTTATCTTAAAACAATTTTCAAATGCTATCTTGCAAAAAAAAATTCGAAAAAAAAACGAAGCCCAAACGAAAAAAAAACAAGCAGCGCGAAAAGTGCTCCAAAGTGAATGTGGCCATTTGCCAACTGTCTCAAGGGTACCGTATGCTAGGAACGCGGTCGCAGACCGCCCGGAATCCATTCCCACAGGCCTTGAGCCGCCCTGCCTTTGCTTGAATTACTTTTTTGCTTTTGGAAGACTTTTCCGAGCAAAACCGGCGAAGATGCTGTCAAAGAGGATCATTACTGCGCTCGGAAACACCATCAAGGTAAGATTATGCTTGAATTTATTGTTTTTCACCTTAATTTGCGTGTTTTAGGACAAAAATTCATATTTTTCAAAACGAAAATTTATGTTGCTTTTCTTCCCTTTTTTTGTGATTCTTTGTTCCTTTTTTTCGTTATCATATCATTGAATTTTAAAAATTCTTCAGCATGCATCACGTTCCAAACTCTTTCTAAGTTGTTTTTATTTTTGAGATTTGTTTAAAATTGAAAATTTTTAAGCTCAAATCCAGTTTTTCGATAAATTAGGTGTGTTTTCAATTTTTTTCATTTCATTTTTCTCATGTAATAACTAATATTTTGAACTTCAACTTTGATCAACGAGCTTTCAGGTGCAAAATGCCGGTATCGCCACCACCGCTCGCGGCATGGCTGCTTCTGGATCGGAAGTTTCAAAGATCCTTGAAGAGCGCATCCTCGGCACTGACACCGGAATCAACCTCGAGGAGACCGGAAAGGTAATTTTTTTTTCATAATTTTCATAAAAAAAGAAAAGAAATATTTTAATGTATTTCGTTTTAAATATGACGTTGTTAATTGATAATCATCCTTCAGGTCCTTTCCATCGGAGACGGTATCGCCCGTGTCTATGGATTGAAGAACATCCAAGCCGAAGAAATGGTGGAATTCGACTCTGGAATCAAGGTGAGCGGTTTCATAATTTATTTTACTTTTCTTCTTGTTTTACTTTTTCTCGTTTCACAGATTTTGAATGAATTTAATTATGGTTTTTAAGGGAATGGCCATGAACTTGGACGTTGACAACGTCGGTGTTGTCGTGTTCGGTAACGACAAGGTCATCCGTGAAGGAGACATCGTCAAGCGTACCGGAGCTATTGTCGACGTCCCAGTCGGAGATGCCCTTCTTGGACGCGTCGTTGACGCTCTTGGAAACCCCATCGACGGAAAGGGACCCATCGCCGCCGCCAAGCGCTCTCGTGTCGAGACCAAGGCTCCCGGAATTATCCCCCGTTTGTCTGTCCGCGAACCTATGCTCACTGGAGTAAAGGCCGTCGACTCGCTTGTGCCAATTGGACGTGGACAGCGTGAATTGATCATTGGTGATCGTCAGACCGGGTTTGTAGCTTTTATTTTTGAAATGATATTTTCAAAAAATATTTTCAAATTCGGTAAGAGTAGAGATTTTTAATCAAGAAGTCAATTTTTCTTACTTTAGCAATACGAGATTTTGTTTATTCGCCACTTTTTTTTGGAATCGCCTCGCATAGTTATATAAAATGTTTAAAATTGCTTTTTTAAAGATGGTATTAAGTAAAGTTAGGTCTCAAATTTTTGAGATCGAGCTTTGATGCAAAATATTTTTCTTTTCTTGTTTTTTTCATAGATTTTACTTCAAAAAGTTAATGAACGTGTTGGAAACTCCTTGTGAGATTTTAATAGGAAGACTGAAAAATTTTAGAAAGGTCTCAAAATAAGGATTTTTTTTAGAAGTTAGAGATCATTTCATGACCCCGTTCTTTTAACACCTCAGCAAGACACTATAAATATCTCATTAGATTTTTCTGTTTTTTATGTTTTACTTTTCAGAAAGACCGCTATCGCCATCGACTGCATCATCAACCAGAAGCGTTTCAACGACGCCGGAGACGACAAGAAGAAGCTTTACTGCATCTACGTCGCCGTCGGACAGAAGAGATCCACCGTCGCCCAGATCGTCAAGCGTCTGACTGACGCCGGAGCCATGGACTACACCATCGTCGTGTCGGCTACCGCCTCTGACGCCGCTCCTCTTCAGTTCTTGGCCCCATACTCTGGCTGCGCCATGGGAGAATTCTTCCGTGACAACGGAAAGCACGCTCTGATCATCTACGACGACTTGTCCAAGCAGGCCGTCGCCTACCGTCAGATGTCTCTTCTTCTGCGTCGTCCTCCAGGTCGTGAGGCCTACCCCGGAGATGTCTTCTACCTCCACTCGCGTCTTCTCGAACGTGCCGCCAAGATGAACAACTCCCTCGGAGGAGGCTCTCTGACTGCCCTGCCTGTCATTGAGACCCAGGCCGGTGATGTGTCCGCCTACATCCCAACCAACGTCATTTCCATCACTGACGGACAGATTTTCCTCGAGACTGAGCTTTTCTACAAGGGAGTCCGACCTGCCATCAACGTCGGTCTGTCTGTGTCTCGTGTAGGATCTGCTGCCCAGACCAAGGCCATGAAGCAAGTCGCCGGTTCCATGAAGCTCGAGTTGGCCCAGTACCGTGAGGTTAGAAATTTGACTTTCTAGCTGGATTCTAATCGTTTTTATTCAGGTCGCTGCCTTCGCTCAGTTCGGTTCTGATCTTGATGCCGCCACTCAGCAGCTTTTGAACAGAGGAGTTCGTCTTACCGAGCTTCTCAAGCAAGGACAGTACGTTCCCATGGGTATTGAAGAACAGGTTCGTTGCCCGCGAATTCGATCCAATAAAAATGATTTTCTCTAGGTTGGTGTCATCTACGCCGGTGTCCGTGGTCATCTCGACAAGCTTGACCCCTCTGCCATCACCAAGTTCGAGAAGGAATTCTTGGCTCATCTCCGCTCCTCGCAACAGTCCCTTCTGAAGACCATCCGTGAAGAAGGACAAATCTCGCCGCAAACCGATGCTCAGCTCAAGGATGTCGTCACCAACTTCTTGTCCACCTTCAAGGCTTAGGCGATTAATATCATTTAGAGCATTGTTGTTTTTATTGTGTTTTTTTTCCGTTCGAATTTTTCTCATGTAGAGTTCGAGATAAAGAATAATTATAAGTTTTGGGCGCCGATTCCTTTCGTTTTTTCTTCGATAATTCGATTTTTTCAATTCCGTTGTTATAGATTCGTTCAATACAAAATTTCCACTTTTAAATCTGTTTTGGTGGACGCACACGAGTTTTCACGGAGAAGTAGATTTGTTCTAGTTTTGAAAATGAAGTTTAGTTTTTTTTTTTTTTTTTTTTGCGCTGTTTTCATCGGCAGGGGAAGTATGTTCAGCCAAGAGGAGATAATTGGAAGAGATCGGATATAACTTCAAGGTTACTTGCGCCTTTCCGATCGCCGACATAACATTCTGATCGATAGCAGTGCGAGGAGTTGCCTTTGATAACGTTGCTGGCTTTTTCTTGTTTTCAAGACCTCTTTGAGTAGGACTTTTGGTTTTTTGAATTTGCTCTCAAGGTTAGCAAATTTTTGAAGATTCGGAAATTTTTTTAGCGAAAAGTGTTTGTAGTTTGATCTTTCCTTGGAGGATTCCCATTTTTTTTGTCATTTTGATCGCTTCGAATGAGTTCCGGGGAAATTGGAAAGAAGATTTTGGAATTTTTTTGCTGAGATTTTTATAGTCAAACTTGAATGGATCTGGTTCTAGTGTCTTCAAGCTCCATTTGAGAACCAAATAAGCTTCCAAACTTCCGATTCGACTCAAAAGGCCGGCGTGGAAGAAGCGGAACGTCTCTCGGAAAACGCACCCCCGTGGGCTGCGGCCGCCGGTTTCTCTGCGCTCTCTGCGACCTCCGCCGTCGTCGTTCCCTGTCTCGGGGGCCTCCTGTACGCTTTGTACGTACAAAATTCCTCTCTTCACTTCTTCATCACACCCAAAGATCGTGTTTTCTTTTTTTTTCCTATCCTTTTTGGTCATATTCCTCAGGTTTAGCTCAAGAAATCGGCGCAAAAAACCCGTTTCTGATTTTTCAACGGGAAGCTCGTAAAGTTGTAAATGCTGTGAAGTTTGGAAGGCTTAAAATAAGATCCGAAACTTTTAAACACTTCTTTCGGAAAGTTCACTCGTTTTCAATCCTTCAAAAGCATTTTTTTCTCTAAATAATCCTTCAAAATGAACAAAGTACTTTTAAGAAAGTAATTTTGCAAGCTGTTCGTTTTTTTTTTTCATGATTATGATGCCTTGATTGCTTCCCAGTGTTCTTGGCTCAAAATTCGAAATTCGTAGGGTTCTTATATCTTAAAATTTGGTTTTATCAAGTTTATATATCAATTATTTTGATCGGAAAAAGAAAAATCCGTGGCTTTTTTTCACTAAATTTTGCTCGAAGTTTTCTTATTTAAGCTGAAATAAAGGTTATTCTTGTGAAAAGTTTCCAATAAGTTGCTGAACAATTTTTTTTGACGATTTATTGAATTTTTTTAAAGTTTACTGCTCGCTTCACATCTTTACAAACCTTCATTAAAATTACTTTTTTTACTCCTTGAAAAGTTTGTCGAAAATTTCTAACTTTTTGTGATGTTTTTTTGTAACGTTCTCAATTTTTATATCTTTTTTGAGCATATCTAAAATTTGGTGTTTTACCCCATTTGTTTTTTCAATTGATTCCTTTCCATATTTTGAGTGGGAGGTTATGATTAATACCTTTTCGAGCATTCTCTCTGAATGACTCATCTCCTTGGAAAGGAAAGGAGTATACGATGAATGATGGGAAAAGCATTTATTTTGGGATAGTTCGTTGTTTCTGAAATCGCTTGTAATCTGGTTTTGGCATTTTATTTTTTCCTATCTTCTTTATTTTCTCGGTATAAAATCTTAATAATTATTGCTCAAACTGTCATATTCGCTGTATTTTTCAATGGGTAGTAGGAACGAAACATGTTTCAAAAGGCTAAAATGTGTTCATCGTCCTCAGATTTGCTCCGAAAAATTTTTGTTTTGTTCGATGAAAAATTCATAAAAAATGATTTTTTGCTCTGAAACCTTGGGAAAAACTGTATTCAAAACCCTCAAAACAGAACTTTTCGAACAGGATTTACAAATTAATGCGTTCCGAATACCTTTTTATCGTTTTTTACCTTGCCAAAGATATTTTCTTTCAATTTTTACGATTTTTTCTATTTAGGTGGTTTTCCGATCTTGAAAAAAAGTGGAAAATGAGCCACAAAGAGCAGCAAGAAGAGGAGTTGGAAGCGCTCCAAGCCATTTATTTAGAAGAAGAAATCAGCATTGAAAATAACGAGTATCCGAATATTCAACTCAACATCAGCATCAAATCGAATCACGTGAGGTTTTTTTCGTCATTTCGTAACTGATTTTTGAAGCTTTTTCGGTTTTTGCGTTATAATTCCAAAATTTTTGATTTTTCTGGATGAAAAATTGTAGGAAATATTCAGGATTTCCATTCCTCCCATCTTTTTTTTTTACAGAAGTAAATATTAGGCAATATTTGTAGGCCGACGAAAATGACGAGGACGATCACGACTTGGTTGTGACTCTTGATTTCAAGTTGTCCGGAAAATATCCCGATGAGGTTGGCTTTTTCAATTTTAGATGGGTAAATTGTTGTTTTTTAGGTACCTGAGTTCACTATGGAAGGACTCGAGGACGAATTTTCCGAAGAAAGAATTGAAAAAGTTTTGGAGGTGAGTTTTATCATAGGCGATGTCGGGAAGGGTGGAAAAGACTATAGAAATTTTCCTTTTTGCTGCCTTTTTGCGCCATTTTCTCACCCCTTATGCACCAATTTTGCTGCCTCTCCCTTTTTCACCATTTCTTGACCCTTAAAAATCCCAGAAAAATGTTAGGCTCGAAAAAAGGACTCTTTTTGGGGCCTTTTTGCGGCCTTTCAGTGGCCATTATTCACCATTCCGACTTTGCCCGAGATTAATGGTGGAGAAGAAACATTCGAAACGCAAAAAGTAGTAGTAATTTTTTTGCGTTGGAGCAGTTTTGTTGCGTTTTTTTAGCCATCACCGAAAAATATTCACTTTTCATTCAGAAACTCAACGAAGAAGCTGAAAAGAACGTCGGAATGCCGATGATTTTTTCGATTGTCAGCGCTCTTCAGGTTCATTTCTTTTCTATTTTTATTCATTCGTTTGAAATTTGTGTTTTTTTGTTTCATTGATGGATTTTTTTACAAATTTTTTTCATGAGAAAGTGTGTTTTTCAAAGCTTTTTTTGAAGCATTATAAATAAGCATTTTTTTGAAAATGAATCCGAAAAAAATCGCAAGAAGCTCCCTTCCTAATTTTTTTGTTAATAAGGATAATGTTTTCATTGACTTCAAGCCGTTAAATTTGATATTTTCCCCAAAAAAAATGGGCTTCTGTAATGAGCTATGAACAAAAAAACAACATAAAAAAAGAGGTCAAAAAGGTTTTTCGGAAGCTTTTTTTGATTTTTAGAGTTTTTTTCAAAGTTTTTTTCATTAATTTTGATATGCTTAAAGTAATTTCCGCGGAATTCAAAATTATCTCTTACCCTCCAAAATTTAGTTATCTTTTTCACTCTCTGACGATAGTTTCAAATTTCTCGGGATCACTTCGAAAACGGCATTTTATTAATGAAAACTGCTTCATGGACGGAAAAATGAAGCCACAGTAAATGAAAATAGTTGAATTTTCATACTATTTTCACTTTTTCTCCTCAAAAATATCACATTTTCTCCATCTTCTAATTTTTTCCTTTTTCCAGGATGAAGTTGGCAACTTGATAAAAGAAAGGAAAGACGCCTCGGAAATGGTCATCGAGCAGGAAAAGCAGAAAGTTGACGCGATCAACCAGAAAAAGTTTGAAGGTTTCGTCCTTGGAAGAATATTCCTTGATCATCTTCCTTTTTAGGAAATATTGTGACGCCGGAATCCTTCAAGGCTTGGAAAGTAAAGTTTGATAATGAACGGAAGGCGTTGACGGAAAAGGCTGAACAGGTTTGCATCTCTTTTTTTTTTCGAAATGCTCCGAAAAATTTTTTGAAGATTTTATGTGGAATTTTTCAATTAAGCCTCATTTATCCAACGTCAAAGATGCTAGAAAATTTGATAAAATAGTTTTCGATTTTTTTTTTCCAAATTATTTTTTATCCTCATTTTTTTTTGCTGTGGTGAATGTAGCTGAAGCATTTAAAAAATAGCTTTAATTTAATTTTTTGTGATGTTTTAGGATATTCAAATGAAGTTGAGAACGAGGAAAATAATAAAAATTAGTCGCAGAAAAAAATTTTTTTGAAATCAGGTTTTTTTGAGAAAAAAATTTGCTTTGACAGGTTTGAAAAAAAGGCGCGAATTATTTTTTTGAAACTTTTTTTGATTCTTTAACTGGATAAAGTTTTTTTATCGCTTAGAAATGACCATAAAAGATGAAAAAAATGTGAAGAAAAACCCTTAAAAAAATATTTTTTTATACTTTTTTTAATAAGCTTTATAACCTATTTGAGCTGAAAGGCTTATTCTGAGCAAAATTTCAAGAAAAAGACAGTTTTCCAGTAGCAAACCAGTCGTCTCAGAAAAAAATTTTTTTGAAAAGTATTTCAACTGTTTTCAAACTTTTAGGCCTTATTCGAAATGGTTCTGATTAAGAAAAATGATGGAAGAGCATAGAAAAAAGAAATTTCCAGGATCGGTTGGCGGCTTTGGCCGGCCGGTTAACGGGTAAAGAGCTGTTCTTGAGGGACGCGACCCTGAATTTGTCCGACGTCGCCCTGCTCGACAACGCCGCCGAAGTCGAGATCGACGAGTCCCTCTTCAACGATGTTCGTCTTTTTTTTTGAAACTGGAATCTGATTTTGATCCAGAAATGATTTTCTAGTCACAGACAAAGTTCAAACGACCTCAAAAAGGTCTCAAAAAAGACCCTAAAGCTCCTATTTTCGGCCTTCTTTTTTTGAGTCTCCTTAAGAGAGGTTTTTTTCAGAAAAAGGTCGAAAAAAGATGCCTTTTTCCGGTTTTTTTTAGACCTTTTGGACTTTGCCCGTGTTTGAGAGAAGGCTCCCAGTCTTGAAATGATATTTTTCAGCTTTTAATTATTTTCTCTTATTTTGACCCCGCGCCCTTTTCTGAACGCTGAGAAACGATTCAAAATGCTGATTTCAGAGCCTTCATTTGGTGAATCGAATGGTTTTTTGAGACGATTTCTAGGAAAATCCGGATTCAAATGACCTGAAAAGCATGAAAATTTAATAGCTGTTTCGTTTGATTTCATTGTGATTCGAATTTTTCGCAGGACATGGAAGGCCTCGACCTGGATTCAGATTCCGACGACGAAGATTACGAGGAAGAAGAGACCGACGACGAATGATCAAAATGTTGATTTCCTGTTGTTTTCCTGTTATTTGATAGCATTTTTTTGATTTTTTTTTTGATTTTTTCTTTGTTGTCGATTCCACGTATAGCCAGTGTACCACGACTCGGAATTTCACGGAACGACATTCCGCTGATTACGCTGCGCGCCTCTGCGAACCTCGGTGGCGCTTTTAATTTTTTTTCATTTTATAAGGTGCTCTACTTTCATGTGCTCCCACAGCAGTAACAATCAATTGAAAGCGTGACTTAGATTCGGAAGACGCTTCGCGAACGCACGCAGCGGAACAGCGGAATCTCGTTCCGTGAAATTTCAACTCGTGGCACACAGACTATATATATATCAAGTTTTCGAAGCTTCATGATTTCATTTTTCGACTTTGTTAAAAAACATCGGGTTCTCTTCTTTTTTCTTCAGCTCCCCCGTGTTTTTTGAGTTTTGCGATTCTTGTCGGTATTTCCAAGTTTTTTGTTGAACTTTTTTGATTGAATAATATTTATTGAAACTTTAAAGCACTCTTTTTTCGTTTCAGTGGTACTAAAGTCCACAATTCTTTTCTCTCTTTTTTTAAACTTTGATTTATTGCCCCATTTTGAAAGCTCTGATCGCATTTAGTATGGATCAAAGCGAAAATTTTGAGGTTCAGTTTGAAAATTTTGATTTATAATGATTTTTTTGGTTGTTCGGTGCAAAAAAAATAAGAAAAAAATACTTTTTTTGTCTTGATTTTTTTGCTTTCTTAAATCTATTCCTACACTTTTGAGCCATTTTCCATGCGGCCAAAATCTTTCAAATCTAATTCCGCCAAATTCAAAAAACGCCGTCAGAATGAAAAATATGACTGAATTTCGGAAACTCAGAGATGATTTTTTTTTAAATTTTTTTTCGCGGAACTTACTCAAAAAACGGCATGAGCAGTTCAAAATTAATGATATTGCAGAAGAGAAAAAGACAGGAAAAAGAGGCCAAGTTTCTCTCGAATCGATGTCGGCCCACCTGGACGGCTCGTACAACTCGAGTCGCGACTCGGCCAACAGCCAGAATTCGGTAAGCTTCGAGATTTTCGCCATTTTCGATAAAATGAATGAGAAAAGTTCAGAAAGATCTAGAAAAAGAGTGAAGTCCAAATGGCCTCAAAAAAAAGAATCTAGAGTCCCTTTTTGAGTTTTTGAAAGTTGTTCAAAGTTTCTCGGATTCTCCATGTTTCACCTTTCTCCGTTTTCTTCATTTTTTTTTTGCTTAAAAAGGTCAAGAAAAAGGCAGCTGGTCTTTTAAAAGCCTTTTTTCCCAAGGTTTTTTTCAGGTCCTTCTGGACTTTTCCCGTCGAAGAAACGTTTCAGAAAAAAGATCTTGATAAGGGCTTCCTAGCTTCTTTTTTTTTGCCACCAACTCATTTCGAAAAGTTCCTTAGGTGTTGCTCTTTTTGGAAGATGTTTCAGCATTTTCTTTTAAGGCCTTCTGGACTTTGCACTGGTTGTATAAGTTCAGAAATTGGGAAATTTAAATTTTTTTTTGTGAATCTCAAATGTTTTTTTTTTGATTCTTTAGAGGCCAAAACTGAAATGGCTTGTTAACTTTTTTTCAAGATTAGGTAATTATCTTATGAACCACCTCTCGAAAAGATCAGAAATCGAGAAAATAAAAACTTTTTTTCTGTGAAATGAAAAAAATGACTCTTTTCAGTGAAATCAAAAAAACGCAGAAAAATTTGACCCCAGCAAAAAAATTTTTTTGAAAGCTTTTTCTAGAATTCGGAATTTTCCCGACAGATTTGGATGTTTTGCTCACCTTTTTTTGAAAGAACGGTATCTAGCTGTGAAAACTTTTTTTTATCTTAGTAAATCACTGAAAATAACCCAGAAAGAGTGAATTTAGAAAGTAAATCAGAGAAATCATGAAAAAAATCCTGTGGCCAAATTTTTCACAATTTTTTTCTAACTGTCCAGAATCTCATGCAGGAAAAAAAGGCTATTTCTGTTACTTCATTTTTTTCATATTCCTGCTTTTCAGACGTCCCGACAAAGTCATTTCAACAGTTTCAACGCTGCCCCACTACCGTCCCTATTACAGGTGTTCCAAAAAATACGAACGTTTTCTAAACTTCACTTCAGGTAAAATCAAAGTTTGACGCCGAATGGCGAAGGTTTTCGATACCAACCCAGACCGGCGCACCGAATTATGACGCTTTTCGGAGGTTTCGAGTCAGAAAATATTTTTGAAAGGATTTTTTTTCAGATTAGTCGAAAAGCTACACCATTTGAGCGGAGTACAGTTTACGCTGTGTTACAATGCGAATTCCGGCGATTTGCTCCCCATCACCAATGACGAGGTTCACAAAACTGTTTAAGGAAAAGTAGAAAAAGAAAATTTTCGAATTAAAAAAATGATACTATTGTGTTGGCTTACAAGAAAACCAGATTTCAGATTCCATTGAAAACTTTAAAATCGTGGACCTTATAAAAAAACGTTAAGTTGGACTCTAAAGTGGCCACTAAACCCACCTCTGTAGGGGCCACTATTTTCCGTTTAAGTGGTTACTTCAGTAGTTTTTCATCCTGTATTCCTTCCAGTAACTCTGATAATTTTAAATCAAACAGATTGGACCAGTTATGTTGATCCCATTGACCCCTAAAGTGGCCACTAAAGTTTTTAGTGGTCTAGTAGTAGCACTTCGACTTTTAAGGTGGCCACTAATTTTTAACCCCTCAAGTGAACACTAATTTGACTACTATAGTGGCCACTAAAACATCAAAACCCTATAGTGGCCACTAAAAAATTTCCCAGTAGATGAATTGATGTGATGAGAATAATTTTTGGGAACGCCAAGTGGTCCCTAGAGGGGCAACCTTAGGGGCCTTTGAAAGGTCTTTTCTAGGAACCACCTTACCTCCCTCTGTAAGGGGCAATAAAATGTTTGAAATTGGTAACTTTAGGCGTTTTATTTAGTGGCCAGAAGAAGCATTTTCATGCGAAAAAAAAATCAACAAATTAGCGATTACCAGATGAAAATATCGACAGAGATCAGTTTGTATTAAATACGTTTTTCAAATTTTTGAATCGGAACAAAAAAAAAATCAAAAGACCACTATAGGGACCACTTGAGCTCATTTCTCCCATTATAAGACTGTTTTTCCCCTCTTGGGGCCACTTTGGCATTTCTAAAAAGCCTTTGATTGGAATGTTCATCGAATTTGAAATACAAAAGCTCAATTTTCTCGAAATTTTTCTATATTTAGAGAGAAAAAATAAAGAAAAATTTTAAGAAAGTTCTGAGGATAATTCGAAACGATCGTGGTTTTCTAATTTTGAAAGAAAAATAATGAGTTTTAGAAGATTTTTCTGTACTCAAACGTCAAATTTATTCTTCTAGGGTTTCCTTATTTCGACTTTCCTTTTTAAACGTTTCAAAAAAAGTATTAATTTTAGAGGAACATTGCTGTTTCAGAATGTGGTTTTGTAAATGAAAAAAAAGATTTGTATGTTGGACGATGTTCACAGATATGAAGAAGCTGAATAAAAATTGTTCAGAACCTTCGAAAATCCTTCGATTCGGCGCGGCCGCTACTCCGACTATTGATCCAAAGAAAAGGCGAATCTTGGGAGGAAAAATACGGTTATGGAACCGACAGTGAACGGTTTTCATTATCTTTTCGGAGTTATTGAAGAGATTTTTGGATTTTCAGAAAAAGGAAAGGCCTATCGTCTTTGATAACGACGCAGAAAACCCCGAAAAGGAATTATTCCATTTCGAATCCCGAAGATTTCCGACAGGTTCATTTTAGTTTTGAAGCTCAAAGTGGTTTCGGTGATTCCAATATTTACGCGTTATTTTTTTGGAATGATTTTGCGAAAAATGAATTTTGGAAGCCTTACAACGATATTCATATCATGACTTTTACGCGCAAATTTGAAATTATTGAAAAAATGTCCACTTTTTAAATATGGAGTTTCGTGCGTGAAAGTCGTCATCTCGTTGTTGGATCCGATTTTTTAAACGACTCCCAAATTCGCGAATTTTCAGAGTTTTTAGAGTTAATCAACTGAAAATTGCTCTATTTTTTTTTTGAACTTGTTTATTTTATCGATTCTCCTATTACCGATTCTTCAACAATTCTGTGATTTTTCATTTTCGGCCCCAATAAGCCATTTTTTTATTGTTAAGTTCTGATCAATTCACTTTTCACTAGGGATCTTTAGACTATTTTAAAGGAAATCTATTTTTTTGAAGTAATGCCTAGAAATTCAAAAATAACCCTAACAAGGGAGGTCATTTTTCTTCGCCATTTGAACTTTCCTAAAAATTTGCTCAAACACTCTGAAAGTCCAGTAGCCTCTTCCTGCGCAAACTTTTTATTTTTTTGAGATATGATTTTTTTCAAAGTTGCGAAAAAAATGGGTATTAAGACTAACTTTTTGACCTTCAAATTCAATTATCTTAAAAAAATATAAGTTGCAACTCTGAGGGATCTTAATATAAACTTTCAGAGATAATTTGAGAAAAATTTGTAGAAAATTTCAAACCGCCGAGTATAATGACTTACCGTGTGAGAGAGTAAAAAAATATAACTGAATTTTGGAGAGTTAGAGATAATTTGCAAGTTCGCGGAAACATAAGAGCTGTATGTAAAACGATTAAAAAAACGTTTCATTGATTTTTTTATGGACTTTTTTTAAATTTTTTTCTTCAAGGTCTCGGCGATTATTGACGTTGATATCGTGCCAGAAGCACATCGAAGGGTCCGATTATGCAAACACGGCTCCGACCGACCCTTGGGCTTCTACATCCGGTCCGTTTTCAAAAAATATGTACAGTAAAAATTTAAAAAAAGTTAAAGTCAGAAAATTAAGTTTTTAGATAGAGTTGTAGTCCGTTTTTCGCGACTTGAAAGGGCGGGTCTCCTCAGACTTCTCTGCGCCCCCCCCCCTTGTTTCTCGGTGACCCTCTCATGTTTTCGTGCTATTTCCATGTTTCTCTGACCTCATCGGTGAGGGAACAGAGAGACGCAGACACGCGAAAACTGTCAAGTCGCGATGGATAGACTATAACTACATATATCTGCTTGAAATCTCACAAAAGAGGCTGTCAGACTAATTGTGTTTTTGGATTTAAACGACCTCAAAAAGTTGTGAAAGAACAGGAAATTCATTTAACATGGTATGGTCGTATCAGTATTTCAATATTTTTTTTATAATAATACTGTTTTTAAAAAGATTGGAAAAGGAGATCTTGTAGAGACGGCACATCAGTCCGAGTAACGGAACGAGGAGTCGTCAAGGTCCAGGGAATCTTCATTTCGCGGCTTGTCGACGGCGGATTGGCCGAATCGACGGGTCTTTTGGGCGTCAATGATGAGGTTTCCGCGGAAATAAATTAATCTTCTTCTTTTTCTTCTTCCTACGTCTCTACTGCTTGAGCGGCGTCGGCGCCCCAAGTCGATTAGCCGAGATCCTATCCTGATATCAGTGGACTGGCTCCAGTGACATATCCGTCCTTGTGTGTGACGGCTGGGGTCGTGGTTTCCCACTACCAACATTTCTTAAACCCCTTGGTTGGGTCGAGGCGGGGATCGAACTTGTGACCCTGTGGACCGTAGACAGGCACACAACCTGTTGCGCTACGGCGCGCCTCGCGGAAATGAATTAATATAAATCAAAAAGCTCATATAATAAAAAAATGATGTTGAAAAACTATGTTAATGAAAACGAATCAGCGTTTATTGAATGAGAAAAATATCAAAAAGGACATCCAATAAATAAAAAAACAATGTAGACTCTAGAACCCCCTCTTCAATTTTTTGAATAATTTTTTTCTCCCGTTATTTACAGTACCGTCAGAGAAAAAAAATTTTTTTTCACTTATAGCTTCCTCGTAAGGAGCTCAGTCTTTTTGGAATTCTATAAGCTGCGTTTTTTTTTCTGCGAACGGAAGTTCCACCAGAGACAGTTGTTACAACTTCAGAACGTTTCAGAAAGATTAGACTCCATAAAAGGAAGTTGTGATCAAAAAAGCGTATTTTCCGTATTTTTTTTGACAGAAATTAGAAATAAATCAAAAAAAAAAAATTCGAAACAGAGCAAAACTAATTGCAATAAGATCTAAGGACTACAAAGTTCAGCAGTTCAACCGAGTTGAGAAAAAGTTTAATTTCGTTTGTCGATGTGGTTTTTCAATAATTTTCTATCTGAATTTTTTTAGATGACGTCGAATAAAAAAAGCTTTAGTTGAAAGTATTTTTCAGGTCCTGGAAGTGAACGGAATCGAGGTGCAGGGAAAGACGCTCGACCAAGTCACCGACATGATGGTCGCAAATGCTCATAATCTCATTATCACCGGTAAGATTTCCTTTTTCATAATTTGCTTGAGAAAAATGTTATAGTTTTTTTTGTGAAACAGTTACAAAAAAAAACAAAAAGAACCCTGAAGAGTTTGTTTTTTTGAACCCTGACTAAAAAGATTTTTTGGGACTTTTGAAAAAAGGAAAATCTCTATTTTGCTTTAAAGCTGATTAACGGCTGACTTGAGCCATCAAAAAAGGGTCCCGACACGATAAATAAAGAGACAGTGCTTGGTTGGTAGAGAGCGCAAACAGGCCGCACCCCTAGAGTCCTGAACTAGCTGTTAGTCGGTTGTAATTCTGACCACGGATCATCCCCCGCAGAGTTTGAGGAGGGTAGGCCGCACCCCGGGGTGGGATCCAGCCGACGTATACCCCCCTCTTTTTTTCTGATCACATAAACGCTCTTATTTTTACTACTTTTTATCCCTTTTTCGACCAGGTTTTTTTGCTATAAATCTGTCTTTTTTTCTCTTATGTTATGTTTCGATTCATGATTGGTGACCAATTTTCCTTGCAGTGAAACCAGCGAATCAACGGAACACGCTGTCAAGGGGGCCGAGCACGGCAACGAACGCTGGCCAGCCACCGACGAGCCGCAGCCACGCCAACCTGAACCTCGGCGGGACGGCCAACAGCAGCTACGACGGCGGATATCATCCGCGTGCGGCGGCTGCGGCGGCCGCCCGCGGCGATTCTGATTCCGGATCCGACGACGAGGTCATCGACTACCACCACAAGTGATCCCGCCCATCGCAACAGAAAGTTCCTTGAAAAAAGATCTTCTAGGGATCCTTTCTTGATATTTTTTGCTTTCTTTGCACTTCCCTCGATCCTGAGTAGCTCAAAATCCTAGAGCAAGTGAAACAATTCTTCTGAAGCTGTGAAAATCAAACCAAAAAAGGATTTTTTGAAAGATTTTGAGCTATTTTTGAGGGTCCTGCCAGGTATTTTTTCATTGTGTGGCCTCTATTTGGATCCATTCTTTGAAAATTTTAGAGAAGATTCAATTGGAAATTCCCATTTTTAGAGGTTCAGTTGCAGTTTTAGGGCTGAAAATTGAAGATAAAGGTGAAATATTAAGGAAATTTTGAAATTTTATGAGCTCCTTTTTCACCAACTAGGGAGCAACTAGATTCAGACTAACGGAGTATAGAAGTCAATATAATCATTATTTGAATCCACACTCTTACCCAAAGTTTTCAAACCCCGGATCAATCATTTTTGAACTTCTAGGCTTCAACTTGTTCAAATTTTGTCTGTTTTACTCTGCTAGAACACTTCGAAACCTCTGGTCGCATCTAGAATGGCTCAAAATGTTGCAAGACCTCAAAAGGATAACCGCGACGCAGCCGCTCCGCGTCGAGCCATTCTCCATGCGACCAACCTGTCTCCATGGTATTCATCTGCTCACACGTCGAATTTCCCCAGATTTTTTCCCCTTTTCAGGTTTTTCTTGTTTAATATTCCCTACTTTTGTTGTGACATTCATTAGCTCATATCAGAATTTTGTTTTTTTCCGAGGTTGTACATTTTCCTTTCACTGTGTGAGTTATAGCTGGTTCTTTCTTTCACTTTTTCTTCTGAATTTTCGAGACCAAATTATTTTCTTTTCTTGTATTTTTTCTCGGTTTTTCTCACCTTTCCGTGCCCATCTGCGTAGCTGTGATTACAAGAATTCTTTGATTTTTTATCCCGTTGGAATCCATTTTTTCCCCTCAGACTTTGTTTCCTCGAAAAAGTTTCGTATTTAGGTTATTTATTGATTTTTTTGACCTTTGTTTCACGTCGAACAAACGATAGATTTCAAATCAGATCATCTTTTCCCAGAATTTCCGAAATCAAAAAGATATTTGCACTGGTACCAAATCATCCATTAAAACCACTCAAGTGTCCTTTTCAAGTGTCTTCCGACCATTCAAAAAATATATTTATTTATTTATTCGTTTATTCCATCTCCTCGCCGTTTCGAAGGAATTTTTTTCACTTATTTGTTCTACTTCCCTCACGTTTCTTGGTGCGACCGATTTGAATATATTTCTATAAACACTTTCTTACTTGTTTTGTTCGTTTTTTTGAGAAAAGAATGTAAGTTCGATCTTTATTTTGTGAAAGGAAAATTTTTTTCACTAGATTAGTGAGTTTTTCTAACAAGATGGAATCCACTACTGACTTTCTGAAAAAAATTTTTCTAACAAAAAAAATTATTTTTTTAAATTAGATTAAAAGAATTTTTTTATTGAAAAACTAGTCACTTTTAGAGACTTTGAAGGTCCGTTTTTTTTTCTTTGGCCTCAAAAATCAAGAAAAAATCGCCCAAAACCTTCGAAACTTGACTTTTTGATTGAAATCGTTAAATAACTTTATAAAAACGTTACGTAATTTAAAAAAAAGTCAGATTAATTGGTTTTTAAGGTTTTTCGGAGCTTAATTATATTAAAAATTGACTTGAACCCTGAAGAGCTCACTTAAAATCAAAGAAATAACTTTTAAAAAAATTTTTAAAAAAATTTTTAAATCACATGAGACGTGGATCCTCGAGGAATAGATACGAAAAAAACTGGTTAAATTTTTCACTTTTTTTAAAAATTCGAATACTTCAATTCTTCACAGTTTTCTGTTTGAGTCAGATCATTTTTCGGTATTTTTTCCAGAAATTTCTTTGATTCGACCGATGAAATGCTCTATTCATTGGTTGTGAAGCCGATCCGTACAGTAATCCCGGGTTACGGTAGCCGTCCGCTGGCCTCTGACGTTTTGGCGGCTTATTTGGAGAAGCGTCAGTTTCCCAGCTGGACCAGCTATTTTATTCGTTATCGGTTCGTTTTGGGCTCAGAAAAAGGGAAATCTATGTGAAAAGACAAATATAATAACATAAATGGATACTGTAGATTATTTTCAGCTGTGATAAAAAATTGAAAAATTTGCTTGAATATCGAAAAAGTACTTTTTTTCAATAGGATGCTTGGTTCAGCTTCAAATCGAGGGTTTCTACTCTGAAAAATCGATTAAAAAAACAGAAAACACACAGTGATAATAAAGGAAACACAAAATAACGCTATCCCAATCGAAACCGATGTAAAATCATCATTTTTCACCAGAAAAGCATTCTTGCGATCAAAGTTTGCAAATTATACATGAATAGAGAGCTTTGGTGACGAAAAGAACTTTGGTGACAACAGAAAAAATTGAAAATTGAAAGAATCGAAGAAAAAAGCGAAAGTCCGAAAAATGGCGAAGCCTGTTGTCCATAGAGCGACTTTACTGCGAAGCGCCCTTTTTGCGGGAACTCAAACTTTCCTCCCTCCGACTTTGAATTATTTTTTCTTCAAAACTAGGAACTTCTGTGTGTTTACAAGTTCCCCGTTCGATTTGCGATGAAAAGCTCTACAAAGTACTGCTTTGAACTGAAAAATCGTTTCTTACTGCCCCTATGCCTTTAAAAAAACGTGATCGCAAGTAGAATGGCTTTTTCCCTCCAGAGTGGTCCCTATAGGGGCAAACTTGGGAGCCCTTCAAGTACCCCTAGGGACCACTTAAGTTTTACCCTTATTTAAGCAGTTATAACCCCTATAGAGACCCCCCTGTCGTTTGTAACTATAGTCAATGTCGTTAAGCGAAAGCCGGTTTTAGTCGGGTGCACTTTAGAGCAATCGCTTGGCGGCCGAGCCATTCCACATGCGGTCATGTTGGATATTGCTGATTTTATTGCATCTTCAGAAGAAAGTTAACCAGAAGCCATTTTTATATATTTTATTTTAAGCTGTTTATATTTTTTTGAATAATAGACTCATTTGAATCGTTCCTGACCAGTCTGCGCTCTCTTTTCTCTCGCAACAAGAAGTTTCTTTTCCAGCGACATCCAGGACAACGACTACGGCCGCAAACACTTCAACTTCTCGGTCAAAGGGCATAATTATCACGTTTTAAGGCGAGTTTCCCTGGGATTAATCATATTTATGCATTTTTCAAATCTCTCATTCTTCTGCTGTAAAATTCATCATTAATATAATAGCCATAAACTTTCAAATTAGGCTGAAGAACAGGCGAAATTCATTGCCATGATCAGGTGTGTTAAAAAAATATCTTGGAAACGCCAGAGGGGAAAAAAATTTTATTTTTTGATTTTAATGAAACTTCATTCAGCGTGATAACCAATCATCAGAAATGCGGACACAACTTTTTGAGTCATTCCCTCTTACTGTAGCCGAGTTACGGTAGGCAGGTGGGCACCTGCGTATCTAAGTATTGAACAGTTTTTACTAGGCGAATGATATATCAATCGATAGGTAATCCAATTTCAAGAACTTTTACAGTACATATCATCTTGGGTTACTGTAGGAAAAAAGTTCCTGACGAAAATTTGCATCCTAGAGGGGTAAAACTTCAGGGGCCCTCAGAGGGGTCAATAGTCTTACTCCTAAGCGCTTAAGTGGCCCCTTTAGGGGTATTCAAAGTTTTTGTTATGATCTGAAAGTTGAAGAGACAGTTGATTTTAAAATTTGTGGGTTTTTTCGCTGTTCATTATCTTGTTTTTGTACCAACGAAATACTCAATTTCGCAGAAAGTCTGTGAAAAAATAGATTAGACCTCCCTCTTTCGATTCATGTAAACTTTACTCTATTTTCCATAATTTTTTTATTCCGTTTCTGTTTTTTTTTCTCTATCAACTCTAAATGGATTAGCGCAACCAAGCCTTGTGAACATTGTATAAAATCTTTTTTTTTTTCTCGACTCTGTAGATTGCCTAAAACGCTCTGTGGATGGCTCGCTTTCTGGTTGGTTCACCGCGTCATTAGGGGCGGAGCTTGAACTTTTGGGGGCGGAGCTTGAACCCGACTCGATATTCAAGATCTGAACGGACATTGATGTCGCTAATCCAATTTTTCACTGACCTTTGAGCTGAATTTATTCGAAAATGAATTCCGGACGGCAATATATTTCAGCCAATCACCAAAAAGTGTAAATTTATGCAAGCGGCGGTCGATTGATTGATGGCCGTTTTTAGAGCGAATCGGTCCATTCTCATCAATTATGATGGCCGCCTTTCGGTCAACTTTTCTTCTCGTTTTCTTCTCATCCAACGATCATTCAAGCCTTTTTTCATCGCTCATCTCTCTTAACAGCTGAAATTTCGCCTTTTCTCTGTCAGTTTTTCAGATTTTTTCGTTTATTTTTTGAAATTTCTCTTTATGAACAACTTGTGAAGCTTCTAAAATAAATTCGAAGGCAATACTAGAATACAAAAATTACGCAAAATTTAATTAAACGTGAAAAATTTTTAATTGTCGTAAAGTAAGATGTTTTCTGCAGTAGTGTTTGCGTCCTTTTGATTTTACCGTAATCATTTCCACTTTTTTTCAATTTTTTTCTCAAACTTTTTCCCTCTGTTAACGATTTTACAGATTTTTTTGCTCAAGTAATAAGTTTATTAACCATTTTTTTCATTACATCCGATGACTATTTTTTTGTTTATGAACACTTGGAACGCGAAAAAGACGGACAGAAGGCCAAAATTGCGTTGATTTGGTGGGAAGGTCATCGTAAAAAAAATTTTGAGGCGCTCAAAGTTTCCCATGAGATATTTAACCGGTTTTTTTAATATGTGATTTTTTGCTAGAGTGAATTTCGGGAAGTTTTAAACTTTAACGCTTTTTTTGAAATTCTGTTTTGAGAAGTTGACTTGACCGTTTCAACTGAGTATTTTTGACGAAGAAGGCTAGTTCGAAGTAATTAGACTTTCTATCAATATTTGGAGCTTTGAAAATTTTTTTCAGTACAAAATTACGTATTTCTTCGAAGTGTGTATAGTTCTTAAAAAAAGATGTTTTTTTGAAAAATTTTTGATTGACTTGAAATAAAAAAATATTCTATGTGCAATGTAAATCTCTATCTGAGAGCATTTTTTTGATAAAAAAAAATATAAAAAGGGAATTTTTCAGAAATTTAATGATCATCTTCGGAAAATCCAGTCAGAAAATCAAAATAGCGATAACTTTATGACGTCAATAAAATAATTCTTTCCCTTTTTTTGGTCGGATTTCTCATTTTACGGTTTTTTTACTTGATTGACTATTGGATAAATTTGGTCTAGATTTGCAATGTTTACTCCGAGCCTTCACCAAAAGATTTTTCCAGAATCTACTGGACTTTCTTTTTTTGTTCTATTTTAAGGCAAGTCCTCACTTCTTCCTCATTTCTTGAAACTTTCAAACTTAACTTATCGTTTATTTTTTTCTTTTTTTGTTTTTTTATTTCGGTTCATTTTTGAAAAAAAGCCAAAAAAATAATAGAAAACCTTAAACTCAAGTAATTTTTTTGAGTTTTTCCAGACAAGGGAGGTCAATTTACTTAACGATTGGGAATTTTCTGGAATTGGCCAGAATGCTTCTTGATGTACCAGAAGAAGATCCTAGATCCTGAAAGTCTCATACCGCAAATTTCTAGTTTTCGGAAAATGACGATTCGAAGTCTCCTAAAAAGCCTATTTTTGGATACTTTGAGGTGTCTTTTCTCGAAAACTGGAAAGTTTTACAGATTGAAAATTTCAGAACCTCCTTCTGGTACATTAAAAAGTGTTCAGGCCATTTTTCACGAATTTCCCAAACGAAAAGTAAAATTACGTCCATGGTAAGGTACACACGGCCACGAAGTTTTGCGGAGCGAAAATTCCTTTTTTGTCCCTTTTAAAGGCGACCCTCACTTTCCACTCACTTTTTCCTACTCGGCTGGCGTGTATGTTCGTTGTTGTGTACGGCTGGCATGGCAGAAACACGTGTGCCCCGAAGACATTTTGAAATCGGCCAGGCGGTTAGAAAAGGCAGAAAGAGTGTGTGGTTCCCGGAGACGCAGAGATGCATGCCGTGGAGGGCGTCTCTCTTTCTACTTACACACTTCGAATCGCTCCGAATGGATTTTTGCTATTTTTCAACTTGTTTTGAAACCGTTTTTTCATGGAATATTTCAATTTATCGATTTTCTGTGATCTTCGCTTTGATACTTTTCGAAAAGTAGCCCATGCTCCTCTAAAAATCGAGGAGGATTATTTTGAAAACCTAGACTTTGCAATTTTGACTGGTTTTCGAACCGTTTTTTCGTAAAATATTCCAATTTTTTGCTTTTCTGCGATCTTCGCTTTGATATTTTTTTGAAAAAAATTAGTCTATGCTCCTTTAAAAAAATCGAAAATATTTTTGAATAATCTCGCTATCTTCAACTTGCGTTAGAACCGTTTTTTCATGAAATATCTCAATTTTCCGCTTTTCTGTGATCTTCGCTATGAGACTTTTTCGAAAAGTAGCCTATGCTCCTTTAAAAAAATTGAGGAAAATATTTTTTTGAAGAACCTTGCAATTTTTCAACTTGTTTTGGGACTGTTTCTTCAAATTTTTTTCCTGAAACTGTTTATAATGATCTATTCACTGTATTTTTCTAGTAATTTACAGTTTTCAACCTATATTTTGACAGATTTTTATATTTTTTTTCCAGTTTTTTTCCGTCAATTTTTTTCACTAGAAGTAGATTTTTTCCACGCAGTTTTCCAAGTTTTTCCTGTTTATTTTCCATATTATTCCCTTTTTTTCGCGGAAACAAACAGAAAATGGCTCCGTGGCTTACGGATTACACATTTTTTCTTCTTTTTCAAATTTCCCATCAAATTTTTATCATTGACCTTGTTTGTACTGTCCTTTGATAACATATCGGCATCGATAAATTCAATTTGTGCTGTCCTACTCTCGGTTTCATTCATCTTTCACTTCAAAAAGCTGCTTCAAATAGTTTTTCTTCTTTAAATTGGATTAAATTTCAGTGATTTTAGTAATTTGATACACAAGTTTCAGAATGAAAAAAAAGAAAAAATTGGATTTCTAAGTTTCGGTAACCGGAGCCGTCTGTTTGTTTGCACAAATACTTGTGAATCTTTTTTTTCGTGAAAAGTATACCTCAAGATTTTCTTTTTCTCAGAAAATATATTGAATTTTAGTAGGTTTGTATGGCAAATTTGTTTTTTTCTATCAGAATTTTTCTCAAAAATGCTGAGGCTCTGAAAAAAAGGGTTTACAATTTAATTGTTCAGTTTGGAGCTCTGAAACCATTAAAAAAAGAGAACTGTCAGAAAAATCCAGTTTAGGTTTTTTTCAGTAATTGTTATCGTGTTTCTAGAAAAATTTAATGAGTTGGAAATTCAGTTTCTTCAATTTTTTGGCTCAAAGTCCTGAGTAAGCTTTCTTCTCTCCGAAATTAGGTAAATTTGGAGCTCATGATTTTTTTATGAAAATACTGAATTTTTATTCCAATCTTAAAGTTCTATATCACGGAGCATTTTCTTTGTTGGTCCAAAAGATGCCTCTTTGTTGATAATTGAATATTTTTTCAGTTTTTTCTCTTTGATTGGCGAATTTTTTCGATAATTGAAATGATCGCTTTGTTAAATCGAGCGTGCTGAAGTTTTTTTATTTGATTTTTGATTTATTTTTAACTTTTAGGTAAGTTTTTTTAGATTCAGGTCAAATTGAAGCTCAGTTAATCATTAAAGTACAGATTTGAGTTCTGATTTACTGATTTTGATTCCATTTCCAGGGGTTTTTAATTTTTTTTTCTTATGAAAAGTGTTCAAAAATAGATTGACTTTCAAAGGTTCACATCTTATCTTCTGACTTCCCTGGGAAAATTTCCCGAACACCGCGACGTTTCCAACAGTTTGTCGAGCACTTGAGCCGCGCGATTGAGCTTATTTCTCTACACTTGTGTGTTATGTGGAGAGTCGTTCGAGTCTGATATTTCTTATATTTTCCTCTTTTTTGTCTTTTTTTTAAATTTCAAATGTTAAATGATAGGAGGAAAATCCAATAGACCTGCTTTTAGGCTGACCAGGTGTTCCAACGGGTGTACCCGTATTAAACCCCCGTTTTTGAAGCTATTTGAGTCGCATTTGGGCTGAAACCGGGACAAAACCGGGTGCAAAATTAACTAGGTGACCAAAATGGGTTTATTTCGAAAATCTGGGACCCAAACGGGCTAAAACAGGGCCTCAGCTGGGGTAAAAAATACCAAGAGTTTTACCAGCTGGGTTTAAAAGGGCAGAAGGGAACTCAGTAGGGCTAAACCGGGACAAAAACGGGCAAGAAGAAATAGGTGACCAAAATGGGTTTATTCCGAAAATCTGGGATTCAACCGGGCTAAAACAGGGCCTCAGCTGGGGTAAAAGATACCAAAAGTTCAACCAGCTGGGCTTAAAAGGGCGAAAGGGAACTCAGTAGGGCTAAACCGGGACAAAAGCGGGTGCAGGAGGTAAAAGGCGACCCAGGTGGGTTTATTTCGAATATCTGGGACTCAACCGGGCTAAAATAGGGCCTCTTCTTTTTATAAAAATTCTCAGTCCTTCCGGCTGGGCTTATAAGGGCTTAATACGGGCACACCCGCTGAAATCCCGTTTTAGCTCAGCTGGTTTTAACTTTTCTAGCATGAGAGCTTTTTCTCATTTTCTCATTTTTTCCTTCCGATTTTGAATTTTTCCCAATAGTCCATTCACCCCTTTCCAGATGTCCCAGACCCAATTCCTCGTCGGAAACCGAAAAGAGCAATAAAACCCTTTTTGGCGGCCGCCGTTAAAAGCGAAAAATCCCCCCAAAAAAGGGCAAACATATGCCTATTTTACCTGTGTTTGAGAAGGCGAGTCTAACCTGAAAAGGAGCCGACCATTATTTATTGATGTTTTTTGAGATCGAAAATATTTAATTTGCGTCATTCTACAGAAATTTCATGTTGATTTTGCTGTGAAACCGGCTTTCAAATGTATATTCTCAAGCAAAATGAATAACCAATACACGCATCGAAAATATTATGTTATCTTTTTCTTCTCCCAGAATCATTTCGAGACTTGGTTGCATTTGGAATGGATCAGCCGTTGATATTTCCATTTTTCTTGATCTTAAAATGAATTTTTTATCAATTTTCTTGAATTTTTTATTTTTGTAACCTCTGACCTGACTGAAAATGTGCATTTTTCTTGATTTCGACGGATTTTTTTTTTCGTGAAATTCTCAATTCTTGGTTATTACGAATCCTCTCCCAGTCAGCATTTTCTTTTAAAGGAATTTTATAAAACTTCATTAGGTTGAAACGATTTTTTGCATCATTATTCTGAATCTATAGGAAAAATGATTTTCTTGAAGTTGGTCTCTCGAAGGAACTTTTCAAAAATATATCGAATAAAATGGAAAATCGGTTTTTTGGATGATTATTCGAGAAAATTGGCATTTTCGTCTAGTTATTCATTTGTTTTGACCCCTATTTACTTTGGACAGTAAATGATCAGAAAATGGAAAATGAGCGCTCGTCAGTTCGGATATCAGTTAACGCGTCTTGACAACCGTGACCAACCTTTTTCGTCTCTTTAGAGATTCTCTAATGTCTCTTATGACTTTGACCATTGAATATAGTCGATTCGCGTCAAATTGGTCGCATTTGGAATGGCTCAACGGTTGATTCAAAAATGCGCCCGACTTAAAACGGCTTTCGCTTGATGAAACTTTTTCTTAGAGCTCTTAATTTTTACAGATCCGCAGCGCAACCGCAACGCGGAGAGCCATTCTACATGCGACCATAGCTTTTCGAGATATTTATTAGTTATAATTTCAAAAAGAAGGCGGTTTTTTTCAAATCATTTCTTTTGTTGATAAAAAAATAGTTTCCTGTTTCAAGTGTATTATAAGACAAATTTTCGGAGTTTGCTTTAATCTTTTGTCTTTTTTCCTTAGGAAAATACATTTTTTTTTTTCGATTTTCCCCTTTCGATGCGCCGTTTTTCAGGCTGATTTCCTGATTTTCTGTCTTTTTTTGCTTCAAATTATACAGTATTCTATAAAAAAGTCTCTTTTTCGTCAAAAAAATAATGAAGAATTGAGTTTTTCGCTTTTTTTTAATATTAGTAAAAGGAATTTTCCAATGGTTGTGTGACGTTTCTTTCGGAAATTTGAAATTCCTCTTTACTTTTTCTTTTTTTCGCTCACTCATTGTGAGCCAGTTCTCCCGCTTTTTTCTTAGTTTCTTTTTTTTCAGTTGCTCGCAACAACTTGTTCCAAGTTTCCCGTGTTCCTTTCTTTTCTTCGTGCCCTTGGACAATTTTTTCCGCTCTCTTTTATGTGCTTGTTCAAGTGTGAACGACTTTTCGGCCAAGTTTTATAACCCTTTTATCGCTTTTTGTTGCTTTTCGAATCTATATTTGACTTGATAAGGAGGTTCTGGAGCGTTTTTTGGATCTTTTCCATATCGAAATTTTTGGGAAATTTGAGAAAAATGAAGTTTCTTAGCTTCAAAATTTGAAAAATAGTGAGAAAAACTGTACTGGCCACTTAAAAGGTCACTTGAAGAGGACCCTAAAGTGGCCACTAAGACTGCCTTTATAGAAGACACTATTTGGAGTCTCAGTGGCCATTATAGTGGTTTTGTGATATAGTAGTACCACGTAGACGTTCAAACAAGCCAGTCACTTAAGTGACCACTAATAAGTCAAACCCCTAAAGTTTCCACTGAACCGTTTTAAAGATTTCAAAGTTTTTAACAAGAGGAGGAAATTTAAAAAATGTCAAGCAGCTGAAAAAGGCTCAAGTGGCCACTTAAGAGGTGCCTTAAGGGTCACTTAAAGAGGCCACTAAAGGGTAACTGCCACAACTATAGAAACCACTATTCTGCGTCTTAGTGGCCACTAAAGTAGTTTTAGTGATCAAGTAGTACCATTAAACTTCTAAAGAGGCCCCTAAATTTTAGCCAATGAATCGGACACTAGTCCGGCTTTTATAGTGGCCACTCTATCGTCGGAACCCTAAAATGACTACTAAAAACTTTCCCAGTAGGTTCATTTTCCCACATCTTGTTCGGTTTTCAAATAATAACTTGCGAAAAAATTTCCAAGAAAAAATAAATTCAAGGCCTCCTGTTCAAAGTGAGTTATTTTTTAAATGCATTCTCAGAAAATAATTTTTTTCACTATGGTTAGAATAAGCGTTTTTGATTATTCCTCAAGTTTTGATACCAATTTTATACCAATTTTCAACTCCAAAAGCTCTCCAAGACTTTTGAGTTCACTTGGAAGTGATGATAAGTGTTTCTAATGGATCAAAACAGACCTCAGCTGTTCGTCAAGGACTTGTCAGGCCGGGAAGATTGATCTGGCGGCGATTCTCTGCACTTTGGCCGTTCCTCCACTCATTTGTGTATGCATTTCGAGGGCCCCAAATGTCACAACATTCCCCCGATTCACCACACGTTCTTTCCGAATTCCATGAGAGCTCTCGAATCGTCTTTCGTCACTTTTTTGGTGGCTTTTATCAACTGGGAAATTTTTAGTGGCCACTATAGAGGCTCGCCAAAGACTACTTGGAGAGGACACTGATGTGACCACTAAACCCACCTCTATAGTGGCCACTAAAACGGAAAATAGTAGTTTTTCATCCAGTATTCCTTCAGTAACTCTGATAATTTTAAAACAAACAGATTGGACCAGTTATGTTGATCAATCGACCCCTAAAGTGGCCACTAAACATTTTAGTTGTCTAGTAGTAGCCCTTAGACCTCTATAGTGACCACTAATTTTTAAACCCTTAAGTGGCTACTAAATTGACTACTATAGTGGCCACTGATACGTCGAAATCCTATAGTGCCACTAAAAATTTTCCCAGAATTTTAGGAAATTTTACCTTATGGAAAACGTAAATAGTAAACTGAAGCTTGTAAAATATTCTTTCTTTGATTGCTTTAGGTATGAAGGAACATCTAACCAGGTCAATTTTAAAGTTTATCAGGATTTCCTGAAGCCGTGAAATCATTTACACCCATTTGAATTAATAAAAAAATTTTTTTAATTTTTTTTTTCGACTAGGATTTTGACGTCTTTTTGTATAATTTCTTAACATTCTGGCAAAATTTTTAGTGACCACTATAGTAGTCAAATTAGTGGCCACTATAGAGGTCTAAGGGCTACTAATAGACAACTAAAAATTTTAGTGGCCTCTTTAGGGGTCAATGGATCAATATAACTGGTCCAATCGGTTTGTTTCTAAATTATCAGAGTTACTGGAAGAAATACTGGATGAAAAAGTACTGAAGTGGCCACTATAGAGATGGGTTTAGTGTCCACTTTAGCGTCCTCTCCAAGTAGTCCTTGGCGAGCCTCTATAGTGGCCACTAAAAATTTTCCCAGTTTCTTGAGCGAATTTTCCACTTTTTCGTCATTTTTCTAGTCCCTTTTTCAATTTTTAAAAGGTCCTTTTTTCATTGTGTAACTCTAAAACCTTTTGAAAAACTTTTCTTCGGTTTTTTAGGGATTGTAATGCATTTTGGACGAGTTTTAGGACATCTGAAAGAAAAAACAAATTTAAAAAAAGTAAAATAAAATGATTTTAGAGATGATACGAAGTCCGTTTAGCCTTTTTCTAAGCAATTATTTTTTTTTCGAAGCCAAAATGATCGTTTTGAAAACTATTGTCAAGAAATTTTCCCCTTTTATTGCCTTGTTTTGGCGTTCCGCCACTTTTTTCCACTCTCCCGGCTTATTTTTTCATTTTCTTTCTTCCAATTCAAACGGATTAATTGGTTAGTTGCCTCGACGCTTGGAGGCCGACCGAGGGGCAGAAAATTAATGTCCGAATGGAATTTCAATCGATTTTCCCCACACTGAATACCATTGAGGTTTTGCCGGTCACGGGGGTTTTCATCCGATTCTAGACTCCCCATTGTCCGCCATGACCTTCTTTTCGAGGTTCGTCGGTTTTTGGCATTTTTCGCACGCTTCATTTTATGTGCCTTTTTGATACTATATTTTGCATCATCAATGTAACAATAATTTAAAGAGCGACTTCTTTTTCACCTTGAAAGAGAAGACAGAAAACTAGGCATACTTAGGAATGCTGAAGTGATTGCTATAGGTGTTAGGAGGGAAAATAGCCCTAAAGCAGCAGTGGTCTCTATAGGGGTATGTCAATTTTTTGTTCGGATTGGTCAACTCATCTTTTTTTGACATTTTGCATTCAAATAAAAATAATTTATTGAGTTTTTCTCCATAGAGTTGATAACAGTAATTGACTAGGATTTCCCCTATAGGCATCACTGACTGAAACCCCTATAGGTGCCACTTTTGCAATCGATAGCGGCCCCTACATAGGGGAAGTCAAGTGATCCCGAGAGAGCTACCTTCAAAGACTTTTTAAATGTATCAACCAAACTCAAATTTTATAATCAACTTGAACTTATCTGCAGATTCAAAAAAATATAATAGATCGAGTTTTTTTCCGATATTATGCGAATCAAGACCATAATTCCTTTGAAAAAAAGAATAAATTTTGTTTTTTTCTTCAATTTTTTTAATAACGTCCTTAAATTCATTTGTTTGAGTTACCTATGGAATCTTGTCTCATAGTCGGTCTTAATTTTTCTTAAATTTAGGTCAGATTTGATGTTTTTTTGTGTTTTTTTCGGGAATTATCGTAGTTTTATCCGATTTGATTATTTTTATCTCCATACAAGCATTTTTTTGAAGTTTAACCAAAAAGTTAACAGTTTATCGCATATTTAACTTTATAAAATGTGTTTTATTCAAATTTTGAATCAAGAGACATCTTTAAAAAGTCCTAAATGAGCCTGGAATTTCTAGAAATCGCTCTTTGAACAGCAGAATCAAAAGAAAGTTTTACTTTTTTCCTTTTTCCGCAAGTCTCGCTTCGTAAAAGGTTTTTTTTGTAATGTTCCCACCCCTGTCAGAGAACGATTCGAAAAAAGAAACATTTCCTGTTTTCCTCACCCTCAACCTAAAAGAACGGCGTTTGTTGTACCTTTCGCAACAAATCGCGACTCGAAAATAAACAACAACCAACGTGGGAAAACAGTGGGAGGATCCCAGTGAAAAGGGGCGGAGCCAGTGGAGTTGGCCCCGCGCCAACAACTGATCTGTTTTTCCCGTTCTCTTCTCTTTCTTCTTTTTTCTTCTTTTCGAGAACTCTTGTTGCGTTTTTTTTGTGTTGCTCTGCCCAAGATGTTGGGTTTTTCAAGGTACCTTTTTCGTAAGTTTTTTCCTTCAAATTTTTGGAATTGTAACTTTTTAAAATTTATATCTTCCAATGAGAATTAGAAAGCCGAATCTTGAGAAAAATTATATTTTTTTCTGGATTTTTTTCCAACTTTCAATGCCATGAAACTGAAGGAAAGTTGCTTTTTGGAATTTTTGAAAAGAGAAAAAAAGTATTTTTTTCCTGCAAATAATTCTTTTTCATATAGCTTTTTGATAACAGTTTTTTTCAGTTTTCTTTTTTTCAAAAAAAGTAGGAATTTTTACTTTTTTTAATTTGAAAAAAATCAACCTGGAACTTTTTTTGTGTTGCTCTGCACAAGATGTTGGGTTTTCAAAGCACATTTTCAAAAAGTTTTTCCTTCAAATTTCGGATTTATAACTATTTAAAATCTATATCTTCCAATAAGAATTAGAAAACCTCGATTTTTTTAAAAAGTTGAATATTGAGAAAGTAAAAATTGTATTTTTTTCTGGATTTTTTTCCAACTTGAAATGCTATGAAACTGAAGGAAAGTAGATTTTTTTGGAATTTTTAAAAGGAGAAAAAAATATTTTTTTCATGAAAATGTTTCTCTTTGGTATACCTTTTTTTAGAACAGTTTTGAATTTTTCTTTTTTTCAAAAAAAGTAGGAATTTCAATCATTTTTTTAATTAAAAATAAATTAACCTGGAACGTTTTTGTGTTGCTCTGCTCCAGGTGTTGGGTTTACGAGGTAACTTTTTCAAAGCCTAAGCCTAAGCCTGAATTTTTCCAGAATGAAAATTGCTTTTTTTAGGATTTTTAAAAAGAGGAAAACTTTTTTTCCTGGTAATTTTTTATACCTCATATATTTTTTTAAAACAGTTTTTTTGGGTGATTTTTCAAAAAGAAGGATTTTTTTCTCTGATTAATTTTTCTCATAGTTTCAGGGTGTGTGATAGTATCTATCAGCCCAAAAAAATAAATCAAGAATTGAAATTTTCTCCGAAATTCGTTTTTGATAAAAAGAAATTTTTTTCTGGATTTTTTTAGAATCGTTCTGTTTTTGAACTTTCATGGTAGAATGGCTATTTTATTACAACTTCAACTTCAAAAAAATTCAAAAAAATATCTTCTAAAGGTTTCAAGCCTTATAGTAGTGACTATAAGATCATAGCTGAAACTCCTTTTTTTTTCAAATCGTATGTGAAAGGAAAAAAAAGAGGCTGCATTCGACGTAGCGATTGTGCTCTCTTGATAAATTGCCGCCGATATATTTCTTTTCGCCGTTTGCTTCGTTTTTCTGTTTGCCAGCTTTTCTTCTGATTTTTTGAAAGAAAAGAGGTGTTAGGTGTGTAATTTTTGAACTTTTCGAAAAATTTGTTCAAAAAATTCGTTATCTCTAATAACTTTTTCTTGGAAAAGTCAGCTCGAAGTTTTCAAATTTTGTTTTTTTTTCTGTGAGAATTATCCATGATAACCACTCCGTGAACTCAATTTTACCAGGTTATTTTCTTCGTTTAAGACTTTAAAACTTGCCTGAAGCGTAGTTATGACGGTTTGTAGGACTTTGAAATGACTTTCAAGCATTGGAAATTTTGAAGTTTCTGACGCTCTGACTGCCATTTTCTGAATTTTCTCTCAAACCGCAGCGCGACCGCAACGCTTCAAGCCATTCTAATTGCGACCAAGTATCAAAATAACAGTTGATTCAGTTTTTTTTTTCTCTAAAGGCTTCTGAATGTTAGAAATCTTGAAGTTTCTAAAGTTTAGACGGTATTTTTTTAAACTTTTTACTGGAACCGCAGCGCGACCGCAACGCTTCAAGCCATTCTGATTGCGACCAAGTAATAAAATAACTGAAAATCCGGCCTCTCAAGGCCAATAATGCCTCAAAAATCCTCAAAAGGACTCACGAGCGTCGGAATTATTGAAGTATTTGACACATTTTTTCAAATCTCACTCGGCGCCGTGACCGCAACGCTCTTAGTCATTCTAGTTGCGACCACGTATTGAAATAACAGTATATTCCGTTTTTTCAACGCTCAAAAGCCTCTAACGGCTTACGATTGTTGGAAATCTTGAAGTTTCTGAAGGAGTTTTTTTGAAATTTTCCCTCGAACCGCAGGACGACCGCAACGCTTCGAGCCATTCTAATTGCGACCAAGTATCGAAGCGACTTAAAATCCAGCCTCTCAAGGCCAAAAATGCCTCGAAATCCTCAAAATGACTTACGAAATCTTGAAGTTTCTGACGCTTTTACTGCAGTTTTTGGGCTTCAGACTTGAACCGCATCGCGACCGCAACGCGTTAAGCCATTCTATTTGCGACCAGGTATCCAACTAACTGAAAATCCAGCTTATTGAGACCAGTTTGATTTGAAACCATTCTTTTTCTGATACGATTAGTTTGTACTCTCAAATCTCAGAGAGCAACTCCCAATTTTTCTCTCCTTTTGTCTTGATTCTCGACGAAATTTGACGCCCCACCGCTTTGTTTATACGTTCTGCCGGGAGCAGGAACAATGTCCTCGTTTTATTGATCGGTCTCCGACTTTCATTCACCTGAATCATTTCCAGAGTCGGTTGCTATCCCTACATCAAGTATCACTGCACCCGGCGACCGTACGCCGACTTGTCCTTTGAAGACCGATTCTTTCGTCTCATCACGGTTGCTAACTTGGGTTGGTTCTTTTTGAAGAGTTATGAGTTTTTCCGAAAAACCGAACTTTTCATGGTTTTTAAAAATGGAATTAGCTGGGATAGGAAAAAGGGCGGGGCTTGGCGGTCTTTGGATTTTTCTCATGATTCAAGTATATTGAAAAAATGGACTGAAGTCGAGAAAAAAAGATTTTTCAGCTTCTATGGTTACTGTAGCTTGCAAGATATCTGCAAACACATTGACGGGATAGCTGTTTTCAATTTTCACTCAACTGAAACCTTTTAGAGCAAAAGACGAGAAATTTTACGTGCTGAAGGGAAATTAAGTTATAAGTTCTCTTCAAGGGATCACCAAAGAGTGAAAGTCCCTAGAGGGATAACTTAAAAAGAACTGACTTTACTTTACCCTAGTGACGTCTAGATGGCTAGCACGCCTACTTTGCAGAAGTGCCGTTTTTTTTTGACTCAAAAGTGGTCACTTTAGAGATATTAGGGATAGCGGTGAAGCTAGCGTGTTTGCGGACTACAACAGCTACAGTAACCATGTTAACTGAAAAATTTGGAACTTTGATCTAATAACTTCCGTTTTTTTCATCGATTACTGAATTAGTTAGGACTCCGTCGACAAAAGAAAAAAAGAAGTTGAATAAAACAATTATAACAAAAAAATAAGAAAAAAAGATTTTTATTGAATATAAAAAAATGTCAAGCTCTGATTATTTTTAACTATTCGAAATTTTTTCTGAGACTTCTTGCTTTCTTTTGTATAAATATAGTCTCAAAAAAATGTGAATGAACGTTTTAAAACAAGACTTTTGGCGTGATAAATGACGACGCGTTTAATGAGGTGATGCGCCTTGAAATTTATTGCCCATTCTCTTGTCCCTTGGTTTTGGCCCTATTTATCTTCCCATTCCGACCTTTTTCTTCAAAGAGTTTCGAGGTTTTCTACACTCGGTAAAGTATTGCGTCAAGTGTGTTGAATTTTATGCATTTGACCCAAGTTTTGTGGCTCAAAGATAAATTTCGAAAAGAAGCTCTGATTCATTTTTATCGGCCACCTGTGGTCGAATGTTTTCGTGGGTTGGAACGCGCCATTTTATGGTTTTTTTTTTGGAGAAAGAGATTTGTTTTGATCGTGGCATCGCTTTCTTAACCATCTTCTTTTAACGATTTTCGTTTTTCGAAACTTTTTCAAGTTTTTTTGTAATTTGAGATTTTTTGAATTAATCAAAAATGATTTGAATTGAGCAAAGCTGTCTGTGACTTGTAAGCTTTTGTAGCCGGAAGCTTAACAGCCCGACCTGATTCGGTTTTCGCTCGGCGTCATCATGAAGCATTTAAGATTGAAAAGTTGGTGAAAACCTTGAAACTTTTTGAAAAAACGCGTAAAATTATTCAGTGGATTGACATGTGCGCTCCATGCTGATTTGATTTTGAAAAAAAATCGATTTTTCTTCTCAAATGAGTCATTTTATCTCGATCAGTTAGAACGATTGGTAACTGGGACCTTGGTAACGCAAACCGGATGTTTCCGAGAGTTTCTAGTGGCCACTTGAGTGGCATTAGCTCCCTTAAAGGATCATTATAACGGCTCAGGAATTGATAAAATAACACTTTGGATGCCACTAAAGTGATCCCTAGAAGTCCTCAGAACCATCCAGGCGCGTCCGATTTGCATTACCAGAATCTGAGAAGCCTCTTTGTTGAACAAACTCTTGTCAATAGAGCACAGATGAGTCGGCAGCCCTTTCGGAGGCTTTTATTTCCGACCCAAAGAGGAAGGACCATCTGTCTGGTGTGTTCCCCCGTGGCGAGTGTTTTGAATGCGTCACCCGGCCAACCGCTCCATTTTTTGTCTTTTCACCCTTACTCCACTAAAAGTGCTTTTTTAAATTCCTTCTCTGTAAAGAGATATTAAAAAAACAAAAAATAACGTGTTTTTTTACTATTTTTTTTCTGACGATTTCTAAAGAATTTCTGAAGGGTATTATAGGGGTTTGTTGTTTTAGGGACCCCTGTATGTGGAGCGTAGGGATCCTTATAGGGATTCCTCATAGGGCCTCTATAGGGACCCCTTCAAAGTTTCTCAGTTCGCTCTGGAAAATGATGGAGCTTGCTGTCAATATTCCAGTAAAGAGACGAGTTTGTAGGCATCCCGTGCGCCCTGTATGGCCTGGCGGCGATATTTCTGATTCGCCACCGCGACGACGTCGTCGAGCCGACCACCCGTCAACGCGTCACACTCCACTTCCTCATCGAGGAGGTCCACAACTAAGGTCTTCATTTGATTCTTCAGATTCATCTAAGAATGTAGATTCTATGTATATATATATTTTTTAAAAGATGTTGATTTGATGATCAAAATAGCATAGTGAGGTTAGAAAAGGTTGAAAAAAATATCCAAACCAGGCCTTTTATTTTTTTCAAAATAATCAAAGCTTCCAATCCAATTTTTCGTCATCATTTTCGATTGCCCACACATTTTTTTAATAATTTATGAAATAAATATTTCCAAAATCAATAATTGAGAGCAGCTATGGAGAAAATGAAGCTCATACAGTTTTTGCCGTTTTCAAAGTAACTGGGAAACTTTTTAGTGGCCACTATAGGGTTTTGACGTTCCAGTGGCCACTATAGCAGTAAAATTAGTGGCCACTTAAGGGGTTGAAAATTAGGGCCACTTCAGGGGTCTAAGTGCTACTACTAGACCACTAAAAATTTTAGTGGCCACTTTAGGGGTTAGTGAATCAACATAACGGGTCCAATCTGTTTGTGTTAAAATTATCAGAGTTACTGGAAGGAATACTGGATGAAAAACTACTAAAGTGTTCACTAAAACGGAAAATAGTGACCACTGTAGAGGTGGGTTTAGTGGCTACTTAAGTGTCCTCTCCTTGGCGAGCCTCTATAGGGGCCACTAAAAGTTTCCCAGCCTCGAAATTATCTCCGATTCTCGAGTTTAGTTATATTGTTCACTCTCTCACGACTATTTTCGGTTTCTCTAAGTCTCTTCAAGCATTAAGCTTTCAGTTTAAAGTGATGATATTTATTCCTGTGGGAATTTTAAGCGGACCAAAGTTAAAATAGAAAATTCGAAGAGAATGGCTCTTTTTTCGCGTTAATCCTGACGTGTTTTTCAATTTTGGGACGTTTATTTGATCAAGGTTTTTCTGCTTGCTTTTCAGCGGCGGAATTTGTTTTACGATTTTAGATCAAATTTCGATTTTTCTTCCCACCAATATTTCCCACTTCCAAGTGACCACTTTAGGGATGGTGGCGCCGTCGTGCTGCCTGGAATATCGCCCCACCGCCACTCTTCTCTTCATCATTCTCTTTGTCATCTTCCCGCTGATCTACGTCTGCGGACGGGTTTGTTTTTTTCTTTTTTTAATAAGCTGGAAATTTGAATAAATAAAAAAAAATAAAAATGCAAAAAAAAATAAAATGATAAAGAAAATTATAATGAATGATAGATAATGAAAATATATAATGACGACAGATGACAGGGTTTTTATAGCGGTTTTAGTGTAATTTTGATTGGGCGCGGCGTAGCTCAACAGGTTGTGTGCCTGTCTACGGTCCACAGGGTCACAAGATCGATCCTCGACCCAATCAAGGGGATTAGGAAATGTTGGTAGTGGAAACCACGGCTTCATAATCCCCAGCCGTCACACACAAGGACGGATGTCACTCGAGCCAGTCCACTGATTATTACTGATATGATGATAAAATATCGTCTAATCGACTTGAGACGCCGACGCCGCTCAAGCGGTATAAAAGGCGTAGGAAGAAGAAGAAGAAGTATAACAGTTTACAAGGGTTTTCATAGCGGTTTTTGTGTAATTTCGACTTGGCTGAAATCTACTTCAGGACCTCCTGAATCTCAAGGAATAAACAATTTCCGTATTTTTGCATTTCAGTCGAGTTATGACACTTCAAAGGCTTCAAGTAGCGCTTTTTTTTCTGAGAGTTTTAAAATCGGAGCGTTGTAGATGGACTGTAAGGTTGAATTCGATAAACATTCCTTTTTCTGAAATCAATGGTCCTGAAATAGGGCCCAAGTAGGTGGGAAGCGGGGTTTTAATATTATGGTTGAGAATTTCCTGAAAATCGGCTAGAAAACTCCTTGGTGTATCAGAAGGAGATCCGGGAAGTCTCAACCTGCACAACTTCCCAGTTTTTCAGGCAATAAGGGCTCAAAGTGAAGTTTCTAGAAATTAATAATAATAATAGATCACATGGAAGGTAAAACCACTATACCTAGCCGGTAGCATCCAGATACCGACCAGGCACCATAGAGATAGTACCCGGTCGCATACAAACGACGCCGATTGGATTTGAAGTTGCTACCCGGTAGCTATAGCTGATTCACGGCTCAATTGATCCATCGTAAAAAGGGTCCTGACACGATAATGCACGAGATAGCGCTGGCTCGTGGAGAGCGCAGACAGGACACGCCCCCTTAGCGTCCCAAGCTAGCCGTGAATCAGCTATACCTGTATCGACCTCCCGATTGTGTATAAAAGCCTGATTACACAGATCGTTGTATCTCGCCTGGCCACCAGCCCAGCTAACTCACCTTGCCAAACGTCCTGTGGAGCAGAAGGAAGTGGTAGCAGGAGTCAGTCGTCCGTGGGCTCTGGAGATCCACAGGGCGATTGGCAGGGCGACTGAGTTGGGCTGGTGGCCAGGCGAGATATGAGGATCTGGGGAATCAGACCTTTATATAGTGGATTTATCTCGCACGTGATCTATTATTATTATTATTGGCATGAAAAAGTGTACGCGAAAACCTTTTTTGGCACGGAAAAGTGATTTCATTACTACATACGTGATCAATTGGAGGTGGTGCCGTAGCTCAACAGGTTGTGTGTCTGTCTACGGTCCATAGGGTCACAAGTTCGATCCCCGCCTCGACCCAAAAGGGGTTTAAGAAATGTTAGTAGTGGGAATAGTCTTTTTAATAGATCTTGGGAGTCTTTTTTGCGAAATTTGAGGGGTTTTTTCCTCAAAAACTGAGAAGTTGAGCAGCTTGAAACTTCTAGAATTTTTATTTGATAAATCAATGACTTTTTTTTGATAAATCTGGTCAATGTTTAGGGAAGGGACAGGCTCCAGTAAAATTACCTCCCTTGTCAGTCAAATTCCATCAAAAGTTCCACCGAATGCCCAAAAAATATATTTTTTAGAGTTAATTTCTGATGAGACTGCTGAGCTTGTTCCGGAAAGAATTTCAGCCATTTTCAGGTGACAACTTGCGCCCTAACGATAGTCTTCCGAATAGCCAAGGGCCTCTGTCAGTTCCTGTTTTTCGAGCCGGAGGAGCTCGACGAAGAAGTTTCGAAGCAGCTCGAAGAGCGCGAGAAACGTCGGGCCGAGCGACGTCGACGACGAGAGGTTCGTATTTTGGATGGTTCTTGAAAAATTACCGAAAAATGTAGTTTTTGAGCAAGTTTCGTCGAAAAAACGACAAAATTTATTCAGAAATACCATTTCAGTGTAGTGTTTTTGACTTGAAATTCAGAAAAAGGTGTAATTTTTAGATTCAATCTGAAACACGGCTCCAAGAAGAGTTTAGGTTTCATACGGAGGTTATTTTAGTCCGAAGTTTAGAAATTCTTAATAATCGGCCAACCTCTGCGTCTAATGTAGTCAAGGACCTCGAAGAGTCTCCGAAAAAGCTTTCAAAAGTTCCAAAATCCATGCCAAATAAGTCTGTTTCATCGGAACCATCAAACAAACCCTTTTCAGCAAAAAATCCAGCTGAAAGCCCAGTTACTGCGGGCTCAGTTCGTCGAGGCGAGCGTGACGGCGGATCCCGTCGAGCTGATGCTCAACGGCGACATCGCGCCCCTCACAGCCCTTCCTGACGTCCCCACGACGACAGTCACGACGACAAAGGTCGTCGTCGAGAAGAGCAGCGACATCAGCGACTCGCTCAACTCGGAGAACGAGACCGAGGAGTTCGTCGCCAACGGCGTCGACCACCATCGCAAGCCCCTCAACGGCGTCCTGACCAATGGACACGCCAGGAAATAGGTCGGCTCTTCGAGAACTTCTGGAACTTCTCGAAAATCCTCTAAATGGTCTCCAGAGCTTACTGATCACCGTTTTTGCCTTCAAGTCAAGTTATAGGTTGCTTAAAACACGCCGAAAATAATTTTTATACATCCTCAGGAACGCCAGAGTGACTCCTATAGGGATTATTGGAGAAACAGCCCCTATAGGAGACAAAAAAGTACCTCTTGTAGGGGGTAAGATTTAGGGGTCCCTATGCGGGTTTAAGGTCTGATCCTCAAGTGCTTAAAGCTTGAGTGATCCCTATGGGGTCTTCTAATTTTTCTTTCGATAAGATTCAAATATTAAAAAGACAAAATTGATCGATAAATCCTCTGTTGATATCTTTTCATTGAAAAAAATGCTAAATTATCAAGTTTTCCCAAGGAAATGCTTCTTCTCATAGAGCTCATAACATCGACTAGCCCTATAGGGGCCACTTTTGCATGCTTCAGGAGCCCCTGTAGGGTTTGATAAAGTCATCCCTAAGGCCGCCCCTATAGGGACGACTTTGGAGTTTCCAATATTTGCAATTGTAGATTAGAACCTTTGGCTCTATGATTATGTTATGGAGCGGAAAATTACTGGAAAAACTTTTAGTGACCACTATAGTAGTCGAATTAGTGGCCTCTTGAGTGGCTAAAATTTAGTGACCCTTTTAAAAGTCTAAGGGGTACTACTGGACCACTAAATTACTGTAGTGACCACTAAGACGCAAAATAGTGACTTCTATAGAGGTGGTTTAGTGACCACTTTAGTGATCTCTCCAAGTAGACATTGAGAAGCCTCTTAAGTGGTCATAAACATTTTTCGCAGTACTCCCCTTTTTTAGGATTTTTTTCTTTTTTGGGGACCTGGTAAAAAAAGTTTTGCCAAAAAGAGTAATTATTTTTCTTCCTTCTCAAAATTCCAAGTTTTCAGGGCTCTTGTTCTCCCCTCGAACGACCAAATCTGCAATCGCCGCACGCTTTTCGAAACCACGCCCATTTTTCTTTGACGGCGCGTTTTGTGAAACGGGTTCCTTCTTCTCGGTCCACTGTTGTTGTTGTTGGTTTTTTTGTTTTTATATTTTTTTATTAGATTTTTTTCGGTTTTTTTAAAAATCTATCAAACTTCTCTCATTTTTCTCGAACTGCTTTAGAATGTTTTTTTGAATCAACTCTCACCTCTTCTATGGAATATCGATTAAAAGTTAACTTCACTCGAATTTTAACCAAAACTTTGTCACTTTCCTTTTTTTTTTACCCGACCTATGTGTACTCTTCTGATCTCCGAGTTCCTTTCCTCCAATAAAAAACCAGTGATCATTCGAATTTTTTCTCTGTAAACTTTGCTGCTACCCAAAAAAGTTTCATTTTCCTGAATTAAATGAATTTTCGATGGAATTGCACAGAGCAAAAAGTTTAAAGCAAAAAAATGAAAAAAAAACCCGTCGCGAAGATTTTTTCTGTCAATGTTTGGCCAAGAATGTGTGGCAACACGAATCGGGTGTTTCGAAATGATATGTTGAAACGGAAAATCGATGAAAAAGAGGTGAAAGAAAACAGAATCGGAGAAGGTAAAGCCGTAGCGATTGGACTAGACGGGGCAATGGCACGAAAATCGCAACGAAATGAGTAGGATATGACTAATATGAGCAATAATGCGTTTGGCTGATTTTGAATGGTCAAGGGTGCTCCATGGCGAATTGAGTTTTTTCAAAGTCCTTATTTTTAATTGAACTTGTTCCGCTATGAATTGGGACAGTCTGACTTCCCGATGAGGGAAAAGAGAGCGCAGACAGGTCAGACTGTTTCAAGTCATTCAATCAATATCCAAAATCAGCACTCTACAAAAAAAAGGAAATTTTTTCTAGAAAAAATTCAGAAAAAACAGCTATACAATAACTAAAAGAAAAATAAAAAGGCTGAAAATGAGAGAAAATATTACAAGAATCTTGTAAAAAGGTACATATATTCATACTGAAAACTCTTCTCCTCGAAACTTTCACCCAAAGTTTGTCCATGCTCCTTTAAACACCCCACAAGGGAGGTCATTTTGCTTAAAGTCTGGGATTCCTCTGAAAATTTTCCAGAACAATTTTTGATGAACTAAATGAAGAAACTGAAACTCTCAACTTGTAAAACTTCCTAGTTTTCGAGAGCTAAAGGTTTAAAGCTCCAAAATGGCTAATTTTGAGGGTTTTCTCCGACTTTGAGGTGTCCTTTCTCAAAAAATGAAGTTATGTAGGCTGAAAATATTTTTGTAAAGTGTTCTGGTCAGTTTTCAGAACCATAAAGTGAAATGACTTTCCTTGTCAGTGAAGATTTTCGGAAGTATCAAAGGGTTAGAGTGTTCGAGTTCAAATGGAACGATATCAACCAGAAGACTTGACGAGGTTGACCCGGTCGGTGTTTCCGAAGAGGTCGTCCTCGCTGTCGGTATCTTCCATCAGAGCCGGCCGGCCTTGCAGGTCTTTCGCCGAGACTATGTCGTACTTGCGGATGCGGCGCGAGTCGCTGCGCGTCCTGAACCATTCCTTTATTTATCGGAAATTCAATTACTTTTCAAAGCTTTTTTCTTCTTCGTAGCAGTCCTTTTCCCGAAAAAAAAAATATATATAGTCGATGTGCCACAAGTTGAAACTTCCTAGAACGACACTCCGCTGTTTCGATTTGTGCGTTAGAGCGCTTTGTGCGAATTTGCCAACCTCGGCCACAAACTAATGATTTTTCCTTTAAACTTATGTATCTGTTTTTTTTAAAGTAAAAATTCGTCAATGTTCAAACATTCATTGTGTTTTATTTCTGATCGGGATATTTTTTTTACATGATTTGAAATATTACAAGTGAAAAGGAAGAATGTTGCATGTCAGGGAGGTTGATGCCGTGTTCAAAAGTAATTTCGCGAAATGCAAAATGATCTCTGACTCTCCAAAAATTTAGTTATATTATTCTTTCTCTGACGGCTATTTCGCATTTCGTGAAATTACTTTGATCACGGCATTAAATCAATATTATAAACGCATTTTTTTCGCTTAAAAATTCGAAAAAGTAGTCAACTTTATTTGCTTCTAATGAAACAGTCTATCCACTAGCAATGATAATCATGAGTTTGGCACGAAGAAAACTATTGAAACATGATTAAAATAGTGAAAATTCCAAATGAAAGAAAAAATGGAAGCGCGACCGAAATTCGCAAAGGCAAGGCGCTTTCACGACCACAAGGCCGCCAAGCGGAGTGTCGTTCCATGAAATTTCAAGTCGTGGCACATCGACTATAATTAGAATCAAAAGGACACGGCCTGGCTTGAACTCAGAAAGGATGGCTCGTAAAAAATTGTATGACCGCTCAAAATTGGAAAAATCCTCTTCAAATGTGTTTAGCTTTTAGATGACATAAAAAATTGATTTTCTTAACCAATGAATTTTTCGCGAGAAAATGACATTTCCGACTTTTAGTGACGACCTCCATTCAGACAAAATGGTTTTTCGTGATCATCTACCATTCAAAAAAAAAAGCTCGAAATGAAAATTGAGCTTTTCAACTCGTAGCGGTCATAAAATCCTTCTCAGAGCCCCTTGCACATTTTAGAACATAGCTGAAGCTTGAATTCGTGATTCTAGTCATTCAGAAGCACGGAAAACATCAAAATTTTCAAAAGAAAAAATTTTTTGAAGTCGATTAGGAGGTTTTGAAAAAAAAAAACATCTAAAAGGTATTTCTATAGAGGGCGCCATTATTTACAAAAAGTCCAAAAAAAGCTTCACCGAAGTCGGAAGAAACTGCTCTCTGCAGATTTTTCTGAGCGATGATAGCTTAACTAAAATAAACTTTTATTTTTTTATTCTCATCTTTCTAACATCTCTTTCATTACCCTTCCTTTATAAGATGAAAAAAATGTACCCTCTAGAATATTCACTTCAATTTTTTTCCTCAAATCTCTTCCGTGAAAACTTGTTAAAAAGTCCCGATTTGAGGCCGGACTGTGCCATGAAAGTACCTGACGCAGTGACGGACAAAAATGTACAAACAGGCGAGGAACAAAATTGCGACGCCGACGGCGATCGCCCTCCAAATCGCGTTCTCATCCATTATTACCGCCGACTGCGGTTTTACATTCGATATCGAGGGGACCTCCGCGGGGCTCATCTGCAATGAAAATGATTCGAAAGATTGGATTCATTCTCTAAACGAGACAAAAAAACGAGAACAAAGCGAAATGGTCAATTTGAAACCGTGAACTCAAACCGCAGGCGAATTTCCAAAGTTAGTAGTATAAAGTTGAAACTTATATGAAAAGAAAGCTGATGGCAATCGAGAGCTAACTGCGAAAACAGAAAAGAAAAATATGAAAAATGAAAAAAAGTCATGAGCAAAAGAGTGGCGAAATCGGGGGAACCATTTTTGTGTAGGAACTTTCGTCAGGGTCGCAGAAAAAGGGGCGTGTTTATAGATACCGCGCGCTCCTTGCTGCGCGTAAATTCAGCCCGGAGAAGTTTCGAAAATATTTTAATTTGAGTTTTTAAATGAATTATTGGATTTTTCATATTGAATACTTTTCCTATTCAATTGGGTCTGCTCTTCGAGCACTCAGACTGCCGAAAAGCGAGTTTTGAAGAATATTTCCAATTTCGTAATATAAGAGAACAACCGACGACAGCAGGGAACGCCAGAGTGGTCCCTCTAGGGGCCACCAAAGTTTTACCCTTATATAACCTCTATAAAGACCACTCTGGCGTTTTTAACTATAGCCAACGTCATTAAGCGAAAGCCAGTTTTAGTCGATGCACTTCACATTTCCCTATAGGTGCCACTAAAGCTTGAGGGGCTTATAATGAGACCCTTAAACCGTCTAGGAACCACCTAAATATATTTTCCCTTCAGGGAGCACTAATATGATTACTGCAACGGCTTTTTTCCCCTCTAACCATTCTAGGGACCACTCTGGCGTTCCCTAAGAACTTTTCGAGCCATTCCAAGTGCGACCAGATAGTTTTCGAACATATTTAGCTAGTCCTTCTCCCTCAGACCAACTAGGAGCTATGATCGATTATATAATATTCAAAAAAATTCTTTTTAAAAAGCTTTGAGAAACAGATTTGTAAGAAAGTGGGGAAAAAAATCTATGTTTTATGATTCCATTCGGCTCGTGGAAAGTGAATGGAATGAAAATAAAAGAGAAGAAAAAAACCGTTTTCTTTCTCTTTTTTCACAAAATGCAAGGAAAAACTATCACTTTCGAGAATTTCAGAGCATTTTGGTATTAGAAAATGCAAAGAGCAATGTCAATCAGCTTGAAAAAATGGAAGCGATTTTCGAAATTTGAAAAGTTTTAATGCTTTTTGAAGGGTCAAAATGTAGATTTTCATGAAGAAAAAAGAGTTTGTTAATTTTAGTCAATTTCATAAATTTTTGGTCGCATTTGGAATGGCTGAAGAAGAAGAAAGGATTGCTCCGATTTGCAACCGACTAGATCCGACTAACGCGTAGAGGCATCAAAAAGCTTAATTTCAACACTTCCTGTGATCAAATTTCAACCGCAACTTTTCGAGCCATTCCAAATGCGACCAAGATGAAACGAATTGAGTTTTTATAAAGCTTAACGGTCATTTTAGGTACAAAAACTTAGATTTAGCTTGATTTTCTCGTTATTTTCAAAAAAAAAGTCGGTTTTCTTGAAATTAATGAATCTAGGGGCCATATTAGTGATTATCTAGACGATCTACGGTTCAAAAATCAAAAAGAAATTTCGAAAAATCCATTCAAACTCAATATAACCGATCGAATAGCATGAAAGAGTACAGTTAACATGTTTCAAAAGCCTTCAAATTTCCTTATTGAACCGAGACTGAACGTCTGATAAGCACAAGAGTCGGGAGTTGACCGGAGGGAGGCAAACAAGACGAAAAAGAGCGTTGGAAGGCGGCTGATCGATATGCAGCTGGCCGCTTTTGGCGAAAAACGCCCCAGGCGTCGCTCCGAACCGGCCATATCGTTCCTCGCAGTTGTTGATCTTCGAGAGCGAAAAAAAACCGCTTCCATGTTACTTTTGTACATTTTGATCTTTCAAAGATTGCCGTCAACAATTATAAAAAAATCTTCCACAAAAAAAGCCTTGAAATTGGAGTAAAGTGCGCTCCAATGGCAATCCGAAAAAATTCTCTTTCATATGCCTTTTATATTTATTTTATCACTGACGTTAAAAATAGTAAAAGTTGTATAGAAACCCATGGAAAAAGAGCCTGAGCAAGTGAATAAAATACGCCCCAAGTATTATTCAATAAAATAACTTTGATTTTACCTCAATATTTCTCGAATAATTGGTGTTGAAAAAAATAGAAAACCCTGAAACCGGCATGACAAAATAGCCAAGTGAGTAAAGTACGCTCCAACGACAATTTGGAAGAAACCGCTTTTCTCTTATTTTAATACTGTTTGATTTTCAATTTTTCGAGTTAGAAAAAATAGAAAAAATCAACTCCCATGAAATAAGAGCCTCTGTCTGTGAGTAAAGTGCGCTCCAAAGACAATTTTTTCAAGGAACAGCTTCTCATAATGCGTTTAGGATGGTTCTCCTTTATCCGAGTGATTTTAAGAACCTTGCTGAAAGCACTGGAAGACGCTTTGAAGCACTTGGAAAAGCTCCAAGAGAAGAGAAAATGTTACACCGAATCTGAAAAAAGCTTGAAAAATTGAAATTTCATTTTCTTTTTTACTCTCCTTGCTCAAGTTTTAAATCACTCAAGCGTTTTGAAGGTGTAAAGTCCCGATTTCATTCAGAAAATCAATATTTTGCATGCCTCGAGTACAGATTTGAATAGAATTCAATATCGAATATTTTTGCGTATCAAGTTCTCAATAGGCACTCTGTTAACAAAGCTCAACAGGAAAAGAGCCATGGAAAAAGTATACTAGCCGAACTTTTGAACAGCCGCGCAAATGTGCCCCAACGAATGCGCCGTCTGTGGACTTGGCGATTTGGCTGCGTACTAGACGACACGCTTAAGAGCACGATACTCAGTCTTTGAAAAGCTTCCATTGCGTTTTTTTAATTTTTTTCTTTTTTTAATTTTTAAAAAAATTTAAGAACTTGTAATGTGTTTCGTGTTATATGTTAAATTTTTCCATTGAAATAAGGATAATTAATGATGCAAGTTTGAAATGAAAAAAAGCGATAATTTAAACCTTGAAAATTCGATTTTTCTTTTCAAAGCTTTCAAACTTTTTTTCTTTAAGTGTTTTCTATAACAAGCTTTGTTTAAACTGATTTTTGAAGTGTTTAGAAGTATATGATATTTTTTTAAAAATTAAGAAAAATTTAATTTAATTTCTCTAATTTTTCGATAAAAAAATGATCAAAATCTATCCTTACTTCTTTTTTTAATTTTTTTCTTTGTCCAAATCGCATCTTTCACTGTTTAAATAAGATATTGATATTTTCCTACGTTTGCTTTGAAGCTCCCGAAAGTTTTTTTGAAAGAAAACTTGGATTTGAAGGTAATGGCGCAAATCGTTCAACGCGGATTTGCCACGGGCGCCGCTGTCGCCAAGTCGGCTCAGCTCATCAAGACGCCGATTCAGGTAAATTTCAAAGCAAACAGTTTATTCAAAAATTCAATAAAGGTGCACGGAGTCGAAGGCCGATATGCTGCCGCTCTGTACTCGGCGGCCCACAAGCAAAACAAGCTGGATCAGGTCGAGAAGGACCTCCAGAACGTCCGCGGAATCTACAAGGACAACAAGAAGTTCCAAGTGGGATTCAATTTATTGAATTTAATATATTTTTTTCATAACAGGAGTTCGTTCTCGACCCTACCTTGAAGGCCCGCAACAAGAAATCGACCGTCGAAGCCGTTGCTAGCAAAATTGGCCTTGGAACGGAAACCGGAAACTTCCTCGGTTTGTTCTTTTTTGATTTCTGTGTACTTTTGTGCTTGAATTTGTTATCGCAGATATTTTTGAGAAATTATGTTGAACGACTAGGTAAATGAGTTTTCTTAGAATGTGGCTTCGTTTTTTAAACCGTTCGATACATTTAGATCTCAATCTTCATTTTAATCAGAATTTCTTCATTAAAAATTAAAAATACTTGATTTTTTTTTTCTTTTTGACATGTGGTTAAAAAACCAATTTGAGCTCAAATCTGATTTTGGAAAGTGGTGTTTTTTTGCTTTTTCGGTGTGAGGTTTTTTTCAACTATTTTTTTAATTTAAATCTTGAGAAAAAAAGTGATTTTTTTAGAAGATTAAATGGCAAAGATTAGGAACTTTTCCGTTTAGAACTTCACGGATTGCGCAAAAAAGAATTTCATTAAGGTTTGAAATTCAATGATAATATTCTCGTTTAGCCGTTTTTTTCTTTCGTATTTCGATGCTGTAGGGGACGTTTCATAAATATTTTTTTAGTTTGTTAATTCTCGAAATCTCTTCAAAAAAAATTCGCATTATTGCTTGAATTTTGGTTTTTCGTAAGTATCTGATCAAAAAAATCTTCGCTTTGAAGAGATTTTTGATCGATAATTTCAAGAATTGTGTTAAATATCTTTGTCGCTGAAATCATATTTTTTTATCCCATGAAATTTTTGTTTTTTTATGGTTTTTTTCTTATTATCCTTTACCGACTAGTTCAGTAATTTCATGTTTTCCAGGCCTCCTCGCCGAAAACGGCCGACTCAACAAGCTTGAGGCCGTCGTTTCCTCGTTCGAATCGATCATGAGAGCCCACCGCAACGAGCTTTTTCGTTCAGGTTTGTTCAAATCTCTTTTTTTTTTTTGTTGATTTAGGTGTTAATTTAATATTTTTGCAGGTCACCTCCGCCGAAGAGCTTTCCTCTCAAAACCAAAAGGCCCTCAGCGACGCCTTGTCCAAGGTAAATTTTTTGTCTTGCTTTCTTTTTTTCATGAAAATTTTCTTCAAAGTGTTAAAACTTTTATCTGTTTTATTCACTTAAGATTTCATTCTAACTCTTTCAGAAAGTGAATATCGGTTCGTAGAAAGAAATAAGTTTAGAAAATTAATGTGGCAATAGAAATAATTTTCAACATGTAATTTTTTTTGGGAGATAAAAACATAACTTTTTTGTATTTCTGCCTTCAAAAATGATTCTTCTTTCTCAGTCAATGTTTTTTTTTCTGACTAGATTCAGTGAGATTTTTTTTCGAATTTTCAGGTGTTTGGGGTGAGGAAAGATCCTCAATTTGTTAACTGCGCGACTTTTCATTTGAAATAATCATTTTTCGAGTTCGTATTGACCTCTATTTAAGATAGATAGCCATATTTCGCAAATTTGAAAATGTATAGCTCAAAAATTGAAGTTTGTCTACATTTTATTCTATGATTGATTATTTCCTGGGCCTTCTCGAATATCTCGGTAACTCAAACCGATCTTTTTGAGCTCTTTTTGCTATCACTAGCCAGTGTTGAACCCCCTAAAGTGGTCACTTGAATGTTCAGAAAACTCCGGTGCGCGTTTTTGCGTAATCGAGGTACGGGCTCGGAAAATATCCAGAATGATTTTTCGAGATTCCAAACTTCTCACTGACACGACCCTCAAGAGCAAAATTCAGAAGGATCTAAAGAACCTTTAGAAAAAAAGCCCCTTTTTCTCGACTTTTTTCTAAAAAAGGATCTTAAAGGAGAAAAATGAGGCGGAAAAAAGTTCTCAGAAACTTTTGACACCTTTCTAGCAACTCAAAAAGAAGATTCTAAAGCTCCTTTTTGAGATAGTTTAGACTTTCTTCTGCTAGTGAAGAGAATTGATACATCTGACGAATTTATAGATCGCCAAGGGAGGCCAGAAGCTGACGGTGACGTACAACGTGAAGCCGTCGATCATCGGCGGCCTGGTCGTCACGATCGGTGACAAATACGTCGACCTCTCGATCGCCTCCCGCGTCAAGAAGTACAAGGACGCCATCGCCACCGCCATCTAAACCACCCTTTTTTTTTCGAAGAAAATGAACGATTTCTTGCTCGCGGGACCCCGTTTTGTGTTTTTCCCCCTCATTTTTTGGAAAATAAATAGTAGGCCTTGTTTTGTTATAGCCAAATGAAGCTGTTGTTTCGTTGTATGAACTTTTCCTCTTTTTCTATCATTTTCTATTCTTAGCAGCGACGGAAGAATAAATAGATTTCTTTGATCAAATTTCCCGATTCAGAAGCTTCGCATGAGATTTTCCCGGGAGCTGTTTGAAACGGCTTTTTATTTATCGATTTTTTATTGATTCATTCTTGATTCCAAATTCCATGTTGAGAATGAGCAGCGATGAGGAGTTCGATCCGATTGCCCATCGAAAATTGCTCGAGGCGATTTCAGACCCCGGTTCCCTCAAAAAGGTGAAACTGGAGAAGCTCAAAAAGTCCAAAAAAGTTGTTCAGAAAAAGATAAAAAAAGCGAAACCTCAGAAAGTCGACGCGACGTCGCTTCTGTCCCATTTGAATGTGAAAAGGTTTGAAATTTGAAGGTTTTTGGTTTTAAAAAAGAAGTTTCAGTCTTCAGGATTTTTTTCAGTGTTCAAATAAATTGTTTTATGAAACATAAAAATTATTTTAACATATTCCGGTTACAGTAAACTGAAAAAAAGTTGAAAATTATTATTTTGAGTAAACAGGCATTTGTCGAGCGCAAATTCTGTAAAAGTGTTCATTTCAAAAGCCAGGATATGTCATTTTTTTGAAATGCGGTCGTGAAAAATTCTCAGAATTGAGAGAAAATCGAAAAAAAGCTTTTTATTTAATAATTAAATCGATGTCATTTGAATGTGAAAAAGGTTTGAAAACGGAAGAAACTGTGGTTTTTAAGAATGTAATATCAGTGTTTAGAATTTTTTTCTCAATGTTTTTAAAAAAATGAATTTCATGAAAAAAATAAACGTTTATTTGAACGGATTTCGGTCACAGAAAAAAATTATAAGTTCCTTGAATATTTTTTTGCTCAATCCACTATATATCCACTATTTATGCCGTTTTTCAAAGTAATTCCGCAAAATACAAAATAGCAGTTAGAGAAAGAAAAATACAACTGAATTTTGGAGAGTCAGAGGTAATTTTGCATTTCCCGGAAGCTTCTTCGAACACGGCTTCTGTCACATTTCAATTAGAAAAAGTTGCAAAATTAACGAAAGTGTCTTTTTAAAAAAATCCGATATCAGTATTTAGGATTTTTTTCTCAATGTTTTAAAAAAATAAATTTCATGAAAAAAATAAACGTTATTTAAACATATTTCGGTTAAAGAAAAACTTTAAAAAAAGGTTTTTTTAAAGCTCAATTTCATAAAAAAATATTTTTTTATAATCAGAATAGGTCATTTTTGAAGTGCAGTTGGAAAATTCTTCAAAACTGCAGAGAAAAATCGAAAAAAAGGCTTTTATTTATGACGAGAAGCGTAACATGCGCAACTTTTTACCTGACATTTTTCAAAAAAAGTCTATTTTTCTCCTTCATAATTTTTTTCCATTAAGACGATCAACCCACGTGGCGAAGAAAAGCCTCGGAGTGACGTCATTGGAGGATGGCGAGAGTGAGGAGGAGCCAGACGACGAGACGAAAAAGAAGAAACGAAAAACAGAAGGGGAAACGGAAGGCCAGACGAAAAAGAAGAAGAAGTTGAAGCCGAAAAGCAAAACCCTGGTCCCGGTCCGGGATTTGGAGGCCAACAAGAAAATCGAGGCCGCCATCGGCTTCGGCGATTTGAAGTTCGTTAACAAAAAAATACAGGAAAAATGGTCCATTTCGAACAGGAAAAATTTTTAAGTAAAAAAAAAAATGAAATTGATTGGATTTTTAGACAGTTATCCCCAAGTTTGCTTTGCCTAGAAAATAGAAGAAATGTGAAAATGTAAAAAAATTTTTTTCGAAACGCAAAAAAATAGATAGTTAAGCTTCAAATACCCTTCTGTTCTTTATTTTTTCCAGAAGAAGATTTTTGAAATATTTTTTTCCAAATATAGTGAAGCTAGTTTTTTTAATTTTATTGAGAAGTGACAAAATTGTACCGTTTTTTTATTATTTTTTTCAGGGACTTTTTAAAAATTTTTCTCTAGAGGTTGAAGAAATAAGCAAAATGAGCTAGAAGTTTTTCTTAAAAGCGTTACTAATATTATTCTCTCTAGATTTTTTTATTTTTTTGACCAAGTCCAGAACTTTTCAAAAAGTCAGGTTAAACGATTTTGAATTTCATTGAAAAATCCAGTTGGTCTCGTTTTTAGTTTCTATTGTACTTTCCTTTTTTCTTTAGCAGGCGGTAAAATTTTCAAAATAGTTTCCTGGAATTTTTTTTTCAAGCGCATTTTATTCCTTTATTCCTGCAGTTTATCCTTAAATTTTTTTTTCCAGAGAAAGTTTTAAAACTCTTCTTTCCTGAAAAAAAGGTCTTATAGTTCTGTGAAAATTTTTCTATCTATTATTTTTTATTGACTTTTCGTTATTTTCCAGAGGAGAAATGGGAAAAAAAAAACCTGGAATTTTCGCTCCAAAACATGACTTTTTTTCCTTCTTCGTATATTTTTCATTTTCCAGAGGAGAAATGGGCAGAACGTGGAACACTTTGGTCGAGAGTAACCGGGTCGCCGATCAGTTGATTTTCCCCCTGACTCAGCCTCGCGGATTCCTCATCGGGGTAGATTTTCGTTAGAAACAGCGACTTCAAACATTTTCCCGGTTTCCAGGACCAAAAACCCGACGAAATATTCAGCAAAGAAGAGTTGGAAGTTCGGCGAGCGATGGACCTGAAAGTGGTCGGTTTTTCGAGAAAAAATCATTTTTAACCCTTTAAAAGTGTTTTTTTTGGTTGCCAGGGTATCGAAATTTGTTAATTTTCGATTTTTGTGTTATTTTTTCTGTTATTCGAGTTTATTTTATTGAATAATGATGTGGATTCCATCCAAATTTTTGTTAAAAAAATCTCAAGTTTAAGCCAGGAGATTATAAGGCTCTTGTGAAGAAAAATCTCTGTTCCAATATTTTTTTAAAAAAACCTAGGAAAATTCAAAATTTTTAAAGGAAAATGGCTTTTTTTGTGAAAAATAATCATCGAAAAGACTTTTTTTGCAGGCCAAGGACAAATTGCAACAAATCCGACGAATGCGGGAACTCGTCAGCCAACAGGAAGCCAAGCACAGATATCAGAAAAAGATCAAATCCAAGAGGTTTATTGGGATCCAAAGTGGTCATTTTAGGGGTTTCATTCTGAATTTTTTGCTATATCGACTTTTTTTTGGACTTTTAGTATTGAGAAATAGTAAAATGAGTTAGCTGAAATTTATCGTTTGCTGTGTGTTCAAAATTTTCTCTGACTACATAATTCAGTTATCTTTTTCACTTTCTGACGCCTATTTTGAATTTATTGGAATCGCTTTGAACACGCAATTTTTCATGTGTTTTCTCTCCGGCATAGTCAAAAGGGTGAATAATGGCCGCTAGAAAGAAGAGGCTTAAAAAAGGGTGCAAAAAGGCAGAAAAAAGGCCAAAAAAAAGCCGCAGAAAAGCCGCAGGAAGGCCGCAAAAAGGCAGCAAAAGAAGTCCCTTTATCGAGCCTTCCATTTTTTCTAGATTTTTAAAGGCTTGAGAAATGGTGGAGAAAGAGAGAGGCTCAAAAAGGCTGCAGAAAGGTTGCAGAAAGGCCGCAAAAAAGCCGCAAAGAAGCCGCAGAAAGGCAGCAAAAAAACCGCAAAAAAAGCTGAAAAAAAGGAGCCTTTTCCACCCATTCCGATTTTTCCTATGTTATTAAGAGAATCTTCCGGTTTCGGAAAAACTAAAATCCGTATTTAATATATTTTTTTCAGTTATCATCGAATCCTCCGCCGAGAAAAAAACGGAAACAACTGCTGAAAGAATTCGAAGAGCTGATGGCCAGGGATCCGGCCGCCGCCCAGGAAAAATTGGCTGAAATCGAGAATCAAAGAATTATTGTTCGTTTTTGGATGGTTCGGGGAGTCTCCGAAACAGGAATGATAGCTAAAATGGGGTTATAATTTATTCAGACAGCTTCCAAAGCAAATTATGTAGATGGAATGGGAGAAAAATTTGTGAGATCGAAAAAAAAATTTTCTAGAAAGATAACATCTTTTTTAAAGACTCAAAACGTTTTGAAATCATCAAATTGGGAGAAAAAAAATTATGAGATTCACAGGCCTGTGCGTCAGACCGGGCGACCCAAGCTTTGGGCCTACAATTATCAAAAAAGGCTCAGGCCGAGCTTAGAAAAAATTCTTAAGTTTTATTTTGAAAAAAGTTTAACAGAAAAATTATTTTACTTGTTGTGTCATATTTTCTAATAACTTTATGAGGAAGAAGAAGCAAAAAAAACCACTTTTCTCGTTAAAAAAAGCGAAAAATTCGACTTGAAGAGAATTTGAGTTTTTTTTTGGACCGGGCCGGCCATTTTTGTTAAAGGCCTCCCTCGCACAAGCCTGGTGATTTATTAAAATGGAGTTGAAATATTGGTAGATCGTGTTTTCAAGATTTAGACGTTTCCGAAAAAAATAAGGATTAATACAAAAGTTAGAAAACCTCAGGAACGCGGAGAACTGAAACATCGAGCCAAAAATCGCTTCCAAAAGGAGATGGCGAATTTCGCGAGCCGAAATCCGGAAGTCAAGAAAATGATCGAAGATCATATTCGGTAATGGAAAAATGGAAAATCAAGATTATAATATTTTTCTTTCAGGTTAGGACGAGAATTGAAGGCCAAGGTGCAGGAGGATTCGGATTCGGAGAGCGAAGAGAGTTCAGACGAAAAATCCAAGTCAAAGTCGGTTAACGACATCCTTCAGGTGGTTTCGTTGTATATTTGGGCACTCAATAAAATTCAAGAGTTTTCAATTTTTTTTTCTAAAAATTGTTGGAGATCAGAATTCGATAAAAAGTCGATTTAAAACTGGAAAATTTGAGAAAAAAGCTCCAATTTTATTGCTCGAAAACTGGAAAAAAAAGTTTTTTTGCGAGAAATATAATCCCCGGATGATATTCTGAAATTCTTACGGAGTTGAGAAATTAATAGATTCTCGCTTTAAAACTTAGACATTAGGAAAAAAAGATTTATTTCTTTTTTTGAGAAAATGTCGAAAAAAATAAAATCAAAAACTTTTTTTGACTTTTAAAAAAAGTTTTTTTCATGTGTATTTGCATCTTTAGGAAGAGAGATAACTTGAATTTCTGAGCTTCTAAACAACTTTGAATGCAAAAATTGATTATTTAATTTTAACTGCGTAGTAATTTTGAAAAAGATACGGATGTTAAGTAGGTTACAGAGTTTTTTTTTTTTTTAGGCAATGAGAAACTTCGAATTTTTAAAGCCAATCTACCACTTGGAAATTTGCAAAAAATGAAAAGATTGAGAAAAAACGGAAAAAAAAGCAAAAAAAGATGTTGAAGAAATGCTTGAAGAAGGCTGAAAAATTGCCGAAAAAATGCTTAAAAAATGCTGAAAATTAGCAGGGAAGATGCTGAAAATATGCTTCAAAATGATTATAGCTAAAGTAGAATGCAGTCGTTTTTTTTTTACGAATCTTCAGATTTCCAAAAATTTGAATTTATCTAAAAAGTTTGCAGGAAGCCGCGATGGAAGCTGAAGACGAAACTGGACCAAAATCCGAAATCGGAAAGAAACTTCTGGACGCGTTTCTTTCGGATCCAAGCAATGAGAAGGCGAAGATTTCGTTGGCCGAGTTGAGGGCCCAAAAGAGAAGACAGGCCCAGGAGAGGAGTTTCACAGCAAAAGTTGGAAAATGAACATTTTTCCCTGAGATTTTCGGGTTTCCAGAATGTCAGCGAACCCCTCTTCGAAGTGGATCAAGACTGGGAGGTCGAAAAAAACGAGGAGGACCTGAAGAGCACGAAAAAAGGAAAGAAGAATAAGAAGAAGGCGAAAAAAGAGCCTGAAGGTGAATAAATTTAATTTCAAACTTAAACCAATCAAAGTTTTCTACTTCTTGTACAAATTTACTAAATTGACGGAATCAGAAACGTTTAAAAAGACATAAATCTTGAAAATGAAAGAATTTTTCGGAACAAAGAAAAAAATCAAATTTTAGCGGTTAAAATTGAAGGTTTTTCGGATGTTTGCCGCATTTTCTTTTTTTAATTTGAGCCGAAGAAAAAAATTTTTTTGAGTGTGTAAAAAATTTTTTTTATTAAGATATGATATATTGAATAATTATAAATCTAATGTAAGTTAAATAATGATTAAAAAAATCAAAATAAAATGAAAGCAACCGCGATTCGAAACTTTTTACGTCAAAACTTCGACATCATTGTAGATATTTTTAAAAAAATTTCGAGAATTGAGCTTTTTTTCCTATCAATCTCTATTTTTTTACGAAGTGGAGTTTACAACAGAGTTTTGATAGATTTGAAACTAAAATTTTAAATATCTCCTGTTTTTTTCTAAAGCTTTTTTTCTTATTGAACTTTTTTTCACAAACTTTTTTTCAAGTTTGGGGGATTTTACACGTAATAAGCTTAATGGTGTTTTCAAATTATTCTACGAGATTCAAAAAAATGCCGTCAGAGTAAGGAAAAGACAACTAAACTTTGGAGAGTCCGAGATTCGCATTTTAATTTAAAAGCGGCACAAAGAAGCTTTAGAATACTGCAGTTTTCTCTTTTTTTTCTCAGTTACATTTTATAATTTTTACATGACTTTATAATAAATAGGGCATTTTCGGTCATTTTGGTGGTTTTTTGAAACGAAGAAAATACCATTAGTTAATTCTCCTTTTTTCTGGGATCTGTTTTATAATTTCTACATGATGTAATCTCCTATAAAAGTGACATTTTTAGTCGCCCCAACAAGTGAAGAGGATTTGAAAGCCGCCGAACGGGAGGCGAAAATAAAAGCCGCTCTGAAAAAAGCGGGAGTCGAAGACGAAGACGAGAAAAGGGAGAAAATGATTGATCCCTCCAAGTTTCTTGAGGTTTTTCGAAAGAAATGGGATTTTATACCGAATAAAATGTTCAGTTGACGACCAGCGACGTCGCCAAGGTTTCCTCGGACTTTGTCGAGAAAATGGACGAGTTTGATGAAGGTTTGAAGAAGGTGTAGGAAAAGGTCATGTGGGAACATTTTAGAAACGGCAAACGTGATTAGCGAAGCGTTCAAGGATGATGACGTCATCGGCGATTTTGAGATAGTCAAGGATGAGGTTTTCATTTTATTATACAGGGTTGGAAATTGAAGGAAAATTAATTTCTATCATTTTTTTTTTGAACTTAATTTTTCCAGTTTTTTTTCTTCTCTATGGGTTTTGAGTCAAGTTATCAGAAGTTTAATTTCTGGGCTGTAGGAGGAATTTTTATAGTAGTTTATAGTTACAGTATCTACAGTATTAAATAATTAGGGTCTCGACTGAAAAGTAAATTTGAAGTTGCCGCCTTTTATCATTTTTTGATTTATTTGATATTTTTGTCTTAATTTTTCGATGATTTTGGTTTTTTTTTGGAATGAAGGAAAGAGTATATAAATCCACCATTCAAGTTATACCAAGATCGCGTTTGAATTTATTTTTCCCGCCAAAAGCCGCGTCGCGACCGCAACGAGTTGATACGGTAGATTTCGCCGTAAATTCAATGCACATTTTTTTTTTGCCCATTTACCGTAAGTCAATGCGGTCGCGACGCGGTTTTTCAGCGGTAAATGAAAATTCTGGATCGTTTTTTGTGATTTTCGGCGTTTCCAAAGCATCATACCACGATTAAAAAGCAAAAAATGAAGCTCTGTAATCAACTGATATTGGTAAAAGTCAGACATTTGAGCTCTCCTAGGTCCAACAAAAAGAAAAGCCGAAAGACGTGGACCTGACCCTGCTCGGCTGGGGTAGCTGGGTCGGCCCCGGCACGACGGAGAACAAACGACGGAAGAAGTTCGTGATCAAGGCGCGCAAGAAGAAGAGAAAGGACGGCAAGATGCGCGGCGTCATCATCCGGGAGAACAGGGCCGATATGGTGGGTTTCCGAACGGAGAATTTCAAGAAAACGCGGGCTTTTTGACATAAGACAAGGTTTTTGACACAGGATCTATGGCCTGCTCAAGTATAGTTTTTGATGGCTTTTAGGGAAAAGTTGGAAGAAAAATTGGTCCCCACTTGGCGTGTTTTTCAAGTAGCTCTTTGTAGTGTCATTCACCGCACCTTTATGCCGTGTTCAAAGTGATTCCGCGAAATTCAAAATAGCTGTCAGAGAAAGAGAAAGATAACTAAATTTTGGAGGGTCAGAGACCATTTTGCATTTCGCGGAAATTACTTTGAACACGGCATTAGGATTTTTCCTTACTAGGGAACTACTCGGACTCGGATTCGCGTTTCGAGTTGAAACTTTAGTGATTCATAAACCCGGGTAAGAGTACTTGGAAACAACAGAGATTATCTGCTAAACCCCTTAGGCTTCTGAGAAAAAGCTTTTTGAAAATGAACAGTTTAAACTTGAAAGCTATCAAATTTTTGCTTTCCTCCTTCTTTTGCCTGGAAAAAATTTTTTTAGTTTATCATAGCCGGATCATCCAAAGCGATTGTATTAAAATATGAAATAAGGTAAAAAGCAGTATTCTGAAAATTTTCAGGCCTAATTTTTCACATTTCCTACTAATTTTTTCTCAGTTCTCTATCGGGTTTAGCAGATATTCTCTCTCGTTTTCAAGTATTCTGACTTGGGTCTATAAACCACTAAAGTTTGAACTCGATCCGTGTACCCGAGTCCGAGTAGTTCCCTAGTTAGCTTTAAAATCTTGTAAATTCTCCTCTGTGTATTTTTTGCAATATCCATTTTCATTTTTCGATTGGCCCCTTCTTTTCAAACGCATTGGAGCGGTAGAGTGACCTGACTCCTCTTGTTTGATCAGCTTTTCGGTCGTAACTGTTGGCGATTTGAACGGATGTCCCTCTGTATCAGTACATTATGATTAATTTTTAAATGTTCTTTTTCAGCGTTTAGATTATTTGTCCTCAAGAAAAAAAGTTGAAAATTTTGGGTTCTCTCTTCATTGTTTGTTCAAAACTTTTGCCGAGGATTTATTGATTTTTCGATAATTTCAAGATCTAAAAAGGGGGGTTCATTGTAGTACAGGTTCCTCTGAAAATCTCTCAATTGGTCTCTGAAAGTCTAGAAGGTGAAGAACTTTTCATTTTCGATCTGTATTGTTCAAGAACTGAAAAAGTCTTGAATCAGTGTGTTGCAACTTTAACTAAACTTCAACAACTCAAAAATTAAACAGTAGCGCAATTAGCGAACATGAAAAATTGCGATAACTTCTAATTTTGGAGCTTTTAAAGTTTGTTGGAGTTGCAACACATTGATTCAAGGCCTATTCAGTTTTTAAACTAAAATCGAACACTTTGATATTTTCTAAATCCAGAACTAAAAGTTTGCGCAGATCTAGTTCTAGTCCTTCAAAGAAATTTGAGAACGAATTTCAGAATTTCCCGATCTTTTCACTAAAATGACTTCTCTCAAAAACTGATAAATTCGAACAATACATCGATTTGGGATCTTATCCTAGACCTTCAAAGAATATTTGAGCATTTTTCAGAATATTCAACATTTCTCACTCAAGTGACCACTCTGAAAAAGGAGATAAAGTCGTAATTTACAGGGAATCGGGAAGGTACAGCCGCGGTCGCTCCCGTTCCCCTACACGAGGGTCGAGGACTACCAGACGGTCCTGAACCAGCCCCTGGGCATCGATTGGAATCCGGCCAATGTCCGATGATCTCTGCAAACGACCCGTCGTCGTCGAGGTTCTCCTTATTTTATTTTTTTATCGAAAATAGAAAAAAATGGTAATTTTTTTCAACATTTTTCAGGCTATTTTACAAAAAGTGATATTGTTTCTAGGCTATAGAGACTCGAATTTTTCAGGAAATATAGTCTCGAATTTTTGGAAAATGAGGCATTTTAATTTAAAATTGTTGTGGGCAGCCAATTCATACGCCTCGTTTGAAGTTTAAAATTTTGTAGAAAACTTCAAAAACTGACCTAAATACTCCCAATGAGTTTTTATTTTACTTTAATATATAGGAAAAAAAGAAAAAAACTCGCGGGGAACCTATATTTAAAGTTTGAATCAAATAAAAAGTAAGAAGGAATGGAAAAATTAAAGAAAGTATTGAAAAATAAGAGCGAAATCTTCCCCTTAGAATATTATTTTTCGTTTCATAATTTTTTTGAAAAAAAGTGGAAAAAAAGTACTGAGAACTACAAAATTTAACCTAAATCTTTAATTATTTCTTCAATATTTTTTTTGCTTCAAAGGTATTGAAAAAAAGAAAGAAAAGTTGCGGAAACCTTCTTTTTTCAGAAGTCAAATATAAGAAAAAAAAGAGAAAGCACTTTATATTGGCCAAAAAAATGCATGTTTATGCTGACGCGACACAAGCGCCGTGTAGTTATTTTCGATATGCTCTCTCTTTTTCTTTTTCTTTTTTTCCTCTCGATTGTTTAGAATTTTTTTAATGCCGTTTTCATAAGAATTTTGAAATTGAAGCGTTATTCGTTTGAAAAGATTTCGCGAAACGCAAAATTGGAATTTTGGGAAGTTTTTAGAAAAATTGGATGACAACGAGATTTTTTTTACCGCGAAACTCGAAATTTTGAAATATTTCAACATTTTTTAAAGCTAAATTTTGAAATGGCGCTTAAAAATCATCATAGGATCCTTTTTAAGACCCAACTTTCACAAAAAAAATTTTTTTTCGATTTTTTGGCTCTCGAACGTTTTTGAACACAACATAAATCTTCTTCTGAGCTTTTTTTTTAATTTTAAAATTATTTTTTTTTGCAGGCTGGCCGTGCGATCTTGCCGATCAACAAGAAAGATTTGCTTGGCAACTTTTGAGAAAATTGAAATTTTTCCATTCCGCACATGAAATTATGCCGAAATTGACGTGTGAAAATCGCGTTGGCGCGTCATTTTTCCCTTCTTTTCTCCTCCTACGGGCCTCATTCATTGTTCTTTTTGTTATATAGTTCATTCATCGCTGCTTTGATGGTCTTGAAACGATTTCTGAAAATTCAGAGATTTAGACGTTTTTTGTCTCAAAATAGCGATGAATGAAGTATAAATTCACAATTTTTCCCATTTCGTTGTTGATTTTCTGTTGTTGTCGTTATAAAGAGTTATTATAAATTATTTTGAGACGTTTTTTGAAGATTTCGAAAGGTTTTGAGACCGAAATTACTTATTTATTGAAATTCTCGGGACGATTCTGGCTCGAGTGAGCCTGAAGGACCCTTAAGTGACCTCTTGGAACCGCGTGCAAAGCCAGATGGACACCTGACGCTTTTTTTTTATCCATTTTGTGGGGCGGGAATGTTTTGAAATGCGATTTTGTGCCCATTGAGTTGCTTCAAAGTGGCATTTTTTTATATTTTTGAAACATTTTTTTTTTTTTTGAAATTTTTGTCTTGTGTTTAACAATTTTGGCGACAGATACAGTTTGAAAAAAACTTTTTTTTTGTCTTTTTTCGAGGAATTTTTGAAGGATTTTCAGAGAAATTTGCTCCGAAACATTTTTTTCGACATTTTGGAAATTCTTTTTTAGTTTTGAGGAATTTTCTCATAGTGAATACGTAATAACATTATTCTGTTTTTCTTTTTTTTAATGAACTTTATTGATTCTACTGAATTTTAAGCATATATTCTTCAACTCGGAAAATTTTTAGTGACCACTATAGAGGTTCTTTATTTAGTGGCCATTTCAGTAGTTTTTTATCCAATATTCCTCTCAAGTACTGTGATAATTTTAAAACAAACATATTGGATCAGTTAGGTTGATCCATTGACCCCTAAAGTGGCCACTAAAAATTTTTTTCTCAGTACTGAGAACTTTTTTTCATTTCACAAAAAAATTGTATAGTTTCCTCTCATTATTCTTTTTTTCTCTTATTTTTTTCATCTATTTTTCCGTGAAATTTTTCTCGATTTCGCGTTTTTTTACCTATTGAATTGATATCAATGTTTTGATTCAAAAGTTTCAGCCATTTTGAAAAGATGAAGGCAAACAATTTGGGCTCAATTTTCCTGCTCATTTTGAGCGCGATCGCCTCAGTTTTTTTGCCGACGTCACCTCCTTGGATAGCAACAATTTTGATACGATTTTTGAGTGAGTTGAAAAAAATGAAATTGTTTTGTTCCTAACATAAAAGTCATGGATTGAAGGGATCACTGTAGGGAACATTAGTAAATTTTTGAAAATCGTAGAAAATGTATAGAAAAATCGTAGAAATTGTAGAAGAAATGTGCAGAAAAATTGTAGAAAACTGTTGTAATTTGAATAAGTTATGAGGAAAATTTTTAGGAAATATGTTGAAAATAAGAAGAAAAATGTAGAAAAATACGTAGAAAAATGAGTAGAAAATGAGTAAAAAAATTGTGCAGAAAATTGTAGAAAACTGCTAAAATTTGTAAAAAAAATAATGTGTTGAAAATGCGATTTTTCTTTTGTGATATATGATAAAAATTTCTAGCGAAAGGATGGTTAAAAAAAGTTTTTTTAAACTTAGAAAAATTCATGATTTTTCTGCGAATCCCTCATTTTTTTCCAGATTCCCATGAACTAGTTTTTTTGTGAACTTCTACGCGGATTGGTGCAGATTTTTCGCAAATGCTCAAGCCGATTTTTCCTCGAGGCTTCCAATAAATTCACGGTTCGTTTTGGGATTCTGCATTCATAACAGAAGATTTTTTTAGAAAAAAATTGAAAGATAATTGAAAAATTCAGAATGAGAAGTTTAAGGAGCAAGGTCCAATTCAAAAAAATAATAATTTTTTTATGGATTTAAATTTCAATAACAAAAAAAGTTATTACAGAATATATTCATCAAAAAAATTGCAAAGGTTTAGATCAAATAATTGGATAAAAACAGGCATGTGAAAAAAAAAGAAAATTTCAATTTTTGAAAAAGTTTTTTTCGATTTTTCCATCATAAAAAAACGGTTATTAGTAAATCAATTTTTGATATTTTTTTATGCGTTTTTTTCTCATAATTTCACTGTAAATCCTTTTTAAATGATACATCTTTCATGTTTTATTAATTATTAAGTTTACTTAAAAAAATATCGACTTTTTCATAATTTTTTTCAAGATCGAAAATTTTTTTGGATTCAAAATTTTGACTCATTAAATGGAGACTTTGCTAAATTTTTTTATTGCGAATTTAATAGAAGAAGTCCGATTTTTTTAAATTATAGTTTTTGATTGTAAGAAAAAAAATAGCTAACTCTTGACTTCATTTGGAAGATATATTCGATGAAAATTGCATTTTTTTCAAGGGGAAAAAAATAGACAAAAAAATACAAGAATTTGAAGAAAATTAGAATAATAAGAATGATCACATCTTCGAATATTACAATAACGATTTTTTTGAGAAAAATTGTTTGAAAAAAAAGACGATTTTGGAAATTTTTTTCAAGTTTCCTTTCAGTTTTCATCATGAATAAGATCATTATTTCAATTTTTTTCATTATTTTTAAATTATTTTTTTACATCTTAATTTATTTAAAAAAATCGATTAAAAAAATGGTTCGTTATCATGGTTGTTCAACTATCGATTTATTGGAGAAAAAAATATCGATTTTTTTCAATTTTTTTAGGATCGACCTGCGGGACAGGTCGCCTGGGCCTCAGTAGACGCTGATAGAAATCGTTAGTTTTTGAACTTTTTAAAAAAAAATCAGAAATTTTGTTCATTTTCCAGCTGCCATTGCATCGAAATTCCACGTCAACAAGTACCCGACTCTGAAATTATTCCGAAACGGGGAAGTCGTCAAGAAAGAATATAGGTTTGGGAAGAAAAAACGGATTTACTGTGATGAAAATACTGAATTTTCTCTTTTTCCAAAGATTTTCGCGAACTTAGAGTGGTCCCTATAGGGGTTAGGCAGAAAAACAGCCCCTAAAGGGGACGAAAAAGTGCTCCTTATAGGGGTAAAGTTTAGGCGGTCCCTAGAGAGGTTTAAAATCTGGCTTAGGAAGTTTTAGTGGCCCCTATAGGGGAAGGTAAAGTGGTCCCTAGAGAGGTACCTTCAAGGGCCGTTCAAGGTTGTCCCTATAGGGATCACTCTGAAGTTTATAAGAAGATGTCCATGAAATTTCTTCTCATGACGGTAATGAATGAACAAAATTCAATTTTGAACTATATTTATCGATTTTTGAGCCTTCAGAAGCACGAGATCTGTGGAAGGATTGGCGGAATTCATCCAGAAACAACTCGAATCAACTATCAAATATTTCTCCAATCCCAACGATTTTGCGGCTGCCATCAATGTATTTTTCAGTTTTTTCCATGAAATTAATCGAATTTTCTTCAGCCCGACCGAAGGACCATCCTCTCGTACTTCAAGGAGCAAAGCGGCGTTGAGTTTGATAATTTGAAAAAGGTTTTTTTTTTCATTTTTCTTGGAAAGTTAGTGGTTATTCAACTTCTAGAGGTTGAAAAAAAAAATGGAAAAAGTAATTTTATAGAAAGAATAGATCATGATAGAAAAATAATGAATCAATTTTTAAAAAGGACCGAAAGTAACTAAGTTAAGCTTGATAATTTAAAAAAAAAGCCTGAAAATGAGTAATTTTTTTGAACCTTTAGATCATATGAAAAAAATTCGGAATCCCATAATTTTAAAAAAACAGACCAAAAATGAAGAGTTTTGGAGCCTTGAAATTAATTTTTGCGACAGAATTTTTCGGAAGTATCCAATTTTTTTCAAATTTTGAAGCTTGAGCACTTTTTTTCTTCAATTTTTCTCATTTTTTTGACCAAAAAAAGGCTCAAATAAATATTTTGATTAAAAAAAGAATTCATTAATTAATTTTTTGGCCGTTTTAATGGATTTTTTTCGGAATTTTTCCAGTATTTAGCATTTTGCAAAACTTGTAATTTTTCCATTTTTTTAATTCACAAAAATTTTTCATCATGATGTATTCATTTAATTCGCCAAAAGGAAAGATGTTTGAAAATACAAAGTTTGAAAAAAAAAAGTGCCGGAAAAAGTGAAAAAAAACAAGATTAAGAAACGTCCGTTTTTTTATTAATTTGCAATGTGACACGAAAAAAAGCGGTCGCATTTTGTAAACGTCCGTACTTCATACAATTCCATCTTATAAGAAATTGTTCGATCCTTTATAAAATTCCTAACTAGGGAACGAGTGAAGACAAAGTGACTTTGCAGGTGGCCTCCCTGATGCGCGAGGATTGCGATTTCCTCGTCGGAATCGGCGAAAATAACTTCCCCAACGAACTCCAGACGGCCGATCCCAAGCCGAAACTGACCTTCAAACCGTCGAAGGTGACTTTATTTATTTATTTTTGGATCGAAGACAGAATTTATGAAAGACTTTTTAAGAAAATTGTGTAAAAAAAAAACGCAAAAAAAGGATTGAGTTTAAAAAAAATCGAGTTTCAAGACTTTGGCAAGTTTCCCTTGAACATGATAGATTCACCGAAATCCAATCAAGATTTGGCGAAATATTGCGCGAAAAGAGGAGGTTTCAGACGTTCTTGTAGTTTTTTCTTCAAAAAAACTGCACGCCTTTCAGAAATCCTGAAGCTTGAAGTGACCACTTGAGTGAATTTGGCCCTCTTTAAGTTATTTTTCTAGGACATATTCTACAAACCGAGATAGTGTGCGAAATGAGGAGGTTACAGAATCCGTTATGGTTTTTTTCCTATTCAAAAGTAGCACCTTTCAAAAATCCTGAGCTTTTAGTGATCACTTGAGGGGATTTGGGCCTCTTTAGGGGTTTTTTCTAGAGAATATTCCATAAATCGAGATAGTGTGCGAAATGAGGAGGTTTTAGACGTTTTTATTGTTTTTTTTTTTCTTTGAATGGTATCGTGAAAAGTATACCTTTTGAAATTAATGAGGCTTTTAGTGATCACTTGAGGGATTTGGGCCCCTTCAGGGGACTTTTTTTGAGAAATTTTAACCGAATTGTAGTGCTTTCACCGCTGTTTTGACACGATATTCAATAAAGTAAAATAGTGTGCAAAAATAGGAGTTCTAGACGTTTTTTTTTTCGCTAAAGGCTCCTACGCTTGTCAGAAATCCGGAGGCATTTAGGGATCACTTAAGGGATTTCAAACCTCTTTAGCGCTCACTTGAAGCACCAAACGCCCTCACTTCACAAATCCTGAGGCTTTTAGTGGTCACTTGAGTGAAGTTTTTCCTCTTTAGGTTATGTTTTCTAGACAGTATTCTGTGAATCGAGATAGTGTGCGAAATGAGGAGGTTTTAGAAGTCATAAAGGTTTTTTTTCAGTGAAAAGTTAGTACCTTTTAAGAATTATAAGGTTTTTAGTGATCACTTGAGGGAATTTGGGCCTCTTTAGGGTTTTTTTTTTTAAAAAAAATTCGATCGATTTTGTAGTTTTTCACCGCTTTTTAGTGACAGTACACAATAAATCGAGACAGTGTGCGAAATTAGGAGGTTTCAGACATCGTTGTAGTTTTTTTTTCTTCAAAAGAACGCCAAACTGCAAAAATCCTGAGGCTTTTAGTGATCACTTGAGTGAAATTTCTCCACTTTAGGTTATTTTTCCAGAGAATATTCCATAAATCGAGATAGTGTGCGAAATGAAGAGGTTTTAGAAGTCATAAAGGTTTTTTTTCAGTGAAAAGTTAGTACCTTTTAAGGATTATAAGGTTTTTAGTGATCACTTGAGGGATTTGGGCCCCTTCAGGGGACTTTTTTGAGAAATTTTAACCGAATTGTAGTGCTTTCACCGCTGTTTTGACACGATATTCAATAAAGTAAGATAGTGGGCAAAAACAGGAGTTCTAGACGTTTTTTTTTCGCTAAAGGCTCCTACGCTTGTAAGAAATCGAGAGGCATTTAGGGATCACTCAAGGGATTTCAAACCTCTTTAGCGCTCACTTGAAGCACCAAACGCCCTCACTTCACAAATCCTGAGGCTTTTAGTGGTCACTTGAGTGAAGTTTTTCCTCTTTAGGTTATGTTTTCTAGACAGTATTCTGTGAATCGAGATAGTGTGCGAAATGAGGAGGTTTTAGAAGTCATAAAGGTTTTTTTCAGTGAAAAGTTAGTACCTTTTTAAGAATTATAAGGTTTTTTTAGTGATCACTTGAGGGAATTTGGGCCTCTTTTAGGGTTTTTTTAAAAAAATTCGATCGATTTTTGTAGTTTTTTTCACCGCTTTTTAGTGACAGTACACAATAAATCGAGACAGTGTGCGAAATTAGGAGGTTTCAGACATCGTTGTAGTTTTTTTTTCTTCAAAAGAACGCCAAACTGCAAAAATCCTGAGGCTTTTAGTGATCACTTGAGTGAAATTTCTCCACTTTAGGTTATTTTTCCAGAGAATATTCCATAAATCGAGATAGTGTGCGAAAAGAGAGGTTTTAGAAGTCACAAAGGTTTTTTTTCAGTGAAAAGTTAGTACCTTTTAAGAATTATAAGGTTTTTAGTGATCACTTGAGGGAATTTGGGCCTCTTTAGGGTTTTTTTAAAAATTCGATCGATTTTTGTAGTTTTTTTCACCGCTTTTTTAGTGACAGTACACAATAAAGCGAAAGAGTGTGAGAAAATAAGAGGTTTAGACGTCTCTTCTGTTTTTTTCCTCTTCAAGCGTTGCACTGGGCGTTCGCTACGTCTTTCAGAAATCCTGAGGCATTTAGTGATCACTTAAGCGGTTTCCTCGCGAAATAGTGTGCTAGAAAAGGAGGTTTAGACGTTTTTTTTTCCAAAGATATCTGTGAAGGGATCGCCAGGCGCTCTTTTGCCTCTTGGAGTTTCCTGAGGCGCTTAGGGATCACTTGAGTTTTTTTCAGCCCCTTTAGTGATCACTAAAGATTGTAATCTTCCTCCAAGTTCAATCACTTTGAGTAAGAAAAGTTTCAAGAAATAAAATTGATCCAAAAACGCTACAGTGAAACCTAAAAATCGGATTTTTCAACACCTTTAATTTTTTTTTCCTTCCATTTTCATTTTTTTCCAGTCCGACAACCAACAGCTCCCATTACCCTATGGAGGAGACCTTCAAAATTTCGAAGACCTCAAGTTTGTTTTCTAATCGATTAATTAGTAATAATTGATTATTCTGCAGGAAATTCGCCTCTGACGTCTGTGTCCCGTTGGTCCGCGAAATCACCTTCAATAACGCTGAGGAACTCACCGAGGTAACGATGAAAAAGACAGGAAAAAAATCGATATTTTTTTCGAAATTCCCAAGTTTATTCTTGAAAAAAAATGTTTTTAATCGTAAATTGGTTGAATTTAGGCTATTGAAAGTTGAGGAAAAGTTAAAAATTTAATTTTTTTTTTTTCTCGAATTTCATTCTTTTTTAAAATTTATCACGAACAGAATATTTGCCATAAAACATTTTTGAAACGTTCTATAGAAAATTTAGGAGATTTTTAAAAAAATTTTTCTGAACAACCTTTTTCTCTTCTTTTTGAACTTTTATTGGGTTTTTTTCTTATAATTTTTTTGGGTTTGGCGACATTTTTTTGTAGTATAATTATCTTGGAGAAGCGGGCTGAAATTCTGGAATCATAGAGAAAAAAATGGTTTTTTTCAATACTGACAAAGGCTCTTTTTAAATCGCTTCCCCGTTTCTTTTTCCAACTTTAGGGGAAAATTCAAGTTCAGCTACATTGGTGTAGACCAATTCGAAAAAAATCGATCAATGAAAAAAACGGCACTTTAGTGACCATTTATGCTGATATAAATAAAAAGAAACAGCGAAAATTCAAATTCGAACTTTTCTCAGGAAGGACTGCCGTTCCTCATCCTTTTCAAGCACCCGGATGACACGGCCACCGAAAAAAATCTTCACTGACGCCGTCATTCGAGAGATTCCCGACCAGAGAAGTTTGTCCAAAAAAATTCATATTTATTCAGAATCGTTGATTTAATCAGAAATGTTTTTTTAAAAAAAATGTTGAATATTTTTTGAAAGCTTCATATAGTCGGTTCAAATGAATTTCAAGTACAATGACGCCATTAAAAAAACGCCCTGATTGGTTTATCGCGTCATTAGGGGCGGAGCTTGACCGACAACTTGACATTTAAAAATCTGAAAAAGGCTTTCAGAAAGAAAAAAATCACTTTTATCAAATTTCTATTAAAAATAAAAAGAAAAAAATTTTTCACATTTTGCATTTTTTTCGGATTTTTTTCTCGAGAAATCTCTGACCAGAGGAGAAGTAATTATTCAGAAAAAAACATAAGATCATTCACAAGTTTTCTGGAAAATTTCAAAAATATATAGAAAAAAACCTTCTTAAAAAAATTTTTTTCAAAGTATTTAGGCAGTCGGGAAGCATGAAAAAAGGCTCCATAGAAATATTCCTTCTTTGCTGCCTTTTTGCGCCATTTTCTCGGCCCTTTTGCGCCATTTTTGCTACCTCTCCTCTTTTCCACTATCTGTTTGAGTCTTTGAATTCCCAGAAAAAATGGAAGGCTCGAAAAAGGGACCCTTTTTGCAGCCTTTTTCAAGCCACTCCTTCTTAGCGGCCATTATCTACCATTCCGAGTAAAGTACAAATGGTTTCTCTTGCATTTTTTTGAATTTTTGAAAAAAAGATTCCTGGCAAGTAAAATTTACCCAAGAAGAAATATTCACAAAAAAAATAATACTATGAACTTTTTTTCCAACGTAAAATAAAGAAAAAAATCGTCTCCTTTGGAGATTCCTTCATATTTTTTTGTTATTCGATTTCTTAAACGAGTTTTTTTGTTATTTTTTTCAAATTTTTTTCGATGATTTTTCGATAGTTATTCAATATAAGGTTTTTGTGAAATAATAATTATAAGTTGCTCGTAAGTTAGTTTTTTTACCATTTTTTTACGAAATTCGCGTCGAAAATCCAGAGAATTTTTTTAGTTGAATTTTTAAAAAGTCGAGGACCTCGGTATCTCGGTTTCAGATTGAAGTTTTAAGAGAATTTGAAGGTTTCGAGTCAATGTTCTTCTTCTTCTGCAAGGCAATAATCTTACAACTAGGAAAAAAAATACTGATGCCGAAAAACTCGAAATTTAGGATTTTCTGAAAGTTTTTTTAAAAGTATCCCAAATAAATGTCTTGAAAAAAATGAACATCAAGAAATTTAGTTTTTCATTAAATGAAAAGTTTTAAATTTTTGCGAAATTCGGTACTTTTTGAAAACATTTTTTTGCATCCAAAAAAATAATGAAATGGATAAATTTTAACTTTAAAAAAAGTATTGAGAAGAAAAATTAACCTGACAAATTATCAATTTTACTTTGAGATTTGAAATTTCTTGAAAATTGGCCAGAAAACTCCTTGATGTACCAAAAGAAGATTCTGAAAATCTCACCCTTCAAAAATTCCTAGTTTTTGAAAAATAAGGGGTCAAAGCTCTAAAATAGCCTATTTTAACGGATTTTGAGGGTTTTCTTCAAATTTGAGGCGTGTTTTCTCAAAATTTAGGGATATTTAGAGTTTCGGGGCCTTCAGGATCTTCATCTGATACAACTAAAAGTCTTCTGGCCGTTTTTCAGAAAAACCGCGAATAAAATAACCTCCTTGAGAGCTTCAAACGAAAATCTAACTTTTTATCTCGTTTTCCCGTTTCTTCTTTCATTTTTAGTCCTCAAAAATAGTCACAAGTCAGTAGGATAGCATGGAAAGTTTAGAACAAGTGAACTGCCTGGTGGCGGACGGCAAGAAGTTCGCCCATCCCTTGCATCACCTCGGGAAATCGGAGGGAGACCTCCCCGTGATCGCCATCGACTCCTTCCGCCACATGTACCTCTTCCCCGACTTCCAGCAGATTCAGTGGGATTTTATTCGCCTTTCAAGGGGTTTTCAAAGCGATTTTCAGCACCCCCGGCAAACTTCGCCAGTTCGTGCTGGACCTCCACAGCGGCAAACTCCATCGTGAGTTCCACCACGGCCCGGATCCCAACCAACCTCAGGTCAGTGAGCAGGAGCTCAAAAAGCGATTAGTTTTCAACTCGACCTCGAAATTCGACGAAAGATAATTCTGTATTGAAGCCATTTCAAAAATGCCGTTTTTTTCAAGTTTTCTTTTAGGATTTTGCTCGTTGGGGAACTGTTTCATCTCCCCGGCTGAACTTTTGATAAAAAATTCGGGGAAGGGTACTTTAGGCTCTACTGATCGCAGAACAAAAAAAAATTTCTCGCAATAGATCTTGTTTCCGAGTTATGGAGCTTCAAAGTGTGCAAAATACGCAAATCATCAGGCTTAGTGTCCTAACTCGGGAACGAGATCTATTGCGAGAAATTCTTTTCTTTTTCTGCAATCAGGAGGTCCTAAACTACCCTTCAGCGAAGTGTCATCAAAAGTTCAACCACGGGGGTAAAAAAAACGCTCCCTAGTCAGTAAGCAGAAGCTCAAAATGTGACTCTATCTGTATGAGGTTTCCAAATTACTCGAAAGACAACAGAAATAACCTTTTCATGAGGTCTTCTTCTTTTCAATATCTTCTTAAGTGTGGTATTTTCATGAAAAACCATCAATTTAGAAACGCCAGAGTGGTCCCTAGAGGGATTAGGATAAAGACAGAACCTACAGGGGAAAAATAACGATAAACAACGAAAATTTCCCTAGAGTGGCCACTTTTGCAAGCTTCAGTGCCCCCTATAGGGGAAGGTAAGGTGGTCCTTAGAGGGGGGGCGTTCGAGGGCTTCTAAGCTTGCCCCTCTAGGGTTCACTCTGGCCTTTCACTCAAGGCGTGATTTCAAAAAAAGGCTTATTCTTTCCATTTCTTTCTGCTTCTTTTTTTCTTCTTTATTGAGGCAAAAAGTGTTTCAAAAAAATAAATATGTTTTTAATTCTTCTCAGGTATGGATTGTTGAGTAATAAAGTAAATTGGAATAATAGTTCTGATTTCAGGAAATCGCCGGAGCTCCCGAAACGCAGCCGCCGCCGTCGGTTTTCGAGAAACTGAAGCCGGCTTCGAATCGTTACACGATTCTCGAAAAAACCGAACTCTAAACTTTTATCCCCTCACTCATTCCATCATTCCAGAACTCCTTTCAAAAAATTTTTATCGATTTTTCAGTTGCACTTGTTTTTTTACCGCTTGTCCATAAACTTTTTCCTCTCCAGTTTTTGATTTTATTGTTTTTTCGGAAAGAGCACCACATCTAGCTTCAGAAAAACGTCTTTTTTGGTGGGTTCATGACACTTTAAATTACCTCCTAGTCAGATTTTTTTAATCCATTCATTGTATGCTTTACTTGTTTGTTTCCGTGGGATTTTTTTTTCGCTTCACCTGCCTTTTCCTTTTTTCCACGTTTTCCTGTCCATTTTTCTTTACGAGTTTCCTTATTTATTGTATTTTTTGGTGTCCCTTTTGAGTATTTCAGAGTTTCTATTTACTGGGCTGGGATTTCAATAATTTTCGTGCAATTTCTGTTTATACTCGATCTGAGCCACATTTTTTCGCTGTGATGGTTCTTTGTTCAAAAAAATAAAGTTTTTATTGATATTTTTTTCTGGTTTTTTTCTTGGTTTCATGTGGATGAAAAGGCATATTCCGCTTTCGATATATTTCGATTTTCCGCTGCAAATTGTACTTTTGAACGTTTCTTTCGTGTCATAAGGAAATGATCTTCCATTTTTGATAAGAAATGGAGATAAATGTTGCCAAAGTTGCCTTATCTTTCCTTTTTTGTGTTATAACCTATGGTATTATAGTTTTTGATCTGATAGTAATAGCGAAAACGATTTTTTTCGCAAAACTTCGAAGTTCCGTTTATCTTTTGGTTTATTCAGAAAGATTTTTGAAAAGGTAAGTTCAAGATGTAACAATTTCAAACTTTTAAGTCTCCATATAACTTTTCTATGAAACGTATATGCACCGGGAAACAAATTTTTGCTTTTTTCTTGTCGTTTTTATCCATTTAACATTATTTTCTGTTAATTTTATAATTTTTCGATTTCTCTATCAAATAATAATTGCAGTTATAAAAGAATCCAGGTAATATTTTCTGCTAGAAACCGTAAATCTTTGAAAATTTCGCTTTGAAACTTTTTTTGCGTCTTGAAGCGAAAACACACAAAAAGCTGTGTTTACGGTAGTTTCAACAGAAGTAGAATTTCTTGAATTTTCTTGCTGGATCTTTGAAAAATTTCGAAAAAACGGCTCTTTGCCTCAGAATCCTTTTTCTAAACCAGACTATGCGCCTTCAAACAAGCCATGAAAAAATTTTTTTCTTGAGTTTTTTCAGGTTATTTACCTGAAAGGATGCATAAACATTTCATCAGAATAGATAGAAAACTTGAGAAAAATCCCCTCGAAGTTTTTTTGTTGAAAATATTAAGATTTGCCCAATTTTGAATACTTTTGCAATGTTTACATAATTGATATCATTTTTCCGGTCACAAAACCGATTTTTAATCAAAAAAAGTCTGAATAATTGCCGAAAAACCTTTTTCGAACAATGCAAAATCTTTTTTCTATAGTTTTTCATGATTGAAGACAGAAAATCTTGCAGATAATTTCGAATAAAAAAACCAAACATTCAAAAACATTTTGAGCTTTTTCTCTACGGAGCCAATATAATTTTTCCCTACCAAAAAGTACGTTTTTGGTACGATTTCAGGTCGAAGGAACTGAAAAAAAAATTTTTTTGAACATATTAAAAAAGTTTATTATAGGTTTTTTTCACTTATTGGTTTCTTTAAATCAAACTATCCTGCATAAAAAAATTCAAAAAAATAAAATAATAATTTAAAAAAAAGTATCTAAGACACTCCCAAGAGCTTCATTTTAGGCTGTTTTGCTGAAAATTAATATTTTTTCCAATTCTACAAGGTCCTTACCATTTTCCAACCAAAAAGTACAATATGTTACGATCTCCGGTCAAAAAAACTGGTGAAAAAAAACTTCTGAACGTAGTAAAATGATTATTTAGGTAGATACTATTTTTGAAAGTTAAAAATTTTTGAATATCAAGTCACGGAAATTCAGAAAATAACGCAATTTCAAAGAGGAAGCTTTTGCACATGTTTTTCAAGCTTCTGCACATATTTTTTTCTTCATTTTACAAGGTCCTTACCATTTTTCCAACCAAAAAGTACGTTTTTGGTACGGTTTTTCGGTCAAAGAAACTGGCAAAAAAATTTATTCTGAACATGTTAAAATTAAAAAAATTTAATTATGCAGCTTTTTTTACCTACTGGTTTCATTGAATAAAAGCTACCCTGTACAAAAAAATTCAAAAAAATTCTAGAAATAAAAAAAGTTTTTTTGAAACAATCTGGAGAGCTCAATTTTAGGTTTTTTTGCTGAAAATGATTATATTTTTTTATTTTTTTACAAGGTCCTTACCATTTTTCCAACCAAAAAGTTCCAACCAAAAGTTACGTTTTGGTACGATCTCCGGTCGAAAAAAACTGGCAAAAAAATTTATTCTGAACATGTTAAAATTAAAAAAATTTAATTCTGTAGCTTTTTTTACTTATTGATTTCATTGAATCAAACTAGACTATACTGCACAAAGAATTTTAAAAAAAGGCAAGTCTAAAAATAAAAAGCTTTTCTTGCACATTTTTTTCTTCATCCATACCATTTTTCCAACCAAAAAGTACGATCTTCGGTCAAAGAAACCAGCAGTCATTGGCAAAAATGTCCTTATCTGAAGGTGGAGAACGCGAGAAAAACCTGTTTCCCTTCGATTTGACAGCGCCACGGCGTTTTCGTGGACAGAGGCCGTCAATTTGCAACTTTTTCGAGAGTTTTGTTATTTCCCAAGGAAATCAGTTCGTTGGCTAAATTGTAGTCTGTATATTTTTATCAATATTCGAAAAGGTCTAACCAGGATTTTTTTGGAGCCAAAAAAACACTTCAATCTTTTTGCAAAAAAATGTTTTTTTCCCATGAAAATAGTTCGTTGGCTAGATTTTTAGTCGGGTCATTTTTTTCGTTACATTTTATCAAAATCGCTTGAAAAAAATAAAGAATTTAAGTTCATTCATTTCATTTCAAGTGTTTATTTCAAATCCGATATTTTTTTTTGATTTTCCACCCTATCAGCAAAGTTCAAACTCGCCTTTCAAGGCCTTGAAAAATGAATTTTTTTTTTTAAATTTTGCCAAAAAACTATTCTTTTCTCAATTTTCCGCCTTTTTTAGACTTTCTTCTTAATTTGACATTCATATTTCTTATAAAATGACTTCCTCAAATAAATATGTTCTTTTTTCGAAGACCTAACACTCGTTTTACATTGAAACAACAGTCTTTCTCTTATTTTTCTTGAATCCATTTTTTTAAATCCTGAAATAACTAATTATCTCTTAAAAATTTACCAAGCCGATTCGATAGATATTTTTAACAAATGAAGAACACAACCCGGTTTCAAGACTTGATAAAATTGTTTCTTTTAAATTTCGTTTTTTGCTACGACGTGTGATTGAATGGGAAACTTTTTTTTTGAAATTTTCTTCGTCACTATTGAAAAAGAAAAAAATTTACTTCAAAAATGACGTTTTTCATTTTTCTGTGCACTTCCTGGAGATTGAAATCTGAAAAAAAGCCTTTTTTTCCCGACTTGAGACGGCGGTTTGCGGCCATTGCAATTAATATGCAAAGGGGGCGCGATGTGTTTTGGCGCCAATTCAAAAATTATGACTTTAAGGAACTCTTTCATTTATTTGATATAAAAATTCACATCAAGTTCTTTGAGAATTTTTTGATGTGAAGAATTGAATTCTAGAGGAAACCTGTACAAAATCGAAAAATGCGAAAAATTTTGAACTGGCGAAAAAAGCACGTTTGAGTCAATGTTTCCCGATTTGAAAGGCGGGACGCGTAGCGTGTGCGTTCGCGGTTCTTGGCGCGAGTTCAGTTCAACCGCCAGCGACGATTTGAAGAGCTCGGCAACCGCTCTTTTTCAATGTTGTCTACTATTTTTTGATGCACACATGAACATAATCAATAAATAATTGAAAAAGGAATGAAAAGAGCGAAAAACGGGATTTTCCAAAAGTCGATGGCCGTTGAATTGAACACGTGCCAAGAACCGCGAACGCACACGCTACGCGTCCTGCCCCCTGCCCCGCCTCCCTCGCCTTTCAAGTCGGGAAACATTTACTATACCTGCAAATATAACAAATCTCTGTTTCGAGCTGAGAATTTCAAGGTGCTTCATAGACTATGACTTATCGACTTTTTAGGAACGCCTCGCGGCGAGTAATGGGCACATTTCTGCCGATCCGCGCGTCACGTCATCTCTACCAACAAGTTTACAGGTTTTCCCATGTTTCCTGTTTTTTGAGACTCACAAAGGTGCTACCAATATTGTTTTTACAGTAAGAAGTCGTGTCTGACTGATTTTTTGATCGATTTTTAAAGAAATATCGGAACTTGGGGGATTTTTCAAGTTTCAAAGATTTTATTGCGAATCTCTTGAAAATATTAAAGGCGAATTTTTTTAAGAGAAGATTTTTTTCTCATTTTTGTCGGTTTGGAAAATAAATATTTATAGCTGATTAACGGTGGGCTTGAGCCACCGAAAAATGAGCTAATTAAAGAGATAGTGCCTAATTGGTGGAGAGCCCAGACAAAAGAGAAGGGATCCACGCCTGTTTAAGGTGGCCGGTCGTATTACGGTAGTTTGGATAGGTTTTTCAATAACAAAATGGAATCTTGTGTACTTTTTGTGACGTAATTTACAAATTCAAAAAAGAAAGAAAATTTTAAAAAAATTCCTGGCTCCGAAACTGACTGCGCAATATTGACCGGCCACCGGCCGCCGTAGTACTGTTTCAAACATGCGTGGCTCAGACTTGAGAAATTGTTTAAAAAAACAAATTTCTAAATCAATCTTTTTTTGATCGTGTTCGGCGACGCCGACGGTTTCGGCGATCAACGACGCGTCGGGCAGCGGCGACGTGAATGGCTTCGTCCAGGATCTCGTCAAGCAGATGCAGGTATTTCTTCTGGAAAAAGCCCAGAAGGACCTGAAAAGAACATTTGGAAAAAAGAAGATGCATTTTTCTTGAAAAAATTGAAAAAGTGGAGATTCAGAGAAACTTTGAGACCTTTTGAGAGACTCAAAAATATCTTTAGATACTTCTTTTTAAGGCCTTTGTGAGGTCTTCGAACTTTGTCTGTGCTCTTTTTTTGTCACTTTCAAAAAAAGATGACTTAAAAGTGATCTCGCAGTTCTCAAGAGAAAACTTCGAAATCTTTAAATGAAGAAAAATTCTGACGGGGTCTGTCAATTTTTTTCAGAACCTAACAGCTTTGAAAAAAAATTTTTTTACAGTATCATCTTTTTTCTCCATTTAACAATTTTTTTAAGATCCAGAACAGTGGAGAAAGGCCTTTTTTTCATTTTCATTCACATCTTCACTTACTCTGTGAAATTTTACGAGTTTTGATGGTTTCCAGGGCGATTTGCTCGAGGAACTTCTGCCCAGCGACCCGCATGCCACGCTCAGCTCTTTACGTACTTCTGAACTGCTGGAAAACCTCGGCGAAATGACCAAATATTATTTCCAGCAGGTTGGAATTAAGCTCAAGTGACGAAATGATTCGATGTTTCAGGGCGGGAAAATGTTGAGGCCGACGATAGCCCTTCTGATGGCGAGCGCGTGCAATTCGGCCACGCAGCGGACCATCGAGTGGGCCTTTTTTTAGAAACTGAATGGGAAAATCATGATTCTTTGGGTATTCTGAGAAACTACAGAGTGGTCCTTGTGGGGGTACCCTAGGGCTCCTTGAAGACCTCGACCCCTCTAGGGACCACTTTACCTCCCCTATAAAGACCTCTCGAGCTTGAGGGGCTTAAGGGTTAGACTCTGAACTCCTATAGGGATCACTTAAACCTTACCCCTATAGGGCCTGTTTTTCCCTCGAACCCCTAAAAGGACCACTATGGCTTTTTAAAGTCAGGTACTTCTAGAAATTGAGAAAAAAACGATTTTTTCCGTGATCATTCCAAAGTCTTAAAAAACCTAGAGGTCCTTAGAAGGCTGAAATCGAAGTGGTCCCTATAGGGGTTTAGGATTTGACCTTCAAGCCCTCAAAGCTCAAGTGGTCCCTTTAGCGGCCTTTCAATTTTCCTTTCTGATTTGAAAGTTGGAAAGGAGTATTAAAACTTGATAGGTTAGTTTATTGACCACTAGCATGCTCCCTAGAGTGGCAACTTTGCAAGCTTTAGTGCCAACTTTAGAAGGAGATAAGGTGGCCCTTTGAAGGAATCATACCAGAGCTTCTACGATAGCCACTCTAGGGATCACTCGGTGCTCCTAAGTAAGCCTTCATTTTCCCAGACACCCAGTGGTGGGGTCTCGATCTCACGCCGCCGTCTGCCAAAATCAGTACAAGATCGGGATGATCGCCGAAATGATCCACACGGCGAGTCTGGTCCACGATGACGTCATCGATGAAGCCACCGCCCGGAGGGGAAACGCCAGCGTCAACGCCGTCTGGGGCAACAAAATGGTTCGATTTTGATTTGAAAAAAAATTAAGCTCATATGAAGTTTGATAAATTTTCCGTGAAGAAATGAAGTTTTGCTGGAAATAACTTTGATTTTTCTAAAAAAAAAATTAAGCTATCAAAAAAATGAAGAGTATCTGATGCCTACAAATCGTTTAAGGAAATGTGATATATTTTGATGAATTTTAAAAACTTTGAGTTTGAATATATGATGACGAATCCCGTTTTATTTTAAATAAAGGTTCGGCTCAACCAGGAAAATATACCGTGTCAAGAATTCACTCAAAACTGAATAAGTTCTTTTCAAAGAAAAGTCTGATAATAAACCAAAAATAGTTTTTCACGCCTTTTTTTTCTAGTCAATTTATAATGGTTATTAGTATCGATTTTATCATTTTATTGATTTGGAAGATCGGAAAAAAGATTCAAGTTTTTCTCTTGACATTTTCGCAAAAAATTCTGGGAAAATTTTTAGTGGCCACTATAGGGGCTCGCCAAGGACTACTTACAGAGGACTCTAAAGAGGTCACTAAATCCACCTCTATAGTGGCTAATATTTTCCGTTTTAGTGGATACTATAGAGGTTTTCTATTTAGTGGCCACTGCAGTAGTTTTCCATCCAGTATTCCTTCCAGAACCTCTGATAATTTTAAAACAAACAGATTTGACCAGTTATGTTGATCCATTGACCCCTAAAGTGGCTACTAATTCGACTACTATAGTGGCCACTAAAATGTCAAAACCCTTTAGTGGCCACTAAAAAGTTTCCCAGCTATCCAGTTTTTTTTTCAAGTCAGTTCTGGTCGGCGACTACATCTTGGCGAGAGCGACCCAAGTTCTGTGCTCCATCGGACGACCCTACGTCATCTCCACGATGGCCAGGATCATCCAGGACTTGGTCGTGGTTCGTTTCTTCAATCAATAGTTATGGACGATTCACGGCTAGCTTGGGACGCAAAAAGGCGTGGCCTGTCTGCACTCTCCACCAACCAGGGCACTGTCTCGTCTCTTTTCGTGGCAGGACCCTTTTCTCGATGGCTCAAGCCAGCCGTGAATCAGCTATAAAAGAAGGGTTCAAAGAGATAAAGAGAATTTCCAACCTTTCAAAGAAATCCAAAATGTTCAGGGTGAGTTCCTACAAACGACCACAGCCCCGAAAGACGAGGGAATGGACCGGCGGATAGAGGAATACATCAAGAAAACCTACCACAAAACGGCCAGTCTTTTCGCCAACAGCTGCAAGTCGGCCGCCATCTTGACTGGTCTCTTTTTTGATTTTTCAGGGAATTGGAGGGTTTTTTTGAAAAACTGTAGGTTAATATTGTGCATATAGTTTGATCAGATTTTTAATCCCAAGGCGACCCTCAAGCTCCGCCCCTAATGACGCGATAAACGAATCAGAGAGCGAGCCATCCACAGAGCGATTTCTAATGACGTCATTCTACTTGATATTCAAAATCTGAAAAAAATAAAATTCACTGGGAAAAATTTTTTTAGTGGCTACTATAGGGTTTTTGACGTTTTAGTGGCCACTATGGAAATCAAACTAGTGGCCACTTAAGGGGTTAAAAATTAGTGGCCACTATAGAGGTCTAGGTGGTACTACTGGACCACTAAAAATTTTAGTGGCCACTATAGAAGTCAAATTAGTGGCCACTTAATGGGTTTAACATTAGTGACCACTATAGAGGTCTAAGTTCTACTACTAGATCACAAACAATTTTAGTGGCCACTTTAGGGGTCAATGGATCAACATAACTGGTCCAATCTGTTTTTTTTTTTTTAATTATCAAGGTTACTGGAAGGAATACTAGATGAAAAACTACTGAAGTGGCCACTAAAACCGAAAATAGTGGCCACTATAGAGGTGAGTTTAGTGGCCACTTTAGTGTTCTCTCCAAGTAGTCCCTCTATAGTGGCCACCAAAAATTTTCCCAGCAGAGAAAGGCGTTTAGCCTGAAAAAGTTTTTGACAAGCACCAAAAAGTCTAGAAAAAAGACCAAATTTGATAAATCCGCCTTTTTTTAAGGATAAACTCGTTTTTTTCGGTTTAACAGTATTCGCGTACTCAACTGTCATGTTAACTTTTGTTAAAGAACGACCGGAACTTCAATATGGGTTTTTGCGTGTGTGAAGCCGTTACCGATATCATTTTATGGGAAACAGAGCATTTCTCGTTTTTTAATTTTTCATCAGTTCAGAGAAAGCCTAAAGGTGATTTTCAGCTTTGGAGTTTTGTTAAACCAGTGATAATTCAAAAAAAAAAAGAATAATAAATCAATGAACGACCTTTTTTTCCAGTACAAAATATCTTAAAAAAATCAAAAAAAATATCTTTTTTTCTTGTAGTCAAAGGATTAGTAAAAAAACTGAATTAATCCAATAATTCGGTTTTCACTAGCTGAAAATGAATCGAAACGTCGCAAAATTTGCGAAAAAGGTTACGGTAACGGCTTTTGTGCAATACACCGTCACGCGAAAGTCCATGATTTGAAATTTTTTCGCTTTTTTACGCTTTTTCTTTCTTTTGTTTTTTTTTCTTTTGTTGTTTTTTTGAAATAATATTAATATTTTAATTCAGATGAGAACGACAAGAAGTTGCACTCGTTGGCTTTCGAGTACGGCCGAAACCTTGGGATCGCTTTCCAATTGGTCGATGATACCTTGGATTTTGTCGCGACTTCGGATGAGTTGGGCAAACCCGTCGCGGCAGACTTGAAATTAGGTAGAAGATTCATTTCAGGAGATATTCAACGAAAATGTTGGTTTTTCTTACAATTTTTGGTTTTTGAACAACTTTCTTCCAATCAGATTTTAAAATCAAACGGCGGAATATTGAAATTACGTTTTTCTTCAGAAGCACTCTTATCTGTGATTTTTTAAAATATACCATTTATTCAATTCGCACTGAAAACGACTACAAGATAAGCTTTCATCTCAAACATCGTTTCTCACAGCCTTTTCAAATCAGAAAATGAAGTTTTACAGGTCTCGCGACGGGTCCAGTCATCTTCGCAAGTGTCGAGTATCCCGAGCTGAGAGAAATGATCGCTGGGAAGTTCTCGGGAGCTGGAGAAGCCGAAAAAGCGCGAGAGATCGTCCTCAACTCCAACGGGCTCAAGAGAACTCGGGAGTTGATAGATCGGTATTCCCACGATGCCGCCCGATTGGTAAGATCTCATTCGTTTTTCAAATAGATGAAAAGAAAATTAGAAATGGTGCAACTAAAATGTTCTTTTTGAAGCTGGTTAGATAAAAAAAAAACAAACTGTTTTTGGTCCGTTTTTGGTAATTTTCATATCTTTTTATTTTTTTCTAATTTTCGGAGCAGACGATCATCGTCGCTTGTGTAATAGCTGCAGAAAAAAGCGCCATGACTGACAAAAGCCCTAAAATGGCTTTTTGGTAAACCGCGCCGCACTTGCAAAAAAGGCGTGCACGACTTGCTGGACACCTGACGGGTCTAAACTTATCCAATTTTTTTGATTTTTTTTTGAGTTCTGCGTTCATGATTTGTACACATCATCCTGAAAACTGAAATTTCCTAAAAATCATCAAATGTTCTCTGTTCATTTTTTGAGCCCCCTAGTTATGAAAATTTACCGAGTAACTTTTGAACTTCTTTAGCGAAAATTTCACTTTCATCCAAGAACTAAACTTCCCTGAAAATTATCATCAAATACTTTCATCTTGGGAATTTTCCCTTGAGTTCCTACTTCCGATAACTTTCATAAGTCTCTTCAAAAACAGCGTTTTTCCAGATTGGCCAACTGCCAAATCGAAGCGAAGCATCTGAAAAGCTGATCGAAATCGCTTTGGCGCAAGCCGAGCGAAAATATTGATTTTTTTTTTGTCTTTATTATTAGTCGAATTAGTTTTTTCTTCATTTCCTTCGTACCCTTGTTATAATCTCGTTTTTTTGCTCATTTTTCTAGTCATGTAGGACTACCCAGAAACGTTCAATTTCTTTCGTTCTTCGCTTCAAATTTCTATCTAGAGTCATATTATAATTTTTTTTTTCTTTTATTTCGGACGTGTGTTAATTGAATTATACAATTTTGTCATAAATTCCTGAGAAACAGCCAATTTGCTCAATGAAAAGATATGATTTACTGGGTTCTTTTTTCCAAGTCTAGTTACCCTTGTTTCGAAAGTTTTATTCCCCTCCCACGTATCCTCTTGTTGTTGCTCATGTTAGACCTTTCCGTCGTAGAATTTTTTTCTTTTTTCCTGTTTCTGTATCATTTTTAGATTTCTGTAGTCTCGTCTCGTAGAGAAGTTTCTTCCATTTCCTTCTAATCTGTTCGTTTTTCTGTTCCGATTCGATATTTGATTGACTTATTCAATAAAGTTTCTTGATTGTTAGAGATTTTTTTGAATAGATTAAAAAAATGTGCCGGAAAAAAATGGGCGTTTCTTTCTTTTTTTCATGGTAAAATTTCAAATTTTCGAAAAATTTTTGAAACGAGAGGATTTGAAATTAGAGAAACTTTTTGGAATTTTTTTAAAGTATATCTACGAAATTTGAAACCGATAAGTTTAATATTTAATGATTATTTTTGTCAAGTGTGAAATTTTTGAGATTTTATAAGCGTTAAATGAGAAATTAAAAAAATGATTAAAAAAATTTTTTTATGGAGCCGATAAGCTCAATTTCTCATCATTGAGCTTTCAAGCTTTTTCCAATTTTTTTAAAATTGTCCATAGAGCGCGAAATACATTGTCATTCGGCTTTTTTTCTTCACTTTTTTTAATATTATGAACTTCTTTTTTTATGAGGATACTTTTTTTGAAAGGTTTTTTTAATTAAATTTTTTTAGTCTATTCTCACATTTCAAACAAAAAAAGCCACTAACTGAAAAACCACCTATAGGTAGAGACCGCGAGGCCACGCCCCTTTTTGCGATGGTGAAATACACTGGTTTCTCAGATTTTGTGTTCGTTGTTTTCGTACAAACGCAATAATGAACCGAAACCCGAGAAAATTGGGAGAAACATAGAGAAAACTTTCCTCTTCAATCTCATATACTTTTTACCTGGTTTTCAAAGCGTTTTAGCGGAGTGTCGTACAAAAAAACCAAAACTACTTTTTTTCTTCAGTTTTTTAACCTAGTTCCATGTCGTTGGCGCCTTTTTTTATTTTCGAATTCGGTTTTTAAGTGAAAAAAAAAACATTTTAAGACAAAAAAATTAAAATTTCTACGATGCATAAAAAAATTAAAATTTCTACGATGCATCTTCGTGAGGCCGCGCAAAGTTGAATATTGCCTATTTTAAAAAGGTTCATTTTGGGTTGTGAGCCCTCATTTCTCAAAAACTAGGAGATTTTGCAAGTTGAGACTTTCAGAATCTTAATCCAGTACATCAAAGAGTTTTCTGGCCAGTTTTCAGAAAATTCCTAACAGAAAGAAAAATGACCTTCCTTAAGAGCTTTTTTGGATTCTCATTGAAGTCCTTCAGCTTACAAGAACTAGAGTTTAATATATATTATTTTTCGTGAAACAAGCCCCAATAAAATAGTATGGATTGACCCTAAGCCGGACTTCCCGTAATGGAAAAGGAACGCAGAAAAACAAGTTCCATGTTCCCCAGACGACGAGAGCCGCGAGGATCCATGCAAATGAACGGCCCGGCCAAAACAACCCTTGTTTTTCGCTTCTTCTCATTTTCGATTTCTTTTTCCGAAGATTTTTCGGCTCTTGCAGTTTGGGGAAGATCTTTTTTCTTTTTTTTTTTCGTTAAATTTCGTAATTTTTAGTGTCATTTTGAGACTCATATTGGGAAAATTTTAGTGGTCACTATAGAGGCTCGCCAAGGACTAATTGGAGAGGACACTAAAGTGGCCACTAAAATTTTTAGGAGTCTAGTAGTAGCACTTAGACCTCTATAGTGGCCACTAATTTTTAACCCCTCAAGTGGCCACTAATTAGACTACTATAGTGGCCACTGAAACGTCAAAACCCTATAGTGGCCACTAAAAATTTTCCCAGTATGCCCAAAAAAATATCCCTGGAAAAAAATAATTCTGCGCTTTGAAACCTTTTTTTATTTTTTTAAATTTTTTTAAAAATTTTTTTCTGAAAGCCCTGGTAAAAGATTTGAATAAATACTTCATAACGAGAAAAAAACAAGATGGTATAAGATAGAGAAGCATGTAGAAAATAGACTTGAAAGGCTCTAATATGGAGATTCTGAAGTTTTTTTGAGATAAATTTTTTTCAATTCAGATAATGATGGAAATATTTAGTTTTACAATTTTTTTTTGCCATCTTTTTCTGGAATATTTCGACTTTCTATTTATTTTATTTGAAGAATAGCAAGTCACTTTTTCAATAAAATTGTATGAAATCCTTGCTTTTAAATCTCAAAAAGTTTCCTAGCAAGGTATTTCAAGGAAAAAAAGACACAAATTTCGGGAAAACGTCGAGGTAAGAGGTTTTTGCAAATGTAGACTTTTAAAATGTCCCCTGCGTTCAGAAATTTTATTTGAAAAGGATAGAAGCTGAAAAATAATTGTAGAAATGGATGAAGCGATCCAGGATGGACTATAAAAGCTTATTTATTTCTCATACGCGTCACTAGTTTTTTTTTCCTGAAGGATTAGGCAAGGCCGGTTGCATTACCTACTATACAACACTAGTAATAAAATCCATAATGGAAAAAAATAGGTGTTTTTCGTGACGGCCACTACAAACAAACTGCGTGTTCCGGCACGCAAACAAACGGCTTTACTCTTTTTTTTTCTCCATCTCTCTTTTTGCCGTCCAAATGGAGTGGGCAGGGCGAAGAACAAAGATTCTTTCAGTTTTTTGCGATTTTGTGCAAGTTTCGGTTTTTCTCGGCTTGTTAGGAAGTTCAGAAGGATGATTTTTAATTTTTTTTTTTCCATATTTTCCTTTTTTTCAACCACTTTTTGGAGTGCACAGGGTGAAGAACAAAGATACCTTAAGTTTTTTGCGATTTTTCCTAAATTTTGGCTTTTTTCGACTTGTTAGGAAGTTCAGAATTTAATATGATTTTTAATTGTCATTTCTCAATCACTTTTTTTGCGGTTCAAATAAAATGCACAAAGTGAAGAACAAAGATTCTTTCAGTATTCTTGCGATTTTTGTGCAAGTTTTGGAATCCCTCGGCTCATTAGGAAGTTCAAAATATTTTTATTAGTCAAGTTTTTAGGGGTTTTCAAGTTGGAAAGTGCGAGAAAATCGTACATTCTGAAGTTTTTGTCTTCAAAAATTTAATTATAAGAGTTCGAAACGATAAGATTTTCCAATTTTCTCGACCAAAAATCCGTAAAAATGTTTTTTTGAGCTATTTTTTTCATGAAAAAAATCTTTAGATAAGCCTAATCAAAAATTTTTGGAATCCAATATAAACATTTTTAATAACCGATTATTTACAAAACAAATCATTGATTAAAGTTTAAAAAAATTCAAAAAAATCGACTTGAAACGGTAAAGAGGGGGAATCGGATAAAATATAATTATCAGAATAGAAACTGCTGGAGTTCTCTAACATTCCGCTCATCTTTCTTTGAATCACTCGAAAAATCTTGATATAATTAGCCGAACTGAAAGCTATTTTTTGGACACATGTGGCTCCTTTCGTATATCCGGAGATCCTAAATTATTAAGAAAAAAAGAAAATAATTATCCTTAAGCTTAAAATATCCAAAAATTGGCTTTCACAACTCTTTTTCTCTAAGAAAAGTTTCATTTATGTTTTCAATGACTATTTTCGCAATAACATATTGAAAAAAATCCTTTTTGAGAAGGTCGATTGCACAATTTTGATCATTAAAATGACGTGAAAACGGCTCTTCGCTTTGAAAGTCTTCAGACAATCAATTCATGACCCTAAAAATCAGAAAATTTTTATGAAACTTTGTGAAGACCTTCTCAAAACCTCGACTATAATTAGCTAATTGATTGTTTACCACGGACGCTAATTCTATCATCAATTACGGGAGTCGGTTTCAGAAAACAAGTACTTTGATTCAAAATAGCTATGGTCAGTTTCAAAACTTTCAAAATATTCAGTAAAACTTGCTATATTCCGTTTCATTTTAAAGTTATATGAGAAGTAAAAATAAAATTGAGTTTGAGAAAAATGTGCAATTTTTTTGAAACGTTTCATTGCGTGTCGAACGGTGTACTCGAAAAAAAATTTTAACGGAAATTCCCAGTTTTACAGAAAGAATTATTAATATTTCAAATCGGTGAGTAAATAGTTGGAATTTTCGCCAAAAAGGCGTTTTGCAGTGAAGTTGCTCTATGGACAAAACGCATTTCTCGGTTTTTTTTTTGCTTTTTTCTTTGTTTCTTTAAATTTAAATTTTTCCTTTTGTTACCAAAGTTGTTTTGTCATGAACACTTTCTATTCATGAAATTTTATATATTTGAGAAAGACTTTTGAAGAAAAAACCTCATACATTTTTTTGAGCCGAAGCTGTAGGAAAAGTCCGAAAAAAAGTTCCAATCAATTTTTTTCTCAACTTTTATAGTGAAGATTAAACCGAAAGCTACTCGGAAAATGGCCAATTTTCAATTTCCAACCTCCAGTTTTTCATTTTCCCAAGACGGCCTTTTTCTCTTTTTTTTTCGTTCTTGCGAGAATCCAATTAGTTTTTGGAAACCTCTGAGAAAGAAAAAAAAAACTTTTGAGCGAAATGAAAAGTTTTCTCAGAGAACCTGCTTTTTTGAGGAATCCGTCTGTTGTCAGAAAACCAGGAAACCTTCTATTTTGACCTGAGAAGCTCTCTTTCGCCTACTCTTCCCTTATTGGATCATCCAGGAGAAGATAAATCAAATTTTTCTTTTTTTCAGCAAAAAAGTCAGAGGTTTTTTGTTGAGAATATTCATTTTACATTCGTTTATAGCGACTCTTTTGAACGAGAATTCTGTGGAAATTTCCTCCTGCAATTGGGTCAATTATCCGTCGTTTATCTTCTGAACGCCCTGGCTGAAATTGCCTCCCGCAGAACCGCCATAAAACCATTTGTCACAGTCATAATTGCGGGTATTCATTCTCTGCGGGTTTATGAATTTTATCATCATCGTTTTCACTATATTTTTCCAATTTATTGCTCTGAAATGGTTCTAGAAACGTAAATAATTCACTCAAAAGTGAAAAAAGCAGAAGAGGTATTTTTTCGAGAGTTACAGTAAGCAAACCTGTGCGTACACCGCTGCACTGAAAACAATCAATTATACGACAAAACGCAAGATTTTCAAATTTTTTTGTTTTTTTTTTTTTAATTTTTCACGACAACCAATTCCGAGTGATTTTTTTTTAGTTCTTGCTGCGCTCATTTTTAGGCCAAACCTAAGAGAAATTTGAAAATAGTTTTGCGTAGTAATAGTAATTATTTTTTACATGATTTTTAACTTTTGAAGTATTTTTTTTTTCTGAATAAGTTGAAATTTGTGTGACAAAGATTTCAATTCTTTTGCAGAATGGTCTTTTCTTTAAAAAATATTGCGTAGTTTTTTCGATCATTTCGCTCCGTACTTATTTGTTCGTTTCGAAAGTGGGATTTCACAGTTTTTCCCTTCTTTTTTGGTGTATAATAAATGTTTTTTTGTAGTTCATCCTTTGTAGGTTTTTTTGAAACATTTCTATTGTTGTTTTTTTAAGACTTATTAAAAAATTAACTCGGTAAATTTTCATAAAATTTTCGTGTTCTCTATGTTTTACGATTAATGAATATTGATTAAGGCACGAACTAGTCGAATTTCAAGAGAAGAGGTTAATTTCCGGCGTTGAAGGTCACTCAAGGAAGCCATTTGTCTTGATTTGACGCCCATTTTTGGGCATTTTTCTGGCTCGTAGGCGGTCTCTTATCGATTTTTTCGGCCGAGAGCCCCACGTCAGTCTACATTTCCTCTTCTAGTCTGTGGGGCACATTTTCTCCTTCTTCCTTTTTTTTTCGGAACCGATCATCTGCCAGCCATATGCTCTCTCGGTTTTGGGCCGGTTTCATGTTTGAAAATTGATTAATTTGTGAATTTTCCCAACTCCTTTTTTTGTTTTTGCGGATTGAAATGGCAAATTTTTGAGTGCCTAACTTATTATTTCCCTTCCGACTTTCAACTTGAAATAATGGAAAATTTTGGAATCGCGCCAAAAACATTCAAATTTCGTCTGCGCCCAACGTTGTTTATGTGTTTTCGCGCCAAGGATTTCGGTATTTAAATTCGCCGCGACGTTCATTTTCCTCTTTCCGAATAAAAACGTGAACTGTTGCCTGTTTCATTTCTATTCGAATGCTGCAAGTCAGTTCCCCGCGATTTTATCTCGGCCAGAAGCCCTTCAAGTGAGTATCGCTATGCATTTTTTTAGTGGAGTATGAATATTTTTTTCCGGGTTTTCTAGGTCTTTTTGAAGTTTTTTTAGGCTTGAAAATTGGTGAATGTGCTTTTAAAATTCGAAAATTGGCTCTGAAACCCGAAAAAAAGTGAATATTTTTACCTCGTTGATGTGAGAAAAATTGTTTTTTTCTGATTTTTATATTCTATTTTTTTCCCGTGGTTTATCAAGGCTTATGGTTTCGCGGATTGGTTGGAACTTTTTTTCAAACTTTTTTTGAAGAAAAATTATGAAAGAAATGAGAAAAAAACTGAATATTTGTAATTTTTCTCTAGCTTATTTAAACTTTAATTATCATTTTTTTCAAACCCCACTTTATTTTTGGGGTTTTTTTCGAGATTGTAACGATACGTTTTCTACAACGAATACTAAATTTTGATTAGATATATACTAATTTCAAGCCTTTCGACTCCTTGACCCAAGAAAAAATGTGTGATGTTTCGAGAAAAAGAGAAAAAAAATGGGACGACGGAAACTTCTGAACTTTTCCTTGCTGCAATCAGCGACAGCTGATTCGTGTTGTTCTGTTCGTATTTTTCAGTCCCTTTCCTTTTTTCCAATAGCTAAATTGAAGCCGCTTTTTTTATTCCAGTGTGAAATTCTTATATTTTAATATTTTTTGGATAGAAAAAAAATTTGATGAAGTCACTGTTTCAACAACAGCTTTTTAAATATTTTGTTGATTTTTTTAGTTATTTTTGCAGTATGTCAAAATTCACTAAAAAAATTATTTTTCAACATTTTTCCATTTTTTTGACGAAATTCTTTGCTCTCAGAAGCTTAAATTTCGACTCGTTTGCACATTTTTTCTTATCAAACGCGAAATTTACTCCAGAATCCCGTCTTATTTCGAATTTCTTATCAAAATCAGCGATTTTTCATTCCTCTTTGTGATTTGAAGGAAAAAAAAGGTATTTTTCTGCGCCGAGGATTTTTCAAGTGGCCTCTTGAATGTTTTTTGTGATTTTATTTGCTCCCCTGGTGGATTTTGATGATGAAGTTTGGTTGTCACAGATCTTTGAGATCGATTTTTTTGTGATTTTTGTTAGAATTCTTATTTTAGACCTATATTTTTCGTTTCAAATCTGAAAAAAATTACGTTTTTTTCTATTGAAAGGGGCTTTTTTTGAGTTTTTGTAACAGCTTGAAACAGTAGGAAAAAAATAATTTTTTTCGGACTTTTTTTCATAAAATAAAAAAAGTTAGGGATGAATGGGAGAACTAGGAAAAAAAAATTTTTTTCCAGTTTTTCAAAAAAAAATTTTTTTCTTTAGTTAGTTTTCCAACCTCTTCGAGTCGTTCTTTGTATTTTTGCCCACTCAAAATGTCCCTCCGTGTGCCCTTGGCAGTGTTTTTCTGGCCCCAAATGAGGCCAAGAGGCGTCGCGATTTTAATTCCCCGGGTTTCGACCTCCAAATTTCGACGATTTCCATCGTGAGGCTCGAAATTAGCCGTTCTTCTTCCAACTAGACTCTTGATTACTTCAATTTGATTCTTTAAAATTTATTTTTATGAGTTAAAGGAACAATTCCTTGAAAAAACAAAATATTCGAATTTTTAAATAATCATTTTCTGCTTGATCCCATTTTTTAACTTTTCCAAACTTCTACTAAACTTAAACTAGCCAATTACTGAACAGTTCCTGTATTGATTGATATGGTTCGAGCCCGAAATGAAAAAGGAAACCTGAATGGGTTTTTTGGGCGATGACACACCGTTTCATGACGGTTTTGGGGTAGAAAAAGGCAATTTTTCGTTTTTCTCATACATTGCTTCAAATGAAAAATAGAAGAAATTCTCATATGTAGGTTTAAATCTTTGTTCTTCTATTTTCACTCGTTTATTAAATTTTTCTTTTTGAAAAAAAGGAAGATAAAAAGATTAAGGACGGTTTAGAGAGGAAAAAAATGCGATTTTTTTTGAGAGTGTTTTCTACATTTTTTTCAACTAAAATGTAGAAAACACTCTCATTTGTAGTTTTAAATTTGCACTATTTTTATTAAGTTTTTCGAAAAAAATGGCCAAAAGGTCGAAAACACTGTTTTATGACGGTTTTTGAATGTGAAAAGAGAAAAATTTCCCTTATTTGATACATTGCTTTTATCAGAAAAATGGAAGGGAACTTGTATTTATAAAATTTTGTTCTCAAAAATTTCAATTATTTGTTTTTTTTTTGAAATGTATGAGAAATTTGAGGGCTGAAAGGTTGGCGAATGGACAGTTTCATGACTTTTTTGAGTGTGAAAAAGGAGATTTTCCCTTTCCTTATAAATGTCTTCATTTGAAAAGTATTTGCTCTTCAATTTTGACTGGATTACTGATTTTTTCTCGAAAAATGACGGGTTAAAAGGTCGGCGGAGAGTTTAAAACGCGCATGTGATGGAAATTGATGGGATTAGTGTTCGGAAAATGTTCTTGCTTTTTTATTTTCCTTCTCGCTTTCGTTTGTATGTTTTTGTTCAGTTGCAGCGTGATCCCTACACTTTTCAGCTGGGATTTCGGCTTTTTTGTGTGATTTTTGATTGATTCCTGAAGTTTTTGCGTTTTGTAATGTGAGAACGAATGACAAGTGTGTGTATATTTTTAACTTTTTTTGTGATATAAGAAAGTGAAAAAGTCATTTTTTTATAGAATTAGGGTTGTAAATTTAGGAATAATCATGTGGAAAAAAAGCTGTTTTTAGTTGTAATTTTTTTGGTGAAATCGAGCTTTTTTTCACGGCGAACGCGAAGATTTTTTTAGAAAACATTTTTTTCTTTTAAAATTTGGCGCTTTTTTTGGCTCTAGATTTGAGAGATTTCTTTTTCTGGGCTTGATCAAAAATGGATTTTTTTCCTCACTTTAATGGAATGCTTTTTAAGAAAAATCCGTTATTTATAAACTGTAATTGTTATTTTTAGTTGTAATTTGTTAGAAAAAAATCAGATTTTTTTCATTTTTAAAAAAAGCGAAAAAAAGACAATATTTTATGTTAAAAAGAGAGCTTTTTTTGGCTTTAAATTTCAGCATATTTTTTTATTTTTGGCTTGACTGGAGAGCAGTTTTTTTAGTGGAATGGTTCGAAAAAAATGCCGTTTTTGAATTTTAGGCCTTTTTTTAGTTGTAATTTTTGACAGAAAAAAAGCGTAAAAAAAGCGTTCCTAGATTTTTTAAAAGTTGCTCGTTTTACTTGGAAGAAAGTGTCGAAAAAAAGAAGGCTATAAGGCTCTTTTTTTGGAGGTATTTTTTTATTTTTAAAAAAACCTTGAAGTATTTTTTTAAATAGGCTCAGGTACGCCAATTTTCACTTTACAGTGGATTTTGTCAATAAAATTAACTTCTTCGATGGTTTTTACTCTGATTTCTTTGCTCAAAAGGTCTTCTTGGTGGTTTTTTTGGAAGTATCAAAGGGGCGATTTTTCTCATAGTTTAATGAATTTGAAAAGCTTGAAAAATCTCTCTTTTTGACTTGATTTTTTTACAAGATGGAAAATGCTGAAATTGAAAGAATGTTTCTGAACAAAATACAAGTTTTCGATTCCTATTTTTATCACACAAATAAACCTCCCGACGTTCAAATAAAACACCACTATCTCTCTTATTGTTTTGATTTTCTTCGTTCAAACGCCGGTTTCCTTCTCTTTTTCCGACACAAACATCGTTAAATTTACGTCCTTTTTTTTTGTTTTTTTCCCCCCAAAAAGTTTTGTGGCCCTTTGATTCGAATTAAGAATTTTCTAGTTCTTATCAGCTATTTTCATGCGGTGGAAGACGGTTCCTGCAAGTTTGCACAAGGTATTTGGGATTATTTAGTTGGTACAAGGTCTATTTCAACTTGCAAGCCTTATATTTTAAGCCAAAGGACGACTTTTTTGCTTTTCTGATAATTTTCTGAGATTTGATAGTTCAGTTTGATGATTTTTCCTGTTAGAAGTCTTGGAGTATTTTTTAAATAGGCTCAGGAACGCCAATTTTTCACTTTACAGTCGAATTTTACATCAAAATTAACTCCTTTGATGGTTTTTACTCTGATATCTTTGTTCAAAAGGTCGTAGCATACATAATTTAATTGGTACAAGGTCTATTTCTGTTCTCAAATTTTATTTTAGCCTTAGAAACTCCAATTCTCACCTTTCAGTTGATTTTTTTGTAGGATTTTGAGGATCTATACTCCCTTTTGAGGGCTTTTTTTCATTGATTTTTCTCGTTAAAAAAATCAATTATAATGTGTAATTCAGTTGATAAAAGGTCTATTTGAGCTCTCAATATTTTATTTTTAGCCCTAGGAAAGTCAATTTTCATATTTCAGTTGTTTTTTTCTTCATGGATTTTTAAAACCATTTCTTTTTGCATCATTTTTTTTGTGTGGTTTTTAGTTGGAAAATGATCTATTTTTGATTCTCAAGTTTAATTTTTGGCCTACCAAAGAGGTTTCATCTTTTCAGTTGCGTTTCTTCTTGAATTTTGATAATTTTTTCTTCATTTTGGTTGGTTTTATTCCTTTGGATTCAAAAGAAGCTGTTTTCCGAGGAAATATCTTGAATTTTAGATCCAGTTCTTGTTTAAAAATTAATTGGGTTTTGAAGATTTTCTCCAAAATATACATTTTAAGCGGCCTCAAAATTTCCGGTCTGAGTACTCATTTTTTTGAATCGCCATTGAAAGTTGTTTCGAAAAGATTGTTCCTTTTCTAAGCGTTCCCTATATTTGCAATGTGTCTATTCGAGCGCAAACACACAAAATCGAAAATGTTTTTCGAGTCCACATTTTTGGCCAAAGTTTTGTATCGATTCGAAAGAATATTTTTCCTTTTTTTGCTTTTTTTAAAGTTAATTTTTAGATATAATTAATTTTTTTATCAATTATTTTTCGGTTCCCAGGTCACTTGGATTTTTCAATTAATTTTTTTGCCAGTAGAATGTTCAATGGCCTGTGAAATTCACGTTTTTTTGAGGAATTATTATTAAGGTTTTCTCTCAAAAATTGAAAAAAATGAGAATTACTTCCTTGTTTTTGAAGGAATTCTTATATTCCAATTGCTCAGGAATTATTTAACACGTCATTTTTCCCCTTTCTAGGTGTATTTATTATTTTTTTCTGGCTCGCTTGATTTTTTTACTGATTGGATTTTTTTGAATTATGTAGAAGATGGTCTATGATCTGTAGAAAAAAATTGGTAAAAAAATTAATATTTTTTTAAAAAAATTGTTTGAAAAATTTATTCAATTGGATTATTCCTCTCATGAATTTTTTTATAGATAATTCAGGGAAATCAAAAAAATGGTGCTGTTAGAGGTTTTGTGAACAATTTTTGAGCTGTAAACAGAAAATAGTCAAAAATTCGCAATTTTCAGAGCTTTTATCACTAAAAACTTAGGATAAATTGAAATTTCGCCCCTTTTTCTAACCCTTTCCATTAGAGTCAGCTCCGGAAATTTTTCGAAAATGGTTTTTCAAAATTTTTAAGATGAAACTGAATTTATGATAATATACAGTTCAATATTTCATTCTTTGAGACCTGATTTGATGCGATTTTCGATTTTTTCACATTTTTATTGATTTATTGAACGAATAAGTAATCGCTTCAGGGGTAAAATGCCGCAGAACACGAGCAAATCGCCATCGCTGCTCGGTCGGCTGTCGGCGTCGTCGCGGTCGAGCTGGATCTCGCCCAAGGACGTCAACGTCCACGTCCAGCTCCTCCACGACTCCGACTCCATCGTCAACGAGTTCAACGTCAGCTTTCTCTTCATGAATTATCATTTTTGCAACTTGAAAATGAATTTTCTGCAGCTAGAGCTGTTTGAAACCTTGTGAAAAAAATGAAAAAAAGTGATATTTTTCTGAAAAAAATGCTTACTATGCGGTTCATATAAAAAAAATTTTTTTCAAAAAAATTTGGTTTTTGCAGTTTTTCAACAGTTTGAAGCCTGGTGAGACCAAAAATTTTTTTCTTAAATTTTTCAAATTTATCATTAATAGCCTTTTTTTCGAAAAAAATTAGAAAAAAAAGAAGTTTTGCAACTTTTTGAAACCTTGAAATCTCGAAAAAAAGAATCCTTGAAAATTTTTTTAAAAATTTTTTTCTTTATGAACACAATTTTTTTGTTGGGAAAAATAGGCAAAAAGAAGTTCTTTGCAGCTTTAGCAGCTTGAAACCTTTTTAAAAACGAGGAGAAAAAAATTCTTGAAAAATTTTTTTAAATTTTTTTACATAAATAAATAAGCCTTCTCGTTAAGAAAATAGGAAAGAAATATTTTTTTAGCAGCCTTATCAGTTTGAAGCCTTGTTTGAACGAATGAAAACAGATTGTGAAAAAAAACCTTTAAAAAAAGTTACTGAAAATATTGCATTTTGTGTTTCACAAATGATCCAAATTCGAAAATTCAAAAAAAGTTTTTTTGGCAGTTTTAACGATTTGAAACTTTAAAAAGATCAGAAAAAAAGAGGCCAAAAAGGTCCGAAAAATTTTTTTCAGTTTTTCTCTTTTTTTCTAAAAAGTTTTTTTACATGTGATATTTATCTTCATCCTATTGATTTCAGCGAACTCAACCGGCGCAGTCGATTCTGGACTACATCTGTGAGATGAAGAACATCCAAGAGAAAGATTTCCTTGGCCTCAGATATCAAGATCATAATAAACATCGGGTTGGTCTCGAAACGGAAAAATGAGAGAATAAATAGCGTTCAATAGTTTTTTAAAGGAAAAATGAGGTTTTTTTAAGCATTTAAAGACGAAAAACTTTGAATTTTTCAGTGTTCTTTAGATGCTCATGTTCGAAATTTGAACAAAATCTTGTAAACTTCAACATTAAATTCAATTTTTTTAATATCTAAGTAACAATAGAGAAGCTTTTTTACGGACTTACAATTGGAAAAATTAAATTTTTTTACCCATTTTATGATTTTTCACGTTCAAAAGTTGTACAGAATCGTGAAATTCTCAATATAAATTTTTTTAATTTTTTTAGTGTTTAGTATGAATAAAGAGGTTTTTCGGGGGCTAAAAATCGGAAAAAAAATTATTTTTTTCTTTCCACTATGTCATGGATTCTAACATCAAAAGTTGTACAGAATCTTGAAACCTTCAAAATTAATTTTTTTATTTCTGAATTTTTTTAAATAAACTTCTTTTTTTCAGTATTGGGTTGATTTGTCACGATCGATCAACCATTTCACCAAGCAATTTAAAGGTTTTTTTACTTCTGTTCACATATTTTTCAACCTTTTTCAACTTGATTTTTCCATAATTTATAAGGATATTTTATTTTTTTTAGCTGAAATCAGAAAAAGTCGGCAAAAAGTGAGTTTTTTTCAATGAAATTTGGTGTGTGTGTGGCTTAATTTTTTTCCAGAGTACTAATATTTTTTTCGAATACTTTTTTTCCTTTGTTTTTCTTAACCTTGTAGTTCAATCTCTCTTCAAATCACCGCTAGCCTGAAATAATCGAACAAGTGCGCTCCAACGAACAAAATGGCTTTTCGGTTGAAAAGTTGAATATTTTTGATAATTTTCGAATTTTTATTCAATTTTTAAACTTTAAAAGATACTTTGGAATGCCAGAGTGGTCCCTAGAGTGGATAGGAAAAAAAAAACAGTCTTCTAGGTTACAAAATAGTGTTCTCTCAAGGGCTAAAGCTTAAGTGGCCCCTGTAGGGATCTTTCAATTTTTTTTTTTTTTTGATTCAAAAGTTAAAAAGATATGTAGAGAGCCCTAACATGCTCCCCTAGGGTGGCCACTAACGAAAAACCCCTAGAGTGGTCAGTTTTGCAAGCTTCAGTGATCCCTATATAGGGGCCTTAAGCTTGCCCCTTGAGGGACCACTCTGGCGTTCCTAAGCGTTTTCTGTGAATTGGAGCGAACTTGTTGAATTTGGAAAGCTTTATTTATTTTTTTATTACTTTTCAAATTCAATTTTTGTGCTCTAAATTTCCCTTTTTTCAGTAGAACAACTGCATTTGCGACTGCGTTTCCGGTATTATCCAGCCAATCCGGCGCACATTCGCGATTCGGCGTTGAGGTCGGTTTTTGAGTACTTGAAAGTTGAAATCATCAAGCTTTAAAAAAATTGAACGCATTTTTTTCAAAAATCAACGAAACTTTTTTTCTGTGCTAAAAACCCATGTAAAGCGGCTGTATAGTTCGTCACGGCGTTTTTTTTTGACGACGCCTCGCCCACTTTTCATCCGTGAAATGTCGTGTGTCGTGTGCATAAACTGCGCCGCTTTTGCGCAGAAAATTGCGTTTATGTAGGAAAATTTCGATTCGTCTCAAAAACCTCTGGCAATACGGCCGCCTGCGCCTTTAATAAGCCCTGTTATTACGCGTTTAGAACCGAAATCTTTGCCGTTCCCATGACGTCACGTGGAAACGGCGGATATTTTGGCTCCGCCCACCGTGTTTTTGGTTTCGCATTTACTTCCACTAAGAACACGGCGTTTTTGTAAGTGGAAGGAAATGCTGTTTTTCTCTGCGCCCTCCTCTTATCTCCGCGACCCTTTCGCTATTTTCGTGTTTTTCTGACCTCGTCGGCGAGGGAACAAAGAGACGCAAACACTCGAAAACACTTACAAAACCATGAAACTGTTTGATTTCTCTTCTCCCCTATCTCGTTTTACGTGCTATTTTCATGTTTTTCTGGCCGCGAGGGAAAAGAGAGCGCAGAGAGGTCAGACTGTTTCTTAAGTCGTGGCAAATGGACTATACACCGATTAAAATGATATGGTTTTTTTTAAAGTTTAAAGCAGTTTCTTTGAAAAATTTGAGATCTTGTAGAGTTTCGTACCGAGAATCTTCACAAATCGCTCTGTTTGAACATTTTGTGGCCTAAAACTTTTTTTCTTCTTTCCAAAATGCGTTCTAAAAATAAACGAATAGTTTTTTTAGAATAAGTGTTTCAGATATCAGCTGTTTGTGCAGCTCCAAAGAGACCTGCTGCACGGCCGCCTGTACTGCCCTCAAACCCAAGCGGCAGAACTCGCTGCCCTCCTGCTTCAAGGTTCTTTATCGGCATTTCAGAATCAGTTCAAAAATAGAAGAGATCTATTCGAGTGAAAAAAAGATCCTTAGTGTCCTGAAATTGATCAGAGAACTGTAGCTCCATCATATGTTGAAAATTTTTCCGTAAAAAATTGTCATAGGGAAAGTCGGAAAGGGTTAAAAAAAGGCTTCATAAATGTTCCTTTTTTAATGCCTTTTTGCGCCATTTTCTCGGCCTTTATGCACATTTTTTTGCTGCCTCTACCTTTTTCCCACCATTTCTTGAGCCTTTGAAATCCCAGAAAAATGGGAGGCTGGATAAAGGGACCCTTTTTGTTGCCTTTTTGCGGCCTTTTTGCTGCCGTTCTGCGCCCTTTCTACGGCCTTTTTGAGCCTCTCCCTTTTAGCGGCCATTATCCACCAATCTGACTTTGCCCGAGTTTGAAACCCAAACAGATCCGTCCTTGTGTGTGACAGCTGAGAATCTTGAAGTCGTGGTTTCCCACTACCAACATTTCTTAAGCCCCTTGGTTGGATTGAGGTGGGGATCGAACTTGTGACCCTGTGGACCGTAGACAGGCACACAACCTGTTGCGCTACGTGTGAATGAATAAATAATCATCTCCGATTTTGCAGCCCAAATCGGCGATCACGAAGATGGATTGCCGGAGAACTACGTGAGCAGCTACAAGTTGCTCCTCAAACAGACGCCCAACATCGAGAAGAAGATCGCCGTCCTCCATCAGCAGCTCAAGTTTGTGACTTTATCCATTTCCTCCCGAAGCATTGTGTTGTATAGTGTGCAACGACCTTTAGTAATTTTAATATTTATCGTTTTATAAAAGGATTATACAACCCAAATAAAAAATTCACAACATTCAAATGCTACCAACCAAGTATTAGGATAAAAAGAGTTTAGGCCAATAATGGGTCCTGCCTGGAAATATTCTACGGTAGCGCGCAGAAGCTCTATGTGTAGGTTTACGGGGATTACTCAGAACGTTAAAGATCCTATACACTAAATTTTGTCCCAGCCACAATTCAAAAAGAACCCTTTCTAAAACAGTAAGGTGATGATGAATTTTTTTCGTGAAAAAAATTTATTTTTTTAGTTTTTTTGAAGGCTTTTGAGGAGCAGTATATGTTGGCATGGAAAATTTAAAAATTAGTTCAAAATGATTGGTTTCTGGAATTTTTTCCAATTTTTTTCGGGTCTATCGCAAATTATTGCTTCTTCATCTAAAAAAAGTAGATTTACCCTTTTTTTGATTAGATAAATTTTTTTATAAAGAGAGGATAAGATTATAACAAGTATCAGAATAGATAAAATAAAAAGTTATCTCGAAAAAAATTTCTAAGAAAAATTGTTTGAGCGAAAATCGACGAAATACGCGTTTTTTTAGAAATTTTTTTGAGGATTTTTTTGCTTACTGAAAAGTTTATTTTTAATCGAAAATAAGGAAATTTTTTTGAATTTATAACACTTTTTATAACGTTTTTTTGAGATCAAATGAAGAACATTAATCAAGTTTTTTTGAGGTTATATGTTCAAACTAGAGATGAAAAATGATTTTTTAAAAAAATGGTTAGTAAATATTTTTTTCGTTCAGAGGAAGTCGACCAAAAAAACTTTGCTCGGTTGAGAAAAAAAGGAATTTTTTTGATCTTTTTTGTAATTGAGGTTTATACAAAGTTAAAAAAAGTTTTTTTCTTCGAAGTTTTCTTTTTGAAATAGAAATGAACTTCATTTCGGAATGGCTGATGATTATTTGTTGTCCAGAGGCAAGTCGACGGCCGAAGCTGAACTGGAGTTTTTGGAAAAAGCCAGTCTCCTGGATACCTATGCCTTTGACCCCTATACCATCAAGGTTCTAGAAAAATTAGTGAAAATGATATTTTTACCGATTTTTAGGACCCCAACGATCCGTCGAATGTCGTGTACGTCGGAGCTTCCCACAAAGGAATTATCATTTTCCATGGGACCGTTAGAACTCATCATATCAAGTGGTGAGAGGCTGGGGAATATTAAAAAAAATTTTGGAGAATCAAAAAAATACAAGATTATGTGCTCTACATGGTAGCTTTCAAGTGAAAAAAATGAAAAAAAGGGTTTATTTTTCTCAAAAAAAGATTTAAAAAGAAAAAAAAAAAAAGAAAACGATTTCTGCTAAAGTGCGCTCTAGCGTACAAAATTGGAAAAATTAGCTGAAACTTTTTTTGTAAAGGAAAAAAACAAGAAGAAAGTTTTTTTACAAATATTATTGAATATTTAATTTTTTTAGACTAAGAAATATTCCGACATTCAAAAAGGAAGAAAAAAATGTTTTTTTAAATCTTACCAAAAAATGAGATTTGCCCCAAAAATCTGTTCTTGATGAGTAGAGAAAACATTGTGATTCGATATCCCATCTGAAAAAATGACTAAAATTCATCAAAAAGTCCATTTTGCTCTTCCTTCTGACTTTTTTTTCCCCCAGGTCGGACCTAGTGAAGGTAGACTATGTCGGTCGAGAACTTCGGATCGTCCTCCGCGAGGGATACCAGCCCGTGGCGACCCTCTCTCGCAACGGCGACACCTTGTCTTCGTCGGCATCCGAGTCCAGGGTAGGCAGCTGCAATTATTCCAAAAACGGAGCTATAGCTGATTCACGACTGCCTTGAGCTAACGAAAAATAGGTTCTGACACGATTTAAAAAAAAGAAACAGTGTCTGGTTAGTGGAGAGCGCAGGCAGGCCACGCCCCTTAGCGACCGAAACTAGTCGTAGATCAGTTATAACAACAGGGATGTACGGCAATTTTAACTTTTTTCTGGCGAAATTTGGATCAAAGAACAGAAAAAAAAGAAATCTGTTTCAAAAAGTTTTTCAGGTTTTTTGAGGCTCAATTTTCCAGCTTTTAAAGGCATAGAGGCAGTAAAAAAAATGGTGTTTCAGGTGAAAGCAGTATCTTATACAGTTTTTCTTTGCGAATCGAACGGTGTATTCAAAAAAATTACAGATGTGACCACTTTAGAAGAAAAACGCAACTTCACTTTCCCGCCTTTGATTTTGAAAAAAGCTTTGGATCGGCCTACGGACAAATGTTTACAGTAGCTGTGCACGCGATGTTGCGGACGTCTCATTAGACTCGCATTTTGTGTGAAATAACCGGCTATCTGCTTCAAATCAAGGGTTTCTACTCTGAAAAAAATATTCAGTCAAACAAAAAACACACACCGATAATAAAGAAAACACAAAATATCGCAATCCAAATCGAAACCTGTGTAAAAGCATCATTTTTCCCCAGAAAAGCATTTTTGCGATTAAAGTTTGCAAATTATACATGAATAGAAAGCTTTTGTGACGGAAAGAACTTTGGTGACAACAGAAAAAATTGAAAATTGAAAGAAACGAAGAAAAAACCAAAAATCCGGAAGTTGGCGAAGCCCGTTGTCCATAGAGCAACTTTATTGCAAAGTGCCCTTTCTGCGGGAACTCAAACGTTCCTTTCTCCGACTTTGAATTATTTTTTCTCCGAAATTAAGAAATTCGGTACGTTTTCAAGTTTACCGTTCGATTCGCAATTAAAAGCCCTACAAAGTACTGCTTTGAACTGAAACACCGTTTTTTACTGCCCCTATGCGTTTAACGAATCTCTCCGCCTCTTCAACTTTGCCTTCTTTAAAAATGCGACTGAATAGTCATATTTATATTCTCTTTTGAACTCGAAAAAATTGTCGATTGCCGCGTATATTTGGTAAAAAAAAATCACCTTTTATATCTTATGACAGTTTATTTTTTTATAATTTTTGAAGTGTGTTTAAAAAAAGTACTTAAACTTAGAGAAAGAAAAAAATCCAAAAAAATGTGTGAATTTTTTTGAAGTAAGAGACCTTTTTTAAGAAGTTCAAAAAAATTATAGTCAATCCTTGAGAGACGAAAACTTGAAGTCAAACACGAGTCATCTTTTTACCTCTTTTTCGACAGTTTTCAATGAATTTAAATTTTTTATGGGCTTGAACAGATTCAGTTGAGCGAAGAAAAGTAAAAAAAAATAAAAACTTATTTTTTCACGACCTATTTTCATGAGTACGTTTGACCTCGAGTTCCCCACCAAAAAGCCGCGTCGCACACGCAACGGGTCATCTTTGCCAATACACCCATCTCTCTTTTTGAGTACATTCCTTTGAATACGAGCCATGTTGGACGTTTTTTTTTGTTCTTCAGAAGCCAGCTGCTCTTTCGGGTCCAACGACCTTGAAGTACCTCTGTCCCACCGGATACTACGCCAAACATCTCTGGGTCCATATCCTCAGTCAACAGGCCTTCTTCAACGAAGACTCGGCCAGCTCCATCAAGCCCAAGTTCTCCAAGTTCGTTCCGGAAACCTGGAGATGTTCCGAAAGCGTCAACTTCCAGACCGAGGATACCGTTGCTGACGAGAGGCTCGACCTTCCGGTTCCCCTCGAGACGCGTCTACCGCGAGTTGGAGGAGATCAACGAGTCCCTGCCGCTGATGACGACCTCGACGATGACGTCACCCTCGAACGGCGACGTCTTCCACACTGACTACCTCACCACGACGTCCATCAACAGCAACACCAACGATGTCGATTCCCTTCTCAACCAGTGATTTTTAACATTTTCTACGATTTGCTCGGAATTAAGGCATTTTTTTTCATGACGTCACGTTTTAAGCTTAGGAAGAGTTTCAATCAATTATTTTAGAAAAAAAAAATTTCTCTTTCTTAGCACAGGTTTTAGTTGAAAAAAAAATCTCTTATAGGTTTTTCTTTAATATTTTACGAAAACTGACTACAGATTTGAAATCACTACGGAATTTTATTTAAAAATAAGTTAATTCATTCATGACGTCATGTTACTGTTTATTGCATCTTCAATGTAAGAGTACATGTGCAATCGACTTTCATTGAGTTAACTGTGTTTAAACGGCGGCAGGAGCTGTGGCTTAGGCAGAGAAGTTGTGAATTTCGCTCGTAGAACATCAGTTACAAGAGAGGTCGTAGGAAGAAGTACGGTGCCGGCTTTCCAAAGGCCAATGGCAGAGATTGAGCCTTTTCGCTGCATGCAGCTCCCAATTTTATCTACCCCGGAGGGATGAAAGGCTTGGTCGACCTCGGGGGGACTCGAACCTATGACCTTGCGGACGTTAGAAATGAGTTATGCCAGCTGAGCTATGCCGCCCCTATGCCGACGTCATGTTCGAAGTTTTTAAATGAAATCCAATGGAGCACACTTTCCTTGAAGATCCTACACGTCGGTGCCGATTCGCTACGAACTGCCGAGACAAGAGCTGCGTAGCGAGCAACCGTGGCTCGTCGCCAACGGCCACGCCAAAACATCGACCCTCCCGATTGAGGCCCGCTTGAGTCCCGTCGCTAGCGGGGATCTAGGTCTGGGTTCGGAGATTTTGTTCTGACATTTTGGACAACCTGAAACAATTTTAAATTTTCAAAAACAGAGCCTTCGAATCTGTTCCACAAGGAAATATTTCCAAAATTCAGACCTGAAATCATCAGTATTGCGAAATTTTTCTCAAAACTCGTCGTATCTCCGAAAAAAAACTAGAATTTTGCGCTCCTAGCCATTTTAAGAAACCCCCATTTTCAGAGAATTTTTGGGCGAATTTATTGGAAATTCTAAACTTCTAACTGAAGTAGCCTCTCTTGTGAGAAAATGTTGAAATTGATTTTCAAAAAAAGCCTTATCATCTCAGATGATCAGAAGCTTCGCGAGAAGAACAACAACTATGCGAATTGTCTCAACCACTCTGTCCAACCTCCCACTGAGCAAGACGACGTCGTTTCTAATCGTTCGTTGTTTTTTTTTTCAAAATGATATTGGTCACAAAGTTTTTCTGAGCAGTTTCACTGGCCCCAGGCTTGAGCCCGACCCGTCCCGGCCTGAAAAGCGTGATTCCTTCAAGTCAAATGTATCACTTTTCACGCCAAAAATCACGTTTTTGGTTCTTTTTTCAATCAAATCAAATCATTTATTCTGTTGTCTTAGTTGAAATTCAATAAAGACGCTGAATTAACAAGTAAAATTAACTTCTAGTGAGAATTTTGAGTTAGGATGGACTAAAACTATGACTAAAACAACAAAATGAATTATTTGAAATGATGTGGTTTTTTCCAAGTCTGACCACACTCTTTTGCAAAAAGGAGGCTCAAAGCCGGCTCAGGACGCCCAACTTGACGAATAAGGCCCATCTTGTCTTCTTTTTTAACTTTTCAAAGTTTTTTTCGATTCAAAAGTTTCTTTTACATCTCCAGAGTGTTTATAACTCTTTAAAAGAAATAGTTTTTCAAAAAATCTGCTCTTAATTGCGCAAATAATCTGATTTTTTGAGAAAACTTCTCTCGAACTTCTAAAAATGTACGCTTTTCGCAAAAATTGATGAATTTGTGCGATTTTTGCAGCGCATCCCCAAAAAAATATGACGATTAAGAAAGAGTTTGAATAGAGATTTTATATTATTAACACCGGCGCGAAGTGAAAATGATCTTTTATCTTCCTTTTGGATATTTTTTCAACGAAAAATCAAGATTTTTGTGAAGTTTCGAGTTGATATTTGGAGCCACAACAAAAAGTTATAAATTAGAATGACCAAAAACGATTTTTCACTGCTTCAAAAATGACATTCCTTGGAAAAAAAGAATGAAACCAGAAGCCTCGACGTCGACTCGGCCGATCGAAGTGACCCCTCCAGGGTCTCCAATCACAGTCGCCGACTCCCCCAATGCCATCAAAACCACCCAATTCACCATCTCTCCCAGTGACCGGAATCAGGTTCGACTCTTTTTCATGATTTATTAGGTAATTTACCGTTAGTTTGAGCCAAAATTTTGATTTTTGATGGGAAATAAGATCAAAAGCGCTCCTTTTCAAGAAAAACTAGCGGTTAATTGAAGATTTTTTGAGGAAATTCCATTTCTATGTGTCCCTGTCGTGTTGCCTGCACTGTCCGTGTCGATTTCCTGTACTTTCTGTATCTTGTAACTTTCTGGTGCAAGTTTTTCATGGTTCGTCCACCAGTTTTGGAATTTAGATGCAGAAAAAAATTTTGAGAGTTAAATTCTTAGCTTAGAAAATTTTTGAAGTGGTTACTTTTACAAAAAATATCGAAAATTGGGAAAAAATAATCATTTTTCTAGGCTATCTTGTGTTTTAGAGTTCCAACTTGATTTTTTAAAAATTTTTTTTGAGCCCAAATAAGTAAGCTGAAAAAAATTCTGAGCACATGTTCAAACCAAGTTTGGAAATATTTTGAGAGTCTGGTTCTGAGCTTAGAAAATTTTTAAAGTGGTAATTTAATGTAAAAAGAATTGAAAAATGAAAATTTAATCATTTTTCTACGTTTTCTTGGGGTTTAGAACTCCAATTTGATTATATAAAAATGATTTTTGAGCCTTATCGAATGAGTGAAAAAAAATTCAGCCCTGAAAAAAAAAATTGGCCACTTATAAAACAGAAAGGCCAGTTTTCGAATTCAGTTGCGCTCCACTGCTAATTTTGTTCAAACCAAGTTTAAGTTGAAAGGTTTTTTTTGGAAGTTAGGTTTTCGAGCTTAGAACGTTTTTGAAGTACATTTGGTCTTTTTCATGAAAAATGAAAAAAATGGAAATAATCATTTTTCCACGCACTGTTGGACTTTCCACATTTTTTTAAGGCTAAAAATAAGAAAAAAATATCGATTACGTAAATATGAAAAAAATGGACCCTAGTAAAAAGGCCTCAAAAAAATTCGGCTATTCACTTGCGCTCTACGGCTAATTTTTTTCGAAAAAGAAAATTGACTCGGACATTGGTAACGCGAAACGGACGTGCTTCTGGGCAATTCTAGGGATCACTTAAGAGCGCTGAGACCACTAAAGTAACCCCTAGAAATGCCACGACACGTCCGATTCGCGTCCCGTTCGCGTTACCAAGGTCCGAGGATGATTTTTAAAGGTTTCCTTGAGAAGCCATTTTTTTTTCGCAAAATTTGTTACAAAAATGAAAGTACTGTTTTGGGAAATGTTTATATAATTTTCCATCTGACACGAACCAATGGTCCTTTGCAGTAAACGAAGTTGAAAAAAGTACGAAAAAAAAGTTTCCCTATAGTAATCATGAATGAAGGAATGGAAAGAAAAAAAAAACACGGATTATCAGAAAATGAGGTGTGAAAAGGTACAAAAATAATTTTTAAAAAAGGCAACATTTTTTTCAAAACAAAGTAATTTTTTGAAGGTTTCCTATCTGAATCAAAAAGATTTTTTGCTTGATTAAAAAAAAATTGTTTCTAGCTTCATTTGTAGTTCAACGATTGAAGCTCTGTAGTGTTTGAAATATTACCCTAGCCGCTTTTTGTTCACCTTGATTGTTCTTAACATTTACTAAAAAGCACTAACTTTTGCCCTCCCAACGGATTTCTCCAAGTGACGAGGCGGTCAACCGACGCAACCTTCATCAGCCCGTGTTTTTGAATTTTTCAGACGAGTTTCACGGTTTTCCTGGTCAAACGAGAGGAACTTCCGTCGTCGGGGACGTCACACGTCGACGAGCCCTCGGACGCCGGGGTATTTATTCGAAAAAAATCGTTTTTTTCCCGCTTTTTCGGAGTGCTAGGGTCTTTATGAAAGCTCAGCCTAGGAAATGCAGTTTTTAGGCATGAAGGAAAGCTTAGGAACGATAGAGTGGTCCCTGTAGGGGTTAGGAGAGGGGGAATCGGACTAAACTGGGGGACCAGACGAAACTGCGGGGGGGTTTAGTTTTTTTAGTTTAGGGTGTAGCCCCCAAGCTCCTAAAGCGGTCCCTTAAGGGGTTTTTTTAATATTTTTTTCAGGTGTGAAAATTTTTAAAAAAATGAACTGGAACGATTGAGCAAGAGACGAAAAAAAGTGTTTCCTATAGAGTAAAGCTCAAGTGGTACCTATAGAGGTTTAGGATTCGAATTTCAAGCTCCTAAAGCTTGAGTGGTCCCTTTAGGGCCTTTAAATTTTTGTTCAGATTTAAAAAAGAAATGAATCCTGTTGATATTTTTTTCATTCAAGCAAGCCTATTCATTGAATTTCTCGCATGAATATGCTTCCTCTCCTAGAATTTATAACAATAAATAACTACCCCTAAAGGGGTCACTTTTGCAAGCTTTAGTGGCCTCTATAGAGCCAGGTAAAGCTGTCCCTAGAGGGGACCCTCCATGAACCCTATAAAGACCACTCTGGAGATCTTACGATTGGAAAGAAATGCTGATTTTCCATATTCCTGTATAGATTGATTTCCGGACATCTTGATGGAATTATTGAAGGATTATAGATTTTTTTTTGTTTTTTTGCAAAGCGGTTGCGTCGCGTTTTGGCGCCATTTTTAAATTGTTCGAATTTTTAAATTTTGCACAGGTTTCCTGTTGATGAAGGTATTTATAAATATTAAATAATCATCAAAGAAGTTTGCCTAACTTTGCATAATCGTTGAAAAGATATGACTTTTAGGAAAAATTTTCTTCAAAGAGGGGGGTTTTTTTTTGAAATGACGCTGGAACGCATCGCGCACCAGCTGAAAATAAGGGATCCTGTCCTGAATTTTCAAGCCGAGAAAAAGGAATTACATGATCCTTCAATAATTCCGGACGAGGTTCTGGTGAATAAATTTGATTGGTTTGGTTTTGCACGAATCGCTTTTTTTAGTTTCTTTTTTAAGATTATTTCAATTTATCATTTTGGTTAGAGTATAATTGTATGGATATGAGGATTTCTGTTCTTTGTTTTGAAGATTCAAGTTGTGAGAAAAAGCTTAGAAATGTATGTCTAGTTGAATGAAAGCAGGTGGTTCAGATTTTTAAGTTTTTGTTAGAAAAATTCATGTTTAACCTAGAAAAATTCCTTTGAACTCTAACTCGGTTCTTAAAAGTTCATTTTTTTCAATCTTTCAGTTTTTAAAAAAATGCTCAAAAGGGAACAGCCTTTTTTTCTCAGGCTTCAACCGATTTTTCAGAAATTAAAAAGAAATATTATCTTAATAAACATTGAGCTTGTAATAGTCTTGTAGTGGCTTGATTTTTGGTATCGTTGCAGAAAAAATTTCGTTTTTTGATTTATTTTGGTCCTTTCCCCTTGCTGTGAACTGTCAGTGGTTGCTTTGTGAAAAAAATTTCACTAAAAAAAGAAGAATGGAAAAAAATTGATAATTAGGCCTGAAATTTGACTTTATTGAAGTTTTTCACTTTAGATTTCCTTCAAGAAGAAAAAAAGAAAAACACAAAAAAATTAAAACTTCGATTTTTTTGAATAATAATTTCCCACGAGCTTGAGCACTTCCCTAATGTGTTCTACACTTCTTTTTTTTCCCTGCACAGGCCATTTTACTTTTTTTTTCCCTCGAAGCCGGCATGAACTTCCACTGAACACTATCCACTTGGCCAAATCCTTTGTTTTCAACGAGTTTTTGAGAAAATGTTGATGAAAAAAGAGCCTTGAGAAATAGCCGATCTGATGTGCTCCATGGAGAATCATAGATTATCTTTAAAAATGAAGTTTATTTTTTTTGGATTGGAGAATTTTTGCTGTGAATTCAAGTTTAAAGGCTTCTTCAAAAAATCACGGAGAAGTTTTGAACTGCTGAGAAAAAATCTAGTGGCCCTTTAAGAGGTTCCTTTTGGAGAGGACACTGAAGTGGCCACTAAAACCTCTTTATAAGCCACTATTTTGCGTCTTAGAGGCCACCATAGTAGTTTCTAGTAGCCTTTAAACTTCTAAAGAGGCCACTAAACTTTAGCCTCTTAAGAGGCCACTAATTAAATTACTATAGTGGCCACTAAAACGTCAAGACCCTAAAGTAACCACTAAAAACTTTCCCAATTTTTTTCGAATTTTACAATTCTTAAAAAGATGGATTATCCATGGAGCGCAATTTCTTAAGTTGGTTTCTTATCGGCTCTTTTTTATGACACTTTCTCATTAGCTCGTCAATAATTTTTCTTTTTCCGAATTCAATTTGTATAACTTTAGTTTTTATTCCAGCTAAACGCGGACTATGATGTTCCGGACGTTCGCGAGTACCTTGAGCGTCAATTCATTGAGAATTACGTCAGCGACGAACCGCCTGGAGAACCTTTGGCCAGCAGTACGCCGAGAATCGCTAATAAAGTGACGGTGAGGGATGGGAAAATGATTGGGAGACGTTGGGAGCGGAAAAAAATCAACTACTGTGGAATAAATCCCTATATTTTTTTGTTGATAAATGAGAAGATCTGAAATTCGCAATAGTTGAAAAAAATCCCCCTCCCTGATAATTTTTAGGATGCATTGTTATTATCAGATATTTTTTTGTCTAATTTTTAGGGGTCTTATGGCATTTCGAAAAAAATTTCTATGAACTTGCCGAAAAAAACCCAATTTTTTTAGGAAATGTAAATTTTAAGCTGCCGCTTTGGGAATCGGTGTACAGATGATTGCATACCGTAATCGAATATTTATAAAAGCTCAATTTCTCGATTGAATTTTTTGAGAACTGTATTCTGATAGGAAAAGGAGCAATGGAAAAGATGAAAATCGAGAGAAAATAGAAAAGGAAAAAAGAAAATACGTTTTAGCCATAGAGCAGATTTGCTGAGAAATGTACTTTTCGCGGGAATTCCTACTTTTTTTTCGTGAACTTTATTTTTTTAGGGCCCACTTTAGGGTTTTTTTCTGAGTTTAGAAGAATTTTTGGAAGAATTCATGTGGAGCTGAAGTCATGCGAAGGAATTTTTATAATCAAGCATATTTTTTTCAAAAGAGATCAAGCATTTTCCTCCTTCTTTTTTTTGTTCATTTTTTTTTTAGCATTTTCCTCCTTTTTTTTTGTTCATTTTGCCAATTTCAGTTCGCCAATGGCGGTCCCAAGCAAAACGGTCACTCCAACGGCGCGGTGCCCAAGTATTCGGATGACGTAACCAAGAAGAATACGTCATCAGTGACGTCATCCACCAAAACAACGTCATCTCTGACCAACACGGCCTTCGTCGTATTCCTCATCCTCCTTCTGCTCTTTGCCATCATCATTTCTGTTTTCGAGGTGAGAAGGATTGGGTCTTCCCAGAGCTGGGGCAACCCGGGCGGACCCGCGTATTGAAGCAGTTGTCCCGGGTTGACCCGCGAGAGGATGAAAATTAGAGAAAAGTGAAAAAATGGCTCTTTTGACAATGTTCCCGCTACGCCGGTCGGGTCGTCTCCCGGGCGTGTTGCGGTCGTCCCGGGGGCGGTCCGTCTCATCAGAAGTTCTGGATTTTCCAAGGAAATTGATACAAAGCAGAGTAAGAGAGCAAAAAGCATCAAAATTTCGTATTTTTTTCTAATTTTGAAATTTTCCAATAGCTTTTTCCAGTAGCTTTTCTAATAATTCCGACAAATGTGAAAAAAAAAATTAAAAAAAAAGCATTTTTGAGAAATATTTGTGGCTTGAAATCTGTGAAGAAGACAGGGTTGCATGAGGGTGGAACGAAAAAATATTTTTTTCGAGATAAAAAAATAGTTTTTTTAATTTACTTACTGCATTTCCATCATGAAAGTAAAACTGCTTTAAACGGCTGCAAAAAGGCCGCAGAAAGGCTTTAGAAAGGCTACAGGAAGGCAGCGAAAAGGTAACAAAAAGGCCACAGAAAGGACAAAAGTTTCAACGTGTATAAAAAAAAAGCGTTGCGACGCGCAAAATTGTTCCTCCCGCATGCACCACCTCGTAGAACTGCATACGCTTTTCATTTTTTTTATTCCTTTTCAACAGTTTTATATTTTATCCAAACGCAGCCAAGCCTCATTTTTTGAGTTATGACTCCCAGAAAATGAAGAAGTTGCTTATCTATAGGTGATTTGAAAAGAACTGAACATTTTTGCAGCGGAACGAACAGAACGATTGGGTCGAGAATACGCCAGTCTTGTCGCGACTCCGCCACGATTATTATGAGCCGGTCCGACATTACACCTTGAATCAGTACCGGAAATACACGGGAACCTTCTAAGATCCCCCAAAAAGTTGTAATAATAAAAACTTCTCTCAAAAATCATCTTCTTCTATCTGTCTGTCTGTCGCTTTATTGCATCCCTTCAGATTTTTTTTCCGTTTTTATGGCCCTTTTTAGTTGATAATATCATTGTGCGCTGCTTTGGGTCGTGTAGCTTTTCGCTTATTTCCACTTGAGGGGCTGCTTGGAGGAATTAGGGGAGTTTTTGGGATGATTCCAGGGTAATTTTTGGTTTTTTAATTGAAAATTTGGTCTGGAAGTTCGAGAAAAAATTTTATCTTCTCTTAAATTTAAAAAAAAAAGTATTTCTAATCGAAAATTCGGCTTGAAGAAGTGAGAAAATCAGGAAAATTTGGAATTTTTTACAAAAAATGACCCAAAATCCATTTTTTAAGGCTTCTCCTGAATAGATCCAAGCTCCGCCCCCTTTTCTTAAAACTATCCCACACTTTCAATAACATGAGCAATAAGTTGTGGACCACCGAATTTCTCTGAAAATCTTTTTTTTTTCCAGCTTTACTTACTATTTTTTTTTCTCTTTTTGCGTTTCACATGTACATTTAGCCCCCATCGGCGCACACGAAGATTGTTTTTATCTCCTTTTTTTTCGAATCGAATCGGTTTTTGGTTAAATTATTACCTTTTTTTCCGTATTTAATTTCCGTACCGGTTCCTCTTTTTTTTATCACCTGTGTGAACATTTTAGCCTACTTGCCTGTTTTTTCTTTTTTGCGTTCTGCGAATTCATGAAGAATAAAGGTTCTTTTCTTGATTAGAAGGTTCCCGAAAAAGTCTGAAAGCTTGGAAAGATATGTAGATTTAAAGCTGAAAAAAAAAAACGTGAAAATGCCATTTCTAATCCGTATGGCGATGGCGCAAGGTGATCTTTTTTTTTGGACTGGATAAGATTAAAATTTTTTATTTTTACTCGGAAAAAAATCAATCAACGTGCTGGGAAAATTTTTAGTGGCCATTATAGTAGTCAAATTAGTAGCCACTTAAGGGGTTGAACATTAGTGGCCACTATGGAGGTCTAACTGCTACTACTAGACCACTAAAAACTTTAGTGGCCACTTTAGGGGTCAATGGATCAACATAACAGGTCCAATCTGTTTGTTTTAATATTATCAGAGTTACTGGAAGGAATACTGGATGAAAAACTACTGAAGTGGCCACTAAAAGAGAAAATAGTGGCCACTATAGAGGTGGGTTTAGTGACCACTTTAGTGTCCTTGTAGTCCTTGGCGAGCCTCTATAGTGGCCACTAAACATTTTCTCATTGTAGTGTGCTTGGAAGAAGTAAAATCAGAAAGCAAAAAAAAAAATCAAAAAAATCCGCATTTAAAACTATTTTTATAATTGATTTCACTTTACTGTAGCTCAAAAACAAAATGAGAGTTCTACAGTTTTTTTGGCTTGAAAAAAATAGTTCAATTTCCTAGAAAACGGAATATTTTTTTACATTTTCAAGTTATCTGAACGCTGTCAATTTTTGAAAAAAATTCTGGAGTTCGAAAAAAAGCGATTTGTTAATATATCTTAATTTTTTTAAGCGTTATTCGAAACTCCTTGCACGTTCTTGAACTACCAGAAAAAGACTGGAAAAATTTTTTTTTCTTAAAAAAACGAAAAATAAAAGTATAATTAAGAGAAAAAGATGTGTTAAAACTACTAACACGTAAGTTAACAGTAAGGAAGTTCCATTTTTTTCGATTTTTTTGAATCGTCCATTTGAAGAGATTTTTGATTGGACAGAACACTTATCATTTCATAAAAAAAAGAAATTTGTTGAAATACGAAGGTTCAAAATTTTGAAAAAAATTCAATTTTTCATCAAGAAAGAAGGGCTCAAAAATAGTCCATTTGAAGAAATTTCGATCATTTTCTTTAAGCTTGAAATTTTCTCGTAAAATTGAATTGTTTGAAGATTTCTGGTATATTTTAAAACTTGCTAATTTTTCGAATTTCGAAAAAAAATTATAAAAACCTTTTAAGAACATCCTAAAGAAACTGGGTCGCCTTTGGAAACGTTCGAGGCCAGAAAAGAGGATTGGGTCGAGGATATGCTTTTCTTTCATGGGTTGGTTTTCTGGGGAAAGAAAGAAAAAGTGTTTATTTTCAGGTACCTAGGTTTCGTGGACTGTTTCGAGCGGATCATATATGCCGGAGATTGGTTGATTCGTTATGCTGACGGTTTTTTTTCGAGAAAAATCGGAAAAATGTCAAAAATCTCGTTTTGAAAGGAATTTCGCAAAGATTTTGACCCAAAAGCACTGAAAATTCGACGATTTGACCCTTTATTGGAGTCTTTACGCCTTAAGAAGCTAAAAAGATCCCTTTTGTCCCATTGATACAATGAAAAAGTGAAAAAAAAGCCGGTGTAAATATTGGAATTTTGAAAAATTTTGCAGAGTTTCTGTACGGAAATTGGAAAAAAAAATCGGAGCTTTTAGTCTTCAAATTGAGTTTTGCGCTTCAAACCAATCGAAAATATTTCCTTTTTCCACTGGGTACAATAAATATTGAAAAAAAAAATTTAAAAAGTAACATTTTGAAAAAATATTTTTGCAGTTTTTGACTCAAAAAGAAAAAATTTGATGTTTCATGCCTTTTTCTTAGTTTTTTTACGCCAAAAAAAGACAGAAAAAAAATTTTTTTGTTCTGTTGTGATTTTTTAACACAAAAAAATCAACGTTTCCAGTTTCGTGGAAGGTTTATAAATCGATCATTCTAGTTATGGCAATCCAGATTTCATTTCATTCCTTTCAAAATAAAAATAAAATGTTTTTCGATTCAGATGTTGATGGAAAAAGGGTCACAATTATTACGAAAGGATTAAATGTCACTGATTTCAACCGCGAAGAGAAGAAAGCCGCACTTTTGGACGTTCCCGGTGAGATTTTTTTGGGAATTATTGGGATTTCTAAGAGTTCAGGAGACACTAGGAGCCGAAAAATTTTATTTTTTTGAACGTTTTTGTAAATTTGTCAAAAAATCTACGTTTTAGGCATGAAATTTGGTTTTTGAAACTTAACAGGGATTAATATGAATCTGAATTTGAAGAATTTAGCATAGGAATCTAGTTTTTTTGAACTCATTTTTTTCATAAATATTTTTCCATAATTTCTATTTTTCTTTACTTTAGTCAACTGATTAATCGATTTTTAAATTTTTAAAAAGGGTATAGGACAAAAGCGCCGATTCCAAGAGCGCCGTTCAAATTGAGCGCCAGTCCGCAATGCGCCGTCGCGTGTATGCGCCGTGTATGCAGACGCCGCTTTCTTTTTGCGCCGAGTCCGTTTGCGCCAAACCGTTTTGCGCCGTTATTTCAAACTTTTATTTTTTCGCTCTTCTGATATTATTTTTTAATAATTGTTTACTACAAATTCATATACGACTCGAATAATTTTCGCGCCATCCGTTAATGATGAGTCTTAGGTCTACTTTGGTCCAGGTAAAATATTTTTCCCCTTTTTCTTTTTCAAACAAATAAAAAAGCAAATATGATCTCCTGATTTCGAAAAATACAGAAAACAAAAGGAGAAGAGAATGGATTTGAAAAAATTATTGCTTTAAACGACATAACGAGTGATTTTTTTTTTGTGGTCGCAAATTTTCTGCGTTAGGTAAGGCAGAGTTTCCATTCTAGCAGACGTGAAACATTAGAAAATCGTTTTTCGTAACGTTGAACTCATTTTCTTGAAACAATAGTTCGAGTTTTTTCGAAAATGCGGCAGAAAAGTCCATATTAACAGATGGCGCGAAAATTATTCGAGTTGTATATGAATGTGTACTACACAATCAATGAACAATGATAGAAAAAGAGTGAAAAAGTAAAAGTTTGAAATAACGGCGCAAAACGATTTGGCGCAAACGGACTCGGCGCAAAAGAAAGCGGCGTCTGCATACACGCGACGGCGCATTGCGGACTTGTGCTCAATTTGAACGGCGCTCTTGGAATCGGCGCTTTTGTCCTACACTCAAAAAAATGAACAAATCAAAATGAAATATATATTCTTTGAAGCAAGAACCCCTGCCGGAGACGACTTCGGCTCAAACGAAAGCCTGAAGCCGCCAGAATTCGAAAGAAGCTTTTCCCTAATATCCGGCAAGAGTTTCTCAACAAATACTGCGAGATTGGAGCCCAGTGACAAGACCGCCAGGATTATCGAGCCGGAAAATGAACGAAAAAGTACAAGGAAAAGTAAAACAGAGCTTCTACCAACCGCCGTGAAGAAGTCCTCGACGGAGTTGAGGTCGAAAAAGTCGAAAGAAAAGGACGAAGATCACGTGGAGGAGTTTGACAGAAGAGAGAAGGAAATCGATAATCTTTCTGTCGTGGTTCGGTTTTTATGGGTCTGGTTGTACTTTAAGGATCGAAACTGTGAAAGTGAAAAATATATATAGTCAATCCTTCCCGACTTGAAACGAGGAATGGGAAGTGGGACGCGTTGCGTGTGCGACGCGGCTTTTTAGCATGACCTATTTCCATGCTTTTCTCCTTTTTTGAATGTTCATTTAGTAACCTTTGAATTATTTTTAGTTGTGAAAAAAACATTTATTTGAAAACTAAAATATAAAAAGTATTACACGGCGTTTTTTTGACGACGCCACGCCCACTTTTTCTCCGTAAAGTGTCGTGTGTCGTGTGCATGCACTCTTGCGGAAAATTGCGTTTCTATAGAGAAATTTCGATTCGTCTTAAAGACCTCTTGCAATACGGCGGCCTGCGCCTTTAATATGCCCTTTATTTTCGTTCTTAGAGCCGAAATCTCTGCCGTTTCAATGACGTCACGTGGGAACGGTGGATATTTTGGCTCGGCCCATCGTTTTTTTGGTTTTCCATTTTCTTCCACTTACGAAAAAGCCGGGTTGTTAGAAGAAGAAAAGAAAGGCGAAACCAAAAACACGATGGGCGGAGCCAAAATATCCGCTGTTCCCACGTGACGTCATGGGAACGCCAGAGATTTCGGCTCTAAGAACGTAAATAAAAGGCATATTAAAGGCGCAAGCCGTCGTATTGCCAGAGGTCTTCAAGACGAATCGAACTCTCACTAAAGGAAATTTATCTGCGCGAAAGCGGCGCAGTGCACGCACACGACACACGACACTTTACGGATGAAAATAACGCCGTGAATGAAAATTTTTCCATGATTCCGTTTGAACTTGAGCTCTACGCTAAAACCGCGTTGCGTACGCAACGCGTCACTCTTTTTCAAATTTTAAAACTTTCGAGTATCGGTTTTTCAAAGCAAATAGTCGTAAATGAAACAGTCTGACCTGTCTGCGCTCTCTTTTCCCTCATCCGGGAGGTCGTGAAAATGTGAAAAGAGCACTTTGAAAGGAGAGTCGTTATTTGCCAAAACTCGACAAATTACCTTCGTTTTTGCTTCTTTCATGTTCCTTTGAACACTAGGGTGAGAGAAAAGAGGGCATAGACAGGTCAGACGATTTGAACTTGTGACGAATGATATTAGAAAAAAGATGCACGAAGTTTAATTTAATTTTTCAAAAGATAATTTAGATCCTCAGAAGACCGAAATTTTTTTGCCTTGATTTTAACTTTTTCTGACCGCATGTAGAATGGCTAAACGTGCTACGGTTGAAGTTAAAAACTCAAAATGTGCATTAGACTTCTTTTAGACCTTTTATGTAGCCAAAGAGTTTTAGAAACATGAAACATATTGAAGAAATCAGACTTTTTCGTCTCATGACGAATAAGTTATTCTGAATGAAAATATACCAAAAAACCGATTAAAAACATGTTTCAGCTCAAAAGCTACGCCGTGAGGAAATGCGTACAAGGCGTAACGATTGGTGGACCGGCTTTTCCGACTCTGGCCGATCTTCTCGCTTTCTACATCTTCTCTGGAGAGGTTGGTACACTCTTTGAAGTACCAAAAGAAGGTACTAAGAGCCTCTAACTTTAAACTTTGATAGTTATCGAGAAACAGGGGTTCAAAGCCCAAAAATAGTCCATTTCAGTAGATTTTGAGGGTTTTCTTTCTCAAAAACTTGGAAGGTTTGCAAGTTGAGACTTCCAGGACCTTCATGTGGTACTTCTTTTCAGAGAAATCCCAGCCGTAAAGTAAAAATGACCTTCCTTGTTGGAAGACCGGAAAATCCAAGTTTTAGGACCTTACTGACAACAGAACTATGTTTGATCTCCGTTTGATAATTCGAAAAAAAATATTTTATGACTCCTATAATTATTCAAAAAAAGAAAAAATTTAAAGATTTAGGAATTTCAGAGTGGTCTCTATAGTGGTCAGGAGGGAAAACAGCCCTTTTAGGGGCCGAAAAAGTGGTCCTTATAGGGATAGTTCAATTTTGTTCAAGAATGGTTAAATTTTCGTTTTTCGCCTGGAAAGGCTTCTTCGCAGAGAGTCCATAAAAATTATCGACTGGCATGTCCCCTATAGGGAACACTTTTGGAATATTTAGTGGCCCCTAGAGGGGACCGAGCTCAATTAACGCTTTTTCTCCATTTTTAATGGTTTTTGCGGTTTTCGAAGCTTAATAAATCGAAAAAAAATATATTCTTGGACACGTTTTTTTGAAAAAAGGCGTTCCTGAAGATCATTAAAAACAAGTTTCTTCGAAATTTCAACCGGGGCTAGAAAATAGTTGACTTGTAAGTAAAATTCAATCGAATTCTTAATATTTGACCTTAAAATTTCCCTTGTTGGCGAAAGTCGGCTTGAGTCGGGCGCAGTAGATAATAGGTGAAAATGTGAAGAGAATGAATGCGATAACTGGCGACTATTGAAAAATTCAAAATTGACATTTTGAGCCGGAAGCGAGAAGAATCGGCCTGAAAAGATCAATTCCTCGACGGATCGGCCAGTGGCGACATCAGAATATCAAATTGACTAAAGCGGTTGAAAAAAAAGGATTTCAAAAAATAAAAATGAAATTCAGATTCATTCTGGTCCCGAGTGTGAAGTTTTCCACGCAACAGTTAATTCACCATACTTTCGACTCACTAAAGTGGCGGTTAAAAAGGTTTTTTTCGCTACAAGTTGAACTTTTCTGGCCGCATTTGGAATGGCTGAACGAGTTGAAATCTGGAATTTCTTTCTTTTTCAGTTATTCAGATTTTTTTGCGTTATTATAACGAAAAAAAGAGGTTCAAAAATTTAAAAAAATGATTTTTTAAAGCGAGTTTGAGAGATCCATCATTTTCATGTTTCAGGAAGATTTTATAAAATTTTTAAGTTTTTCTTAATTTTTTTGTCTAATGTTTCTTCGAGCCTATTTGTAAAGAAGTAAAAAAATAATTTTTTTATGGAATTTCGGTAAAATTTTTCCTTCAAAGAGACATTTCAGCCCTATCTTTAACGCAACTTGAAAATTGTCCGGCCGCAATTGGAATGGCTTAACGCGTTGCGGTTGTCATTTGCTAACTTTTCTGGTCGCATTTGGAATGGCCTAACGAGTTGAAATCTGGAATTTTTTTCTTTTTCAGTTATTCGGATTTGCGTTATTATAACGAAAAAAAGAGTTTCAAAATTTAAAAAAAATTGATTTTTGAAGCTAGTTTGAGAGATCCATCAATTTCATGTTTCAGCGAGAATTTATAAATTTATTCAAGTTTTTTTTTTTTAAATGTTGTCCGATTTTTGTGCTAGGCAATCTAAACTTCAAAACTGGAAATACAGTAACCCCTATAGCCAATTTCTACAGTATTAATATTCACTTTTTTCGAAATTTGGTAAAAATTTTCCTTCAAAGAGACCTTCTCGTCCACAATTTTTCAGTGAAACTTGTAAAAGTTTTCTGACCGCATTTGGAATGGCTTAACGCAATGTGGTTGTCCAAATATTAATATTTTTTAGCTTGAAACAAATAGTTTTAACTTGGAACAGAAATTTGATGCCACCAGCCTACAAGGGGGGGGGGGGGATGTTTCAGCGAGGATTTATAAATGTTAGGTTTTTTTTTCCATGAGTTCATGCCTTCTTCCGCTTTGCAATCTTTTATCAACCCAAAACTACAATAACTGGGAAAATGTTTAGTGGCCACTATAGGGGCTCGCCAAGGACTACCTGGAGAGGACACTAAAGTGGCCACTAAACCCACCTCTATAGTGGCCACTGTGTTCCGTTTTAGTGGCCACTTCAGTAGTTTTTCATCCAGTATTCCTTCCAGTAACTCTGATAATTAAAAAAAAACAGATTGGACCAGTTATGTTGATCCATTGACCCCTAAAGTGGCCACTAAAATTTTTAGTGGTCTAATAGTACCATTCGGAATTTCAAAAAGGCCATTAATTTGACTACTATAGTGGCCACTGAAACGTCCAAATCCTATAGTGGCCACTAAAAGTTTTCCCAATTGGATTTGCGTTTCCCGCATAAAATTCGAGTTTCAAAGCCTTCACTCTTTCAATTTCTAATACCGGAGCGCGCAAGTCGTTTTTTGGTCGGGTGCACTTTGTCAATGACCGCTGCGCAGCCGCAACGCCCCGAGCCATTCCCATGCCGTTCATTTTACAAATTCTTCCACATAATTTTTTTCACTCTGAGCTGTTCCGATCTCTATTATAAATTATCAAAAAATGCACTTTGTATCGAAAAAAAATAGAGCCATTTTTTTCCAGGCAAAAGAAGGGACTCCCGAGTACAAACATCACGTTGAATTTTTGAAAGATGAGGCCCGAATCCTGAAAAAATTGAGCCATGATCACATCTTGCCATTTTACGGCTGGGCAATCGACAAGAATCCGTTCCTGTTCCTCACAAAACTCATGGATTGTGAGTTTGGAAAAATACCATATTTGGCGAAAATTTGAACAACTTGCGTTCTTTGCATCGCTTTAACTTGCGTGAAGTGACTTCTTAAGCGACTTTCTATGAACCTTAGAAAAAAAAAACGAAAGCTTCTTTCAGAGTTCCAAAAAAGCCCAAAAAAATTCCTCATGACCGCATAATTTTCACTTTTTCATGAAAAAAAGAACCTTTTTATGGGCTTCTGATTTAATTTTTCTCTAGATAACTTCTTCCGAAAACTCTCATCTCTTTTTTAAAAAAACCTTTTTCAAAAAAAAATTATGAAAAGACGCTTTTAAAGCTTCTTTATCCGCCCTTTTTAATTTTATCCATCTATTTTTGTGTGCTTTTTCATCCACACGGTGAGAGAAAAGAGAGCGCAGACCGGTCAGAAAGTTCCAAATGAAAGTCCAAAAAACATGTTTTTTCTGTTAAAAAATCATGAAAAAGCGCTAGGAAAGTCGTTTTTGAAGTTCTTTTTTAGGGCCTTTCCAAGTTTATCCATTTATTTTTCGTGCTTTTTTTCAAGTTTTTATGACCTAGAGGTTAGAGAAAAGAGAGCGCAGACAGGTCAGAGTGTATCAAATCACAGTGACTAGAGTATAATAAGGATTTCGGTGATTTTCAGGTACCTTGGACGATTTTGTCCAGCGCCATTTTGTTAGCCTCACTACGCGCCGATTGCTTACCGTACGATTTTTCAAAAATTATATACTAAATTGGCATAAAAACATGATGAACAACTCAGGAACGTCAGAGTGGTCACTAGAGGAGGTAGGGAAAAAAAAATCTCGTATATAGGCAAAATATTGCTCCCTAAAGGGCTATAATTAAGGTGGTCCCTATAGAGATTTAGGATCTGACCCCTCAGCTCCTGAAGTCTAAGTGGTCCCTATAGGGGTCTTTTGCTTTTTTTCGTTTTGATTAGAAAATTTGAAGTTTGAAAAAGACGGCATTTAAAAAAAAAGGGAAAATAAACTTTTTAAATTTCCAATCTTTTTTTTAGTATGAAAACGTTCAACCTTTTCCAATGGTTTTATAAAATTATCCCATTTTTCAAGTTTGTCGTTGGAATCGCCCAAGCTGTTCAATATCTTCACGAAAAAAGCTTTTTGCACCGAGAAGTTATCGCAAAGAATTGTTTCCTTGATGAAAGTGGCAAGGTGAGAGGATCCTTCGCACCTTGATTTTTATAGTTTTTATCACGAATTTCAGTGCTACCTTGGCGGATTCCGATTGGCTGTCGAAGAAAAAGCCTACGTAATGCTGGAAGAAGAGTTTCTGGTCTTGAGGTCGATGGCTCCAGAAACGTTGGGAATGTTTTGTTTTGTCCCCGCCTCGGATGTGTACACTTTTGGGGTCAGTGTCGGTGCTACGACAAGAGCGAGTTTTCCTCTTGCTAAGAGTACTGTATGTGGTAGTCCGCATTTGGGCGTCTGAGTGCATGCACACTTCAAAGGGGTCCTGTTCTCGCGTTTTTTTTTTTCCATTATTTTTCGAAATATTTAGTTTCAGTTTTATAAAAAGTCATTATGTTGAAATCCGATTCAACTGCTTCCTTAAGTTTTAATCCGTTTCCATAAAATTTAGAACGAAACTCAAAAAAAGATGAACCACGCGCAAAGTGCAAACACCCAAAGTGCACGAGCCAAATGCGGACTTCCACATACCGTACTCTTCCCAAGAGGTGAATTCGCTCTTTTTGCACCTCAGTATCATTTTTTTTTTCGAAAAAAAAGAAGATTAAACGTTTCTGGAACTGATAGAATGAGATACGGAAATTAATGCAAAAAAAAAGTGATCCCGGTGATTTCAAAATTAACGTTGAAATTACTTTCAAAATACGCAAAATTCAAATTTCGGGAGTCTTACAGAAATCTGGGTCTTACAACGATTTTTCGTTTTTTGAGATTTAAACTTACTTTTAGCAAAATGAACAAATAGCTTTAAAATATGGAATTTAGAGTTGTGAAATCGCCATCCATCTAATTTTTCTGACGGCTCTCAAAATGCCAGTTTCGCGTATTTCGCGAAATCATCATCATGAAGATAGATTTCTACCTTAGTTTCTATGTTTTTTTGAAAATTGACCAGAAATTTTCTTCGATTTGCACGAGAAGAAAAAATGAAAACATGCATAACTTCCCAGTTTCTGATTTATTTTTTATTTTTTATTTTTTTTTTTTGACTAATGGTTCCAGGGATTCTGTAGGTTCTCTTCTAAATATGGGCATGTTCTAAAACACGAGCGGTTGTGGGGCACGAGCGGCACGACCGTTACTAAATCACGAGCGGTTTCATCTTCGCTCCTTCGCGAACGCTTCTAAATCACGAGCGTTTTTGGCTTATCGTTCTGTTCGAGCGTTTCTAAATCGCGAGCGTTTCATTTTAATCATTTTCTTTATTACCATCCAAGTGTGTGTTTTTTCATATTTCTACCTTCTTTTTTTCTCCTTGAATAAAAAAATTTTGACGATCTTATATGCACATTTTTTTCGCTCAATTTGTTGATTGATTCACATTTGAGGTTCATATAATGGATTTTTTTCTAAGTTTTTTTGCGGTCTCTATAATTTCACAGATTCTGCGTATGGCAAATTTTTTTCTAATAATTTCATCTGATTTTTCATATTCAATATTTCACAGATTTTTGCGTATGATAAACTAATATTTCACAGACGTCTCGCATGAAAGTCAATATTTCTCAAATTTTTGCGTATAGCAAATTTTTCTAATACTTTCTCTCAAAATTTTTTTCTGGTAATAGAATCTCATATTCGAATTGATGCCATTCATATTTTTATTCTCCTCTTACCCGCTAGAATAGTTTTTGGAGATACTACCAAAAAAATTTATTCGTTTCCAAGCTTTGAAAAATATTTATCATGAAACGAGAAAAAAAAAAATACGAAATTTACGAAGTATCAAAAATAAATTAATAACCGTAGCGAATGAATGAAATAAATGCCATAAGCGTCTGGTGGTTCATCGGTGAATGACAGCCGTATAACGAAACAGATTGGAAAATGAAAATATAGAAAAAAGGAAATCAATGTATAAATCAGAGTTTATATGCAATAACAGGGGGCTTCCTGTAAGCAGGTGAAATTGAAAAAAAATAATTCTCCTCACTGGATCCCGCGCAGAACGTTCAGGGGAACTTTTTCTAACATCCGAAAAAAATTCGCCCTCAACATATGGCTGATCCGAAAAAGAATTAATCTCATCGAGGTGAACACCGATGATGTTTTTGGTTCTCTGAAAGATAATAATAATTTTTCCGCATCCGTTAAATTTTTCTATAATTTTCGATTACCATCAGTCGATTTTTTTCTTTTTAATTCAGTTGTAGATCGTGTGGAATTCATACTCGTGTCGCGGATTTCCCCTTAAAGTGATTTTTTTGATACATGTTAAAAAAACTTGTAATTAGTAACCCACCTTCTTCAAGACTCAGGTATGAAAGTTCGACAATGGAATCTGAAACATCCAAATTATATGAGAAAAAACCTCAATATACCATCCATTGGCTCCAAAAAATCATCCGGAAAATCTTCGGGCGGTGTGTAATTGCTTTAAAAAACTATCAGTGAGAAGGCAGGGAAGAAACTTACGACATAGTGGGCTTCGGACGATAACCAGAAAATGCAGCAAGCTCCCGTTGTTCCAGAAAATGCAGCAAGCGGCCTGTTACTAAATTTTATAATTTCGTATTATAATTCCGCCCAAACAGCGCTTATAAAATGACTATACTAGCTAGATTTTTTTTTGCAAGAAAACACAGATGAGAATCAGAGAAAAAGTTCATATTTTTTAATTTGTCATAAGCAAAATCTGAGAAATATTGACTTTCATGCGAGACATCTGTGAAATATTAGTTTATCATACGCAAAATCTGTGAAATATTGAATATGAAAATCAGATGAAATTATTAGAAAAAAAATTTGCCATACGCAGAATCTGTGAAATTATAGAGACCGCAAAAAAACTTAGAAAAAATCCATTATATGAACCTCAAATGTGAATCAATCAACAAATTGAGCGAAAAAATGTGCATATAAGATCGTCAAAAATTTTTTTATTCAAGGAGAAAAAAAGAAGGTAGAAATATGACACACACTTGGATGGTAATAAAGAAAATGATTAAAATGAAACGCTCGCGATTTAGAAACGCTCGAACAGAACGATAAGCCAAAAACGCTCGTGATTTAGAAGCGTTCGCGAAGGAGCGAAGATGAAACCGCTCGTGATTTAGTAACGGTCGTGCCGCTCGTGCCCCACAACCGCTCGTGTTTTAGAACATGCCCTAAATATGGAAGGACACGAAAAAGTGAAAGAAAAATGGAAGTCTGGCCTAGCCAACTTTTAAAAACCTGGTTGCTATTAGAAATATTTTAAATGGAGAAAAAAGTTGCTTCGAAGGAACCGAAAAATTTTCGAAGTTTATTTTTTCAAATTCTTAGGCAAAGTCAGAGAACCCTTCACGGGCCTCTTGAGGGTCCGTTATGGGTCCAAAAGGTTCATTAATTGTTCCTAAAAAGGGTGGAAACGGTTTCCTTTTTACTGCCTTTTTGCGTCCTTTTATCGGCCTTCAGCCACCCTTTTTGGACCCTTTTTGAGAAACAAAAAAACTTTTTAAATTTAGAAAAGAAAATTTTTTTCCTCTTTTTTTCTGCAACTGTTTTATAGTTTTTTTCAAAGGAAATATTCAACAAGAAATTCGAGATAAGGGATTTTTTTACGGAGCTGTTCAGTCAATAAAAAAATTTTTTTAAATTTTTCAACAAAAAGCCAAAGTTTTGCAGAATTTACTTTTTCGAGGTGTTTTCTGGTGGTCATGTCCCTTACCCGGGCAAAACTAGCGCTGAAGCTGGAAATTTGGTCTTTTTCAGCTTCATTCATGAATAATTTGAGCCGATTTCCAGATTTTATCCGGTAAAACGAACGATTTGACGGATCGGACCCCAAGAATCTTGCGAAATTTTATCAAAGAACATATTTGGGCCTATTCGACCGCTGATAGACCTTCTATGAATAAAGTGACAAATTTTATCATTAAATAAAATTTGAAAGAAAAAATTCAGGTTGTGAAAGTATTACAAAAACAGTTGGAGGTGGAAAATACGAAGGTTTTTCAAATTCATGATTTTATAATTTTTTTGAAATTTAGAAAATCAAAATAAATAATGATTCGGATCTCAGTGAGATGGACGAACCTCAAGATGTCGTGGTAATTGAAAATTCGAATATTCAAAACTAAAAATAAATATTTTCAGAATAAGTACATTTTCAAGCCGGAACTGCACAAAAAGAGCAGAACTGAGGTATTTTGAATGTTGGAAAAAATAGCCGCAGCTTTGGGAGCAATCGCGCTCCATTGATAATTGGACATTTTCATGTTTTTGATGGGTTTGCATTTTCGGTAACGCAAACCGGACGCTTCCGGGACGTTTCTGACCATTTCTAGTGACCACTTTAGTGGCCTCAGCACTCTTTTTATTCTAGGGACCACTACAGCGGCCACAGAAATTGTTTCTTAGTGGCCACTTAAGCACTGTCAGCGCTTTTTCCTTTCAATAGTTACCACTTTAGTGGTTTCAGCGTTCTTCTTTTCGAGGGATCACTTAAGTGGCCACAGCCCTCTTTTTCCAAGTGACCGCTGTAGCGTTCTTCATTCTAGTGATGATTTTAGTGGCCTCAGCACCCTCAAGTGATCCGTAGAGGTGCTTGGACACGTCCAAGGTGTAAACGTTTCAGTTACCAAGGTCTTCAGTCGAATAAGAATCTCCCGACTTTCAATTTCTCAATAGAGCGCGATTTCTTTTTTCCCCGCTTAAACTACTCATTTTTCTCTTTTCAGGACTATATCACTGAATTGAAACCGATAAGAAGCGATAGAATTTGAATTTTTTCTTCATAAACTTTTTTTGTTTGCTTGCAGATTATTTTTCAGTTCAAAATTGATTTTATTCAAGTTCAGATTTTTGCTTTGTTGTTGAAAACGTAGTCGTATTTTCCTTCCGGTATGAAGACGTCTGGGTGGAGGGAAGCGTCTGAATCGTCATTTTAGTGGAAAATATGGAGATTGAGAGAACTTTTGACGTAGGAATACCGGTCGAAATCACGGATTCCGGCATTTTCGAGAATATCCTGATCGATGGCGAAATTGCCGGTGAACTGGCGACTGTCCTTGGACAGGATCACGTAGGCAGCGTCCGCCATGATTTCTGGCTAGAAATAGAGAAATTGTGGAAACCGAATCATACAGATTTTTTGCATGAACTTTTGAGTTTTTGATGTGAAAATTTCTCTTATTATAGTCTGTTTGCCACGACTTGGAATTTCACGGAACGACATTCCGCTGTTCCGCTGCATGCGTTCGCGAAGCGTCTTTCGAATCTAGGTCACGATTTTTTATTGTTATTGCTGTGGAACACATGAAAGTAGAGTACCTTAATCAAAGAAAAAAAAAAATTAAAAGCGCGCAGCGTCAAAGCGGAATGTCGTTCCGTGAAATTCCGAGTCGTGGTACACTGGCTATAGTGTACGAAAGATATCAAATCCCGACCCCAGTTTTTTTTCCGATGAAACGTTTCTAACATTCTGTCTCGAAAAATCACCTTCCTACTGTTGTCCCGCCCCTCGCTTCCGGAAAGCATGTCCATGGCGGCGGTCCAGACGCCGGTGAGGGGCCAGAGGGCGTTGACGGCGATTCCGAAGTCGCGGAACTCCTCGTGCTGTCCCAGGACGCACATGCTCATCCCGTACTTGGCCATCGTGTAGGCCACGTGGTTTCCGAACCATCGCGGTTCCATCAGCAGCGGCGGCGAGATGTTCAGGACGTGCGGGTTCGAGCCCTTCTTCAGGTAGGGCAGACAGGTTTTCGTCCTGGAAGTTTGGGGAGAACTGAGGGGTTTTCTTTGGAATTAGTAGGGTCCTTTCACTGCTGGCTTGAAACTACTATAGAGCCGTCTAAAATCTCTTTTTTTTCTGCACAAGATTCCGATAATAGTCTGAAAACCCTTTTTTAATCCTGTCTGGAGCAGGAAGTTCAAAAAAATAGATTTTTTTAAAAATTATTCAAGACGTGGGGGTTCGAGCCCTTTTTCAGGTGAGAAAGACAAGCTTTTTTTTGAAAAAAGATGAAAATAAAGCTTTTTGAATTGAGACAATCGTAAGTAGTACTGTCCTAAGAAAAAAAGCCAATAAACTAAAAAAATCGATCTCTTCTTTTTGAAAAGTTATACTTTTTTTCTGAACTTTTGGCATATTTTTTTAACGAAGAAGCTGCATTTTTTTCGAGCTTTTTGTGTATTTCATTTAGAAAAATTATCGTCCTGGAAATTGAAAAAAATGAAGATTTGTTTCCAAAAAAAGCGACAAAAAAATAATCCATTCATCGGTAGCTCGTCTAGAATATATTGTAAAGTCGTCTAGAACCTCATTTTCTTCCAATACCTTTTCAAGTATTTTTCTGAAGAGTGAAATACGAAAAATATGAAAAAAATTATCTTTGATGTTTTTTTAAAAGTAATCCTGTGAACATAGTTTTTCGGAAGAATCGTGATGATTTTTCGTTTTTTATAATTTCAAGCTTTAGACTAGGGCAAACATTTTTAATTGAGGTCCAGTTTGGACTCTAAATGAAGTAAAAATGTATCCAGTTTGGAAGAAATTACAATATAATCTTTTTTGGAAAATTTGATACTAATTTTAATTAGTTAAAAGGTTCAAAGTGGTGCAAAAAATTTTTTTCAGGTCAATTTTTGGCTCTTAGAATCAATTTCGAACTGAATTTTTTTGGATAAGAAATTCAAATTTTCATAAAACTGGACTCACAACAGGAAAGTTCCTCTGGTATTAATCTGATGCATCAAATCGTAGCGCTTCATTTCGGTATCGTCAGTAGTTGTTAGAGAAATCGCAGACGCGTTATTTATCAGAATATCGATACCGCCGAATTTCTGAAAAAACTTTCTTCTCATTTTTCGGTTCAAAAGAACCTTGACAGCTTCTTCCACAGCTTTTTTGACGGCTTGCTCATCTCGGACATCTACAACACAGGCCAAAGCCTTGCCGCCGGCCTGAAATTGAAAGAAAAATCATATTTTTTGCGGTAAAAGAACCTTTTCAATCTCCTCAGCCGCTGTATAAATGGTCCCTGGGAGTTTTGGATGCGGAGTTGCTGTTTTGGCGGCGATTACAATATTAGCTCCATCCTTAATTATTTATTAAACCATTAAAATTCAAAAAATCCACTTTGGCCAATTTTAAAGCGATTTCTTTGCCGATTCCTCTCGAAGCGCCGGTGATCAAAACGGTCTTTCCTCGGAATTTTCTGAAATTCCCCTATTTTCTCCGTAAAAAAGCATTATAACCAGAAATAACTCACTTACCCGGTATTTGGAACAGCGTCAGTCATTTTGTAAAAGACGAAAATCGACTTTCTTGAAAAAAGACCGAAAAACAAGAGCCAAGCGCGTTTTATTTCGCTGAAAGGACACTAGAACGTAGTGTATCTGTGATAACGCTCGACAGTGATGTTCTTGTTTGTGATTTGAACAGTAGGATAGCCTTTATATCATCTTTTTATGTGTTAAAGGAGTTTTTCCTGGTTTTTAGATTTTTCCATTTGAAACTGCGGTGTTCTTAGGGTCAATATCAACTAACTTGATTTGTTCTCTGATTTTTCATCCCGTTTTGGAGATCTATCGTATTGATTGGCTTCTCTTGAATGAATTGAAAATTAAATTTGGAAAATTTTATTAGGATTCGTCGTACGACGTTGTGTATTGACCGCAATTGCACAGAGCCTATAATGCGTACAATGCATTTTAAATGACGCGCAAGTTTATCTAGAAATTTTTAAAAAGTTTTGCCTTTTTTTTTATTCCACTTTCTTCGTCGGTTTTTAAATGTTTAAACATAAACCCTGTACTTTGCCCTCCCTTCGGCTACACTGTTTTTTTGTTTACGGCCGAGGGAGATTCTTTCTCTCGTCTTCTCACGTTCTCTTTTTCTCGCTGCTGTTCCACTTTATGTTGGCGATTCTCTACTTGCCCGGCCGTTTTTCTTGCAATTTATTTTTTTGTTATTTGTGAATTAGCGTATTGTAGTCGGTGCATTGGTTTCTAGCGTTTTTATTCGTTTTTGAGATGTGTTTTTTGAAAAATATTTAAGATTTTCTGTTTAATTCAGGGTTATCGCGGGTTGCTTTTTTTTTCATTTTCTCTGTGGAAAGTTAAGAATTTTATAAAAATTTATGTTCAAAAGCTTTTGAGCAAAATTTAATTACTAATTTTTGAAACTAAAATAGTTTCATCTTTTTAGAATCGATCAATTTTTTGGAAAATAAATTTATTAATGTTCTTTGAATCTTATTGCGGTTCATTTTCAGTACAATTCAGTCTAAATCGTTCCGTTTTATCTCCTCCAGTTTCATTTCATTTTTTTTGTGAATAATTCACTCAATTTTCTTTTTTTTTCGCTTGTGTTCGCCTTTCAAAGACAATTTTTCATATCTACTCGTATTTCGTTCCGTTTTTATCTCCTCCGAATCTTTGAACCTTTTTCTGAATTTAAATCAATCAGTTTTTTTAAGGCCATGCTGGGTTTTTCTCGTTTTGCCGGTCCTGCTATTCGCCAATTTTCTACGACAAATCCGGCCGCTGCCGGTGCAATCGCAGTTTCTGAAGTACACAAAAATGTGTTTCACGTCAAATTGAACCGTCCCGAAAAGAGGAATACGTTCACTTATGAGCTCTGGCAGTGAGTTTAAGGCTATTAAAATATCAAAATTGAAATTTTAACAAATTCTGGGTTTTTTTTTATGAAACAAGGGTAGAGAACCGGTATTTCTTCCTAGTGTATTTTTTTGTTCTCTTTAGTTATTATTATTTTTTAGTCATTTTCATTCAATTTTCTCGAAGTTGAAAAATCATTTTTTAGGAAAGTATTACAGTTTAATGATTTTGAAATCGAAAAAGCGAAATGCATCATGAATTGCTGAGAAATAAAGGAATAAATGCCAAAATTGGGTTCTGTAGCGAAATAGTGTATATCAAAAAGCATAAAACAAGGATTTGCTCAATTTTTTTTTGTTCTGGAGTTTCCATTACATTCCCTGTTTTAATGGATTTTTTTATCCAAGGCAAACGTATTCTATTTATTTTCATGGCGTAATAATATCTAAAGTTTGTTATAAAGTATTTTTTTAGTTGTTTTTAAGATTCGATGAATTTTTCATTCTGGTTTATTGACTTGAAATTCCCTGAAATTGTCCCAGAAAGTACCTTGGTGTACCAAAAAAAAAATTCTGGAAGTCTTTAACTTTGCAACTTTTTTTAATGGACATACTAAATCCAAAAATACCATCAGAATGCGGGAAAATAGGCTTTGTTTAGGCTTTGAGCCTTCAATATTCGAAAACTGGGAAGTTGTTTAGGTTGGGATTTTCAGAATCGTCTTCTGGTACATCAAGAAGTTATCTGGCGAATTTTAGAAAAATTCCACCCAAAAAGAAAAATAACCTTCCTTGTAAGATCTCTGCGCCTTCAAATTCTCCAATTTTTGCGAATGATTCTAGGAAAAACTCTAGTGACCACTTAAGAGGTTCCTCTAAGACTGGAAAGGACACTTAAGCGGCCACTAAAACTACCTTTATTCAAGCTGGCATCTTTGTGGCCACTATAGTAGTTTTTTTGGTCTAATAGTAAAACTTAGACTCCTAAAGAGGCCACTAAGTTTTTGACATTTAAGTGGCCACTAAAAAATTTCCCGTAGAACCAACCATAAAGCCAAAGGTGGTCCCTATGGGGTTCGATTGATTCGACTACCATAGTGGTTTCTAAAACGTGAAAACCCTAAAGAATCCTCTAACAATATTTCCCAGTTATTCTCTACTCTAGTGGCGACTTTTGAAGTTCCCCATGGACTACTTGGAGAGGACACTAAAGTGACCACTAAAACAATCTCTTTAGAAGCCACTTTAAAACGTCTTAGTGACCACTACAGTAGTTTTTAGGGATCTAGTACTACTACTTGAACTTCTAAAGAGGCCACTAAAACTTCAAAACCCTAAAGTGTTCATGAAAAATTTTTCCAGTAACCGCCTCTGAAGTCCTAACCTGTAGTTGATCAAGTTGAAAGCGAGACCTTACGGTCTTTTCTCAAACCCTAAAGAGGCCACTAAAACTGTTCAACCTCTAGAGAGATGAAAACGGTGTTCGACGGCCTGGCCGAGAACCCGAAATGCCGGTCGATCGTCATTTCCGGCGAGGGCAAGTCCTTCTGCGCCGGAATCGACCTCAAAGCCGGAATGGGTGTGAGATTTCGGTCATTCTGATCAAAATTCATGATTTTGATGATTTCCAGGAAATCATCAAGATCATCCAAGACGACTTGGATGTCGGACGGAAAGGCAGGGGCATCCGAAGAATTATCACTGTTTGTCAGGATGGATTCACTGCTATCCAGGTTTCACAAAAGAGAAAGTTTTTAGGAAGGTGCTGATAAGTGGTCATCCGAGTTTTCTTCAAAAACATTATTGACTTTTTCATGGATTTCAAAGATTTATATTGTATAGCTGATTCACGGCTGGCTTGAGCCATCGAGAAAAGGGTCCTGCCACGAAAAGAGACGAGACAGTGCCCTGGTTGGTGGAGAGTGCAGACAGGCCACGCCTTTTTGCGTCCCAAGCTAGCCGTGAATCGTCTATACTTAGGAACTCCAGAGTGGTCCTTATAGGGGTTTTAGATAGTGGCGACTATAGGGGACATGCTAGTCTATAATCGCTATGAACTCTAAGCGAAGAAGCTTTTCCAACACGGAATGAATAAGCGTTTTTAAATGAAACCCCTACAGGGACCACTTTTTCGGCCCTTATTTGGGTTTTTCCCCTAACCCATATAGTGACCACTCTGGAATTTTCTAGTATTCTAATTTCAGCTTCAGAAACACTTTTTTCTTTTAAAATAGGAAATTTTTTTTTTTCTCAATTGTAGTTCTGTAAGTCTGTGGAGAATTTGTTCGAAAAAAGTTTTGAAAATTTTTTCGGCATGTCGGAAGATTAAAATGTGGCCAATAACGTTAGAAAGCTTGAAGATTATTGAAAAATCGCGGAGAGCAAGACTATTTTTGAGTAATTTTTGAACAGGAGAAGCTTGAAAAACATTGATTTTTTGATTTTTCTACGAAAGCCTTACCAGGGAACGTTTTTTACCCCCCGGTTGAACTTTTGCTGAAACTTTGCTGAAGTGTACTTTAGGACCCCCTGATTGCAGATCAAGAAGAAAATTTCTCGCAATAGATCTTGTTTCCGAGTTATGAAGCTTCAAAGTGTGCAAAATACGCTAATTAGGCCAAAAAAGCGCGATTTCGGGCTTTTGAAGTGTCCTAACTCGAAAACGAGATCTATTGCGAAGAATTTTCTTCCTGTTCTGGAATCAGGGGGTCCTAAAGTACACTTCGGCAAAGTTTCAGCAAAAGTTCAACAGGGGGTAAAAAACGTTCCCTAGTTAGCAAAAAAAAAATTCAAAAAAAAAAATATATATAGTCCTTTTTTCTTCTACACCACCGCTTTTATTTTTCTCTAATAAGCTTATTTCTTTATTTTTTTATAAACATTCTAGTGAGCTTTAGACAGCAGGTATATGACGTGATAATGATCAAAAAAAAATATTTTTTAGGAAAATATATTTCAATTTTTTTAGTGGAAGAGCTTTAAGGTTTTTGTGTTGAGAAATTCGTTATCATCAGTTTTTTTCGGTTTTTTTGGGCTCTTTCTTAAATTTTTCATCGCAAGAGCTTTTTCGGGCCGTTTTCGGGAAATATTTCACCATTCGGAAATTTTTCCACATCGAAGGCAATAGGAATATGTCCTTGAATTCATGGAAGTAATAAAAAAAATCTTTCTTTACTTGAATTTTATTTTTTCTCTCCAGAAATGCCCAAAACCGGTGATCGCGGCGGTTCATTCGCACTGTATCGGCGCCGGTGTCGATTTAATAACCGCCTGTGATATTCGCTACGCCAGCAGCGACGCTATTTTCAATATTAAGGTACAGTTTCAGTCGGAGTTTTTTGAAAGATTGTGAATTTTGATTTTTTTTTTTTTGAGATCTGTCGGGTCCCATCATGTTTCTCTTGTAGATCATTACTAAAACGAGGTTTTTCCGTTTTTTTCTTTTGGGAAGTTTAGCTCCGACCCTTTTCAAGAAAAAAATCTTCTTGAAGTAATTTGAGCTTTTTTTGAACCAAACTTTGCCGTCAAAAATCGAAAAAAAGCTCACGGAAAGTGGAAATGATTGCTGTTTTAGGCCAACTTCAAAATATTTTTTTGTTTTTTTGAAAATTTATTTGAGTAGTCTTTTTCGATTCAAAAATTCTTTCTTCCACTTTTTTTGCGGTGTACTCTTCTCAGTAGTAACAAGATAGGTACCAAAAAAAAAAATTCGCGGAAGGAATTTTCGAAAATTTAGCTCGAATTTTAATTTTTTCGGAATAGTCCGTGCTTAGAAATCCTCACAATAAAGGTGATTTCAATTTTTGATTGGGATTTTCCTGAAAATTGGTCGGGAAATTTCTTGATGTACCAGATGGAGGTTCTGAAAGTCTCAACCTGTGAAACTTTCTAGTTTTTGAAAAAAAGTGCCTCAAAGTCGAGAAAAACAAAAATAAAACAATTCATTAAAATTGGCTATTTTTGGGACTTTGCGCCCTCATTTCTCAAAAACTAGGAAGCTGTACAGCTTGAGACTTTCAGAACCTTATCCTAGTACGTCAAGAAGTTTTCTGACCAAGTTTCAGGAAATTAGCAATCCGCCAAGTAAATTATCAATCCATTACTAAACCCCAATAAAGTCGAAATGAAACAGGAAGTTGACATTGGCATGGCGGCCGACGTCGGAACCCTGAACCGGACCGAAAAAGTCGATTAAAAAACTCTTCTTTATACATTTTTTTTTAAAAACCAGATGGTAACCAAAAAAAACCCCGAAAGAAACTTTAGTGACATTAACGCAACAAGAATTTCAATTTTCCGTAGTACTCCGTGTTTAGAAGTCCTCACAAAAAAGGAATTTCACTTTTTGATTGGGATTCTCCTGAAAATTGGCCGGTATATTTCTTGATGTACCAGAAGACGATTCTCATAGTCTAGACCTGCGAAAATTTCTAGTTTTTGGAAAAAAAGTACCTCAAAGTCGAGAAAAAAAACCAAAAAATTCGTCAAAATGAGCATTTTGTGGCCCTTATTTCTCAAAAATCAGAAAGTTGTACAGCTTGAGACTTTCAGAATTTTCTTTTAGTAACTCAAGAAGTTTTCTGTCCAAGTTTCAGGACTTTCGCAATCTGCGTAGTAATATATCAATCCATTACTAAACCCTAATAAAGTCGAAATGAAACAGGAAGTTGACATTGGCATGGCGGCCGACGTCGGAACCCTGAACCGAATCGAGAAAGTCGTCGGAAACTCGAGTTGGGTTCGCGAGATCGCCTTCACTTCGAGGGATGTCCCCGCCCACGAGGCTCTGAAACATGGTTTTTTGAACATCTCCAGACTTTTAATGTAAAGTTTATTCAGGACTTGTATCAAAGGTTTTCGATAGTCAGTCTGAATTATTAGAGGCTTCGCTGGAAGTGGCCCGGAAAATCGCCGGAAAAAGTCCCATCGGGGTTCAAGGAACCAAAGAGGTGAAGAGGGAGAAAATTATAAGACCAGAGTGGTCCCTAGAGGGGTCCTCGAAGGTTCTACTCTAGAGATCACTTTACCTCTTTCTTTAGGGACCGCTAAATCTTGCAAAAGAGGCCACTCTAGGGTTTTTTTTTGTTTTGATCTCCAAGCCCTATAGGGTACACTTTTTCGTCCCCTGTGAAGGCGGTTTTTTTTCCTTTGACCCTATAGGGACCACTTGAGCTTTGGAAGCTGAGGGGTCAGATTCTCAATCTCTATATGGACCACCCATTTTAGCCTTTTAGTCCCCTATAGGGGCTGTTTTATCCCTAACCCCTATAGGGACCCCTTGAGCTCTAGGAGCTAAGAAGTCAGATCCTCAAACCACCTGAGTTTTAGCCCTATGGGGATCACTTTTATGTTCCCTGTAAGGGATGTTTTTCTCTAACCTCTCTGGGGACCACTTGAGCTTCAGAAGCTAAAAAGTCAGACCCTCAATCTATAGGGACCACCTGATTTTAGCCCTATAGGGTCCACTTTTTTGTCTCCTTTAGGGGCTGTTTTATCTGATTCCTATAAAGACCACTTCAGCTTTAGGAGTTGGTAAGTCAGATCCTCAATCCTTATAGGGACCATCTAAGTATTATCCCCTATAGGGTCCATTTTTTCGTACCCAGTAAAGGCGGTTTTTTCCCTAACCCCTGTAGGGACCACTTGAGCTCTAGGAGCTAAGAAGTCAGGTCCTCAAACCCTATAGGGACCACCTAAGTTGTAGCCCTATAGGGTCCACTTTTTTGTCCCCTGTGAGGCCTTTTTTTTTCTTTTCCCTATAGTGACCACTTGAGCTTCAGAAGCTTAAAAGTCAGATCCTCAAACCCTATAGGGATCACCTAAATCTTAGCCCTGTAGGGTCCACTTTTTCGTCCCCTGTAAGGGTTTTTTTCTCTTGTCCCTATAGGGACCACTTGAGCTTCAGAAGCTAAAAAGTCAGATCCTCAAACCCTATAGGGACCACCTGATTTTAGCCTTATAGGGTCCAAATTTTCGCCCCCTTTAAGGGCTGTTTTCTCTGATTCCTATAGGGACCACCTAAGTTTAAGCCCTATAAGAAGCACTTTTTGTCCCCTGTGACGGCTTTTTTTTTCCCTATAGGGGCCACTTGAGCTTCAAAAGCTAAAAAGTCAGATCCTCAAACCCTATAGGGACCACCTGATTTTAGCCCTATAGGGTCCATTTTTCCGTACCCAGTAAAGGCGGTTTTTTCCCTAACCCCTGTAGGGACCACTTGAGCTCTAGGAGCTAAGAAGTCAGGTCCTCAAACCCTATAGGGACCACCTAAGTTGTAGCCCTATAGGGTCCACTTTTTTGTCCCCTCGGTAGGCTTTTTTTCTTTTAATCCCTCTAGGGACCACTCTGGCGCTTTCAAAAATGTTGAAAAGCCCTAAAAAAAATCCTGAAAAAAGTCAAAAAATCCTAGAAAGTCGACAGTAAATAAAAATTCGGCTAAATTTCACTTTTTTTTGATTTTTTTTTTATTTTTCCAAACTCTTTTTATGCAAACTTGACGGAAAAAATGAACCTATTATGGCTTTTTTCCGATTTTTTCTTGGAAAATCATCATAATTTTCGTTGTAGGTGCTGAACCACGCCCGCGACCATACTACAGACGAATCGCTGAACTTTGTGAAAACCTGGAACATGAGCCAAATATTGTCGACGGACCTCGTCGAGGGCGCCATGGCCTCCATGTCGAAACAGAAAGCCGAATTTAAAGATGTTTAAATGATATTTGTGTTTCATCTTCTTTGTAAATTCTTGTACCATTGGGTATAAAATGTTTCTACTTCAATGTGCTCTGAAAAAGTGTGTTTGAATCATAATTATTTCATATTTTATTATTCTTTTCTCTTGGATAGTTTGATTTTTCGCGTTTTTTGTGTCGAAAAGTGTGTTTCAATCGATATTTGTTCATATTTTTATCTTTGCTCAAATTTCTGTATCATTAAGTAAGATTTGTTGACTTTTCTTCTTGATTTTTTTTTCTGAGCCGAGTTTTCCTATAAATCTTCATATTTTTTTCTTTTTTGGCTTTTTTGTGCTCCAAGTGTGTTGAAATCATTATACGATCATATATTGTTTTTTTCCAATTTTTTTTTTCTTGTTCGGTATAAATTTTTTGATTTTCTTGACTTTTTTGAGTTCTGACGAGTTCGAGGATCTTTTCTATATGTCTCTTCATTTTTTTTAGCATGTTTTCCAAATTTCTTTTAGGTTTGTTCAAAATGGCGTCGGCTATCGCTAATACCGGGTAAAACTGCCCGGAAAAATCGAAAAATTTTGAGAAATTCAGTAAATTTGCGGGCAAGACGATTCTGATCACGGGTGCGTCGCGAGGAATCGGAAAGGAAATCGGATTGAAATTGGCCAAGGTTTGGGCGGGAAAATGGGCATTTTGAAGGGTTTGGAAGCTGGGATTTCCACGAAATTCGGAAAAGGGTGAAAAAGATAACTGAATTTTGAATTTTGCGGGGAAATTTTTTTAAATATTTTTCAAAAAATCAGAATTTAATTTTCTAAACTGTTCCGTAAAACTTCATCTTATGATTCCTACAATTTATATTTAAGGGGTCTTTATTAATTTTTCCCCCCATACTTCCAAAACAAGCAAACTTATGTCATTTTCGGACATTTTCTTGTATATTCAACAATTTTTGACCTTTTTTGACCAAAAAGTGAGGTTTTTTCCGCGCAAGATGACCTAGTCAGGTAAAAAATAGGCTTTTTCAAAAGAAGAAATTGAAATATAAGCGATTTTTCGGCTTTGATTCCAACTTCCAAATCGTTTTTCCATAGTTTTTTTTTTGATTTTCTCATAGGGACTCTGAAAAAATTCCGCTTTTTTTCCATTTTTCTCATCGATTTATTGGTTTTTTGTAGTTTATAATCCATTATGGACCTGTAAAGCTTGTTGTACTCATATTCAAGATTCTGTAATTTTATTTTTTCGTGACTTTCAACCAATTATAAAGTCGTCTTTTTCAAGATAAGCTCACAGTAATCATTTTTTCACAAGATTTCAGTGGTTTTGATGTTTTTTTTAGGACGGAGCAAATATTGTGATTGCGGCGAAGACGGCCTCGCCTCATCCGAAACTCCCCGGGACCATTTACACGGCGGCCGAGGAGATTGAAAAGGTGGAAGTTCCAAGAGCAAGTTTGACTAAAAAAAAACATTTTCAGGCCGGTGGAAAGGCCTTGCCCTGCATCGTCGACGTCCGAGACGAAGCTTCTGTGAAAAGCGCCGTCGAACATGCCGCTCAGGTAGGAGAAAATAGTAGGCTTGCCATTTGCAAACATGATCAACGACAAGGTTTTCAAGATTCCAAGAACTCTTTTGGGGTTTCAGATCGCAGGAAAAAAGGCAGTTTTATAAAGTTTCAACAAAAAAATAGAAGCAAACATTTTTTTTGATGGATGGTACTGTATATATTGGAGTGATACTTTCAGCTTGCTCAAAAGTTTATTCTTCGAGTTTTAATCGAGAATTGAAAAAGAACTCTTTTTTGCCTTTTTCAGCGTTTTAGAAAAGCTTCTAGACTTTATATATATATTCATTTATTTATTTCACTCAAACAGAAACATACAAAATCATAGGCAAAGTCGGAAGGACCCTCCAAGGGTCCATAAAGGACCATATAAATTTTCCTTTTAGGGTGATGAAAGCTCCCTTTTTTCTGCCTTTTTGCGCCATTTTCTCAGCCTATATGCACCCTATTTGCTGCCTCTCCCTTTTTCCACCATTTTTCGAGCCTTTAAAATCCCAGTAAATGAAAGGCTCGGTAAAATGCCTCTTTTTGCTGCCTCTATGCGCCCTTTTTTGTGCCTCTCCGTTTTAGCGGCCATTATCCACCATTCCGACTTTGCCCGAGAAATAGAAAAAGGGACCGCCTTTGCCTCAAAGTTAACGTGACATCATCTTGAAGAAATTCGGCGGCATCGACATTTTGGTGAACAACGCCTCGGCGATCAGCCTCACCAACACGGAGAGCACCGACATGAAACGATACGACCTGATGCATTCGATCAACACCCGCGGGACCTACCTCATGTCAGTTGAGCACGAGATTTCAGACCCGAAAAATTCCTTATTTTGAAGTTGACTTATTTCCAACAGTAGGAAGTGTCAAAAAATGTGCTATACTTATCTTTTCAGTTTAGAGTGAATTATTTAGAATCTTGAATTGTTATCAAAGAAATTCTTGAACTACCTGGAAGCTTAAATAATGATTTTTTTAGGTAGCTTTTTGATTTATTAAATATCGATTTCATGTTTACGATTTTCTCAAATTGAAGGAAAATCTTCATTTTTCTGAGTTTTCCGGGACGAAAATTTTCAAATTCGGGCACATATTCGAAGATTTTCAAGTTCAAAAACGCAATTTAAAACTGATCCGTAGAAATTTCAAGCAATGGAAGTTTACACTGCTAATTCTTAGAGGAAAAGCCTTATTTTCTCGATTTTTGAGGTTGAAAATATCAAAATGACATTGTTGTATAGTGAAATATATACAACTTTAATTTACCATAGTATCTACTTCATAACAAAAGTAAAAAAATTAACCAAACAAAGTAGGATTCGATCGCCTAACGCCATTGCGCAGAAATTATACTCGCATGCTGAGCAGGGTAACCCCGCCGTGCTAACACGGGGTCTCCGCGGGTGCCCCCGTATTAAACCCGTATAAGCCCAGCTGATAGAACTTTTGGCACTTTTTAGCCCAACTGAGACCCCGCTTTAGCCCAGCTGGGTTACCTATTTTTCTTACACCCGTTGTTCCCCCGTTTTAGCCCAACTGAGACTAAAATAACCTCAGAAACACGGGTTTAATACGGGTACACCCGTTGAGACACCTGCTCAGCATGCGAGATACTCTGAGGTGACCTGCATATCTTAATAATGCGCGGCAATTTAAAATGGGGTAGATTCACGGGGTGAAATCTAGACACTATAACAGGCATACACAAAAGTTTAAAGAAAGGCAGCTTTTCTGTTTGAAGTGAGGCCAGGATTTTCAAAAAGACGATTTTGATTGAATATTTTGGTGATTCATGACTTCAGGAAGTAGTAATTATAACTAGCTATTTTCGAAGAAAAAGCTTTTTCTTGAGATCTACAGGGAGAAAATCTGCCTCCTTTACCTGAAGAAGAATAAAGTTTGAATGATTGAGAAAAAATGAATGATTGAGAAAAAACTTCCAGGACAAAAACCTGTCTGCCCTACCTGAAGAAAGGCTCCAACCCGCACGTCCTGAACATCTCGCCGCCGCTGCTGATGGAGCCGCGATGGTTCGGAAACCACGTGGCCTACACGATGGCCAAGTACGGGATGAGCATGTGCGTCCTGGGACAGCACGAGGAGTTCCGCGACTTCGGAATCGCCGTCAACGCCCTCTGGCCTCTCACCGGCGTCTGGACCGCCGCCATGGAGATGCTCAGCAAGGGCTCTGAGGATGGCTCCAAAGGAAACAGGAAGGTAATGAAGGATAGAGTGGTTAGTAGAAGAAACTGAAGTACTCGTATAGTCTATTCGGGGTCAACTTGTCACGATAATTCTTGGCCTCCGAGCTACAAATCCTTCGATACGCGAGGCCTGTCTGTGTGCATGCGCCTTTAATAGGACGGAAATGTTGGGTTGAATGAAATCGAAGGCAAGCCTTTTAGAAGGGTTCTGCAGCTCGGAAGGAAAAGAAACCGTGACAACTCTGCGCGCAATGAGCTTAGAAGTATCTAGAAAAGGTCCTTGACCGACATGGAAAGTGTAAAAAGGTGATGGTTTCAAAATTTAAGGTACTTTTTTGAGGTTTTAAAATTTGCGGTACCAGTAGTGGCGATTCAGAGTTCATCAAATGAAAGTACGAATTTAGCCATTTAGTAGGGTTAAGGAGGTTCAAAGATGTCAAAACCTTTTTTTACTTCAAGGATAGATTTCCAACTTTGAAGTACCATACATTGACTAACAAAAAAATTAATTTCACTTTGCGGCTCAGATTTTTTTTATAAAATTACTCAAACGTCTAGAAAAAGCTACTAACTGCGCAAAAATCTAGTTTTGAGATATGATTTTTCAAAGTGTGATTCCTTGATTGTCGAAATTCAAAAATAATCATCTCAAAAACTAGAAATTCGCGCAGTGTTGTGCCCGCAGGTGGCCAGTGAAGACGTTGTAGTAGAAGATTTATTAGTAACACGAAACTAGACTATGCTAGCCCCTTTTACAATAACAAACAAGGTGTTATATAGTGCTGAGGGAAGAGATCCCGAAGATTATGGAATGTTCCAGAATAAAGGTGGAGTTTAGATAGTATTGAGATTAGAGTAAAAGATGGAAAATTCCAGAGTTTTAGAGATCTGTCCCGAAAGCATTAGAACATTCGAGAACAATGTGGAACCTTCTAGAAGGGAAACCTTTACACATGATCCCTATGACGTAAGGAGACTAGAAATGTATGGAAAACTATAGAACATTCTAGAATCAGCTTAATATAAGCGTTATGCTCCAACACGCAGTTAACGATTATATGAGATTTCTAAGCCTTTAAAGTTGTTTGAGCGGTTTTTTAGAAAGTTATCCGAAAATAATTCTGGATATGAATGAAAGATCTCCGTTATAAGAAGACAGCAAAATAGAAAATAAAAATCCTTTCAGCCTGAAATCATGGCCGATGCTGCCTATGTTCTCCTCTCGAAGAACAGCAAGGAATACACGGGAAATTTCGTCATCGACCAGGATATTCTGACCGAAGCCGGCGTCACCGATTTTAAGCCATATGAATGTGTTCCTGGTGGGTTTAAAAAAGTCCAAAAGGTCCTGAGAAGAAATTTCTCGATGAAAATATCCTTTAAATTTTTTCCGAGCACGTTTTTTGGTTTTTATAAGAAGGTGAAGAAGAAGAAGATGAAAAAAAGAGGATAAAAAGATACTTTTTGAGGTGAGAAGAGGGGCTTTTCCGAACCTTAGGAAGATGTAAATAACTTGTGTTTGTATTTTAAAAAGTCCCCTTGGACTTGAAAATTAGTTATATCTTACCAGTATTTCACAGTCGTTTAGTTAAAAAGGTTTCAAATGTTCATCAAAATTATTTTTGACAAGGTAAAAAAAGACGATATTAAGGCAATTTTTCTTGAAAATAGAAGAAAAAGAATTTCCCGTACCTATTTATTCCATTATCACTAGTATTTTAAGATAATTCGGTACGAAACTTTTTTTTTCAAAATTTTGGACTTTTTTAAGCTGGATCAAAATTCGAAGCACTAGTGAGTATCTAGAAAAGGTACTCATTAGAGTTCTCAAAACCAAACGTTCGAACGAACGTTCGACCAAACATTTTCGAACAAATGTTGAAACCAAACTTTTGGTTCAAGTTTGCTTTTGAACGTTCAACCAAAATGAACGTTCATTTTCCGTTCGTAAAAAAGTTCGTTCAAAAAATGAACGTTCATTTTTCATTTTCAAAAAGTTCGTTCAAAAAAATGAACGTTTCATTTTTTTCATTTTCAAAAAGTTCGTTCAAAAAAATGAACGTTCATTTTCTGTTCGTAAAAAGTTCGTCTCAAAAACGAACGTTCATTTTTCATTTCCAAAAGTTCGTTTAAAAAAATGAACGTTCATTTTTTTCGCTCGTGAAAAGTTCGTTCAAAAAGTGAACGTTCATTTTTCCATTTCAAAACAGTTCGTTCAAAAACGAACGTCCGTTTTTATGTGAAAAGCAAACGTTCATTATTATAAGAAAAACGATTTTTCGAACTTTTTGGTTGAACGTTTGAAAAATGATATATCCTAAACTATCGAAAAAAATGAAAAAGTTCATTTTTTCAAACGGTCATTTTTTTGAACGTTCGGTTTTGAGAACTC